TCTATGTCCTCCCTATCTTCTATGTCCTCCCTATCTTCTATGTCCTCCCTATCTTCTATGTCCTCCCTATCTTCTATCTTATTCGGTCCTTCGACCCACTCTACACCCCTCCCCATAACCTCAACCCCCCACCTGACATGCCCCCTCCGATCCCTAAACCAGCCCAGTTTCGTCTTCACCCCACTCTTCTCAAAGCCTCCTACACCCCTCTCTCGTTTCATCCTTATCAACTCATCGCTCCCAGCAACCATAACCAGCACATCAGCCAAACACTCCACATGCCTCTGCATGCACGAGCTGGGATACACGATCTGCAAGCTCACAATGAGGACGATGAGAATAAGTATAAGCAGGAAAATGATGACGAGTGATAGCCATGTAGCTGTTTCGTTCATGGCGAGAACTTCTATACGCGTTGCTAATGTGCCATTTACTTCATCAGGTGAGAGAACGTCTTCGTATGTTGGTCTGAGGGGCAGCCCGTTATTCCCGTTTACGTTCCCAGGTATGCCGTTTAGGTTTGCGCTGTCGCTGTTAACGAAGTGTTTAAAGAAGGTCTGGAACGTCTTCTCTGAATGCGCGAGGAGCGTAGTGCTCTCAAGCAAAGCAGCGGAGTCCTTCCCAGCGAGATGCCAGTTAGCGTAGGACATAAAATCGACGTTTAGACCGCGCTCTCGGTCACGAATGTTAAAGCGCTCGCTCTCGGTGTCTTCAATGCTTTTGTTGTGGGCGAGCCAGGTTCGAGTATATAAGGGATCGATGATGTGGGGTGCTGTGAGGAGTTGGGTCATGAAAAAGTGTCCGTAGCTGTTGAACGGGGTTAGTTTCGTGTACCTTTACTATACTGCTTTTCATTTCGGAGTCGGGAGAGCTGAGGTTTTACGTACCTAACGTTTCCATGAAAGTCAGTTTGCCTTGGGTCTGGATACATGAGGTCCCATGCATACTCCCATGCTCCAGGTGCAGGCTGCGGATCTTCTAACGACTTGTACCCCAATATCTGTCCGGAGCTCCGCGCGACGGTGACACTGAATGTTGTGTTCTCGATGACTGGGATGCAATTCATCATGGCTATCTTTGGCTGTTTAGTGAAATATAAAAGGGTCTCATTGTCAGATCCGTATGCTTGACGATAATTAATAAACGCCGACGCAGTAGCGCCTTCCGTCAGATCGGTCGAGAGGATCTCGGCCGACGCAGCTGGTCCCATGATCCACTTAATGGTGAAGTTTCGATACCATGGGCTGTGTACAACCAAATCTTCTGGTCCATTTGGGTCGAGTGGTTCATAATTCTCGTCGAGTGGTCCGAGATAAGTCGTACATACGTTGCCGACCTTTGAAAGGTCACACTCAATTGTTGGAGGCATTCTTGCGTCAACCATGGAACTGTTGCTGGTCCAATAAGCAATAACCGAATGTCCGTCGGAGTCTGTGCCATTGGCGCAGCACGCCATTCGTCTTGGAGCTGTGAAAACGGGTGTTCTGTACGTCTCGTTATCGAACAAGACAGTTGGCAGCACAAACCCATCAAGTTCGTTGGTCCGGTCTGGCCATATGTCTGCCGCTCGGTCGAGCCAGCCAGTTTCTGGGACATCTATTGGGCTACATTCTAGTCTGCTCCGAAGACCTGAAGTGACCATTGAGATGTTTGCCGGTGACACCAGGACATCAGCTGCATTGTGGAACTTGTCGTCTGGGCCCGTATTCTGGGTTAGATTGACGCTAGGCAATCGCTTGAGGTTCACGGGCGTGAAAACCCATTCGTCCATTGACCAGGCCAGCTGCGGAGTCTTCAGGGTAATCTCATCCAGTGCATTGTATAGCCATTCACTCCTAGATGTTTGCAAAAGATCATCCGTAAGGTCCAAACCACGTGTGTTGCCTGACATTGCCCAGGTAAAAGGCTTTTGTCGGAGTGTGAAGGGAGCTTTTATGAACAAGCCAGTATCGAAGGGGTCAAACGTCATCTGCGTTTGTAAGACAGCCTGTCGCTGGAAGACTGCTGCCATAGAGATAATGACTACATAGTTAGCCAGCGAAAGAAACCAGCATATCACATAACTTACGGATTTGGGATAAAGTGGTGCCTGTAGCAACGAGACAAAGTATCCATTGTTTGCGTAAAGCAGCCTTTATAGCAGCCCAAGCCCAGTAACAGGACTGATAGGATAACGCTACTCCTCGTGAAGCCGCCGTGGGTTTTCGCGACATCGAGAGATATGGCTGCAAGGTGCGCATGGGTTTGTCGATCCCGTCCCAACAGAGCCCTAAAGTCACTGCAACAAGGGTTGTGACAACGGAGTGTGGGGAGAAGCTCGTGTTGAAAAGACCTAGGTTGACTTGGTAGACAAAGGCGCTCCGGTATAGTCTGTGCTCGCGTGCAAACTTGCGAAGAACCAGCATGCATACGGCGATAGCGATGAGGGCTATAAGCAGCGTTGTAAGCCACCTCTTGTGAAGCATTGCTGGTCTCCAGTCTTTGGTCGCTTTCTTCTTCTTAGAAAGGATTTGACTCCATGAACCCATCCAGCCCATACGGTTCACAGCCGGGAACCACGAGAGAGGATCATGAGAAGATGACACCGTTTTTGCTTCTGAAATCAACGTCGTTGGGTTTGCCCTTTCAAAGAGGCCATCAGCTCGCAAGTCATACACCCGAGTGCCTATGTTCTTTTGCATGCTATCTCGGTCATGCTGTTGCAGCTCGCGCAGCGCTAGAGCTAGAGGCGATGCGGTGTCAATAAGTGACGTGACCCCAACAGTCCTGGCAGGGTCAGACCTGAGACGGAGTGGTCGTCTGCTGATTGATGTAAACCAGATCATGGCGAAGAAGTAGCATCCTAGAAGGAAGAACAACACCGAAAGCGCAATGCCCACTTTCGTTATCACAAGAACGCGCCGTTCCACGCGTATGATCTCGCCAGCCACACCTTCTAGCGCTGGCACGTCTGTGTCCGTTATCGAAGACAGCAAAAGCTCACTAGCAAAACGAGTCCGTAATCTGCTAGCCTCATACCCCAGCGTATCGTTCTGTAGTATATTCGACAGATTCTGGGAGAAGTGATGTGCCAGGAGTCCCGACACATCCTCAAAACCATCCAGAGGAGTGTCCATCGATTGACTTCTTGGCACTGCCATGAGTTTGTTCCAGTCTTTGCTAAAAGTGAGGCCATTCAGGTGTTCGTAGTCAAGCATGCCCCTCGGCACCGGTTGGCGGCGTTGTGCGAACTCTGAGGTGTCAAATGAAACGGACGATCTAGATCCACCGATAGATGCTGTAACTACCATACTAGCTTTATGGTACGTTGGAGTGCAGACTTGTGTTCGTACCGTAAGGTTGACAAAAGAGTCGCTCTCCCACACATCGCTGGATATACTGGCCAACTGGTAAGGCGCAATCCACGGGGGTGATGCAAGAAGCAGGTCGCGCCCAAAACATTCATCTGACATGCTGTATATGAAAGTGCGAGTCCACTGCCCAAGAGCGCGGTTTCCACTAGACCGAAGAGGTGGTGTTTGCCCGTACTCTTGTACGAGGTCTTGCCATGAAACATAGGACGAAGACATATTGGTCCACATGACCCCACCAGAATGCATCATTACGTTGTCACGAAACCCTTGAGGTGTGGAAGAGATGAGGCCAGTCCATACATCGACCGGACTCTGGATCTGGACTTCACAACCATCTTCCGATCGAATTTTGAAGCCTTTGGACTTGACAATGCAAGTATCGTTCTCGCATTCGGTGTTGTTGGTGTCGGCGTAAGAGTAACTAATGTTCAGGGTTGTTTTCTCGGTCATAACCATCGGTATGCAGTCGGCTTCCAGTTGAAAGACCTCTGTCTCTGCTCTCCATATACCGTCATAGAGTACCTGGCGGTTTGCCCCGTCTGTTGCTGGTTCGAAAGGTACAACCATGTAGGAGTCAGACACCCACATGGAAGTAGAAGCGTTGAAGAGAAATCCACTGATAGCATGAAGGTAGGTATCTCTTCGAGGCTTTAGCTCAATGGGTAACGGCGTATTACCAGCTGTATACCGCTGCAGCGGGACACCTTGCCGTAATGAAACCTCCTCAGCCGTGAACACAGAAGATGAAAAGGTAGAGATGACCAGGATGCTGATCCCGGCAGCAAGTGAGGACCAGGCCAGAACCCATCGTTTGTGGCCACCGCTTCGTTTTCGAGAGAAGCCTTGGAACACGCTTTTCCACCACACGCTAGGGATGTAGAATAGAGTAAAGTCCGCCTTGACCGGCTCCGGACAGGCCATGCGCGCGAATGCTTCCGTTCTCTTGACGTCTTCGCCTGTTTGTACAACAGCTTGAGTGAGAAAAACCGCAATGATGGTTGGTACGTATCTCCACCCCACGAGCAGGCGAGTAGACCTGTCATCATTCCCCAAGCCATGGTTCTTGTTGGAGTACCAGCATAGCACCGCCAAGACAACAGAGAGGGTGAGCGACACCAGGGCCAAAGACACTAAGTAGGGACGCCGCAGGGCGTATGGCAGCCATCTGGTAGGCGCGGAAATTCCTGTATCGTCACAATTTACTTCAGGATTATCAGCAAGCAACAGTATAGTATGTGCGAGACTTACGCTGCTCAATTTTACCTACAGTCATTCTTTTCGGCATCTTGCTCATGAGATGTCGGTCAAAACCGACTAACGGATCGCGTTGTCCATCGTTGGCGGTGTTCAGAAGTCCATCGGGGTCGTTCCCGTATCGATGACATGAGGCAGCGCGTGTTATTGGCTGGTGGCCATCGAGGATTTGTGTCTGAGGCCTAGATATTGGACCGCTTATGTCGCTCCGTCCATCTCGCCCTGTGTATTCGGTGTGTGCGATTCCATGGGAAATGTCGCTATCAGCTACTGACATCCACGAGTAACAACCAGCAGGCTCTCCGAGAGGGTTGGAGTTCAAATGTGACATGACAGCGAAGCGAGAGTTCGTATCTCAACGTCCTGGGACTGCGCTGCTCAGACACGGAATCATGGTAGCTTATGTAGCATCATCAATCGCCAAGGGGCTTAATCGAATGTCAGTACCACAAGGCTGCGCACCAAACACCCTTTTACCTGGACTTATTGGTTCCGCTCGCATATGCTGATGGGGGCCAATACTTTGTAGCGCCAATCGGACGCCGAGAGGTGTCACAGGAGAGGGCCAAGCTATCACCCGAACACCTACGCAGATCTCTCGCGCAAGGCTGAAACATGGGGATACCACCCGGCTAGCAAAAATTCCCGCACACCAGAGATTTAGCCAACTTCAAGTAGAAAGTAAGCTACAACAGACAATGATTTTAAAATCTTATAAAAGTAAAACAATCCCTGGAGGACGGGGATTAATGTGTTACGTCACCATTGTGTTTTAGTTGCGCACGCGTTTCGATTGCTCGTCAGTTCTCATTTCAACCAACGGCTGCCTGGGCTCTCGAATACGCGTCCGCACCGGTACATTGAGCAGCTAGTCGTCAAAGAGACGTCTGATCAGCTCTCTGTCACTATCACTGTGTACTTTAACTGATGTTTACTGTGTGAAAAGGGGCTGGGTAATAGCTTCTATACTGAGTTACTATATTAGATTCTTACTGTGTTGCGTCTATCTGCTTGCACTAGAAGCATGAATACGCTATAAACCTAAAATAAAAGTAAAACAATAGAGCGCCTTTCGCTTATAAGATATTGTTACTATCGTTTTGACTACATGTTACTGCTGTGTAGTAATCTGTCTTTTGTTATAGTTTGTTAGTTGTACCCTCTCTCATTTTGATAGTTGGACTATTGGATCTTAGGCATAGGTAGTAACGTTAAGCCAGATTCCAAACTGACAAACATGTGACTTTACTGTAGAATATTGATAACTATGTTTTCGAAATCCTGCGCTCTACTTTTCCATTAGTCGAAATTCTTGGGTTTCTCAGGCGCCTGTGGGTGAGATTCCATGACGTCGTGGCTGCAGCAACGGAGACCGAAAATGCCGTTACAGCAGGAATCTCGAGCCCATCATATCTCGCGTGTTCGCCTCGAGGAAGTCCAACCTACACAGTACGAGGGCAGTCGATCTGTTCCCAATCGATTAAACAATGTCTACCTGCCTGTCCCCTGGTTTTGTGATCGCAAACAACAACAACGTCAATACTCCTTGTTCCGTATGATCTTTCGCAGTTCTCTAGTCTCGATTTCGCGATCATGCGCGAAGACGAGTTCGAGCTCCTCCTTACTATTAACCCGGATACCAACATTCTGGCGCAATGTCTCTATGGAATCGACCCTGACTGATGTATATCCTAAGTGATCTGATCGTTTCGATTGCAAGGCCAGCGTGACAAGTTCGATTGGTGAGTTCCAGGCTGTTGAGGTGGAACCAGCAATGAGAGTGTAGATCGTATAAGCAATGGCAATGATGCAATAGCTTAGGATGACTGCCATGGCAAGACGAGTAGAGATTTCGATCGTATCGTAGCTATAACCGTGGAGAAATACAGTGATGCCAAATGCGGTCATAGTGTTTGTGTTTATTCCAGACTGGTTCACATACCGATTCATCTCATTTCTGGTTGGCACTTGTGAACGTAGTACATTAACCCTTGACAGTAAACTCCCATCCTTTTTCGAAGTGCACAAGACTAACAACAAGATTGTTAGTGTTTGTCTTGATCTTCTCTATATCTTCCGCACTTGTTGCAGCCCCAATCTGCTTCCCAGTAAGCAGTAAGGGTAACACGCTTGATTTCCACGCGGGAGTTTTCTGGGTATCGAGATACATTTTGCCACACAAAATGCACAGCAGAAGGATTGCCAAAGCTAGCAAAACTAGTGGGAAACTCAACCAAATCCAATGGAAATTCATGCATACTGTTGTCTGCATTACCGTTCCTTTCGCATAGACCGGTGGCGTCACAACGCCTTCCTTCGTTCGGATAATCGTATCTAGGCCGGTACCTTGTTTGCGCATCTCGCTAGTGACGGCGGTTGCAATCGATTCCATGTTGTAATCGATGCTCTGGAAACTGGCGTTTCCCTTATTGAGAAGGCCTTTCAGATACCACGGCTCACACATGAGACTATTGTAGTCGTCCTGATCTCCATTAAAGTTGATCCTGCTAGGCGTGATATAGTGCTTGCCGAAATACCATGATACCCCGTGACTTTGTTAGTAGCCTATTAGTTGATTCTCCAGACCTCTGGATTCGCAGAGGTATTTAACGTAGTAAAGATATCTAACTAACCTTCTAATTCTGTATACATCTGTTTAATAAAAGCATAATTACTACTCTAAAGGAGCTAATTTACGTAATTGTTACTATCTTAGATAATTAATTCTTTCGGAGATACGTTACTCTAGCTCTAAGACAATGTGCGTTAGATCAGTATCTACTTAAGTTGTTAATCGTACTACTAATTTACTAGACACGTCATGTTCAATCAATCAACTAATCGGCCACTAACAAAGTCACGGGGTATCATGGTATTTTGGCAAGCACCCATACAATCTCTGAATAGTGTTTTGTTCATGAAATTGACTAAACTCATCGCGTAAACACTGTCGACCATGTAAGCGCATTCCGCAGGGAAGGTTATGTTCACCTCCCCCACTAAGCTGCTAGTGAAGTTATGTTTGTCTCTCGGTACCGATGATATATTGTCCATCGTGTATGCTTGGCCATCGATGAAACAAGGAGTATGAAAGTGTAAAAAATTAGGATACATGTTCAGTTCTTGCCCTTGCGGTTGCTCTTTTGGTGTGTCTCTTACAACGGTTTCTGTGAATACTGTGTTGCGAACGGATCCATGGTAGTCCTGAACGCAAGGATAGAATGAGCAGGCTGTCGCCACAACATTCAAATAATCCAAGAATGGGTATGAAATGTTGAAGCTGTGATTCGAACATCTCCCCTGCTCACAATTATTGTTTGTGAATGTAAGAACGCTGACGTTGAGTACAGAAGCTCGAAATATACTGGCAAAAGAATCGTCAAATGCATCCAGAAGAGAGTCGTTGAACGGGACCACGGAACGCTTCCAGATGGTGGCGTGACCGGAGACGTCCATGATATTTCGGGGCAACGACCCTTTCGACCCTCCACCAATACCGTGGCCACCTGGTAGGATAATATCTTGCACTTCAGTGGCAGCCGAGCTACCATTCTCATACCCGTATGAGGTCGTGTCTATTCTCACAGCCTCAGCCACCCGTGATGTTATATCGACGCATTTCTTGCACATTGCAACTGACGAATGTGTAACACCGTTGTACTCTGGAAACAAGCAGTTGCCGGTACTACAGCCAGGTCTTATCTCAGATCGGGTCGTGTTCGGGTTGGCCAGCCCATCCAGAAGAGCGAGCTTCGTAACTATGTCCATATCCCAATGCGTTGCATCGAATCGGGCTAAATTGTAGGGATGCATGTACCTTGAGATACTAATAGTTGCTTCTGCGGACTCCAGAGGTCGATCGCAGGGCACAGCTTCAGCAGCTTGTTGAGTAAAGGGGCCGATTCCGACAGAAAAAACGATGACTATGCAGCCTAGAAGTGCGGTACTTCTACTACTTGTTAGCTCACTAGCTCGATGCGTGCTCGGTCAAATCTCGTACAGTTTTCTTGTCCGAAAAAGGAGTAGTGCTGAGCCCCAAGGACCACGAGAAGCTGTATCAAAGTGAGCAAGGTGTTGAAGTGAACTTGGTTGACGGTATAGCATCCACTTCAGCTGGCTGATAACTGTAGAGTATTAGCAAGTGGTCACTCATATGTCCTTCAGACCCTACCTTCTTCAGCCACAAGTACCAAGCAGGCTCGTATCAGGGTAGATAAAATGGCAATCAGTGTGTTAAGATTAATCTTGTATTTCCACTCAGGCTGCTGCTTGTTGTGGTACTCTGCCATTATCACCGCGATTGCGATCAACCCAGCTGCGGCGAGTGCTAATGATGCAACCTCAGTCCACCATGTCGTAAACAATACTACACGATTGTTTTTGATCTTTGGTTCTGTCTGCTGCAGGGAAATGTTATCGGAGGGGTTTTCGTCTAGAAAAGCGTGTGTCTCTCCTGGCTCCGCTGTGCTTATTGTTCGTTCAACGCCAACTCTTTCGTGATACCCGTAGAGCGGGCGATTATTGTCGATCGAAGTTTGTGTCGCTGTAGATGGTGAAACGGAGTTTGCATCGCTGCTTGGGCTATGCTGTAACTCTCTTTGCCCGATAGAGTTTGTTTCCTCGCTAGGATTTACCAATATATCCTCGGGGTTGATTGGTGTGCCTTCAGCTCGCTCAAAGCCGGCGTAGGAGGCTGTCGTAATAGTTCCTTCCGTAGTGCTGTCAGCGTTGTCTTGCGAAGACATATTCAAGATCTGTGATGAAAACTAGTCGTCCAATGTGTGAATTCGTAGATATCAGCATGTATGAGATGGAAAGATGACTGAGGTAATTTATACCTTTCATTTAACGCCTGCTTACAATCTATATCACAATCATTAGATATTAGCGCTATCTATTTTTAGGTCCTTCGTGATACTCTGTGCAAGTCAGCCTTGCGTGCTGCGTTCTTGTAATTGCATAAACAACAGGGGCCAGATACCATTATACCCATCGCAAGCACTGCCTGTTCTCATACGTTTGTTGTGCAATCTTGTTATGGACACCCACTATCCCGATTCAAGCATAGATATTAGCAACTGCCTGCTTACGCTTCCAATGTCGCTAAGAGGGACCTCAGTTCAGCGCTCTTGTCCTACCAGACTGATTGACTAACACAACCTGGTATTCCAATACCGATGCGCGCGGTGGGATCGACCGCTCCGTAAGCAGACGCGCAAGGGGGTTTGCAAATTGCCTTGCATTGTCTGTGCGCCATGTAGTTATCTCTTCGTTACGCAAGTCTGTACACGACTTGCAGGCTGTTTTAAATTGGAGTCTCTGTGGCAAATTAGAGTAAAGACATTGCACAAACAATCATGCGTGCCGCAAAAAACAGTTCTCGCCTCAGCCTGGTGGCCCCAATTTTCCCCAGTCCCGCAGGCCTTGCCAATGGATAGGTTCATTCCCCCGGCTAGTTGTGATGTAGGAAACTCAACGTATGGTTTCAATAAAGCTTCAGCTTATTCAAGTCCTATGAAAAAACCCACCGGTACACGACAGTAATGAGCCTGATTCTTCAACTCCAATAAGGGGCCAAACCTAACCCCTTGACACGCAGTAAGTATTACTAAGAAGTTTGTGGTAGAAAGCTGAGCTTATAAAAGCTCTCTTGACTACACAATTAGCTGATGATTCACATGCAATCGATTCGATTCTATAACATCTAATCTGTTTTTGGGGGTATCTGTAATTCCGTTAATACCCGGGAAAGATACACAGCCTCGCCGGGATGGTGCTCCACGCGCATATGAGAATGGGGCCGATCGCTTATGATACGAACTAAATGCCAAACAAGCTGCAATATGCTTTATTGTAGCACAGTAATATCGCATAGTGAAACGCTGCAGGAGAACACAAAGCTATAGCCTTACTTTCTAGATGGGTGAATGTGTCTAGGCGTGTCGCGTTGCACCCACGAGTGCAGTTATCACCTCAGCAGTCATTACCTTAACACCTGGGTAGATCGCTCGGGCAAGGCTGGAAGCCTGGAATAGCGTTGAAGTATGGAAACAGCGCAAGTTGAAAGGAGTTTAGAAGCGTATAAGCTTAGTCATTCCTACTATTGAAGTGTCTCTAAAAGAGTATCTACAAGTCGACCATGGGAGAGTGAGGAAGTTAACCTTTATTTTAAGTTGGGACAACTACAGATGCACTCTCGCCGCAGTATCGGGTATACAAACACCCGTCTTACCACTTCCTTCCGACTTTCAATTTTACGCGAGAAGCGCATGTGCCCAGGCGCCTGTGGGTGAGATTCCATGACGTCGGTCCTGCAGCAACGGAAACCGAGGGCGCCGTGGAAGCGAAGATTTCCCGGCCATCGTCCCTCGCGCGGAAGATACATGACCGAACATTACAGTTGAAATGGGTTCAAATCATCCCATACCCCTTCTGTCTGACTGTAATGGTTCTGACTGGTTGATGATAGTTGGAGTGGGGAGAACGTAGGCTATAATTACTGATCACAACGATGTCGACTTCTAGTATCTTACTTTCATATAAAAAGACGTCCAAGCAACGGTAATTACTTGGTATAATACTTATAATCTACCAACACTTCTTCTTTACACAAAAAGCCGTCTATAATACACTCTTGCTCATTAAAAGACAGAACATTACACTCCCCCATCATCACCCTCGACCTTCTTACCTACCAACCCCAAATGTCCCCCCTAAACGTCCTAATAGCAGGCTCCTCAATCGCCGGCCCCGCAACAGCCTACTGGCTATCCAAAACCAACTGCACCCTAACCATCATCGAGCGCTGGCCCTCCCCACGCCCAGGCGGCCAAGCAATCGACATCCGCACCGCCGGCGTCTCCGTAATGCGCAAAATACCCGGCATGGAAGCAGCCGTGCTCGCCAAATCCGCGCAAGAAGAAGGCGTGTGTTTTGTGCGCGCTGACGGCCGCCCCTACGGGACGATCCGCGCAACGGGCAATCCGGAGCAGCAGGGGCTTATCTCTGAGTATGAGATCTTGCGGGGGGATTTGGCGGGGGTGCTTGTTGGGTTTACGAAGGGGGAGGAGAGGGTGAGGTATGTGTACGGGGAGACGATTGCGGCGATGCGGTATGACGAAGTGAATGGGCCCGTGACAGTGGAGTTTTCAAACGGAATGCCGACTTCGACGTATGATCTTGTTATTGCGTGTGATGGGGCGATGTCGCGGACGCGGGCTATGGGGTTTGAGTGTGGGGTGCGGGACCATGTTGTGCGGACGAATAGCTGGGCCGCGTATTTCTCCATTACACAAGATCTTCTGCAGGGGAGCCGCGTGGGGCAGGGGTTCAGCGCGGTGGGAGGCCGGTTTATCAGTGTTGGGTCGGATGCAGGCGGGGGCAGTCGAGTCATGTTGATGGGTGTTCACCCTGGAGATAAACGCGACACGATGCTGGGGTTCCGCGAGGCGTCTACGCAGGGCGAGGATGCGCTGAAGAAGTATCTAGCCCGGCTGTACCGGGGCGTGGGCTGGAAGACCGACGAAGTGATGCGGATGATGATGGACTCGGAGGACTTTTACGCCAGCGAGATCGTTCAGGTCAAGATGCCCAGTCTGCACAATGGACGCGTGGTTCTGGTCGGCGATGCGGGCTATGCGGCTGGGCTCACGGGCGGCGGTACGAGTCTCGCGTTGGCCGGCGCGTACATGTTGGCGGGCGAGATTGGGAAACACAAGGGTGATCTTGCGGCGGGTCTGGAGGGGTATGAGGAGCAGATGAGGCCGCTGATCAAGGAGATGCAGAAGATCCCACCGCTGGTTATGTTGCTCCTTGCGCCACAGACTGCTTGGGGGATATGGTTGCGGAACCATATTTTCGCTTTCATCGCGTGGACGGGCATTGCTGAGATTGCTCAGAAGTACCTCGGTGGCGCTTTTGCTAATACCGAGTCTTTTCCACTGCCGGAGTACGAATGGGTTGCTTGAGGATTGTACCTATATATTAGATGGTACATTTAGTCTCTAAACTCCACTACACTCAGGAACACAATCTTGAACTTGAATGCTCGATTTCAGTTGCCTAGGTGAAACAGATGCTAAATTCATTAGTAAGAAGTCACTCAACTACTCGACTCAAGTGGTAGAAAACATTATCTTACTAAGAACAGGTATGTAGGTAGTTACTTAGGGCGTCCATCCATCTCTCTCTCAGAGAAAGAAGGAAGCTAGGGGAAAAGGTAGAAAAGACATCGATACCCACGCCTCCACCAGCCCACTCACCCACCCCATCCAGGCCATCTACCCAAAGCACGACACATCCTCATGCCAAACCCCCTCGCCACGACTCTTGTTCCTGTGGAGCAGTTTCCCAGCCTTCTAGGCAGGCGCGGGACTTCTCCCTCTACCCAACAAGCCCCTCCTCCCACCACTACCAACCTTAGGACTGACACTCCCCACCGCACTCGCTGCGTCAGCTGGACTGAAGCTACTCCTGATGACGACCATCCCCCTGCCGACACCGACGTTCTTCTCACTGCCCTGTCCCTGGTCGTCAATGGTGAAACTCGCTTCGCCGAGCTCCTCGTCGCGGCCAAACTTCGAGTGGTCCTTGACGACGACCTTGAAGAACGAGTCCGCGGTACAAGGGACTTTGAAGGATTCGTTTTCGAAAGTAGCGCTGCCGGAGGGCGACTTAATGTGATCTGTTTTGTGCACGTCTCTGTTCCCCAGACGCACGAAGACGCGCACGTTTGTACCTGGGGGGAAGCCATCGGCGCTCAGGATGGAGATGTTCGCTGTGCCGTGATCGCCTTGGGCCGGCTCTCCGAGACGACTTGAGAAGCTCTGTGCGCCAAAACTCCTGTGCCTGTTGTGGTTGTTGTTCGGGGTTGTGGGGGGGATAGTGTTGTCGGGCTCTACGGAGATGGCAGGTGTGTCGTGGCTGGGACGCGGCATCTCGTCCAACTGGTCCAGCTCCTCTTCGCCGTATGCGCCACGGCTCTTTCTACGCTTGAAGCCACGGCCCAGGAATGATGCGCCACGAACCACGCCACCACCGACGAGAGCAGCACCTTTTCCAACACCCTTGACGGGTGCGCCGATGACTTTCCCGGGTACAGCAAAGGTTCCTGAGAAGGTGCTCGAGCCTTGGCGAGCGCGCATGACGTAGTCTGGCTTGAACAGCATCCTCAGACGAATCGCTCCAGATTTGCCATCGAGTGCTAGTGTAACTTCCCTTGTCTGGAACGGCTCGAGGATCTCCAGATTGATGTGAGATTTGCCCAGGAAGTCTGATCTGTCACCGAAATCCCAGTCGAACACATTAACGACAAAGTCGGCAGCAGTACGACTCCGGATGGGGACTTCGAAGTATTCGTTCCAAGCTGGATGTAGCGTCTTCTTCTGTGTTTTCGTCTTGAAGACTTCCTTTTCATTCAGAACAAACTTGCAGAACGGGTCTGAGTAGCCGTTGCGGTCCGCAGCTGGCAAGTCCGCAGCGTCGAGAACATCAACACGTAGTGTGCCTTGATTGTTGAACGACTCGCTGGGGTCGATGCGCATCTTGACGGGAATGTACTTGAGGCTAACTGTGATCTTGTTCTCACGACCACTCTTGTCTCTGAGACTGAGTTGTGTAGGCGTGTACTAAGGGACGATTAGCATCGTCGAAGGAAACATCATCAATCTGGCGAACTCACCAAGGCTCTTCGCAGTGTATCAACAGTATTTCCTGTGAGTTTAGCAATGACATGATCCTCATCGCCGTCGCCATCCTTGTCAATCTTCTCGATAATACGAAGCGTGATCTTGGAGAAATCAAGCTCACGAACCATGGTGTCACCCACTGTTTCCAAGTCAGCAACGCCCACGACCGATTGAATTGCACATCATACCTTCATTGAACGTCATATGCCTGCTCTTGATCTTCGCACTCGAATAGCTTGCATACACCATATCATCCATAAGGATATCGACGTAGCCACCCGTTTCCGCAAACTCACCCTCATGCAACTTGAACACGAGAAGTCCAGATTCTGCAAAGAGTCAGTATATTATTTCCAAGAAAAAGAAGAATACAGGGCACGCGGGCTGGAGTGTCAGGGACAACCAACTCAACCAGCCATGCTTCGCCACATTCTCCAAGTCGCGGCGCAGCTTACCATACTGCTGGAGGTCGTCGGCCGTAAGTCGCAGTTTCTCGACCTCCTTCTTCTCGGCAATCGATTCTTCCTGGAGGGCCTCGTTCTTCTCCAGTTGCCTGGCAATGTCGGCGTCGGGAGTTTTGAGCGAGGAGAAAGTGCCCGCTGTCTCGGATCGTGTCAAGGGAGCAGAGGCGCCGGATAGAGGTCGGTCACGAGAGTTTGTGCTTGTGGACACATTTGAAACAGGTCGCGAAAGTCCGTTGGAGGTAGGCGTTTTCTCTTCCTCTTCCTCCTCGTCCTCCTCGGGGTCCCAGGTGGGATAGGTGGGATAGAACGAGCAAGTGTAGTTCAACGTGCCCTTGGTAGACGACTGGCCAGCAACGGTCAACCCCCCAGCGATGAGTTGCCTCTGCTCGTACACACCATATTCGCCGTTCTCATCCTGCTTGACGTAGTCACCGACTGAGAGTTCGATATGGCCGATGGAGCGATCTTTGCCGAGATTCTCCTCGTCCATAACCTCAAGGGTCATCTTCTCGCGAACAGTGTGAACAGGAACATAGACAACCTCATCCCAATCGGGGTTCAAGTTGTTCTTGAAGGTGACAGTTCGCGCCTTCTCCACACCAGAAAGCACAACGCGGACATACGGATCAGACTTGCCCAGACTCTCGAGGTTGCGCAGCTCGCGGGCGCTCTGGAAGTGCAATCTCATCACTCCGATCGGGGTGAGGTAGCCACCGGACGATGGGCCACCCTTGAGCGCCACAGGCTTCCACTCCAGCTTCATCTTGGCACGTCCAGTCTGTGTTCCAGCAAGGTTATACCACTCATGCCCCTTGGCCATGAGCTCGAGCATATCATCGATGGTGATTTGGTAGGTTCCAAGGATAGGGTCGGAAGCAAGGTCACGATCGTCTTTGAGTACCAGCCCGAGCTTCGTCTTCTTACGATCAGTGATGAGGATTTCCTTCGAAGCGTCGGGCCAGATAGGTTGATTGGTTCGCTTCATGACGCGCGACTTGTGGACTTCGTGGCCATTGAGCAGCAGAACGGCGTATGGGCTCAGCTGTCCGATCATGCTCTTGCTTCCATCCAGATCCTTGGCCATCTCGACGGTGAACTTGGCAATACCTGTGCGTGACTCTGGTGCGGGTTCCCGAACTCCGCCGACCAGGGCGCCCTCGAGAACTGGGAAGAAGCGTACGTCAGCCTGAAGGATACCGCGTGGTCGACCACCAGACATGACCTCGAGATGCAGGTTCTCGTGGTCGGTGATCGTTTCGAGCTGATCCAGCGCAAATGTCGCAGTACCGAGTTCCTTATCCTTGCGAAGATCATTGTAGTCGAAGATGTTGATAGTGAGCGAGTCCTTTAGTGAAGTAAGAATAACATTGACAGTTTCGTTCCAGCGGGGATTAGCGTTCTCGTGCACCGTCTTCGTCTTAGCCAGTACATTGCGGTTGTTGATAGACACTGTCGCATACGGATCTGGAGTACCAGAGAACTTGTCCGGGTTCTTGAGGCCCTGCGCTCCGTGGAAAGTGAGCTGCAGAACACCAATGGCCATATCGACTGGGTTTCCTGCCAGCATCTTCGCAATCTCGATGGGGAAGACGTTCGGGTCGTACATCATGGGAGCCAGAGTAGCGTGAATCATTTCCTGGATGAAAGACTCCAGACCGGGGATAAAGTTGATGTCGAATCCGAATGTCTCACCACCAAGAGGCTTGCACACGTAGTCGATGCTCGGGCGCTCCAGGAAAGACATTTCGACTCTCTCAACATGAGGAAAGGGGAGCTGCAGCTTGAACTTGAGACGCATGAGACCGGAAAAGGCCATGTCCTCCACGATGACGTCCAGACCCTTGCTGACGAGACCTTTGCCGATACGAATTTCAAGTACAATCTTCGGGTTGATCTTGTTCTTGATCTGCCTCGCAGTAAGATCGGCGACATCATTGGGGTTGAAGCTGAACTTCCAGTCCATGAGCACAATGTCATCCTCTGTCTTGGGGTGTGTCTTCACGTGCTCCAAACGAGGCGGCTTCGTTCCCAAAACAAAAGTCTTCATCCTCAAGCTGTCCAGAAACGCAGGTGTTGATGTAGACAGGACCTGATCGACAGTGCCCACAATGGTGTCGCAGAGCACGGGAGCATAGATGGGCCAGAACTTGACGAGAAAGCTATTGATCCACTCCAGACTCTCCGTATCCGTCTCGAGCTTCTGCTTAGCCATCTCGCGATTGAGGTCATCTCGCGCATTGCGGCGCACACGGCGGATCGAGGTGCGGTAGTAGGTGCCGCAGGTCGCCATGATGATGAAGACCCAGCCCAGACCTCCACCCAGCACACCAATGACCCAGGTGCTCAGACAGGCGAATATGATGACGCCCGTGTTGTGGTACCAGTCGCCGTAGAACTTGTCGTCGATGCGCTCCTCCAGCCACGTCTGGTGGTCGAGCAGCGTGCTCTCGTCCTTGTCCTCGAACGAGCCCGGCATGCCAAACTGCGGCGCCCAGCCAACGCGTTCCCAGCGGGCCTGCTCGTCGAGCTCGACCACATGGCCGTTCGCTTTCCCTGCGGTCGGGGATCCGGGCGGGGTTGCTACGGCGCCAGCTTTCGTGGGAGGGGGGAGGTCGTATTCAGGGGGAGCGTTCGAGATGTCTGCGTCAGTCACCAGGGCTGTCGCGAATTGGTTTCGCTCGTGGTGGAAGTTGGCAGGGACATGCGATCTCGCCTGTGCTCTCTTTTGTTCGGGTGTCGCGTTTGGGTCGAATTGGAGTGCTGCGCTTCCCCCCAGGCGCGCCTGTTGTAGCATTTTGTTCTCTGCCGCCTGTGCTGTAACGTCTGAACGGGGATCACGGGCAGCCTCAACGGCGCCTTCAATGCGCGACTCGGAAGCCATAGTAGAGCGTGCCGCCGCGATCGGGCGAGGGACGTGCAATTGGGCCGCTCGCAGGCGATGGGTGAGGAATTACACGTGTGGACGCTTGGGCAGTGGACAGCAAGGAAAGGAGAGGAGACAAGCGGAGAGAGTCTAGTGCTTGTTGCTTGTGGTACGGAACCTGATTGATGGTTGGCTTCCCAATCCAAGGACAGCGGCCCGCAGCCAGCCGCTCCGTATCTCAATGACCAATTGGCGAGCGCTTCGCCGATAGTCGCAGATACGGCAAAAGAAAACAAGAGGTTAGAAAGAATGGCGGCGGTGAGGGCGAAGACAGTACACGATAGGGGAATCGCTTTATGGCTCGTGGAGCTTGAGTGAGCTTGAGCTCAGAGCTGGGGTCTCCCAATGACGCGTTCCAAGACACAGCCACACAGGACGAACGTGCACAGCGCTTGGTGGGCGGGCGGGGACGAACGAAACAAACCTCCACTGCCAGTGCACCATTCACGCGATCTGTTTGTTCTCGCCCTGATTCGGGAGATTCATTGCACAAAGCCCTGCATATGCCAGACCCTGTACTCTCCACACCAACATCGCAAACCCCCAATACCAATCCATCGTGCTAAACACATGCAACAAACACCGCCATACTCAATTCAGCGTCGCCGACGCCAAGCCAATCGACTGAACATCGCGATCTCCGTTTAGCCGCATCTCCTCGGTCGATAGTCGATTATCGCAGATCATCACATGAGAGGAATAAATTAACCTGACATTGACTCTGCACTCCAGCCACACGAAAAACGTGTTTGATCTGTGATACATTTAGTGTAACAATCTACTCATGCTATGCCCACTTCTCCCTCACACCTCGAACCACTCATTCAGCCAACTCGAGACTTGCAAAATAATCACGCAAACCCATCCCGCCTACTCATTTACTCAGCCCCTCTCAAACTAGTACATGTGCTCCGCTACTACAAAATCGGTCCATCAGAAAGACAGTGCAACCTTTTACACAGCTAACTCTCGTTCGTTGATTGTACATCCAGACTACGTGCATGCAAGATACACGCACAGCCACATCACACACTACCATTAGACCGTCCACCATCCACTACCGTATGAAAGTGAATGACCCATGTCGAGCTGAATGTACGTGTTTGCATTTGCATTTACATCCGAATTAAAATTTAAGTTTGCATGACAAGCCAACAGCCGCGCTACACGACATCTAGAACACTTCCCAACGCAAACCAACACGTGGGGGAAATCTATGAGACAGGCCCAACACACGTACGCCTATGCTACCCGTTCATTTGTTCATTCGTCCCAGCGCCGTTACTCATTCCCATCCACTCACTCCAACCAACCCAGCATTCCTCGTAATCAAGATTCAAAAGTCCCTCAGCAACTTCATCACCCGCCCCATACCCGCCCTGCGCACAAGTTCAGTAGGGTTTAACAACGGGATATCTCCTCCCGCCCACGCCGTCCTGCACACCCGAAACGTACCTATGCGTTCTCCGATCTCTATCGCGTTCTCTGCTACCCTCTCGACTTCTGTCATCGCCCCAGTTGACCTTCCTATCCCGATCATGACTTCGAGTACGACTTCGATCGCGACTTCGGTCTCTGCTGCGCTCGGTGTCCTCCCAGTCGTCGCTTCGGCCATTATGACTTCTCGTCCGCGAAGGATCGCCGCGTTCCCGTTCCCGTTCTCGTTCTCGATCCCTCGAATATGCTCTGTCTTCTGTTGATCGTCTCCGGTGGTGGTGGTGATGGTCCCGTCTACTACCTCCACTTCTCGAATCGCGGTCTCGGGCTCTTTCTCTGTCCCTCGCGTCGTACTCCCTGTCTCTTTCTCTTTCTCTTTCTCTCTCTCTATCCCTTGCATACGGTATGTCTTCCTCTCTTCCACCACTACTGCTGTACCGTGCGCTCTGCGGGGCAGGCACGGATCTGTAGCTCCCGGTTGTCCGCTGCGGCGCGGTGGGACGCGTCTCGTAGTAGTTTCTCGCTTGAAGTTGGGCGACCTGCGTTGCAAACAAGGGGGACTTGGTAGGGCCGAAGACGGTATGGAGTGGCGATGTTCTCGCGTTCGGAGCCAGCTGGTGTGAATAGGGTCTCTCTTCATAGTGCGCGGGGAAGTACTCTCTCGGCTCTGCAGGAGCCTCCTGAGATTTTCTGTGTCGGAGATCAGGGGAACGGCGCCGGGACGGGGGCGCCGGGTCAGAGTCAGAGTCTGTGGTAGAGAGGGTAGATTCACGTCTTGGTGGCTGCGGGCGTTTCTGTGCTGCATAGCGGGGAGCGAAAGGGTTTGTAGCAATGGGCGTGGCGTCTTCGTCTGAGAAGCTGTCTTCGTAGCGACCTGGTGGGAGATTGCTTCGACTCTGGAAAGGGTTGGGCATGTGTCTGACTCTCGAAGTAACCACCCTCCCTTGATCCTCTGCAGGATATGGCGTCTGCTTTGAAAAGTGCCGTACGTATGTTGGTCGTGGTCGCGCTTTGCGATACATTGGATCTTCGAAGTACTGGAACGCACCGCGCTTTTCGTCAGCCGACGATCCGTCGCCGTCGGTGGAGGTGCGCGGTCCTGGCTCGTCTACATGTGCAGCTGCGGCTTCTGCTTCTGCCTCCTTCTTAAGTCGGGCAGCAACACCTTCGTACCAAGCTTCCATGGCGTCGTCGGGCCGGTCCGGGAAACACTCCTTGGGCAGCAGTTTGGGGAATGCATTGCCCGTCGCGGGATCCACCACGTCGAATTGCTCAATCGACTTCTGAAGGAATGGGACATGCTCTTCCGGTCCAAGCAGTAGTTGTATCGTCTGCCATGTCACGAAGCCTTGTTTCTTCAGGGCGGGGGTTGCAGGGGTCGAATACCCGTCATCGTTGGGTGCAGGCTGCAAGCTGTGGAATGCGCCGAGGGCACGGTATATGAAGGCGATTTGCGAGGGTGGGGCTTCCATAAAAAGGACGTCGTAGTTGCCGCCTACTGAGCGGTACCAAGCTGCGATCTGGGATGGCATGAGATCAGGTGAGCCGCTGGGCTCGAACGTCCTGCTCTGCAGTCGCAAACATCAGCTCCAGTCGCGCATCGGGTTGCGTCTCGTCGCGACTCACAATGACATCCGCAACCCCCTTCAGCAGACGATCCAGCAGCGGCGTTCCACATTTGTCCGGTTTGAACAGATAACCCCAGTATTGAACGGCCTCTCGTTGCGCCGACGCTGCGTGCTCGTCGTCTTCAACATCCTCTTGCTGAGGCGGCGGTGGAAATGTGATGGGGGACAAGGCCTTTTCGTTCGAGTCCGAGGCCATGGCGCTGATGTGTAGAAACTGTAGGAGCGTTGGATCCCCACCATGTGTGAGCTTTCAGCCGGAAGTCGGGTGTCAACGCTCATGCGCGTTGTGTGGAGCTTGAGCCGACTGGGGTTCCTTGTGGAACGCGAGGGGAACGCGAACTTGGAAGAGATGAGCGAAAGAGTCGATAGACATGCACTACTTGTTCATGTAGGCGACCATCATAGCTGCGCGCCAGGCAGCAAACTTGTTCAGCTGCGCCTCTGCATTGTGTACCGGCTTGGTACGGTGATAGGATGCGCAGTTTGGTGAGTGGCTGGCGATAGATAGTTTTACCCGTCTGACATCATCCACCCCGCTATTCCGCTATGAGATAGCAGAGCATGAGGCCGCCATCAGGCATCACGAGCTGCCAACTTTGGTCGCAACAACCCAAACGTCACCTGAAAATATTAGCAAGCAGGCCATCCATCATGACCAATACGACAAGCATCACAGTCTTGGAAAGAATACGCGGTTCGTGGTCTAGAAGATGCAGACTTTTGTCATTACAATCCCCAAGGCGTCGAGTAGTCTACGCTCTCGAGCGCCCACTCAGAGCTTCTCGCTCAGCTATATGAAATCCATGTCATCCTTCATGACGAGTCGCTCCAAAGAACCAATATAGTCGTAAATCTATCAGAAATCGCGAAATTAAAACTATGCCATTTAGTGCTCGAGCAACCTGAGCGAACCCTGGACGACAACGTTCTCCAGGATCGAACCGGGAGGGATGTCGATGGTCGAGCCTTCCGTCGCGACAATGATGACAGTGCCCTTGAGAGTAACGCCACGGCCGAGGTTGACGGGGCCGGTGATGGTCAAGTGGTCAAGCTCGACAATCTTGGGGATGGAGGGAATGCGGGACTGGAAGCTGGAGACCTTCTTGAAGTCGCTGCCCAACTTGATGAGAGGGGCAGGGCCGAAACGGTTGGGGTCAATCACCAGCTGGCCGTGCTGGAGTGTGTACAGATCCGACTTGACGAGCATCAGGTCAGAGCATGTCTTGACGGGCAAGAAACGTCTACGGGGAACGTTGACACCGTGTGCGTTCTTGAAGTGCTTGATGGCAGCACCGACAGCAGTCTCGAGCTGGAGGACCGAAAGATCGGCCTCGCCCTTCTTATCGGCAGGGATCGACTTGCCGTTGGGGATGATCTCCATAGCCAGCTCGTTGCTCTCTACAACGCGCTTGATGGCGCTCAGGTTCATCCAGATGTTGTTGGTGTTGAAGTACTTGAACTTCTTGATCGACTTGAACTCGTTGACGTGCTCCTTGGGCACCTGGGCGATTTCAAGCAGACGGACGGAGCCCTCGTAGTCAATGATGGTACCACCCTTGACGTCGGCCTTTGTCTTGTCGGTCAACTCCATAATGTACTCAGCCTTGGAGTCAACCATGTGCTGCAGGATGCGGAGATCGACGACGGCACCGAGGTTGTCGGCGTTGGAGAGGAAAATGTACTCGATACCGCGCTCAGCCAGCTTGTCAATCATGCCAGCGTTGTACAGCGACTCGAAAACGTCACCGTGACCGGGTGGGTACCAGTTGGCAATGTCAGAGTCTGAGCTCTTGGGGGCGGGCAGCAGCGAGTCCTTGAGGATACGCGGGTACTTGGACTGGTTGAAGGTGAGGATGTCGATGTTGTGGCCCTCGTACTTCTTGATGATGCTCGCGGTGTCAGTGTCCGTGTTGAACGAGTTCATCAGGACAAATGGCACGTTGACGTCGTATGTGCGGTTCAGGTACTCGATCTGGCGCACCGACAAGTCGAGGAAGGACATGCCGTCACGGACCTCAATGACCGACTTGGGGCCAACGCAACCCATGGAGGTACCGAGACCACCGTTGAGCTTGACGACCGCGAGCTTATTCAGGTATTCGACACCCTCAGAGTTGGCGAGGTCCTCGTAGTTGACGACCTGCTCAGCCTTCGGGGGCGCGATACGGTTCCAGTCGATGGCATTGCCCTTGGCCTTGTCGTTCAGGTATCGGCGGAACAGGGCAAAGAAGTTGTCCATCTCAGTCTCGAAGTACTATGTGGGGTCAGCACACGTTCGGTGACGCAGAGGCCCTCCCGCCAACACATGTATCGCCAGTAGCGTTCAGCAGTTGATCAGAGTGATCTGTCGCTTAGGGTTTGTGCCAGTGGAAGGGACGAGAATGGGGTTCGGGGGACGTTGCTCACCTTCTTCTCGGCCGGGTCCGAGACGCTGTCAGCGAGCTGGTTGAGGGCATTTCGCATCTGCGAAGCAGCCACATTGGTGGATGTGTTCTCAAAAGCCTGGTAGAAGTAATGTTAGCAAAATGTATATGAGGCGTCTCAGCTCAGTTCAGCTGTAAGCGTAGACAGTTGTTTGTGATGGAGTACAACCAAACACACGTGGTAGTGGTGGTAGTGCAGAAGACGACTCCAAACAAGCGAGTAAAAACACCGGACAGTGCGAGCTGCGAGGACCATGATCCCCACCAAACGGGGGAAGTCCGTTCACTCGACTGCTGGGTCTCAAGTGTCGGTGTATGTGCTGTCAAATGCGGCTGCTTGTTGCTGTCCAATTGCTTTTTCCTCGCTACGCGGGAGCTTGCCAGCAGTTGCAATGGAGATCCCAGCGCAAAAGGCGGGCAGCCAATTGCGGAGGGATGCAATGATGGGACGAGACTGAAGGGGATTGCGCAATGGCAAAGCGAAGAAAATCAGGGTTACTTACCACATGAGACTGTGTCTTGCCGTGATGGCGAGGAGAGAAACCATCACCCTCAGCGGCGGAGGGCTTGAGGTGGGAAGGAATTGCGCGAGAAGCCATTGTGTCTGTAAGGTATGTGAAGAGACGCTGGCAAGAGAAAGGTGGAAGTAGAGGAAAGAAAGGAGAGGAGGCGGTCTGGTTGTTTAAAGACGATGGCTATCAGGGTCTCCACTTGGCGGATGTGGGGCAAGAGACGTGCCTCGACCAGGGGACGTGTGGGTTGTAGGGTTGAAAGCGGTTTGGCGAGAGAACAGCGAGAGGTTTTTATGGGATGGCGTCTTTTGATCATAGCATTCTCAGCTAGCACACAATACGGAAGCCTCTACCACCATTACGACTCGACGGTCAATGGCGATGTGCGCTGGAGCTTGCCAATCCTGCCCCTCCTCGTGTCTTTGTTCTTTCCTCACACAAACATCCTGACTGCAAGAGCAATTCATAGACTTCAATGTTGCCCTGTTCACTCTCGAAATGAAGAAAGGGCAGTCTCCAGGGGCATCACAAACGGGTTCTCACGATGCACAACTGTTGGGAGTCTGGCCATAGCTCCCTGTGAATTTTATTGACAGCTCACGTCTCGATGCCGCATGCCTAGCCCCCGCTAACGCGGCCTAGCTTCGTGTGCTCGACCACAACCCGACTTCCGTCCAACAGCTGCACCCCAGCAGGCGAAAACCTGGCCAGTGGCAAACGCGAGATGCAGTGCTGCTGGGACGCGGTGTGGGGGAAACTCGGAGCCCCAGGGTCGTGATAGACTCTGAGTCAGCTATGTTCGGAGAAAAGCGGACGGTGTGTCGTTCACAGTGCACGAAGCTAACCTCGTGTGGGGGATCTGCCCTGATTGCTGGGTATCCTTGACGAGATATCTTTATTTTGATTCGCAGGCAATGCTCTGGTGGCTTTGTGTATTGCTAGGTACCTATCTTGATCGCACCGGCCGTGTCATCTCAACAGCGGGAGCATCTGCGAATGGGACTGCCATGGGTTTCTCAACCCTAAGTTTGATCCATGTATCTTTATCCTTGTCTGCAGTGAAGACCTTTTCCTTCAGTTCGTCTATCACTTTTGGTAGGAGACTTTCGAGTGTCTGGAACGACGATTCCGAAATAACCTGCAACCTGTTAGTTGGCAATCAAACGACGATGTCGATGATCATACCTTGAACAAGACGCTCTCGACTTTGGCGTAATCGTCCGCCCGAGCAGCATCGATGCAGTCAATCCACAAATTGACCACAACGGGCTGCTTTTGCAGCCTCTCATTTGAGTTGACGCCAATCACGCATGGAATACGGACATTCTGCAGGTACATGGCCTTGGAGTGTAAGCCCTCGGATCTGTTTCTCACGGAAAAGACTTGGCCAGCTCCGTCTCCGAACATGCTTCCCTTGACGAAGAAAACATCGGTCTCTATGCCATAGATGGACGTTGCTTTGGCGACCTTCTGCGCGCTTGCTGCAATTGAGTTCGACAAGTCTGAAGCAGACATCCAGTTGGTTGTCTTTCCCTCAAACTGGGCCTGAATTGCCTTGCTGAGAGTTCCATAGTGGATTGTGCTGTTGTCGACAGAGTCCGTGGACGATGCAGAGGCGAACTCATTGGTCAGCGTGACCGTGACGCTGATTAAGGCTCGCTGGCTCTTCTTGCGACCCCAGACGTCGGTGCCAGCATTGATCGTGACCTCGAGGTTTCGAACAACGATCTTGTCATATTTTCCGTTTTGGATCAAGTCTGCATCCCACACAGCCTGGCGGACGAGTCCAGTCATGATGAAGTAGATGTTTTAGGTATGGAAGCTTAGTTTTGACTGCTTGATTCGGTCAGCTTCCATGAATCCATTCGAATTTGCAAAACGAACAGCAATTGTGCAGATTCTGCGCAATTGTTAGTACAGAAGATGGAACCCTTGCGAAGAAAGCGCAGGAACAATGCTACAAGCAGAAACGTACCTGGCCTAAAATAGAATATGCCTGCCTTAAATTGTGTGTTAAGGTCGTTGGTGAGCTCAGATCGAGGTCATGGTGGGATGACGCGCACGGTCCCGCAGTGAAGTCGACTCCACGCTTCTGGAACTTTCTTCACAAGCACATACAAAGTGCACAAGACGCCTGCAGCCTACGCGACGACAATCTCCAGTCGAAGCAAACTCGCACACAACACTCCACACATCCACCACCATGGCTGACGCACTAAAAGCCGAGGGGAACAAGCTCTTCGCGGAGAAGAAGTTCGCAGAGTCCATGTGAGCTCCCCGCAGCTGCACTGGTCGCAAACCAATCTGCTAACAACGTCACAGCGAGAAGTTTTCACAGGCAATCGAGCTCGACTCGTCAAATCACGTGCTGTACTCGAACCGATCAGGCGCGTATGCCTCGCTGAAGGACTGGCAAAAGGCGCTGGAAGATGCGAACAAGGTGACGGAGATCAAGCCGGACTGGGCAAAGGGCTGGGGGCGCAAGGGCACGGCGCTGCACGGCGATGGCGACCTGTGTATGTCGTGGTGGTGTATGCAAGAAGAGCATGGCTGACAGACACAGTGGGAGCAACCGACGCCTTCGAGGAGGCCCTCAAACTCGACCCAAACAACGCACAAGCCAAGTCGGGTCTCACAGCGGTCAAGCGCGCCATTGAGCAGGAAGCAGAGGCGGATGGCATCAGCGGCGACCCCTCGGGCGGCCTGGGTAGCATGTTCAACGACCCCAACATGATCCAGAAGCTCGCCGGCAACCCCAAGACAGCGTCCCTCCTCGCAGACCCCGAGTTCATGGGCAAGCTCCAGCAGCTGAAGAGCAACCCAAACAAAGTAGGCGAGTTCATGCAGGACCCGCGTTTCCTGCAGGTTATGAGCGTACTTCTGGGTATCGACATGCAGTTTGGCGGGCCCGGTGCTGCTGGGGGGCAAGACGGCGGAGCGTCCAGGGAGGCCGAGGAAGATGTCGAGATGCCCGACGCGCAACCGACATCGACAGAGCAGCCCAAGAAGCAGCCAGAGCCCGAACCAGAGCCCGAGCCAGAGGACGAGGAGACAGAAGAGGAAAAGGCGGCAAAGGAGGCCAAGATCCAGGCCGACGAGCTGAAGAAGAAGGGCACAGAGTTCTACAAGAAGCGACAGTTCGACGAGGCTATTGAGAACTACACAAAGGCCTGGGAGACACACAAGGACATTGCATACATGACGAACCTCGGCGCCGCAAAGTTCGAGAAGGGCGACTACCAGGGCTGCGTCGAGGCGTGCCAGCAGGCCATCGAGTACGGTCGCGAGATCTACGCAGACTTCAAGATCATCGCCAAGTACGTCCAGAACAATTCGGATCTTTACCTCCCTTACTAACTATGAACAGGGCATACGCCCGCATCGGCACCGCCTACGAGAAAATGAACGACCTCGCCAACGCAATCACCTTCTACCAAAAAGCGCAAACCGAGCACCGCACCCCCGAAGTCCTCGCCAAACTGCGCGCCGCCGAAAAAGCAAAAATCACACACGACCGCACCGCCTACATCGACCCGACCGAAGCCGAAAAAGCCCGCGAACTCGGCAACGCAAAGTTCAAGGAAGCAGACTGGCCCGCCGCAGTAGAAGCCTACTCGGAAATGACCAAGCGCGCACCCGACGACCCCCGCGGCTTCTCAAACCGCGCCGCTTGCTTCATCAAACTGCTGGAATTCCCCTCCGCTGTGCAAGACTGCGATGAGGCGATTAAGCGCGATCCGAAGTTTATCCGCGCGTATTTGAGGAAGGCGCAGGCGTACTACACGATGCGCGAGTATAATAAGTGTATTAATGTTTGCTCCGAGGCCATGGAACATGATGAGGGGGGGAAGAATGCACGAGAGATTCAGGAGCAGGAGCGGAAGGCGCTGGAGGCGCAGTATTCGGCCCGTGAGGGCGAGTCCGAGGAGCAGACTATGGAGCGGATTCAGCGGGATCCTGAGGTATGTTCCCCATTTCTTCCCACATGTCGGTGATTGTTGTAAGGGATGTGTGCTGATGTTGATGTTGAACAGATTGTGGGTATCCTGCAAGACCCTGTTATGCAGGCTATTCTTCAACAGGCTAAGGGTGATCCCGCGGCCCTGCAGGAACATCTTAAGAATCCGGGGATTCGCGCCAAGATCCAGAAGTTGGTTGCTGCGGGGGTGATTCGTATGGGTCGTTGAGGGTATGGGGGATATGGTGGAGGGGGGGAGGGACGAGTAGGGAAGAGTAAGGGGGGAAGAAGGAGAAGAAAACATGACGATAACATGAGATAACATGAGAATGACTATGATGTAGTTTTCCAATGCATAGCGTAGAAGTGGGATAAATGGTGTGGTGTAATCTTTTTCATATTCCCAGATTCTTCTCTGTCTCCCCATCTCATCTTTGTCCAACTAGCTAGCTAGCCAGTTGGCATACCTATACCACACTGTGTATACCTAGTGAACACCCAATTCCATACCAATCCCGATCCAAGTCAAGGAAACCAATCCCAATCCCAGTCCCAACACACAAAAACGCCATATTGTAAAAACATCCCAGCTCCTTAGAGCGAGATACAAACAGACCGACGTAACCGTCGACGAACAACGAAAAACGCCGGGGAAACAAAAGGAAAAAAACAGGCTCCCCGCTCAGGAGCACAACGTATACCCATCACCACGGACGACCTATATCTTCCGCCTAACAGTGAACTTGCGCTCCATAGTCGCCGCCGGCAGCGCAGCCGCGAAATGATCTCTCGCTGTCCACGTATTAGCAAACCCCCTCTCACAACACCAGGACAGAACTCGGGGGGGGATAGAAAACTCACTCTCAGCACTCTCAAACATAAGCAGCACATCATCATGTTCCCCCGGATACTCAATCTCATCCAGACAAACAAACCGTCTCTTAACCCCCGTCCAGCCCACCCTCTTCCCCTCAGCTTTCTGCATCTTGCCCTCTCCCCTTCTCTCCTCGACGGGAAGCGCAAACTTCGCATCCACAAGCCTAAGGCCGAATTTCCCACCTTTATCCGTTTTCTCAAAAACGTCCATACTGCGGAGTTGGAAGTTCATCGCATCAGCGTGGGAGAAGTCGTCGAAGAAGGCGAGGAGTTGGAGGATATTGTCTTGTTCTACGATTTGGATGCGGATGGTTGAGGCGGTCCATTGCTTGTAGATGGGGACTACCATGCGGCGGCGGGAGATGGAGAAGGTTGCTGCGATGCCGTCGAATTTGACTTCGAAGCCTGTTACGGCGAGCTGGAAGGCGTGCAGGTCTTTGAACGAGTTGAAAGCTAGACGCCGGATTGTCGACGCGCTGGTTAGGGTCTTTAGGAGCTCGGCTAGAGCGGCGGGGACTTCGCGGTCTGTTCGGCTGCCGTCGACGGCGACGGCCATGTCGCGCTGGGCGTTGCGGAGGAGCGTGAGTTCCGGTGAGCCATCGGTTGGGAGGCGGACGAGGAGTTCTCCGGGGCCTGGGTGTGGTTAGTATTTGGAAGACGTAAAAATATAGAAGTAGTCATACCCAAGTTCAAGCGATCCGAGATGATACCAGCACTATGCCTGCAGACGATCCTCAAGCTTTCGCTCATAACCGTTGGCGCGGCCTCCAGTCCAGCCGCTTCAGGGTCCGAGTTTACGATCTTCGCTTCCTGCCACTGCAGTCTCTCGAGAACGCGGCTGCTGCTCTGGATGAATCCCTCGGCTTGATCTGCACTCTCGATATGGAAAGCCTTCAGCGGGACCTGAGCGAACGTCATCTCGCCCTCTGCGATGTTCATCGACGTAAAAGTACCGAAGAGGTGGTTACGGTCCTTTGCTTCTTGAAACACCATATGCACCGTACAAATCCGGTGCTTCTTATCTGGCGTCTCTTCGCGGAAATGTAAGCGCATCGCCGGCGCTTGGTCAGGCTCAGTGACATATTCGAAGTTCATCGGCTCCTGCTTGGTTCCCAGCTCGTGGTTGACAAAGCTGAGCTGTTTGTTCTTGACGGCCGTGACCAGAACCATCCTGTAGCCTCTGTGCAGCTTCCTCCGACCGGTGCCATCACTGCTGAGCTCGAATCTTTCAAAGACCATGAGTTTACACCCTGGCACGCGTTCTGGAGGGAAAGCTCCCGGGTTAGCTGGGTCTTTGTAGCTCGCCTCCCGCAGATACAGCTTGCAAGCAAAACGCTCGTCATTCCGTTCTCGCTGGTTCATCTCCACACGGTTGGTGTGCTCTACGACAGCCCACAGACTGCGGAAATCATTCTCGTTGAACTCCAATGTAAGAATGTAGCCATGACGCAGCTGAACACACAATTGTCGCGATGGTTTTTTCCAATTGACATCTTTCCAGCCCGGTCCTGTACCTGCATCAGCCCCGAGAACGATATTGATGAGCTCGCTTTGGCTGCAGATGGCAAGCTTGATTTGATAGCTTTCTTTCGGGCGCATAATCGAGACGACGGTGGCCATGGGGACGCGGTCTGTGTTGGGGTCATCGGTCGCTACCGAAGCTTTGGCGAACATCCTGAAGTAACAAAAGTCTTTGAGTGTGTCCGCGAGAGGAACACAATGTGACAAGCTCAGTTGTGACTGTAACCTGCCATTGACAAGAGCTGGATTGGATCCTGCGAGGAGCACGCTCGCAGCGTCTGGAGCAAACTGCGGGTACTCTTCCCAGATTGACTGATCCTGACCTTGGATCAGAGCCTGAGTCGGAGGCATGCTCTGGTGTTTTTGCATGGACCCCACCAACAACTTCATATAATGGAGTATAGCCTTTTGGAGTTCGTATGCTTCCGCACTTGCATTGTCTCCCGCTTGTTTCGCCAGGTCTGCTTGTGCGTCCGGCGGGCCATCATACTTCCGCAAGCCTGGATGGTTGGGAAGGATCTCAGCAAGTATCCACCAGACCTTTGCCAAATCAACATGTGGTTGTGTCAGACGTTCTGGCTGAGGTTCCGCGGTCTTTGGCCGATTTCTTATCATCGCCTCCATCCCAGCGCGGCCTTTGAGGAACCACCAGGTCGTGACTCGCAGCCACTGTGTTAGTGAGCGGTCGTATATTTGACCCCCAAGCTGAGCAGTTAGTTGAAATATTCCTTGCATGTGTGTGATGCGCTCAGCAAAGTCTCTATATGCACCGTCACCCTGCACCTTTGTGTTTGAGCGAGCAAGTCCTCCTGTCGGCCTTGTGTTGAGCTCTGGTCTCGGTCGTACAGGAGTCTGGTTAGTCGGCGGAGCAGTGTAGGCCTTGTACTCTTGCGTGTGCGGTGGAGATGGTGGCTTCGCTTGGGCGGGTGGAAAGTATGAAGGAGTCTGCTCGAACTGGGGCGGCGTGGGCAGAATAGACTTTTGGCTGGCGGCCGAGAAAGGAGCCTTCTCCATGACGATGGGAGTCTGCTGAATCGATGTTATAGTGGAGGCAGAAAAAGGGTCTGAGCGCATGGAGGATGGTGTCCGAGCTACAGAGGGCGAAGAAAACTGAGAAGATCCCGACGACATGGGCCGTGTGTCGGTATCGAGTGGCAAGGCGCCTGCAGGCATGGGACTTCGGGCTGGTGATGGACCCCGCGCTCTTGACCGCTGAGAGTCATCAGCCTGTAAGCCAGCCATGGGTGATCTCGGCGGCGCGGACGGCGACATGGGATGTGCTCTTGGTGGGGTTCGTCCAGCCAGGGGCGTATTGTAGGACGACGGGGGAGTGCCAACCTGGAATGGGTCGTGTTCTCGCGTGGAGCTTGTATCTGACACCGAATGCGAATCTGACGGGGCCCGTTGTGCCGCCTCGTGCAATGCTCTCCCCTCGTCCTGTCTCATCCGCTGCTTGATACTGTGTAGCGAGCCTGCGTCGGAGGGTTCGCGTTGTAGGAAGCGTTCTGCCAACATGGCTTTTCCGTCCAGCGGGGAGTCGTCGTCGGTCATTCTCAGCGAGGGCAGTCGCTGTATGGCCGGGACTGTAGGCACAGGCTCGCTGGTCGCATTGTCTGCCGGCTCGTTGAATCCAGTCTGCGTCCGCTTGAGGAGGGGTGGCCTGAAGTCGTCGTCGTCCTCGACGGTGGGTGGCACGACTGGCGCTGTCCTGGACGCCACAGGAGACAGGTTCTCTGACTCCTGAGAGTGGGCCGAGTCGATGCTGGGCTGCCTGCCTTCTGAGTCCAGGAGCACGTCCAGGCCCGTCGGCGCTCTCTCGACGGGCTTTGGACGTCCGCCCAGCCCCATGGAGCCCATGCGGGGCGGGTGTGAGGGGGCGGGGTTCTGGTTCGCGATTGTGTTGATCTGGCCCATGTCGAGCTTCTTCTTGAGCGGCGGCGACATCTCACCGGGCGACGACAGCGTGCGGGTCACGTTATTCCGCTGGGCCGTCTGCGAGTCGGACCTGCCGATGTCCTGGCTGCGAGCGCCGAGGCCCGCATCGTCCTGCGACTGGCGCACCTGGGCGGGGTCTGCGGGCGGCGCCCTGCTCGCGGCCTTCTTGAGCTGGGCAATGGTGTCGACGGGGTCCTCGCACTCGTCGCCGCCGTGGCCAATGACCTGTGGCAGGGTGCGCACAAAGCTCACCGAGAGGCCCTTGTTGCGCGAGCCCGTCTTCAGGCCGCCGGGGCCCGGGCTGCGCGCGCTCGCGGCGGCGGCCTTGAGGATCTGCTGGGCGCCGGGCCATCGCTGGGCGCGGGTGATGTCGATGCGGGGGCGGGTGGTGGTGGCCAGGAAGGCGGCGGCGGCTTGCTGCTGCTGCTGCTGGGCGCGGTCCGTCGAGGGCTTGAGGAAGTCGTTGACGTCGTCGTTGAGCTGGAAGGTGCCGGCGCGTTGCGGCTTGGGCTCCTTGGGCGCCGTGTCGTCGTGTGAGAAGATCTTGGCCCGCCAGCGGCTCTTGGAGGCCAGCTTGCCGCCTGCGTCTTGCGCGTCAACCATCGTGTCTGGCGAGCTACAGTGCTGTCGGCGATGCTCGTCTGCGTCCACGGCAAGGCGTGTACCTGCGTCGGGGGAGTGCTCGCGTGCCTGTCGTCGGCGTCGTGGTTGTGGGCGATTGGCTGTGGTGCCGGGCTGGGACGGGGCCAATCATGCACGTTTCACTTCACAGCAGGCGATGGGAGAGTGGACAAAGAGGGAAGGAGCAAGCAGCAGCAGCCCAGCCAGTAGCCAGTAGTCGGGCGGTTATGCAGCTCGCGAGATTGCTGGAGAAAGGGTACACTAGTCTACGGGACCTGTGTCCAGGGACCGCCCGCCTCCCTGTCGGTGGCACTGTGAGCGGCGGCCGTATTCTGGAATTAGACACTGGGAGCTGAGGACAAGCGGGGAGATGTTGTTTTGGATGTTGAAACGAGCTGCGCTTAGAGGGTGACCCGACACTATGTGGGGGTTGCGCGTCACCAACACGAGACGACCTGCCAGCACCTTTGTCGACGGGCCTGCAGACGTGCCAATTGCTTCTACCAAGCATTCTCTCGACCTGGCAAGCGGCGGGATACCGTGTCGACAATTGCATAGCACATGGACCCTTCTTTCAGCTCATGGTACCTGGTTCCTGGCCCCCACAGTTGTCGCAGGGTGTCGACAGCCGTTGCTCCTTTAATTCCGCCGTCTACAATGCCTCTGCCCTCTGTATCCGCCACGCAAGGGGGTGCAGTGCTGCAGCTTGGTACATACACTCGCAATCACAGTCACAATCAATCACCAACGGACCCTTTCTCCGCCTTCCAAAAGAGACCCCGCTAGATATGTAGTGATAAGGCGGCATGTCTGCACGGATCACGGATCACCACTATCTGCAACCGCTACTGGACGTGGACATGAACGTTTCACACCCGCGTCTTCTTTCGTTTCACATTCTTCTCCCCGGGATTGAGGATAGAATGGCTATGGGAGCAGTTCACGTCGTCTTCACCCTCTCTGAGCATCGTAAACAAGAGTGCGATGTGCACAAAAGGACGTTTCGCGTTACGAGAGCGACAGACGTGCTAGCAGGGGCCTGCCTTAGCGGCGGCAACCTTCGTGATGCTGGAGACGCGAGATGAGAAGATGGAGTCCGGTGAGGTGTAAAGGGAAGGAGCGGGTGCTTGTAGGCCGTGTGCGGAGTATTGAGGTGAATTGATGGCTTACCTGATGCTAGCATGATCGAGTACGCGCCGAGAAAAATCACGTCTCTGATTCTAGGTCACGTGCAGGGCGTGACACACTCATGCATCGAAGGATTCAAGACAGCGGACGGGAGCGTCTCTACGGCTAAACAGCCCAGCAACTCACCCTGCTGGTGGTGTCTCCACGTGCCCAACGGCTGCCACTGAGGCTCGCGTTGGTTTCCGCAGCTCAAGCCAGCCGTGTCGTTGCTTTTGCAAGCCATGTCGCGTGAAAAGGCAGGTACAGCGACATGCAACAAGGCAAGCACATGATTGAGGGTTGATGCGTGCCCATCACAGACGTACGACATGATGATGGGCGAGGGCTGCAAGTTTATAGTCGCGCCCAAGGTTCACGGCTAGTGGGAGGGCCCACGACGAATAGCATGACGCGCTCTCTTGTGACCAGAGCAAGTGTTGTCCCGGCTGCTCTCATGTCGTCTCGTCTCGTCTCGTCTCGTCCGCTCCCACGTCGCATCCTGCACTCTGCATCGCTAAGAGGCCGCATTGCGCAACGCATAGAGGGCCAACACGGCTAGTGGACACTGGGCAAGCGACGTGCTGTGTGGACGCACCCAGCCCCTTGGCTGCCATATCCTCTTGATTCCATATAGCAGCAGATAGCTACGGAGCCGTACTGTGTCCATCATCCCATCGCGCGCTGAACGCTCTGCTTGGCGCTCAGACTAGACAGCCGGGACGCTGCAGATCACGGCTCACCAGCGTCGCATGAGACAGCCCACAGCCACGTCGCGCGCAAGAGCATGGCCGCCTCGTAGGGCAGCAGCCAGAGTCATCACGGCACCCTCAAAGGCACAGGTCAGCCTGCAGCCATGGTCGAGTCGTCGCAGCCAGACGCCTACGCCGTGCTCGAGTCGGCCTTCCGCCCGTCGCCCCAATTGCCCTCGCAGGCCCGGCCACCACGTCGCAGCGACGAGCACCGCAACCTCTCGCATGCCGCCCGCCCGCTGTTCATCAGACTGGACACGTCGCAGACGGACAATGACTCCGAATCGCTGTTCGACAGCCAGCAGCCCACCCCCCTCGAGCCGCCGCGCGCATTGACCGAGCCAGACGCCGGCTTCCCGCCCACGCCGCCCACCCTCTCGCACGACGGCCGCGCTGCCGACACCCTGCAGTCGCGTCCGCTCGCCCACAACCAAGACGACGACGCCGCCATGGCCGACCTCGCCTCGAAGCGCCAGTCCTTCACCACCCCGGTCAACGCGCGCAGCCCGCCGACGCCCGACCCCAGTCCGCCGCGCAGCCACGAGTCCGTCGCCGTCGCCGAGCGCCCACACCTCCTCGCCCACCCGTCGTCGAGGGCCGAATCGTTCATGACGGCGCGGGAGGATGCAGACTCGTCCAATGCCAGCGACAGCCGGTGCATGACGCCTCTGAACGACCGTCTGAGCACTGTAGAAGAGGACAGGGGGGTGTACATGGCGCACGAGGAGGGAATACTTGATACAGTCGAAGAAGACGGAGGGCCCGACACCACACAAGAAGATGGAGGGCTCGATATAGCCCAAGAAGACCGAGGGCTGTGGCTGGCTTTTGGGCACGACGACGATGCCACGCCAACCAACCGAGCGCGGCCCTGGTTCCCTGAAAGTGAGGCTGACACGACCGCTGGTGCTGAAGAGTACAAGGAGCCCCCCGTCCCAGCCACGGTCCACACGCCAGAACGGGAATGGGACGACAACCTGATGCGCAATGTCACCATTCGCAAGAAACGAAACACAACATCTCCCCGTAAGACGTCCGAGCCCATCCATGTCGGGACGACTGGCTCGCCCGTGCCCAGCACAAAGGGCCGTCGCAGCTCCAGCCTGCGCGAACGCGTCCAGGCGAGCAGCAACAGTCCACACACGCCGTCGATTGAAGACTTTGCCCAGTTCATTGGTTGGCCGCCGCCAGACAAGGACACGCCAACGCACAAGCCGCGGGCCGTCAGCCAGCGCGACATCACCCATCGGGACGCCGGCCAGCGAGACGTCAGCCAGCGGGAGGTCAGCCATCGGGATTCCAGCCTGCGGGACTCCAGCCTGCGTGACATGATCCAGCGGGACCTCAGCCAGCGCGACGTCAGCAACAAGCGCCTCTCCACAGCATCGGTGAGCTCGACCGTCGTCGAAGCCATGGTCTTTGTAAACTCCCCACAAAAGAGGCAGACACTGCGCCACTCAGGGAGGAACCTGGCCTTGAGGAGAGACTCTGACCCGCCCACGGATCGAGGCTCCACGGCTTTCTCGAATCGCCATTCCATGATTTCCGATGCCGTCCCACTCCACCGATTGATCCATAAGAAGGCCAGCGTCGCTGACAGGAGGAAGAGGATGAGTGTCGAGTCAGACACACTAGGCGTCGAGCGTAACATGTCTCCCTTCTCCACCATGTCCTCCCGGACGACCATCGATAGCTCCGCCTCCACGCTCGCCCATCAGGAGTCCATTCGCAGGGTGTTCCAACCCGCCTCCGACATAGTGAGCAGGTCAAGCTCAGTCACACGGTCCCAGCAAAGCTACCATGTGCGTGGGTCGTCTGCGCCAGAGATAACAATACCACGAAAGCCAGCACCTAGTCGCAGGAACTTTTCAGAAATCTCTCCCCCATCCAGTCCGCAGCCACCCGCTGTACCTCCCCAAGCACCTGCAGTCGTACACGCACCACAACCCCCAATCTCACCAGTGCCATCACAGGGTCCGCTTACGTCACGGATGAGGCGGCAACGGCGGAGTGTAGTAGACCTAAAACAGTCCGCCGACGTCAACAAGACTCTACCCGATCTTCCCGCAAAGAGACATGCACAGCAAGCAGTGTTGCTGGACATAAACGAGGTTGCAGAGGAGAAGCGTCCGCCTTCTGCGTTGTTGGATAGGGTACGACTGCTGGTCGCCGAGCGTGAAGCTGTAGATGTCGTGGCACCAAGCCCTGCACTACAAGAGTCTCCGGTACTCTCACAACGAGCTCAAGTTTCGCCCGTGTCGCAATCGACATCCCCTCGCATTCGACGCGGCTCGCGGTCTTCAAGAGGACGATCTGAAGAGCGACGGCTCAGCTTGCTCAGTCAGGACCGCAGTTCCCCATCTCAGGATGCTCACCGCCCAAGCCCAGACCAGTTGTCGGTTGAGGGCATGTATCGTCGCAGTCATGACGGCGCTCGCAGGCCATCCGAAGAATTCAGACGCACGAGCTTCGACAGATATACTGCGCGCACAGAGGAGCACGCCATGGCTCGCCACCTATACGCGCAGTCGACGCCCTTCTCCCAGCTCTCCGACACGCCAATCGAAGTCAGCGAAGCAACCGCCGTCAGCATCTACCCGCACAACAACCACTCCCTGCTCGTCGTGCAGCAACTCTCCCGCGGAAACTCCATGTTCCCCGACCCGCGGCAGGTGATAGAGGAAGATTCCCCCGAGCAGTTCTACGAGTTCCGCTCCACGCCCACCCCACCCTTTGTCGACGCCAGCGAAATCCACGAAGAGCAGGAAGATTACTTCCAGCCCATGCTCACCGTCGAGCCCTCAACGCCCATCTCACAAACCGACTTATACCAGCCCGACGGCGTGGACTCCCCGCTCGAGAACCCCCGCGCCCCCCCGGAACCCCCCATGATCATGTTCATCCCGCCGACGCCCGCCGAGGAACTCGAGCGCCAACTCGCCCCCGGCCCGCCCAAACGCACCGACTCGCACTCGCAGCCCCAGCCCCAGCTCACCCTCGTACAACGCGCGCGCCGCTACTCAAACGACCTCCTCACCCCGCTCCTCACACGCCGCGGCTCCCAATCCCGCGCCCGCTCTCGCTCCCCGAGCGCAACTTCCCAGTCCTCGTCCACCCGCCGCAGCCCCCGCGCTCAGAGCACACACAACGAAGATGGCACGCTACACCCCTTCTGGCGCCCCCGCGCCTACTACGACGGCACTTCAGACGATTACTACGACGATGACGACGAGTCCGATGAAGAAGATGACACTCTCCCCCTCGGCGGCGACACCTCGGACGTCGACGACTACGAGCCCCCGCTCGAGCCGGAAAAACAAACCCTCAAACGCCGTCTGACGAACGGGTTCCGCGCCCCGCCTTCGACGGCAGATGGCAGCGGTGGTTTCCTAATCGGCAACTCCCTCGGCGTAGAGCGCAGCGGCACGAATCGCCGCCGCCATCACGTTACGCTGCCTGCGGATTTCTCACCCGGTCGTGTTGCCAAGCGGGGGAGTAGGGAGAATCTGCGGCATGAGGCGCAGGGGTTTGACAGTTATCGGCGAAGAGCGTCGTGGAGGAGTGGGAGGGGGATACCGGGGTTGAAGGGCGTGCAGGTCCAGTATATTGGGCTTAGTGGGGTGAGGGAACGGTGGCAGGAACGGAGTAAGGAGAAGAGGAGGGATAAGATTCGGAGGAGTATTGGGACGAGGTATTATGTTGAGAATGTTGGTGGGGGCGGTGGTGGGGGTTGATGGATGGGATGGGATGGAGGGGGGAAGGATGGGGGAAGGATGGGGTTTCTTTTTTTTACTGCGTTGTTTTTGGTAAGGCTTTGGCTTTTTTCGATATACCATTTTGCCCTTTTTTTGCTTTGAGGGTTTCGCGGGGTTGGATAGGAAAGGATGAAGCATGATGGCATGGATGGGTTTGTGTACAGTGGAGTGTAGCGGTATTTTTAATAGTCTTATTTCTGTTCGTTGGGTTGAGGTGGATTGGCTTGGGTAGGGTTGGGTAGGGTACGAAGTCATGTCTTGTCATGGGGAGTATGTCATCCTACGTCTATGTCTCACATTCACCACTCTATCCACACTACTCCACCTTGCGTTACTGTTGTTTCCTGCTCTCCCCACCCCACAACATCTGCCCGTAAACGAGCAAAGCTACTTGTCCACGTACGCACGGAAACCACAACACCATCCGTCCAAATATACAGATAGACAGACAGAACCCAGCCCATCCACGTAACCTCACCTTAATGCCCACAGCCTCGCATATACACACACACAAACGTCCCAAGAGCGTCTGTCTATCGCAGTCCAGTGTACCCAGCAGTCTGAACCCCTCGCTTCTGCTATAGCAACTCGAAATACCAGGCCAGGAACTAGGGTGTAGTGTAGTGGAAGTAAGTCGTAGTTTAACGGCTACAATGAAGTTTACTACAGAAATTGTGTGTATAAAATTAGAGCAGTATACGCCTTGCTTGTACTTTATCAACTCCTAATTATGTAGTTTTGCGGTTTGTAGGAGCCACAATGAATAGCTTACTTCCTGCTTTTACTGTTGACGGAGAGCACGGATGGGATTGAAAGGGTTTGTTCATTCCCTTATAGCATGTTATGTAGATTGTCTTCCTGCAGATAAGGAATAATGTTTTGGAGGATGTGTATAGGGGAAACGCCTTATGTGTAATGAGCTTTATTGATGCGCAGTCTGTACAAAAGACGGTACGCCGAAGGGGAATTCGAGTTGACGAGGCTTTCTAATACGTAGGGTTATGTACCTTAAAAGCCAAGGAGTGGATGTTTGAGCACCAGGCTTTGATAATTGCTAAATAACACAGTGTGCATCCTGCATTTGACGCAGTGTTTACGTTCGCACGACATGGGCACCCTACGACTATATACCGCTGCTTCTAATGTATTGTAGAGCAGATACACTCTCTACAGAATTCAGACTAGACGACGTTCATCGCCACGTTCTAGCTCAACATCCAGAGATGACCAGCAATGCAAGCCTCCTATGTTGCGACAAGTGCGCCATCGTCTTCTTCCGCGAACAAGATGCACTTAACTACTGGAAAGCATGCAGACCTCTTTACCTATCTACTCCCAGATACATACAGATATTCCGCCGTTCCGGATGCTTCTTAGCCGCTATAAAGCAAGGGACAAGATGCCTAACAAACTATAGCAGGATGAGCTTAAAATAGGTCTACAGAACTCCGCTAAACCCCAATAATTGTTACTACCTCCTGTCCGACAACAAGATACACTTCAATCTACCACGCCAAACCAACCACCTATTTACATCCATCCATCAATCAATCGATCGATCGATCTATAAAAATCCCACTACTACATCTTCCTACCTCCCCACATAGACACAACTCCACCTTCACCGTACGTACCGTACTCCACGCACATCCTTCCCCCACGACTCATCTACTCAGAGCATCCCCATACCGCTTCTCACTCCGTGCCTTATTTTACTCGGTCTTTTTACTACGTGGATTGTAGGTCTGTTTGTGGCGTTTCCTGTGTGGGTTTATGGCTTCGGTTCTGTACGAGGGGAGGGGGTTGTGTATGTTGATTTGCGGATGGAGGGAGATGCAAGGCTCGGTTGTTTAGCGGGGGTGATGCGGTGACGGATGAGGGATGACAAAGGCTAGGGGGTTGATATGGATATTGTGTTTTTGGTTCTTGGGTTTCTTGGTAGAGAGGAATGAATAAGCTGGAACCAGACCTTATGAAAGCGTTGTGTGATGTGTGATGGAGAGTAAGCCTCGCTTTGTTACGTTACATGCCATATTGCAGGTTAAATCCAATGTTTGCTGCATTTGATATGGCAAGTAATACAGGCTGGGTCGAGGCTCCGGGTCTACACAGGCTCACTGACGGGGATAAAGGTTTACCGTAGAGTGTTTCTGAAGAGAGGATTACAAGCGATGAGTTGTGGGAATTTCGAAGTCTTACTCTGAGACGGACTGGGTCAATTCGTACTCAGCCAGTCTGGCGTGTACTTCTGGAGTGGAAATCCATGGTGTTAATCCGTGGAAACAGTACATCCTAATCAGCGAATATTCTTCCCCATCATCTCCAGTATACTGCCCTCTCCGTCCACGCTACACGAACCCACCACAACCCTCACTCATCCATAAAAGCCAGAAAGGGAGTGCTGTATTCTGCATTCTCCATAGCTCTAAAAGCCGTAAAACCCATACTAACAAACCCACAAACGTAGATCGCGAGGCGGATACTGCTGGAAAACTAGGCAAATGACTTTTACCATAATCTTAGATGTAAGGTGTAAAGCTGTTGCAAGGTTTCGCTGCACCTTGGTTCCCGGTCTTTCGGTTGAGGGAGAGCGCGGATAGAGGGGGTATATGCTCCTTGCTTTGCCTTGCCTTTCTTACTTGTCATTTGGGGCTTTGGCTAGGCATGATAGAGATTTCTTGGGTGTAGTTGTATGCCCTTCTGATTAACGTATACACATTTCCTTTTTCTCTCGTTACATGAAAACGGCATGTTGTTCCCGACTTTCACCGTCTTGCCGTCTTGTGTATAAGATACAGTGCTGAGTCGGGATTTAATGTCTTTCTCCGGCGGACTGCGTGGTGGTTGAGCCAGTGTGTAGCGACGTGGGGTAGGCCTACATAACGAAAATAGCGCTGCACTTGTGGGGGTTTTCGGGCTTGTTGTGGGGGGCCTCGAACAATGAATCGTAAGTTAATCTGTTCCCCTTGATGTCCGCACTATGCGAGTTTGGTAGCGAAAAGCCTTGGCATTGCCCCTGACAGCACCCACCCACATGTTCGTAGCAGCGCATCCAAGGTATTTCAACTAGAAACGAAACATTCATGGTGGAAGAAGCGCCTGTTTTGCGCCTATTCCCACAGCTTGCTAGAAGCTGCTGGTAGTCACGTCTGCACACGTCCGCATGATTATTTCTGGGACACACACGTCGAGTGTTGTAGTTTCTAATCAAGCGCATCGCTGCTGAGAGAACATCCTTGGGGAACTCCACACAACTCGTACCGGGGTGTTGTTCTTTTTGGGATGTGGCTGGCCGGCGATTGAACGCCGATATGCATGCTGGCTTTCGGCCAAGCCCATTGACATGGCGAGCTCAGGGGCACGCCAATCGGGACTGACATCCAAGAAACGCCACAATGCTTGAGGTATCTTGCGGCATGTACGCATATCACTCAATAAGATAGACGAGTGGAGCACGACAGCGAATTGTTTACTCATTAGGGCAAAGGTAATACCATGAATGAACCCCTCTTCTACCCGAACACTCCATATGGTTGCGGATAGAAATTCCGGATGTTCACAGACGGCATGGACAGTTCTGTTGGTGTTGACGGCACATCAAAGTAGACCCGCTTTTTTTGATCCACGCGGCTCGTTAGCGCCAACCCAGGGTAAATGAAGATTTGATTTTCGGTTGCATTTCCTGAAAAACAGCACCAGTGCACGAAATCATTGGTTGCGAATGCACAGCCCTAAATCTTTACGATTATTGTCGTTAGGAATGCAAAAGCCTTCAGGGCGGCCGTTTTCGCACGTTTGAGAGGGCGCGTTCAAAGAGCGGGCTCTACTTTAGTTTACCGTATGCCATTCTGCGGCTAATAACACCCCTGTGTGAATCCGATCCTCCAGAAGATCTGGAGCAGCATCTGTGCAAATGAAGTCCAGGCTGGCCAAGCCTATGAGTTCAGCTCAGCCAGCCACATTACCATGGGTGCGAAAGCAGAGACTCATGTGTATCGAGTTACATAGTACCCAAAAGGCAAACGACTTCAGTACGTGGGTAGACATCTCATAGTTATGTGATCAACTACCCTATGCCAGCTTGAGTGACGCATTCAGAAATTCCAACATTTGTTCTCTGTTTTCAAGTTGTCTTGAGCGGCTTCGCCAGGTGTTGGGGGTGGTGCACTAGTGAGATGGGCTATTTTGTAAGCTATGATCCGACTCGCGCCTATCGATTCTCTCGCCCAAAAGAGCATCGTGAAATTCGCAAAGGGGCCACTGACTTCAGCTCGTCGCGCCATCGACTGTTTAGCAGGATAATGCATCGCTAACCCCGTTGGCGTAATTATCGTACATACTTTAAATGCGGTACAGCTGCTGCTTTGGATGAGAAAGTCACCAACCTTCGTCGCTCTTTAGCACCAGTCATTCTTTTTTGAGATCAGTAATAGTAATCGTGATCAAGATGCGTTCTACAGTCGTTCTTTCTCTGCTCTCTGCAGCAGCCGCTCACCAGGGAGTCCGCCGTGCTGATGAGTGCCTTCCAGTCCAGGCAATCGTCGATGTCCTGCATGTTTTTCCACAGGCAACAACTTACTGCTCTTCTATCCTCTCTATCGCTCCTGTGACAGTCACTTCAACGGCCACCGAAACGACGACAGCCGTGGTTGATGAACAATCAACATCGACGTTGACATCCACTTCCACTTTGTCCGAAACGACGACAGTTGGAACCACAACCTTCACGGCTGATACCGTCAGCTTGACATCCACCGAGTAAGCTCCCAACCCATTTTCTGCCGTAAACTATAAGCTAATTTCAAACAGAACCTCGACAACCACTACCTGTTCGACTGGCGATAGCCAGAAACGTGGTCTTGGTGTTGGTCCGGGTCCCACTAGCACTTCGTGCACCTCGTCCAAGAAGACAACGACGACACCGCCTCACGCGTCCAGCACTTCCTGCACGAAGTCGTCAACAAAGGCTCAAGCCTACAGCAGCAGCAAGCCGGCACAGGCTTATGGGGTCTCGAAGTCCTCATCATCCTCGTCTGTGAGCACCAAGACCTCGTCCAACGGTGGTGGCTATGCATACGGCAAGTCTTCGTCAACACCCGCCGTGAGCAAAAAGACCTCCTCCAGCGGCGGCTACGGATATGGAAAGTCCTCATCCACCCCGTCTGCTAGCACCAAGGCCTATGCCAGCAACAACGGTTATGGAAATGGCAAGTCCTCGTCCTCTTCGACAGTGCACTCCAAGAGCTCCACCAGTGCTGGTAGCTATGGATATGGCAAGTCCTCGTCAAGCTCGTCGGGAGCACCGAAATACACATCCCACTCGTCATTGCCTGGATACTCGTCCACTCCTGGACATTCCTCGACCCCCGGACATTCCTCGACCCCCGGACACTCTTCGACCCCCGGACACTCATCGACCCCCGGACACTCATCGCTGCCCGGATACTCATCCACTCCTGGTCACTCGTCCACTCCTGGACATTCCTCGACTCCCGTGCACTCGTCGACTCCAGTGTACTCATCGACTCCTGTGCACTCATCGACTCCTGTTATCACTCCCACCCTCTGCCCGACTGCGCCCACAGGCCTCCAGAAGTTCATTTGCGATGACATTACGAAAGCCTGCGCTTGCCTATCGCTCCCAACACCGACCGTCACTGTCATCATCACCATGACCGAAACTGCCACCAGCACTTCAACAATCGGCTCTGAGGCGACTACCACTGTCAGCATCACCTCAACTCTTAGCGTAAGTTGAAAACAAGGCTTATTTTCTGATATATCGTGTAAACTGACCCTCGATTAGTTCACTGCTTCTGAAACTCTGACGCCAACGATCACCACTACTACAACTGCTATCGCGACTGAGACGTTCTGCCGTATGTATTCGCAATTGCCATTACTGATACCAATCACTGACACCATGCTAGCTTGCTTGGCTCCCAAGACCACCTGCGGTTCCCAATGCCTGGACCTCCAGACCGATCCCAACAACTGCGGTGCATGCGGCAACGTCTGCGCTTCCGGTGGTTGCGCCAAGGGCTTGTGCATGAACCCGAGCTGTGCTACCGCGTCTTGCTCAAACTACATCGGCTGCGGCAGCGGCTGTATTTGCGGATCTCTCAATGGTGGTGGCGGTCTTTGCGTTCCTGGAACTACGCCTTGCTCGTCCCCAGCGTGCAACGTTGACAGTGATTGTGCTTCCAACCAGCTATGCGTTGTGAGAACCTGCTGCCGAGGCGGCGGCGGCATCTGTGTTGGCGCCGTGAGCACTTGCTCCAACAATGCTTCTGCTAAGATGCTTTTCGTTAGGCGTCCGGCAGCTGGCGACACCATTATGGGTTAGGTCTATACTCGGACCGAGAGATGTGTTTTCTAGGACTCCATTGGGTTAACAACTTTTAATGATATTATTCGATATGCTGTGTTAATAGTCATCTTCCTACTAATACATCATGCGAGAACATTAGTCCCCTGAGTTCACTCACTGACTATCGTCGACTGAAGTTGACGTCGTGAAAAGTCACCATGGATACGAACTTGCCGAATAAAACAACATGGTCTAACTATTCGAGACCCCCAAACTCGGGCTTGGGAATACAGGACTGAAATACTCAACAAGACTTTTTCGCACAACAATTACCTCGTGGAACAGGAGCTTTCCATTCAAGTGACAAAGAATCATAACCAAACGCATTATGTTTTTGTGCTTTGCGAACAGAATTCTAGGGGAGGATCTTCACCGCAGTCACAAGCCATATCGTTTCAAGGCCAATATATACAAGCAGCGCCGACCGATCGTGGAATCACGCCTGCGATACCACTGAACCCAAGATTGAGCTTAAACCTTATATTTCTGGCCATATTCTTCCTTCTGGCTCGTCGCCGGCTTCCACTCGAAATGGTGCTTTCCTTCCATCGGTTTTTTTACCTGCGCACTCTTATCACTTTTCAGATCGAACATGTGGCTACCGAAGTAATCCAGCTCAGCCTCGTAAAACGCGGTGGGCAAATCCGTGCCCGTGATGACTTTGAAGTACTCCAATGTCGCGCTGAGGGCCGGGACCACTTGATCTGTTTCGACAGACTTCGCAATGATGCGACGCAACGAGGGAAAGCAGTTGCGCACATCCTCAGCAACTCTGGACGAAAATATGAGGTTCATGTCTTCGGACGTGGGATTTGAGTTGAGGATGGGCGATAAGATTTCGTCTGAAAGGTAGTCCGCCTGGATAATGCAGCCTGCGCGCCAGATCTGCCATATTTGCGAATAGTCGATTTCCCATTTGTGCTCTTCATCTGCGCGAGCTATGATATTCATGCCCTGGATAAAGCTCGCGAGACACGCTGCGTAGGTTGCTTTCCGCAGATCTTCAATGAAAGCGTCTTTGTCTTTGATGTCGAGTTCAGCGGCGGGGAAGCCGCCATCAGAAGTCTTGTTGGCACGCTCACGGTCGCCGCGGAAGGCGGATGCGAGGCGGAATGCGTGGGCCGTATTGAGTGTGAAGGCAGGGACATGGAGTTCGATCGCTTCCGTGTTAGACCAGATTCCTGTTCCTTCTTCGCCGGTTACATCTTGGACTACTTTGTCGAGTACCTCTGATACAACGAGTGGGTGCTGTTCCGAACTATCGCTTGATCCAGAATCCTTTCCAGGCTCGCGTTTGTGAGATAGGTCGGCGCCGATGGAAATAAGGAATGTACCTCTCTGAAGATCGATTTCTTAGCTTGTGACGCCAACTTTACACGGATTAGTGTTAGAACTTACCAGCTCGCCGGAAGAATTCCACTCTTTCAGTACGTTACCAATCTCCTCATAGCCCATGCCCATCTTCCGCATGATACCCCATGCCTCACAGATAGCACTCATCATCCCATGTTCGATACCGTTGTGGACCATTTTGACGTAATGCCCTGATCCGCCTCGTCCAACAATGCCTACACAAGCTTTCTCATTCTTGTCTTTCGCGGCTACCTTTTGTAGCAAAGGCAGGACTTCCTCCAACGCAGATTTGTCTCCACCTGGGCACATAGAAGGTCCAGCTCTTGCTGCCTGGTAACCCCCACTAACCCCACAGCCAATGTAACGAATCCCTGTATCTTTGCACTTGTTCTGGCGACGCTCGGTATTTTGGAAGTGCTCATTTCCACAGTCGAGAATGATGTCGTCGCGAGATAGATGGGGCGACAGACCCTCAAGAACTTTATCGCCGACGTTGCCGTGGGGGAGAGAGAAGACGAGAAGTCGAGGCTGGGATAGGGATTTGCAAAGAGACGCATAATCTATCGTATACTGTTATCACAAGTCCCAGGCTGTTGGTATTCCGAGAGATGGCATGTGGGCTATATCTTACCTGTGAACTTCTGTACCTTGCCATTGTATCCAGACTTCTGGGCCTTCTCGATAATCGTGTCCATCGCTTCCTCTGAAGGATCTGAGAGGCTAACATGAACACCATCCTCAGCAAACAGTAAAGCCATGCCACCACCCATGCTCCCACATCCTATCATCGCAATCTACCTCTGTTAGATCGAAATGCTCATGAATTTTGATTCTGCAGGACACTCACCGAAGTGAATTGCGACATTGTGTTACCGTGAGGATACCTCTTGTATGTCCTGTCGTGACCGTGATGAGATCAGAAGGGAAGATAGTAAAACGGTAATAAAGAGGTAGGCGAGTGAGGAGATTGAGGGTAGGGTAGGATCTTGATAGTGCACTAGATTGTCGAGGAATTGAAGCATTGTGAAGAATGATTGAGAAATATAAACGACAGAGTGACGTCGGTGGGGCGGATCGCTCAGATCTTGATGCTTGTTGAGTAAGATGGTATCTGGCAGCTTCCCATTCTCTGAAACCGAAGTCGAGAGTGTAGAGAAAGAGAACAGAAAAAACGCGTCGAAGCAGCCATTTCTACAAGTGTGTGCGCCATTTCATGTACCTAATTGTCAATGAACAAGCTCGTGCCCAGACGGCCCAGACATTGCACTGAGTAGGGAATCTGCTAGTTATCAAGCTAGTTGGATCTGTACTAGCTTCGAATATAGCGCCAACTCACCCCAGGGTAACATTTCGCATTATGTACTCAAAGCTTGGCCATCACCACCACAGCAATCCCAGCCCACCATCACGCTTCGTCTACCGAATTCCACATACACCGCAGCAATGGCCGACGCAGAAATGGAAATCGATCAGCCTGAGCAGCAGGAGCAGCAGGAGCAGCAGGAACAACAAGAGCCCACATCTGCCGACCCCAAAGCCAGTGACGCGCGCACCGGCGCCGGCGCGACAGCCGTCCGCTCCATTGAGGGCTGGATCATCATTGTCACGAATGTACACGAAGAGGCGACCGAGGAGGACCTGCAGGATATGTTTGGCGAGTTTGGCACCATCAAGAACTTGCATATGAACCTGGATCGGAGGACGGGTTATGTAAAGGTACGTGACTTTAGCACATGTCTAGATAGCGTGGACTACTGGATTGGTGTGCAGAGAAGGAGAAGATAGGAGAGGGCTGACAGCGTATAGGGCTACGTTCTCATCGAATACCCAACACTCGACGAGGCAAAGGCTGCGATCAAGGGCGCGCATGACGAGGAACTGCTTGAGCAGAAGATCACGGTCGATTTTGCCTTTGTACGACCACCGCCCGCTGGAAAAGGGCGCCCACGCGATCACGACAAGAGACAGAGTGGACGAGGTTCAGGGAGAGCGAGGAGCAGGAGTCCTGGCCGCGACGGGGAAGAGATGGATGACTAAATGGACAGTCGCATACCAATCCATTGTCTCAGCACCACCTTCGTCCGCGGGACGATTGATGTGAGCCATCTGACTTCAAGAAGGAGCATGCAGATGCAGTATGCATAGTTGAAAGCTTGGCTGTCTGGGCGGCGCGCGAACGTTTGGGTGTGGCTGACTTCCTGAACTGTGTAATCTTGTGGTATTCACAGACTCCGGGTATCGAATTGAGCTTTCCGGTCTGCTCTTATTATGAGGCAGGCCGGACCTTGACACTTGACTTGTAAGTGAACATTGTCTCTGCGCGATAGACATATCGTTAATTTGACAATAGATGCATATGTGTAAGCTTCTGATCCTGCTCTTACTGACCCACACGATTCCTCTGAGAGTGCACTACGGACGATGTAGACAGCACACTCCTGGTCGCGCACACACCAAGGTCATATCACCAACAACACGGCGACGCAAGCAGCCGCTGGTCTAATTGTGTTCCACTACGAGTGCTCTTTGAAGTAAACGTGGTGGTTGCGCGGGTTTGCCACAGAGATATCGTATGCTCAGTGGCTGTCCATATCACTTAGCTGGTTGACTATTACTTGCAGCTCGCCTCCTTTTGGCCTTCAGCGCAAATGAACACTATCTTATCAAAAATAGTCCCTTGCTCATATTAAAAAGATCCACTAATATGTTCTTCCGTTTACCGACCCAACTTACTTGTTGTTACCAGGTACTTCACCGGTCTGCAATACGCGGCGAGGCTGCGCTTTAACTCGGATGTGCTCTACTTCACCTTCAACGTTAAAACGCCACCACCCGACTCTAGCCAACCGCCCTGGGTGCGTTTGTGAGAAGTCTATTGGCTACGCGAACTGCTCATCAGACGCATCTACATGCATGACCAAGGCTGCAGCGAGTAGGCTGAGTGTCAGCTTCCAGCCTTGTCAGTTGTGTCCCTCGTCCTTCTTTCAATCATCACTCTCTTCTCTTCTCTTTCGCCTTCAGTTGGTGCAGCGCTCTCTGTGAGTAGCCCGAACCTCAATTCGAACGAATATCAATCGTAATCTTCCCCGGTATTGTTCACATTCGGACGAACCACCTATGGAACGATATTCATACGTCGCTCTGACGCCTGGACCCTATAGCATCCGTCTACTTCAACTTCTGCCTGGGACAGGCGAAGAGGATGTACAATGTCAAATATTTCAATACACCTTGAAACCCGAGAGAGGTCATGGCATATACGAAGCACTGTCATATGTCTGGGGCGATCCGAACCACCCTCGAAGAATATCTCTGAAGAATCATGATGACTTCACGTACCATTATCTGGATGTCACAACCAATCTATACGCAGCGCTGCTGCGACTTCGGGATGCAGACTTGCCGCGAACGATGTGGATAGACGCTATTTCCATTAACCAAGAAGACCTCCACGAACGTGCGCGACAGGTTTCTATGATGTCTACGATCTACAGTCTTGCTAGCCAGGTTGTAGTCTGGTTGGGCGAGGAATCGGACGACAGTACGGTTGCTTTTGAGACGATCTGGCGCGGGTTCGACGATGACCGGAAAGGTATCATTAGCGGAACGAATAAGACAAATTTGACGAGAACAAGCTTTCAGAGGAACCGCCTAGATTCCAGGACGAGCCTGTCAGGCTATGGGGGAAGCTGGACAAGTGCAGGCTTCGAGGCTGAGTCTTTGGATTCCAGGGGAAATTCATCAAACTCAGACAAGGATTTATCTCTCAGAAAGCTCTTGACTCGTCCCTACTTTCGACGTGTATGGGTTCTCCAAGAAGTAGCTGCAGCAAGATCATTGTCAGTTGTATGTGGAAGTTCAGAACTCCATGGATCCATCTTTGTTGGAGGACTCAATGCTCTTGGCAGAACTACCAGCATCGATGGTCGTGACTCGTATATCGAAAGTTCTGTGGTATCAATTCTTCGGCTCATGAGCTGGTCAGCTACGCCACTACGATGCCCCATACTCTCTCCAACTTGCCATGATTACGAAGCCATATCGTCTCTGGATATTGGGCTTCTAGCGGAGCTTGTCGAAATGTTTCATACTCAGGAGGCAAGCGATAGGAGGGACAAGATATTCGCATTGTTAGGCATGAGCTCCGATCAACATAAGCATGGCTTGCAGCCTGATTACAAAATCAGCTGGTCACTCATGTTCCAGAGATTGATCCATAACACCCTTGGCCCTCACCATGTTGCAACAACTTGGGATGACAAAGAGCAAGCCGTTATTACCGGTTGGTGTTGCCCCCTTGGCACTGTGACCTCCGTTGATAAGGAAAACATTGCTGTGGGGGCTTCTCGCTTTGCTGGACCGTCGGAAGTGTCTTGGAGCACCAAATTGAAGTCCCACAAGTACTGCAAACAAGTCAAAGAGGGAGACATCCTCTGCATGATGGAAGGAGCACAACATCCGAGCCTGATTCGGTTGTGCAACACCCATTTTGATGTCGTCGTCATTGCTCTTCCTATCACAGATATTCTGGTCCAGAATTGTTGCCAAGTTGACGTGGGTCGGAGTGGCTTGTCTATAGCAGGAGAAACATTCCTTGCAAGCATCTCGCAATTCCAGAGACACGTACTACTTGTATGGGATTGGCTGCCTCTAGTTGAACAAGAGAGAGAACATCACACTCTTTTAAGAGCATTCCACATCAGTAGAAGATGCCCAACCGAACCAAGCAAGTCATCTGCTGAGATCAGAGTAGGATCATGGTTGTCGTACCGGTTAGATTCTGCACACATCTTGAATGACGTAGATGCATGGGTCGCACTTCAGAAGATTCTCAACACCATACCTCCCATTGAACTCCCCGGCACCATACAAAACTTCCCGGACCTGTTTCGTACAGCCACTCAGCGCAATTCAATCGCTGTATTGCATCGCTATGTCGAGGATATTAGGTGGTGCATTTGGCTATCCAGACATAAGTATCATCCCAATTGGGACTATGCCGAGTGTCTTTTAATGTACTGGAAAGCCACGGGTTATCTTGAATATGACCTGAAGAAGATTGCCTCGCTCCCAATATTGTATCCAGCTATTTCCCGACTTCAATTGCCAAGTCAAGGGCTCACGCGTTGGGATTTTGAGGAGAGGATGCACAGCTTTCTCGACATTTCTTGCTCAAAGTGCATCGATGCTCAAGATGCTGAAGATGGAACTGAGATTACCCATGATCACCTATGGAACGGAAGATACTTGATGAAGCTGCTTCTTGCACATGAAGGGCAGATGCTCAACGATATGCCGATCCAAAGCGCATATGCTCGCTCTTGTTATCAAAACCGCCGTCCCTTCATCCTGTATCTAGCCCTACTTTCGGAATCTGTCCCAGATGGCAGATGGCTCACGCCAGAAGCTTTGAGATCAATTAGCTCTAGAGAGCTAGACATCGATATATGGTCGTTCCTACTGGCAGAATTCTTACACGATAACAACATCACCTATAGTATATTGCGCACTATTGTTAAATCGTCAGACATGCCCCGTCATGAACTAGTAGTTCACGAATTCTTCGATGAAAACATCGTATTAATTTTGTTTTTAATTACTAAAACAGATTTCTGCGAAATTGTGGCCACAAAACCCAACAATCAAGTTCTTGATTTTTTAAGAGTTTATTTCTTCAGACGATGGGGTAAAGGGTATGTAAAGAGTTCAATAAATCTTTTAAGGCCGCTTAAACGGCAGTGGTCCCAGTGTCCGTATCGAGTCGCATATCCTAATTCCCGCATTCCTGGACGCCGGTGGGATCAAAAGTGTGAAGACGCATGGGGTTCCATTCTTGAGGCCCAAAAGATCTTGGAATTAGCACTGGCTAGGAAGGAACCAAGCGGTAGTAAATACCAGTCAAATACGTCGTCAGATTTTGAGTTTCCCCTCATTGAAGCCTCAGCCCAGTTTGGAAGACACAGCGTCAGTCGAGGACCTCTAGGATTCTGAACCTATTATAATCTACGGCAAACCCCACGATTTCTCATAGCAGCGATTGACGGCAAGACACCACCGAAAAGACGGATTTCGACAACTGGACCATCTTCTACCTCATTACGCCTTAGCTTTGCCGTACTAGACCTTCATACAACCATGACATCAAAGCAAGTACTCCACTGTGGCTTCCCGCCATACGACCACACCCAAACGAACATATGTCGTCCAGAATCCATAGATTCAGGCCTATCATCCCATCAGTACGCGATCTCGAACACCCGTATTTCTCATCTCTACCAAAGGGTGTACTCACAATTTCAACGTCAACCAGTTCCCCTTATCATGCAACTCCGGCGGCGTCGTCACACTCACATCCGCCGGATACGCAAAACTCTCATCCGAGAATCCTGCCTCCTGCAGTCTATTCTCCTCTGTGAACTCGGAAATATCCACAATCTCAGCCTCGGGCTCGCCTTTCCAGTATACAGCGACACGTCCTGGGTCCCCATGCCCACCCACGTTATCACCTCTCGAATGTCCATTTCCACCGAAGAGGAGTTTGAGTTCGCGGCCCGGTCTCGATGTTGCCATAGGTGCAGGACTTTCTGTGAAAACAAGTTCTGGGCCGGCGGACGTGGGTGGCTGGGCGAAAGGCCCGGTACGGTAAAGGGGACTGCGTTGGTCTGGATGGCATGCATGTGTATCCCCTTGGCTTACGGCTGCGCTGATGTGCCAGGCGTAGTTGGTTGATTCATCTGCCCAGAAGCCAGGGTTGTGTTTTGCGCGCGGCCAGCCGGCGCAGAGATGGGAAAACCATGGCATACTGACGGCATTAGCAGAAGTAAAAGATATTCTGGGGAACCATGGACTCACAGAGGATCAACCTCGCGTGGAGGATCGTATAGGGTTGCGTTCTCCTTCATCCATTCTAGGATCACGTCGTTGTGGTCAGTGCAATGGAGCCATGAATGTGCGCATGACGAGGCAGCGAAGAAGAGTGTGTAAAATACGGGCGTCAGCTTCATTTTACTCTGGTGAGAAACTTGCGTGAGTGGTACTTGCCAGGGGGTGCCACAGGAGATATATGAATGAAATTAGTAGGTGAGCTCACAAGTCACAAGGGAGCCTTCACAATCGAATTCCATTTCATGGTTCGAGCACAACGTAACATGCAAAAGACACTTTTAGTTATCAAAGCCGTTGAACAAGTGCCGAACACCGCCACACCGCCAGCGCATTTTCTACGCAAAAAGCATGAAAGCCCAACCACTGGGATCATTCATTTTTTCTAAATTGGCACCGGCTCTTTCGCATGAGCTTCTCAACCAACAAATTTGTAGAAATCAGACTGCGAAGCCCGATCAAGTCCGCTCTCGTATCCTCCTAGCTCTCCCAGTATCGTAATCCCCATAATAGCAACCCTCCATACACGCGTTACCGTGACCTTACCAGCGGTCCAAAAAGGGCTCAACAGCCTAACAAGCAAGTTGTCTACATAGAACGTAGAACCGAAGCGCATGAAGCGCGAGAGATTAGGAAGAGTAACAAGTGTGTTCCACCATCTATGGTGGAAGGCTTCGTATACACATTCTAGAACACCTGAGATTAGGGACCCGACGGCTTGCAGGAAAAGAAAGTCTAAAGCAGGTAGGAAAGCACACCAAAGGCGAAGAAGCGTGTTACCGAGAGATTCTGTGAGACTGCGGTGTGGTTGGAGGTGTGGTTGGAGGTGTGTGTGCGGGTTTTCTCGGAGATCGGTTGGCAGTTTGGGAGAGTTGTGGTGTATCTCGTATCTGAGGGGCGAATGGAGGAGTGGGGAGTGTGTGTTGAGGCGGAGTTCGGGTGGAGCCGTTGAAAAATTGTTAGATATACTCATGAAGACTTATGTGTAAGGGTGATCATTGATACCACACATCAGTCGAGGCAGATGAGGTATGGCATCTGTTCATGGCGATATGTTTGGGAATACGAACACCCCGAGCCTTTTCGCTCAAGAAACGCAAACACGATGACTGACAACTATCACTCCCTCTCCGCTCGAGCGCGTCAGCCCAATTCACATACGCATCGCAGTCTGGAGTCACAATATTTGCGGGAATATTCACCCTCTATACTTTGGCGACGACATGCCTCGGTGAGGTCCTGAACAAAAACGGAACCGCAACCAAAAAGGAGAAGAGGAAGGGTGTGTGAAGCAGGATTATCAGGGGCACGACGAAGGTCAAAGCCATAGCCTATTAAACATCAGTATATGCATCATGTTCATAACAGTGCTTTGGAAACCAACCAAGTACACTTTCCCCTTGCTCATCTCTTCGGGTTTGGTGACGATTGATGCATGATCGTAGTCACGACACTGTTGGACTTCGGGTGTCCAAGATTGTCGGTGCTGCTCGTCGTAGCCATCCAGGAAAGTGGGACTTGACTTGTTTTTCTCTTGATGTGAGCGCTTGTGGATATTACGCGATCGGGCATGCGAAGTGTACGGATGTGCCATGATAAATGTTTTTAGTAATTAGCTGGCCAGAGCGGGACAGACTTTGCGATGAATCCAAGTCATACCATGTTTTATCAGAAAAACGACGCAAGTTTGGACAAAGAATCAGCCATGTCTTTGATACACTTCCATTTCTGGATGACAAGACAGCTGCAAGACGGATGCGGCTAAGTAGTAGATGGAACGAGGAACGAGGAACTCTGAACGGTGAGGAGAGAACATGCTAACTGAGTATGGAAGGCTGGTTGCCGCACACCAAGGCGCGATCAAGACGCTTAGTCTCTTGTCCAAGACATGCGACGGACTGAGCTCAAAGCTTCTATTGGCCGCAAAGGTTGACATGGCATGAGCTACTCTGTATCGCATGGATAAGATCTTCTACTATGTGGACTAATAGGATGCCGCACGGCAAACCGTTTCTTGTTGTACGAATGAGAAAGCTGAATCAAGGAGTAACTCTCCACACACGTTTTCCTCGCCCTCCTACTCAAACGCTCTCTCTTGTCCCAACCTCCCAATGTAAGAATTTGACGTTCTGCTGATAAAGCTCTTTCTCGTAGTACTGCCCTCCGATCGCATAGTCTAGTAACAATCTTGCAAAGCCGTCGTCTTGTCGTCTCATGAACTGGCAAAATTCACCATGATCCCGCCCCAACACAAACAGAACAAAGCATTCATTGAGGACAAACTGATCCGTCTGTACGATGACCTCGACGTCTTTGATCGATGGACTAACTACAAATTCCAGCAGAGGCGAAACAGCGTTGGGATGAGCGTGTTCCGACAGAGAGGATAGGTAGACGAAGACGATTGGACTGTCAACTTCCAAGCCACGAAGTGACTGTCTGACTTGATTTTCGTGGTCTGGACTCTTGCGCAGATCGCCCAAAATGATGACCGCCCGTCCCTCGAGGCGCTCACGATCGATATGATACGCTTCCTGAGGGGATGGCGACGGACCGTTCCGGGCCTGTAACCCTTTCTCCACTCTATTGATATCGATCTTGACCGCGGGCCTTGCGTTTATTGAGACGAGGTGCCGATTGAGGCAAGCGACGAAGTGATTGCGTAAGTTGTGGGTGGCCGTGGGGACGTATCCGGATATAACGGCAACAACGATGTCGCCTATAGGGCTATGAACGTAGCTTGTGGTCTTCCTGGCGCCAAACCCAGGGCCATGGGCAACAAAGGCTTTAGCGAGGTCTGTGCCGAAACGGTGCGCTAATTTGTCGTCTCCAAATAGATATCGCTGATACTCTTTGATGGCGATTGGGAACGTTGCATTCTCCCCTCCAGCACTTTTGAACAGACAAAAGACATCTTGGGACATCGCACCAGACTGTAACACGTTTGCTGAGACGTAAAATCGTTATTTTGCTACTGAGGAGAACCATGGGCGCGATTTTGAGGATGACTGAAAGCTTGGCGGTCAACTACCGGGAGCAGTTTGATTTGCAGCAGATGTGGCTGTGCACGCCTTGGAAACGTGAAGATCAAACAGACTCCGCCTGCAAAATGCCTCAAGACATGGTGCATCCAGAACGTTCTACTGATTGTTTCTCTGCAAGTGGATTATCTGTGGCGCAGAACGCCCTGTTTGAAGTTGTTATCCTATCAGACATTGAGAAATTTGATCTTCTCGATTTGTGAGAACTAGGTGTAATCCAACATCAGAAACTTGAAAAGCTGATGATTCACGCATTGCATAATAATATAATCTTCAAACTTACTTCCCGTATAGCGGTGGCGATACTGTTGCCGTCATACTGCTCGTTAATACGTGCGATTTAAAGGGCGGTGACGTCGGGAGTCTCCGAGGATGTAAGCTAAGGGCACGGGCCTCTAGCCCGAGCAAGTGCTTATCAACATCGTGGCAACAATCTGCAAATGAAGTCACATACACGGGCTGAGCTGAGATGACATGTAAATGGAGAAATTCGACAACTATGGCCTACATACTAGGTCTCACAGGAAATTGAGTCGCAAAACGGCGATGGTACAAGGTGATTCTTCCTCCCCGGTCCGTCATCGTGAACTGCCGTGCCGGTAAGCAAGAAATTTGAAAGCTTGGCTAGATGACGCGAGATATCCACGCCACCGCTTCTTTGTCGCAACTTGCTCCTCGCTCGTTCTCTCTGTTTAGGTATTCTGGTTGTCATGCTGCCGTTGTTCGGGATCATGTGCCAATGATGCCCATGCAACACATCAATTATCGAACCTTGCCTCTCTCTGGTGCGACGCAGTCCCAGCCTCACCCTTCGCATGTGCGTCTGCTTCATCCTCTTCAACCAGCTGCAAAGGCCTGTACTCAGCGTTCCACATCTGCTCGCGGATCCACTCTTCGAGATCAGCATCATCACTAGGAATGTTTTTCTCTTGCGCGAGTCCATCCTCGACAGCTTTCTTAATCACGTTCTTCGCTATCTGGACGCTGATGTCTCGAACGTCTTCCACGTCAGGCAGCAGGCCAGCTCCGGTATCATTGAGTACTGGTGCGGCAGATGCGAGTGCTTGGACTGCGGCTACGAGGAGTGCCGGCGTCATAAGACGCGTGCGACTCAAGACAGCGCCGAGACCGATCCCAGGAAAAGTGACAGAGTTGTTGCACTCAGCTAGATATATTAGCAGATGTGTCGTCGGCTAGCTGACCAAATCTCACTTACATATGTCGTACTCCTTGCCGTTGTGCTTCACGGGTTCGAATGGCGAGCCAGTAGCTACTAAGACTTTGCCATCAGTCCAATCGTACAAATCCTGGGGCTTCGCCTCGTGGAGTCTTGTCGGATTTGAAAGAGGAAAGATCACGGGTCGGTCTACATGCTTTGCCATCTCCCGAACAACGTCTTCTGTGAACGCTCCGGGTTTTGTTGATGTACCGATTAGCACGTGTGGTTTGACTTCCTTGATCACTGATAGTAAGTCGCCATGGTCTTTATTTTCCCACTCGTGGTCATCGCGAGCATACGAAACTTGTGCCGGAGTAAGTTGGTCTTTCTTCGACTTTAGCAAAAGTCCCGGCTTGTCGACACACCAGATCTGGGTGCCCGCATCCTCAGCTGACTTATCGGTATGCTGTGCAATGGCGTCCTTGATCTGGTCGGCAATACCAGTGCCTGCTGTTCCAGAACCAAACATGACGAAACGTGCCTCATCCCATTTGACACCGTTGACCTTGAATGCGGTCATAATTGCCGCGAGGGTGACACAACCCGTCCCCTGAACATCGTCGTTGAAACAAGCAATCTGAGGTGTGTATTTGTCGAGGATCCTACGCGCGTTGTCCACGCCAAAATCTTCGAAGTGGATGTAGGCTTTCGGGTATGTACTCCTACAGGCACTGACAAATTTGTCGATGAATTGGTCGTACTGTTCACCGCGCACTCGATTCTTTCTCAAGCCGAGATATAGTTCATCATCAAGAAGCTCCTTGTTCTGCGACATGTCAGTGGAAGTTCGCGTTTCCACTTCCTTCTCCTTCTTACATTTGTGCCACAGTCGAGTACTACCGGCAGCGTGCGTGAAGGATGTATCCCGGCACATAGCGTATATATAACCAGCTTTGCCACACTAATCAGAATAGCTCCGACTCCTTGATCGCCGATACCTAGTATCTGCTCACCGTCGCTCGCGACGATAAGGTCAATATCGTCGGGGTGGCCCCACTGTTTGATGTCGTCTTCTAGCCGATCCGCGTCGTCAATATTGAGAAAGCAGCCTTCTGGTTTTCGAAACAACCTCGAGTAATTAGCGATAGCTTCGCCTTCTGTAGGCGTATAGATGATAGGGAACATCTCCTTCAGGTGGTCGAGAATGAGCTGTGCGACATCGTCAGCCATGACTTTACTTGAACAAATACCTCAGCTGCGCCCTTACCCTGTAGTAGAGTATCTCATTTTGTTCCTTCAAGCTTGCCATGAAAGTGTTTTTCGCCAAGTCGTCATGACGGGAGCTGTACTGAGCATATGCACGGTGGACTTGCTCTTGCAGTGTTTGGATATACGTAGGTAGGAGGCCATGTAACTTGAAGGTATCGCGCTCTTCCTTGGTATGAGCAGAGCCCTTATTGAAGTACGGGGTTCGAAGGAGCGCATTGCCCTGATTTCTGTGTCAGCGCTTGAAAAGGATAACATCGATGAGGCACGAGTACAGTCAATGTTGTCGATTGAGGTCCTGAAGTCGATAGAGGCAGATGCGCGAACTTTGCGTCCTGCTGCTTCGTGTTTGAAGACATTCTAACGGCGTGCTGTCCTCTAACGCGTGGGTTGAGGTAACGTCGTGATTGTCGAAGCATGGAGTATCAGAGACGCTATATAAAGACTATAAAATCAGGATATCTCAGAACGAGTAGCCTCTCAGATACTGATCCTAATCCTAATCTCCTCATGCCCGTTGCGACTGCGCGCGTCGCGTCGTGCGGCATGATGACGTCGTGCCCCTCCATAACAGCTTCTCGCGGCTGTCACGCATGCTCAGAATCACTGCCGGTACATCACATGGCCGTGGTCAGCAGTGGACCGATATCTCAATTTGTGAGAAAGATGGACTCAAGTAAGATAAAAGCATGGCATTTGCGAGGCGATGAATGCGTCATGGGAAGCATGCGGCAACAGATGACAGGTGCGAGCGCCGTGGGGGGGCACCAACTTCATCCTCACAGCAGCATTCTGCCAATCTTCCTCACATACCAACAACGCCGCATACTATGGCCGGTGATAAACGCAGTATATACCACACAGCCAGTAGTTATACCCCTAGGAGTCGTTTGATAGCTGAAACTTGCGTAGGCCAACCACAAGACGCTCCTACCAGGGTTCGTCTGAAGCATGCTCGCTGAACAGAGGGCGACGCACTAGAGTTTAGCTCGGAATTCTGAAGACTAAGATCCACTCTGAGTGTGCATAATATCATGCGGGCTTTATTTGCTAAATATACATGTTGACAACTACCGAGCGAGCATCCTTTGCCTTTGTCGCAAACAAGGCTCTTCCTTCACGTCTCGTGCCGACTATCTTTTCCGGACTATCCTGATCCCAACACCATTGCGACACCCCACAAAACCGCCACGTCGACGACGACACTCAAACGTCGTCGCCGGACATCTTGTCAATGTCGCCGGAGATATGAACTTGAACATAAGTCTGAACGAGATGATTGCAGCTGCCAATGTGTCGGGTAAATTTGTTGGTAGCCTCTCCAATCACGAAATCAAGTCTCTCGCGTCGTTCGAGGTCCAAGATGCCAATTCGTGTGAGATATCGAGCGGCGTCGCGATACATGTTTTTCTTGCTAAGGCAAGCTGGAGAACAGCCCTCGGGGAAGCGAATATAGATCGTTGAGCGTTGCGTACCGACGTCGATGGTGCACTCAATTTCCATCAACTTGGGTACATCCTCGCGAAGTACCTCCAGCCATGCTTCGTTCTTATTGGCAAGAAACTCATCAAGTGCCTCAGTGTAGCTGTAGTCTGAATACAGATCAGCACATGCGTCAAGTATAGTCTCCTCATGATCGCAGTCAGCACTGCATCCGCAGTGAATGGAGTGTCCGCAGCCGTAGCATTCAGTGTTAGGAAAGTCTCCATCAATTATCTTCCGACAGACAAACTTGGCTGTGAATGTCGGGCAGTGTGCATGCAAGCGAAGTAAAGGAGTAAGTTTGAACACGAGGTTATCGTCGTAGCAGATGTCGTGGTCCCAGTTTATCAACAGTAACCTTGGGGCGTTCTGGTATTCATCGATCCTGGGATAGAAGGTGCCAACAAACTCGTCCAAATCTTCTGGATCGATACGAATTCCGGAGTTGCGCAGCCACAGAGGGCGGAATTCCGATCGAAGTTGCTTGCATGTCTGCGTAAGAGCAAAGTAGTTCCTAGCGCTGTATTTGTTTGGCGAATCATAAAGTTTGGAGGACCGGATAAGCAGCGGTGGTACAAGCCCATCTGGGAAGTAGTCGTACTCTTTCGTGAAATCGTAGATGCGGTTGCGGATCTCTATTCAATCTCATTAGGAACATTTGGAAGGCAGCATGAGAGCTTGTTTCACCAGGAGGGAGCCTTGTGAGAAAGCAAGGTGAGTTTTTCTCGTCGTTGGTACCTGGAATCGCTCCGCCGCCACTCATCTGCCTACTCTTGATTTGGACAGGATTCTTGTTACTCGCAGCATAACTGTGATCGCTGATTGTTTTATGTCAGTACACAATCATGAGATAAGTATGAGTGTTCTCTTACCTTTTCGGAGGCATGAGGATCGCACAAGCGAAGGGGTTCAGGTCTGAGTCAAGTTGAGTGGCAGACGTTGTTGCACAGAGAGAAAGAAGGGAGCGCGCACCTCGAGGTCTTTCCGCCAAGCCCAGGTGACGCGAAACAAACGCGCTTCTCGTGACTCGATCAAACGAAAACATTACGGACTGTGTACAAATTGGGTTGCGAAATGCCGGAGGTTTGTCCCTCGCAGGCAGTGATGCTTAGTTTGAAACAACGTCACGCTGCAAAGACAAGGAGAGCCACACCGGTTTGTCCGAAACCGGCCGATGATTGAAAACACCTTACGATCACGGAGTCCTCCATTCTCAATCACCTGTCGGGTAAGCCGCTCATATAGTAGGCTGCCCATTGGTAATCCAGGCAAGCGGTAGCGCTTCCCCACTTGTTCAGTCATCGCGAGATCAACTGTATGGCGCGCATGAGGTTTTAGCATCTGTTCGACCGAACTAAAGAGCCGAGTGGACTCGATGCATCGTTTGTCGTGATGATGGCAAGTCACAGGTCGCTCCTCCTCCACCAGATCTCAGTGGCAGGTGCAAATGTAACGTGTTCACACCACATATGACACTCACAGCGGAATTCAAAAAGAGGGAGTCACAAAAGCCTGTACTCTTCTTCATCACATGGGTTTAATACGTTGATCTATTGCATTACTCATAGTCCTCAACCATTGTTTATGCAGTTCAGAGTATTATTACTGACAGCCATGAACATCGTACCCTAGTTGGAAGCACCTTTCTCGTTCTTCTCATCTCTGACATGGTGGGTCTCTGCGGTACTCTCCGCGTCAGCTCCCTCGTGGCCAAGATAAGAAGACTCCTGGAGGTTGTTCATAGCGTCCTCCTCCTTGTCGGCCTTACGGAACGTCAAGTAGAAACCAACACCACCAGCCATCGCAACAACAGCAACAGAGCCGTAGTTCCATACGAGAAGTGGGTCTTCAGACAGACTGACCAAAGCCTGACCGAGAGCGGCCGAGACAGCGGATGTGGACAGAGCGATGGCTTGGACGGTTGACTTCATGTTGTTGGGAGCCTTAGTGTATGCCTATAATCCTGTTAGTACGTTCATGTTCGAACTTGCAGGAAGGGTGTAGATACGTACGTATTCGAGCTTGGTGATGGAGGCCAGGACCTCGGACATTCCAATCAGACCGTAGGGGAAAACTTGGACCCAGACGGTGATGTTGGCGCTGCAATCTTCTCCTTCGTCGGAAAGCGCGTTGATCCGGTTGCCGCATGGGGACATCTTGTAGATGTAATATTGAATAACACAAGCTGACACCATGGCAAAAGAACTTAGCGCAAAACCACAAGTGATCTTCTTGATAGGAGTGAAGTTGACACCCATCTTCCGGAGAGCAGGGTAAATCACAAAATCCATGAGTGGGATGATGATGATAATGAAGATCGGGTTCAGCTTTGACACAATGTCGTTAGGTGTCTTTCCCAACTTCATTGTGCTGGCCTGTGAAACGAGATTGCCAGTCATCTGATTGTAGGCAAGCCAGTATAGAGGGTACCAAAGGAAGACTTTGCAAGCGACTACGCCACGGCGTACCTCGTCGATCCATGCGTCGTCAAATGTCATCCAGGCAGGGATGGTATCACCTCGCGCACGCATCGCGCTCGGCTTGATCCTGTTCCAGAAATCATCGTCCTTGAAAACATTCTTCTTCGGAGAGTGTTTGCTGCCCAGCCTGATCACTTTCCATGCTTTTCCTAGGACGGATCCCGTGGGTGGTGTAAGCTTGTATGACTTCTTGAAGTACATAAGGATACCAGGGCAGACGAGGTAGCAGATGGTTGGCAGTGTGTAAGAGAGCCAAAAGCCCACAAAGTGTTCCGAATAAACCCTTTTCTCTGTTAGTAGGATGTTCGAGCGGCAAAGACACACCAACTTACATTGCCAAGCTGCCCGTCAAGCTCCCCATGTTGATAAGAAGGTAGAAGTAGATGTAGATACGCGCAGTCGTCGTAGCAGGGTCGACAATCTCCTTCTTGCCGTTCTTCTTGACGCGCACATAAGCCTTCTGGTCTTTGTATTGTTCGGCGATGAGTGGCGAGATGTTCGACTTGAAACCGCCTGTACCGAATCCCATGACAACCAGTCCGACAGTGAAGATTGCGAGAGCTACATTAGGCTTGACGATAACCTGTGGGATTGCCGAGAAGATCAAGATGATGTGGCCAATGATGGAGATATAGTTGGCGATCTGGATAGTCTTGTAACGACCCCAGTACTCATCAGCAACCCATGCTCCAAGAAGTGGCGTGATGTACGACCAAAATTGGTTGACTGATAAGAGAATTAGCATGCGTAAGTCAAGCACATGCAGTTGTTCGACTCACATGTTGTCAGTCCGGTCGAAGCACGCTGTCCCATGCCCAAAGCACCCGAACCCGGTTTCTTAAGGAACCCAGCACCAGTCCTCGAATGAGGAGGCAGTTTCTTCTGGATGAAGTTGACGAAGACAGCGCTTGTTCCGTAGTAGGAGAAACGCTCAGCGAACTCGACGAAGGCAACGGTCCAGGCAGTCCATGGGATACTACCAGGAACACGAGGGAGGGTCGCCCATTCCTCTTCAGTAGGATACGGCCCTAGAAGCATGGTGTCCTCATCATGGAAGGAATTAGAGGTGCTGGTGTCCAACGGAATGGGGTCGAGCACGGTGGCGCCCTTCGTGATCTCCAGGCTAGCCTTCACGTTGTGGGTGGCTGCCATCTTCAAAAGGAAGAGGGACTGTCGTTCAGCAGAACTGACAGTGAGCAGATGGGAAAGGAAAATCAGGAGCGATAGTCTCGAGCGATTGCGTGCTCAACGAAGTTGAAGGGACCGTTTGCACAGAACGGTGGGGCAAGTGAAAGAGCACCTGAATACTAGCAGGAAGACGATGCCACTCTTCATATACAGAAAACGCATAGGTCCAGAACGGAGCATTGACCTGGAGTTGCTCCAGGGTCACACGCGACTATCCTGGTGCCCCGCTCCAAGGTTGCGGGCCATTGGCTTCTTTGAGCTGTTATCTCCAACATGTCTTGGGGAAAGGCGCTCAACAGGGTGGACTAAAGCTTGGTACGATTGAAAGATCGCAATTGTAACGTCCCTCGCTGTGCTACCGTAGGTAAGCGCGCTCGTAGAAGCTTCAAGGACCGAGGTATAGTCTAGACCTCCCGGATTCAGGATAAGATAGGGAGGAGAGAGGAGATGCAAACGCCACTTGATGCGGGCCAGCCTTGTGCATGTCACCTCAAACTGTCGGTAAATTGTGCGGAGGGATGCATCAGGCCTCTAAGACGCTAGGTAGATGAAGCGATAATACCTGACCCTTGGAGCTTTCGAACTTTCTATGCAGCCACCAAACACTGCCCAGCCTTGCCAAGATGTGCTTCTTCTCTTTCTCAACGACACCTGCCTGATCGGGGAGATTGCATGTCGGTGGACATCAAGGCCAAGACTTTGGGTGGCGGAGAGACGATAAAAGCGTCCCACGGTGTCCCATGGGAGCAGTCTCCTTCCCTTAACTGAATAGGCTTGTCGCGATACAAGCGCGGATGGCGTGAAATGGCAGTGAGTTTGATGTTGGTGGCAGAAGGCGTTTTCGCGGCATGGTCACACTACCCTGCGCACGGACAGGTGCTAACTGTGGGGAGAAGGGACAATGAGCGATTCTCCCTCTTAACACACACGTATGTTTATTCAGCCATATGTACTATGCGACGGATTACGAGTGTTAGGTGAGTGTGGGCGTGATGTCCAGATTCTGTGAGTATTGCCACCGCTCTCCGCCGTCGACCAAGTGGGGACAACTTCCCAGCCTATCAATACCCATGATATGGAAATCCTACATGCAAGATCTTGGGTGCCAAGACACAGACGTGAGTTTTCGGAATTGATCAGTATCGTATGCGACGCAGTCTTGAAACTTTGCACTAAACATTAGGGAACGCCATATTTCTGATGAAAATTCACAGCGAGAACAAAAGCATTGTGCTAGAGCCTGAACGGAGTATTGGCAGAAACCGTATGGAACGAAACTTTCGATAAAGAGCCTAGAAGATGTATCGCGGAAAAGTGAGAGTTACAGACGCTTGCGAAGGATCAGAGTTCCATTGGTGAAGAAGATCATAACGAACTTGCACGAAACGTCGTCTTGGCAAGGGCTTTGACTCGTACTATTCTAGCCGACATTTCCCTCAAGCAATCGACCGAGATGCATGAGAGCCGGGAGGCACAACCGGGACGTCAAACTAGATTTAGCTCACACGAAGCATATCCTCAACACGTCAGATAACCCTACGTACATTCGCCAATAGCGTTCATATCCTTCCCTGAAAGATGGCGGGCTAAGTATAGCCAAGCTGGAGAAACATACCACCCACGCACCACATCGCACGAAACCGTACCGACCTGTACGGCACAGTCAGCACAGATTGCACACGCGACCATTGAAAGGCAACCATGTCCAAACGCGGTGACAGCTTGGCAGTGTTGCATGTTCCAGAAGATCTTTATAGCCAGATGCGTCGACCTTCTGGAAGCTCACATCAGCACTAGAAGGATCATCATGTCCTGTTCTAGATGGAATCCGATATCGCGCTAATATGCATGTCGACATATCACATGCATAACCCAAAGCGTCTGCAGCCGCAGCTTGAAATTCGTTACCTACTCATGTAGTTCTATGGAGGTGTTTAAGTCGATTCGCGTCATCTTTGTTGATGTGAGAAATGGAGCTGGCGAAAACAGTACACTAATATAGCGGCCTTGGGGTAAACGAATACGCAGTCAAATGCTTCAGAGATTTTTTGCTCCAAGCGTAAGAGTCATACTACTGGGTATAGAAAAAAAGCAGCACCGAATTTCCGCCCACGTCTCCAAGAAGCAAGATGCCAATCATCATTGCTCGTAGGCTACTAATTGCAGAAAGGGCCTCTCAACGTACAATGAAGCGCCATCACTTCTCGTCAGCTCATCCACGTCGACGATCGCCAATGACCCCAGGAAATCCATAGCCTCCAGCCGGTCCTCGCACATCTACGGATGGTGCCACGTTCGGATTGCGACCACCACCAAACCCAGGCGGAGGCGCCATGCTCTGGCGAGCAGTCCTACACATAGATCAGTAACAATGGTCAAAGCTACCCGACTACCAGAAACTTACCAGTTCGGATACGCGATGTCATATCCGACCTGCCGCCCACTCGCCGCAGCCTTCGCCACCTCACGCGCATACTCCTCGTTGGCCCGCCGCCCCTCACTCATCGGTGGAAGAATCAGCCCGCCGTGGTTTTCATAGTGGCGCACCAGCAGGAGAGCGACGACTTCCCGGTTCCGCATGATGTCGCGCATGCGCGCGTGGTGATGCAAATGTGGGTTCGTGATGGCGTATACGAGGAGGTGGACCATTGCTGGATGGTCATCAAAGTCAGACTTGGAGGTTGTTAGATGTGGCCGTCTGTGTTGGACTGGTGTACTTACGACGACGGCTGCCAGGAACTCTGCAGTCATAATCTCGGGCTGGACGTCGTCGCCGGGCCCTGCGTGGGCGAGCATGAAGTTCAGGTCTTCGTCGATCACGCGACGAATGCCGTGCTCGGTCTGTAGTTGTGTAAGTCGTATGTAGGTGGGGGTTGCTGGGTAAAGAGAGTACTCACAATAGCACGGCTGTACTGGACGGCCAGGTCGATCACCGGCTGGAAGTTGAAGTTTGGCTTCCGTGGTGTAGGGTAGTACTGGCGCAGAAGCGACAGTAACTGTTCTCCCTGCCAGCGCTGCGCAGGCGTCCTCTCCTCCTCGTCCTGCTGCTGGCGGTTGGTGCCACGTGGTGTAGACATACTGATGATATATGGTGGAGGTATTGAAGATATAGTATAAAGTTATCGACGAAGGTCAATATGGGGACGAAACGAATGAAAGAAAGAGGTTGATCAACGTAGCAGGTCGAGAAGTTGAATCCACGTTTGTTGCCAGTGTTTGGAGAAGGAATACAAACTCCGGTTTATATACGCAGCGGGTGTTGCTTTGCCCTTGGAGTGAAAGTCAAAACGAAACAATCCCCACTTGCCCAGACAAAGGGAAAGGAAAGGAAAGAACACCATCGAAGAACACCATGGTTGTGGCAAACAAGTCGCCTCCATTTGCGAAGATTCACTCCTGAACGCGGGGCCGGAGTGAAACGGGCTCTTCTACTGTGAAGACAGATTGGGAGTTGGTGAGGAGGACTTTATAGTCACGATGAGGGGCGACAAACAAATCAGAAGGGAAGTCTCGAGGAGTTGTGTTTGTGGGTGGGGATTGGAAAATGATCAGAGAGCATGATGATGGAGGGCAAGCGGGCAGTTGGGGGTGTGATTGATTCTGACGTGAGGTGTGATCATATCACAATCTCGTTCAACTCTCTAGGTGAACTGCTTATGTCTGGCTCAAGGTTGTGCTTTGTAGTTTGAGGGCGATTATAGATGAAGATCATGTGCTGTGCGGATTGCATTAATGAGCGTTTACTGCATAGTAGAAGATAGCCAGCCAGCTTGGAGAAGGAGAAATGTTACGCGTCTTTGGTCACTTTTTCATATATATATCGGGTTGACAAATTGATACTCTATTCAAAGACCAAGCATACGCAACAGTAGACTTCTGGAATATGATTTACATATAAACTCTACATCATGGTCGTTTTTGTTGCCCTTGCATACTTGTCTGATATGCGTCCGAGATCCGCCTTTCTCGTATACCCCATATCCACTCCGGACGCGCTGGACGCCCTCCTCTTAGCCTCCCAACCCCACGTCCCGTCTGAGATTGAATGTAAGCATTGTCGTCCTTGTTGACAGCAACAACGATATGCTATGAGAGGATATTACGAGAATTTCTGTTTGTGTGTCAAGATGTGACAATACAAGCAAGCTTTGACTTGTATGCTCATTGCACAAGGTGATAGAAGATGAGCCTTGTATGTTCGAATCATGTCGAACAAGCTCGACGATATGCTCGTAGTGTATTAGATCCACCGGACTCTAGAATAGCCCAGTTGATAAACCACCATCTCGACTACTGGGGTATACCGTGTCGTAACACATGGAAAAAGGCGTTCATTCCAGGTTCTACCCAGTTCGCGGTTTAGATCCTACTTCAATACAAGAAGGCTCAGTTCTCAAAATCTTGCTGTCTATGGCTATTACGCTCTGAAACCAGCCATCATGTAGAGTGCATTTTGATGAATCAAGCAAACTGTCTCAGTTTTTGCAGAGAAGGTGAAATGATAGTAGCATGCGAGAGGCAACTAGATATACGTGACAACGATAAGTTCAAGTTCCAGACGCACGCATCAATTCGAATCAATGACGTGATGTCATCAAAAGCAGCGGCATTCGTTAATCGTAGTTGTTTCTCCCGAGAGTGACAGATATGTGGGTTGGTGTTGGGAACAGACGACGCTAATCTTGAATCGAACTAGCGGCATGCGGAATTTCGTTCAAGCGAGCCCACACGAGAAATCGACGAAAGCAACTTCGACTTGACGCCCTCGACAACGCAGCGACGACGCCCCCGAATCCGACTAACCAACATATCCCCAGATAAACAGTCGCAATGGCATCCAAACGCGGGTACGTCTGTCGCCGAGCTGCGCGGAATTGCGACGCTGCAGAGGGACATGGCAGGACGCCGGCTAACGTGTGCGCAGTCGTGGTTCCTCCGGAAACAAGCTCAGGATGACTCTCGGTCTGCCTGTGTACGTACCCCCCCGAATCGAGTGCTTCGCCGAACAGCACGCTCGCGGCGATGCTCGAACTGTACACACGCGGAACTCAGGCTAATGGATGCACAGCGGAGCCGTCATGAACTGCTGCGACAACTCGGGCGCCCGTAACCTCTACATCATCTCCGTCAAGGGCATCGGTGCGCGTCTTAACCGTCTGCCCGCTGGTGGTGCCGGTGACATGGTCATGGCCACAGTCAAGAAGGGAAAGCCTGAGCTCAGGAAGAAGGTCATGCCCGCCGTCATTGTCCGCCAGAGCAAGCCCTGGAGGCGGGCCGACGGTGTCTTCCTGTACTTCGAGGACAACGCTGGTGTGGTGAGTGGAAGCCTGTGGACTGCTTGTCGGGAGTCGCATACCCGGTTGGCGGAATCGAGAGCGGAATTTGGAGGCTGACAGCGGACAGATCGTCAACCCCAAGGGTGAAATGAAGGGCTCTGCCATCACTGGACCCGTCGCAAAGGAGGCCGCTGAGCTGTGGCCGGTACGTTTTTCTTGCTGCGCGAATTGCATGCCAGACACTGACGAATTCTAGCGTATCGCCTCCAACTCCGGTGTCGTCATGTGAGGTGTCTCTTTTCCAGCTCTTGTCCAACATTCACGGGTTCACGGGAACGGCGAAAATGCATTTACGGGGTGAAGGATTTGAAGTAGACATTGCAACAGTTAGCAATGGGATGGCCTTCACAATACCAGTCAAATGAACATTACGAAGTCACAACTACCCGTTCGCTCGCTCCCGGTGACAGTCGATTCGCGCAAAATAGATGCGGTAGAAGGCCCGTTCGGCAGATCTCAGATATGCCATAGGGATGCGATGACAGACATAGCAGAATGCTGATTGTGACATGCTAATGATTCGCGTATCTAGAGCTGCCACGACTTCCTATCGTACGCACGCGTTTACACATCCGACTCGACAACAAAATCGGTATCCTACGCCCATCTCATTCTCACCATGCTCTCCATCTCAGAATCCCTCTTCCGCCCACCCGCAAACGTCAACTTTTCATTTCCCACCACTCCCGTCGTAACCTTTCCCGTACTTGGCGTGCCCAACCCCGTTACCACGCCATCGCCCCCTTGCACCACGTTCGAATAACTTGTCAACATAGTCTGCACCCCAGTGACGAAATCCTGCCCATCAAACTCGCAGTGTCCGCCCGCTGGCGTGTTGTCCACCGTCTGCATAGCGCTGATCTGGTCGGGTGTCATGCCTGCATCTGCGGCGAGTTGCTCGTATGCTGCAACAGATTGTGGGATGCTACCTTGGAGGAGCTTGAGCTCAGACTGCGTGGATTGGAAGTGAATGCGCGTCTGCGCCATGACCTGCGCGGCATTCTTCACAGCAGATTGGGGAGCCATCCCACCGCAATTCAACTCCACAGCGCTGTTTGCATAGTTCTGCATCTGCGCCGGGATGAAGAACCCGCTCATCAACAACGATCCACCGCTGACGCCTGTGAATACCACAGCGCTCATATTCACAGCCACTCGCTTCGGCATCTCAGTCTGTATCCAATCGTTGACGGCTTGAGCGTGTGCGACGCCATCAGTACGCTGCAGGCCCGACCCCCCGCCCCAGAACAGATTGTCGTTCGGTGCGAGGAGCGCAACGCCCATGGTGTTTGCCTGCACAGCTTGATTCGGCAGGTCGAAGAAAGACTGACCCCCGTCGCCGTGCAGCAGTACATTTGCGCCCAAGGTGCCGTTCGCAGAAGTGGCAGCGGCGCCGGGCACGCCGGACGCGGGAAGAAACTGGTCCTATGTGTGTGTTAGGGAAAGATGAATGAAGCTAGGTGTCTTTCCACCGAGGAAACGAGAATAACAACGTACAGCTGGCGCGGCGATTCTGAAGCGAATCGGTAGCCCGTTTACCATCACTGTGTCGTCGAGGATCGTGGACCCGTCGGTTGCGGTGGATATTCCCGCGGGGACCTTTGCGGCCTGTTGGGCCGCGGTTTGTACGCGGCCGCTGCCTTTTCGCTGTGGGATGGGCTGCGCGAAGGGGGAGGCTGTTGTGAGGACGGCGAGGGAGAGGGTGGTGAGGATGAGTTTGTGCATCTTGTGTGAGAGTGGAGGGTGCGTGGTAGAGAATCGATATTGTCGATTAATCGATCGATTAGGAGTTAGAAACGGACCGGCCGATAAAGATTATACAAGACAAGAGGAAGTAGAACTAGAGAATAGAAGGGGAGAAAATCACGTCGTGAAGATGGGCTTTACAATACGATGCGATGCGTGGGCATATATGCCTTGTCTTCGAAACTACTCTCCTCTACGCCCATTTCATGTCACACATGCCGTGGTGCAAATCGCAAGGTGGCCAAACGTGTTCCGGTAGCCAAGTTTTGCGCTTCAGCGCATTGTTCTGCTGTTTTGCATGTTGTGTTGGTTGGCGAGGGGTGGTGGTGTGTCATGTTGCTGTCTTGCTGCATGGGGGGTTTGGAGAAGTGTTTCGCGCCCTGGCTATGTCTCGGGACTTCTAAACGCGAGGATATGTTGGGGGGACTTTTTGGTGGTTAATCTTACTTTTGTGTAGATGTGGACGGGTGTGGGGAGAGTGGCATTTAGCTGGTATGGTTCTTTGCATGTCCAACTACTGGAGTTAGGGAGAATTCAAACGCCCAACTTTCTAGAACAATGGTCACTACACAGCGTTGTATTACTTTCTATTCAATTCTGCCTGGGTATTGATTCTTTTACTTTGATACAATGTATACACAAGCCTTTCAATCTACGACGACAATAACTTTTCAGTTGGCTAGCTATTCGTTATCCAAGTAGGCTAATGCAATCCCTGTGTATACACTGTCTGTATCATAAATCTTTCGCTTGTCACTTCCATCAATGTTGAACCTGTACACGGTGCCTCCTAAATCTGTTGTGTAGATGTGCTGGTTTACGGCGTCAATCTTCAACCCAATCGCTTCATGGAAGTGCCTAGCCAGTGTCCTGACACTTGTGTCGTTCGCCTTATCCGACCCCACATAGGCCGCGTTCAATGTGTTGCCCAGCGGATATTCGCCTCGGTCTGTCCAATACAACGTCTGACTGTCCGAGTCGAATTCGAGATCAATGGGCTCAGGTAAGTGTTCGAAGAGCACTTCGATGTCTGAGCGAGTAGAAGCTGTCTCGCCCTCTGGTGTTTGTATGTTCGCTCTGAAGATACGGCCTTTACCTGCCTTTGACGGCCCTTTCTGTGTCCAGTAGAATTTGCCGGCTTTCGCATCGATGGCGATACCGACACACCACTTCATCTGATCCTCGATGTCGTTTGTCTTGGCGTCGCCTGTTTGCATGACAATCTCGTGATTGCTACCGTCGAAGTTGCTGCGGTGGATGCGCATGCCTTCACGATCACAGAAGTACAGCTTCTCGTTTTCGTGGTCGATCTTGATCTGCTTCGGCGTGTGGACTTCACCCTCTGGAATGATAGTTTCCACACTAGTCCCGTCAAGGTTTGCGGCCATAACACTGCCGTTGTTCGCAGCTGGCGATTTTCCCATGTTGGTCCAGAAGAGTTTGCCGCTGGAGATGGACACATCGATGCCATCTGGCATGGACTGGCCGCCAACAATCTCACGCACATTGCTACCATCTGCAGATGCAGTCATAACCTTTCCCGAGGTGGCAGCCTTTTGCAAGTCAACAGCGTCGCTACCCATGCCGAGATCCAGGAAATAAAGTCTAGGCGCAGCAAGGTTGTCGTGATGCCCGCTTTCGTCTTTTGAGCTCTTTGTAGTTTCACCTGCAGGGTAGAGACCGCCTTTACCAGACTTTGCACCGAGTTTGCCTTCGTCTACAAAGTTCTTTCGAACCCAATCCCGTGCTGTCGGATCTGAGTGCCGCTCTTGGACGTAGTTGTCCTCGATGAAAGCTACCGTGTCCAAACCCACTGCGTCCATCATACCGCAAGGTCCTTGTGGGTTATCCTTGAACATGGTCAGGAAGAGTTTGTCGATTTCTCTGGGCTCCGATACACCTTCAGCCAAGATGAGTAAGGTTTCCCTCTTGATTGCTGCCCATAATCGATTGAATATGAACCCAGTGGATTCTTTGCGCGCAATGGCCGGGGTCATTCCTGCATCTGCGAGTTTGCTTTTCAAGAAGGGAAGAACATCCTCTTGCGTCTCACCACAAGTCATGAGCTCCACGGTGTTGTTTCCGGGTGGCATGTAGTAGTGTATGTTGCAGACGCGTTGTCGTCTTCCGGGCTCTACGTTGTCCAGCATGAGCCGTGACTTGTAGGATGATGAATTGGAGGCTAATATGCAATCATGTGGAGCATGCTGATCGAGTTGCCCCATCATAGAAATCTTCAGATCCAGTTTCTCCGGTAACGCCTCGACCACCAACCAGGCATTCTTGACGGCCACCTCCATAGCTTCAACGGCGGTGAATTTGGCATGTTTTCGTGTGTTTCCCGTAAGTTTTGAATATTCTTCAATGGTGTGCTCGACGTAGTGAGTTGCGGCGTTCCTTTGCTCTTTGTTGAGATCGCAAAGGATAACCTCGTACCCTGCAGCTACCCAAGAACACGCAATTCTTCGACCGAGGACTCCTCCTCCTAGAACAGCCACCGGTCTAGACGAAATGTCTGGAGCTTTCCATTGTTCGTCCATGCTGGTTGTAGGCGAGGATCGTGTGCGCCAACTAGGGTATAGTGGATTGGTTGGTAACGAAGTATCTGAAGACTTGGATTATGTGTTGTAGTTGGGACAACGTCAAAAATTAGTACTAATATATGTCGTGAAGCCATGCCTCTGACATGAGAGGGCCGGCTGTTCCGGACGGCCCTGAGTCATTGCCTCACAGATGACGCCATCTTTGTCACATCAACACTCGTATTGTCTCGTAGCTATTCTCCCTTGAGTGACTGTAGAAAAAGTGACGTTCTCATCCAAATCGATGAGCACTAGTATTCCAGGTTTTCTCAATATCGGAGCGCGCACTAGAAATACTTCCGACCCCGAGCTTGCACACTGTCCCAAAGAGGAAATAATTCTGCTGCATCTGACTAAACGGACGGAAGAATGTTCCGAGTGATTAACATGTGATTAACTTACGGTCTCGGGTAAGGCCGCTCGCCGTTCACGATAGTCGATCATCAAGGCTTAAGCTGGCGCTACAAATCTTAGCGTTAATAATTGCACCTCGCTCCTCGGCTCTCGGCCCTCGGTCTCGACGAAGCTGCTGAAGCTGAATCTGAAGCATGGGACAGCAGAAGGCTCCATGTTTAGTGCAACGCATTATCAGGTAGGTTTGTTGAATTAGAGAAGATTGTGATGTCCGGAGCGCGCCACCATTTCAAGTTCCATACTAACATATGACATTGTACTCAATATTCAAGTGTAAATAGCGTTGGAAATTATAGTATTTGTATGCGTGAGGCTTATGTGTAAAACACATGTAGTATGGGTTGAGTAATCAAGCCATCTACATTGAATTCTAATCGAGTCTGAAGTTCTAAGCATTATTCTCAATCCCTCCATCGCTAAATAGATTACCAATAGAACCTAAGTCTCTGGTGTAATCCGCAGCTTTTGCACACTTCCAACGTCGTCTATAACTGGTTGCTTGCCTGAACGTGCACTACTAGAAACTAAAGATCTCATCTTGAGGCTTCGATATCTTCCCTGTTGGTCCGCATAAGTAATATACAAAGAGAAAGGGGAGTGACCAGCGGATACGTACCTGGTGGCATGAAGCCGCGTTGTTGCAATATCTCAATCATGGCATCCGTCATAGGGGGAGGTCCGCAGACAAGCACCTTTGTATCATCCCCAGCTGGTGCTGGTAGTAATTTATCGACCATCTGCTTATTGACGCGGCCCTTATCCCCTTGCCAGTCTTTAGGAGGATCGCTGAGCACGTAGTGCACCTTGAATTGGCCGTACTTTTCTGCAAAGTTGTCCAGCTCTTTTTTCAACAAGATGTCCTCTTCAGTCTTATTGGCGTATATTAGCGTGAGCTTAGTATCATCTCGGGGGTCTTCGCAGATGCGCCGGATGATTTGGTACATGGGCGTGAGACCAGTTCCTCCGGCAATCATTCCAAGCTCTTTGACTAAGTTCTTGTGGTACTTCATCTCTCCTTTTGGTCCTCGAATCTCGACCGTGTCTCCAATGTTCAAGTTGCTCAACCATGGAGTGAGTTTTCCATCCTTGTAGACTTTGATAGTCAATTCGAGGCGTCCCAGGTCTTTGTTGCTTGATGTTGGTGTGTAAGACCGAGTGATTTGCTTTCCGTCCACTTCGTGTCTGATTGCAACATGTTGGCCAGTAGGTAAGCCAAGTACAGAGTTCTCATGAGGCAACCCAAATACAAAACGGATAGTATCGTGTGATAGATGGAACTTCTTTTTTAGTGGAAACTTCTGGTACACTCGAGCATTGAGTACCCCGAGATTGATGTCTTTCTTCTTTGAGGGCCTAGAAGACGTAGACTTGGATTTGAAATGTGCCGGATATGATTGGAAGTCTTTATGTGCGACTTGCAGATTGTTCGACGCCCACAGGCTTGCACATCCCGCCAGAAGCAGACTGGCCAGAGACGACACAGCGAATCCTTTCCAGAACCCGCCGCCTTGGAAGCGCAGGTTTGTCGAGAATCTTGAACCCAAAACGATCAGTCCAACTAAGGACATTAAACCAGCGCCCAGTATGGGCACGAGGTAATGATGCGTTTTTGGTGGAGGTAGATTGTTGACAACATGGACGCTGTGCGGCTTGACTTCAGGCATCTTCTTCGTGTCATGGTCTGTCCAGTCGTCATCATTGAGTTTGCCAATGCGGTGGTTCTCCAGTATCTCTCTGGCATCTGTTGAATGACCAATGTCCTCATATGCAGTTGTTGCATCGGTTCCGGCATTCTCCAGCAAGAATTCTTTGCCGCCCGGATGGTCCTCTTGATAGTCAGTTACATCGTAGACGTGGTTCCAAACAGCAATCCACAAATCGGATTTGGAGGTATGCTTCGCCACCTCTTCAAGGCTGTATACACCGTCGGCCATAGTTCAAATATGAATGAGTAAGCTCGTTGCTATTGTTTTTGTTCGTGGTAGCTGATACTTCAAGGTGCGGACGATCGTGAGTTTCGGCATAGGGTGACGTTCCATTGCAGATATTTTGAGGTAACTTCGTCTATGCAAAAAATGTCCTCGGTCTGCCATACCGAGTGATGACATGCTGTCGATCGGTCCCCACCTACCGAGGTCAACTAGAGTTGAACCACCGACGAGCTAGCGCTGTAATCATAACTACGCTAACTGTGAGCCTCATCATGACAAAAGAAAAGGCAGATATGACTGTTTGAAATTGAAGATGTGTGCACCGTGCTGCCGGTGCGTCCGGTACCACATGCGCTACTTGTTCACGCTCTGTGCCGAGGTTACTTGTGTTCTCATCACACAGCAAAGGTACTGGATATGACGTCGTTTTGTGTTCGAGGAAGGATATACACTTCAAAAGATCCTTCGATCTTTTCTGCCCTCAAGGAATTGCTCGCTTCTCAACGTTAAAATCAACGATTCTTCAATATGACTATCAAAGGCTTCTATCTCGTCGGACAAAGCAAAGAAGTTTTCCAGCAAGACATCCACATTGACCAGTATCATGATTTCGAAGCTTTGCAAGTCGCTATAGCCGAGCAGTACAACATCATCCAGCCAGATGGTAAGTAACATTCAAGGTACTCTTGATGACGCTTATCCCTGTTGAAGGCATTGGACTACAAGATACAAGAGAGAATGATCTGGCAGACTTGGATGCAGTTCTGGACTGCGATGAACACATTGGTATTACAGTCGATGGTAAACCAATTCGAGACCCCTCGGGCCCAGATGGACTTCCTCTCGTAGGAAGCTATTATGAAGTGTTCCCTGATCATCTGGTTAGTGATTAGCACCACTACACTCATAATCATGCTGATGTATTCTCAGGGTAACCACGCCCGTTTGTTTCAACGTTACGGGTCGCTTATCAAGTACGAAACAATGGGAAAACGAAATTTTCTGACCAATGATCCTGCCATTGCAACTGTTGCATTCCAGGAATCGGCCTTCTTTAGCAAGCTAATTACCCCAGACCACCCATTGGTATGTGCATGTCTGTAGCTCTTGAAGATTGGAAGTTAATCCCCAGGTCTAGGCTGGCATCAAAGACAACAGAGCGCTCTTCATTGGCGACACTGACACTGACGCCTGGCGTCAGGCGCACAAATTCATCCCCCCAGCCATGTCCCCTAGAGCAGTCCGACATTACACGCCCCTTATGGAAGCCACAGTAAAAGATTCGTTTAAAGTCTTCGACCAGCTCGACAAAGAGGGGGAAGCCTGGAATGTGTATCAGTATATGCTGAAAATGGCGTCTCAAGCAGTTTTCAAATTTTCACTAGGCTACGACGCTCATCACTTCGACGAGCCGGACTCGCAATTGAACGAACTGGTAGTATTGATTGCGCAGAGTCTGTCGTTGAATAAGAAGGTCACGTCGAGAGGGTCTTGGTATGCGAGCTTAGGAGCTCTTCCTTTCACTGCTGCGTACGACTTGAAGAATGTTCAGAACAAGTTGTGGACAATACTCAACAAAGGTCAGTCATTACCAGGTTTATGATCAAAAACCAGGAACTGATCCATGTGGCAGCCATAGATCAAGCACCCAAAGGCGATACCGATGAGGATTTACCCTTGCAATCTGCCGCCTTGGGAGCAAGCTGTGTGGTTGACTACCTCAAACGAGCTACAGACGACCATGGCAATAAATTGCCTCGGGAACTCGTTGTAAGTCGCTTCTATCTCATGATGCCGAACACTCGGACGCTGATAAGTTTCAGATCCCCAACATGCTCCCCATCGCTGGTGCGGGTTTTACAACTACGTCTTCTCTTCTATCCTGGCTTATCTATTCGTAAGTTTTACAATCGGCACAAATTCTATTGCCTCCATCCTAACATCCCTATTCTAGCCTTTGCGCCTACGAAGGCAACCAAGACCGCCTCCTCCAAGAACTCGTCGATGCCGGCGTCAACGAAAACACGAGGTGGACCCCCGAACTCTCCGATGGCCTCACGTTCCTCGACAAATTCGTTAAGGAAACCCAGCGCCTCCATAACCCTTCCTTCCAACCTGGACGTACCGCAAAAGTTGATTGCATTGTGCCTGGCGGATACAAACTACCCGCTGGCGCAGTCGTCATTTGTGCTTTACATGCAATTCACAATAACCCTGCCATCTGGTCGAACCCCGATCGCTTCGACCCCGATCGTTGGGGTACGGAGGAAGTTGCCAACCGTCCGAAGAATTCATACATGCCGTTCGCCACAGGTCCAAGAAGTTGTATAGGATTTAACTTTGCGTTGGGAGAAGTAAAGGTGATATTACCCGAATTGGTGTACCGATATGAGTTCTCAAAAGAAGGCGACGAGACGGTAACGTACGACCCCGAGTTCCAGCTGATCCGGCCGATGAACTTGTACGTTAGGGCGAGGAAGAGGACGAGTTGGCCGGATAAGACTAAGGCGGCGAAAGAGATTGCTGAGCAGTATAGAGAGGGTGAGAAGAACCCAGCAACTTAGAAGTCCAGATTTCTGCTACGGAGGACTTCTACGAAATAGACATGTAGAGTAATGTACCGTCAGACCGAGCCGGTTCCCTGAGCACATCGCATCCCTGCGAGCTCAAGTTGCGTTGACCCAACTTTGCGGTATGTCGACATACGTCTGTGCATGCTCCTGCATTTTAGCACGTTGATGAAGTCAAGGCTCAGCGCTTGTGAACATGGATGAGGTTCCTGTCGCCCAATTTCTTGCTTCCAAATCTCTTGACTCAGGCGCTCCTTCCCCGATTTAGTCTAGTCAAAACAAATGTCATTCGACTATCGCTCTTGGCTTCGACAACACTCGACCTCCCATCTCCACGTCGCATCCCCCGGATTGCGACTGTCACTGCAATGTCATCGAGATACTTGTGGAGGTGGAAACGCGCCAGGAAGAGTTTGCAGGACGACGCCGCTGTCACCGGACGGCAGTGATGGCAACGCGCGGCGCTGTCACGCTCGCGCTTCAACAGTACAGTCATCCACGGAACATACCGATTCGCATGCTATCGGGCAATAACAGGATCCATGCATTCTATTGCGAGCAGTTTTAAAGTAGAAGCAAGGATTGAACATGACTGAAGCCAAAACAAAACACAAATACAGCAAATAACAAAATTACACAACAAAGCACGGTACATCCAGAGCCATCCAGCACATCAAAACCTGGGAACCAACTATCTACTACCCTGCCGATAGTCCAAAGTCCTGACGTTTCCTCGCAATTCTCTTTACATCAGGGGAGGATTCGACGGGCCGATGCTTCGCAGTATAACCGAAACCTGTCCAAGACTATAGTCATTCCAGTACAACGCTCGGGGCTTCCCGGTCTCATTCGATACAGTCCAGAGAGTCTGCAGCTGCCCGTCATCTGTCAAGAGGGATGCAGTCGTGCCGTAAAAGGAGAAGCCTGTGGTAATTTCGCTGCTGTTCGTGGAGTTGCTGGAGAAGAATCCCACACGCTTGTCCGAAGCGATTGAAGCAGGGATGTAGAGGGTTTCATTGCTCCAGGATGGCGTGGTACCATTCACCGTGGTTGTGATGTTGGGTGAAGCAATCCACTTATTATCATCGGTAGAAGTAACTCGGAGCAAATTCAGTATTTGCCACATATGTTGGATTGACGGGCGTACTCACACGTTACCACAGCTGCACCGGCATCGTTTGTCGCCTTTGGATCACCAAGGTATGCATAACCTGCGTCACATCAGCTCGATAAGTCAACGCCGAGAAGATCACATACCGTCTAAATAATATAACGGTAGCCCGCCAATGGCCATTCCACCATATCCGAAGAGCGGGAATTCTGCCGCTGTCGCGCGCTTCACTGCACCTAGGGCTCCAAGTGGCAGCGCGCAGAGCATTGCGAAGCGGATAAGAGCGGCCATATTGTTAACAAATAAACAACGAATGGTTCGAAGAGAGTTCAGGAAGGTGTTTTGAGAGAGAACTGAGAATGATCGTAGCAAGGGATGGATGCACAGCGAGCAATTTATGGGATCTTCCTCCTTCTTGTCTGTTTTTGACTGAATAGATCGCCCAAAACCTTCTAGGCTCCACGCAAGCTATTCGTCACCTTCTTCATATTTCTCCTTTTGTTCGCCCATCACACGACCGTCTGCAGGGCCATGAGAGGCTGTAAAACCGGCTCTAGTTGTTGGGAATAAAAACTCGGCACCATTCACCTGACAAACCTTGACAGTGAGTGTCTTCCGATGTGCCGAGATCAGATCATACGACGACACGTGCGTAGCACCTTGTGCAGGGAACCTGGGCGACTCTAGATCTATAATCTTTTCCTGGCGATACTGATCGACAACGCATTGACTAGTGCTTAGATGAGGCTTAGCCGACAGGGGCATTGATGCTTAGTGGCTATGCTCTTTGCGATAACGCTAACGAAGGTAGGTGAGGCTGTAGAAAGCCATATCCCTATTAACTAACTAAACGTCTTGTTGCTTGCTGCGAATGCAGCAGAGAGTAAAGTCGTTTTGATTTTCTAAAGTTAGCGCTCGGACTCGGCCTTATGTTCCCCTTGCAAGTGGGCCCCTCTGATACCTACAGCAGATCAGGACGCGACGCTTACTAGGTTGTTAAACTCTCAACGTCCAGTCTGCTATGAGGCTCAACCCACTCAAGCGGCTCTTGCCGGGCACTGCATTCACCAATTAACATCGGACGAGAGTTTGCAATTGATAAAGCGCCGCGTCAGTGTTTTGAGGCTTTAGGTTTAATATCGCTGAAGCTAAGACTCCGACTGTAATACTCACTGAGTCGGTGATGCAGATCATTCAGACGGGGTACGTGGATGAGGTCGAGTAGAACAGGCATATCGTAACGATGAGATATGGGGGTATCAAAATGTTGCTATATACTTCCTCAAGTTTCTCTCTCAAGCAGCATCACTCCATTCGTTTGTTACATCTTGTAGTCTCTTGCACTCGTACTCTTCAGTTTACTCACACTTTTTCCATTTCGGACTACCGTCCTATTCAATATGTTCTTTCATCGTGTAGTAGGTGCTGTTGCTCTGCTCAGCGCTGTATCTGCATCTTCGTCTTTTGGCCATCGGCACAAACATCCATCACTTCCTCGATCCAACCTTTATCCAAGAGCCGCTTGCTCTGGAAACACTGCAGACACTCGCTCAGAATGGTGTGATTATCCGGTCGATACGGATTATGCGACCGGTTAGTCAAATATACATCATCTTCACTTCGACAACGAATTCCTACTGACATATTACTTCGCAGAGGTTCCTGACACTGGCGTGACTCGAGAATACTGGCTCGAGCTCACGGACGTTACAGTCTCGCCCGACGGCGTTTCCCGTTCGGCAATGGCTGTCAACGGCACTATTCCCGGACCTACACTCTTTGCCGACTGGGGCGATACTGTCACCGTTCACGTGATCAACTCTTTGACTACGTCCAACAATGGGACTAGTATGCACTTCCACGGTATTCGACAAAACTATACAAACGATCAGGACGGTGTGAGCTCCATCACTCAATGTCCTACTGCACCAGGCGACACAATCACATACACATGGCGAGCGACACAGTATGGTAGCACATGGTATCATTCACATTGGGCACTCCAAGCTTGGCAGGGTATCTTTGGAGGAATTGTTATCAATGGACCGGCGACGTCAAACTACGATGAAGATTTGGGCATGCTGTTCTTGAACGATTGGGACCACCAGGTACGTCTCCAATCGCACGACATTCCCGCTAGCAGTAGTCACTAATATGTACGCAATAGACTGTGGATGAGCTTTACATCTCAGCTGAATCAAGTGGACCGCCGACTCTGGACAACGGTTTGATCAACGGCACAAACACATACGATGATGGCGGTTCCAGGTTCTCAACGGCTTTCACGTCGGGCACATCATACCGTATCAGGCTTGTCAACGCGGCTGTGGATACGCACTTCCGATTCATGATCGACAACCACACTATGACTGTCATTGCAGCAGATCTGGTGCCTATCGTGCCGTACGAGACTACTGTTCTGACCATGGGCATGGGTGAGTTTCCTGATTCAATGTTTCCGTATGACACGGGAGACTAACGAGCATTCTTAGGCCAACGCTACGATATCATTGTCACCGCAGACCAAGCTTCCGTTGCCGACAACTTCTGGCTCCGAGCCATTCCCCAATCTGCATGCTCTGGTAAGAAACACCAAAGACGCTCATGTATACTCCGCTAACGCACAACAGACAACGATAACATCTACGGCATCAAGGGCATCGTGTACTACGGCGACGCAGCCTCTGATCCCACTACATCGGCATATGACTACGACGATGACTGTGACGACGAGACCTCCAACCTCGTACCCTACATCTCCAAAACCGTGGGTACACAGTCCCTCACCGAGGAGGAAGGCGTCACCGTCGGTTTCAACACGGACATGCTTTTCCGCTGGTACATGAACAGCACGACCATGGTAGTTGACTGGGAGGACCCCACGCTGTCGAAGATCCTCGCCGGCAACACAACCTACGCAACATCCAACGCCGTCATCGAGCTCCCCACCGCAAACCAGTGGTTCTACCTCGTCATCGCGACCACGCTCAGCATCCCCCACCCTATCCATCTCCACGGCCACGACTTCTTCATCCTCGCTCAAGCTTCTGGTACCTACTCCGACTCCGTTACGCTCAATCTCGACAACCCCCCGAGGAGAGATACCGCGATGCTGCCCGCCTCGGGCTACCTTGTCATCGCGTTCGAGACGGATAACCCCGGCGCGTGGCTGATGCATTGCCACATCGGATGGCACACGAGCGAGGGCTTCGCGATCCAGTTTGTCGAGCGCGCGGATGAGATCGAGGCGATTACTAACGCGGATCGTTTGTCCAACACGTGCTCGAACTGGAGCACGTTCCAGACGGCGAACTCGATCGAGCAGGAGGACTCTGGTGTATAGACGGCTGCGGAACGATGCGATACGAGGTGCTGATCTCGTAAGAGTCTCTTTTGTTGCATTGGAGCCGGCGAGAATCGGGGTTTCTTTGGCATATCTTGGAGTTGTTTGCTTTGTTGCTTATGATCGCTAGACCATTTGTCACGCTCATTTGGATATATACATCATGTTAATACACACTTGTCATACATACTTCTCCTTGCGTTCCTCTGTCGAGAACTCGCAGTTTCCATTACCTAGTGGAATTTCGTGCTCGAACCTGAAATGTATGTGCGGCGAGATGACGCATGCACGCACTCTCCAAACTTACGCAACTTGAACTTGGCACTTGCTCTGTAGCTTGGTAGCTGAACAATACCTGATATATCTAATCTCTCATTATGCGCTTACCCTTGACAGCAACTTTCACGCCACTGTAGTTGTGAGGAAGACATCCATAATCTACCCATAAGAACTTGGTCATTGATGTTTACCTGGAGCTGTTTGCACAAACACATCATATTGAAACAACATCTACTTCCCACCATACTAGCCCGTAATATCCAAGTCTACCTTCTTCAAAGCCACCGAGTCCTTACCCTCTCTCTCCTTCTTCGTGTACACATCACTGACCCTTTCCTTCTCCTTCTTCTTCCCCTGCATCACCACACCCGCACCCGCTTTCCTACCCCCCAACCTCTCAACCCCCCAAGCCAACACCCCCGCAACCCCAACCAACACAGCAATCAAATCCACAACATGCACCCCCCACCACCAATGCTGCACACCCACCCCACACGTCTCGAACCCCATCTGCCACTCCCCGAGCTCGGCGTCGAACCATGCGCTGAGGAAGCCTGCATATCCGCCGAAATCGCCCATCATGCTGCGCAGCGTGATCTCGCGCAGGTGCGGAGCGTCTGGGAGTGGGAGGGAGGAGGCGTAGCGGCGGGCTTGCCATGTGGGTTTTTGGGGTGGAAGAGGAGGGGCGGGGGAAGGAGCTGGGTCGGGAGTTGCAACAGGGAAGTCGTCGGCGGAGGCTTCGGAGGTTGATGCTTCGGAGGTTGGTTCTTCAGAAGGAGTTTCTATGGAGACCGGTTCTTCAGAGGTGGGTGCTTCAGAAGCCAGTTGCTCAGAAATCGGTATTTCAGTAGTTGGCTCTTCAGAGGTTGTTGTTTCAGAAGTCGTTGCTTCAGGAGTCGGTTCCTTAGAAATCGGTAGTTCGGATGTCGATACTTCAAAGGCCAGGTCTTCAGAGGTTGGTACTTCAGGAGACATTGGTACATCAGTGGTTCGGTCTTCAGAGGCTGGTAGTTCAGATATTGGTTCTTCGGAAGGTGGCGTGTCGGACATTGATAGTTCCGACGTCGGTGTTTCTGAGGCTGGTAATTCAGATGTTGATTGTTCAGAAGTCGGCGCTTCAAACGTCAGCTGTTCAGAGGTTGGCTGTTCAGATGTTGACACTTCGGAGGTCACTCCCTCAATCGTTGAGATTTCAAGCGTTGCTACTTCAGGCGTTGGCACATCGGTAGCTGGTTCTCCAGAGATCGATTCCCCAGTGGTCAATTTCTCAGTGATCGATTCCTCAGTGGCCAGTTCTTCAGTAGTCGATGCTTCAGGAGTCGGTGCTTCAGAACCAGACGCTTCGGCCGTTGGTTCTTCAAAAGTTGGTTCTCCAACGGTCGGTGGTTCAGAAGCCGGTACTTCAATAGTAGGTTCTTCAGAGGTCAGTGCTTCAGTAGTCGGTGCTTCAGAAGCTGTAGACGCCGAATCGGAGTCAGGACCAGAAGTAAGAGCGTCGCCAGCAACAGTCTCATCCAGCGACTTCTCTTCCTCCTTCGTGCCCAGATAATGCAGCACGCCACATCCTTCATGATCATGCCCACCTACAATAACGCCGCGCCGCCCACTCCCGCCGTCAGCCCTCTCGCCGAGCCCAAAGATGCCTTCCAGCAGCATCTTACTCGCATGGTCACTAAGCATATTCTGCTCCTTAACGCCGCCGCCCTCATCGCCGTTGAAAAAGTCGAAGAAGGGCGCGTCGACACATATACCAGCTTCCTTGTGGAGAGGGATATGCGTGAGCAGAATGGTGGAGACAGATTTATCGGCGACGGGGCGCGAAGTGGAGATCAGGTGGTTGAGAAAGTCGTATGTTTCTGTTTGGAGGGCGGGGGCCAGGGCAGGCGTGTCGAGGTTCATTGAGTTGAGGATTATGAGACGGAGGGCGGGGGGTGGGGAAGTGGTGTTGGTCGTGGACGCTGGCAATGTGAACCATATGTCCCAGTTCACACTGCCGAATGCTTGTTCGAAGCGCGCGATGCGGGATTCGTCCAGGTCACCTGCGTAGCCGATGTCGTGGTTTCCGGCGATGTTTATGACTCTTTTCGACCAAGACTCGTCTGCGCCGAGGACCTGTGTAGTGCCGCCCCATGTCCTCTTTTTGGCCTCTTTCTTCTCTTCCTCCTTCTCTCCTTCCCCCTGCCCTTCCTCGCCATCTCTCTCCTCATCAGCACACCCCACCCCATAAAACCAATCCGGCACCTTCTGCAACCCCCTCATAACAACGCCCCAATACCTCCTCCCCCTCCCCTCAAACTCCCCATCACTAATCCACTGACTCCCCAACAAGTCCCCCAAAACAGCCACATGACTCGGCCTAGTCCACCACCTCAACACGCTCACAATATGCGCAAGATAAAGATCATTCCCCCAAAGATCTACCGCCTTCCTCTTCCCCTCGAGCCACACGCCAACATCCCCAGCAATCCCCTTTACCGTGTTCTTAGCCAGCCGCGGCGACAAATCCCACAAGTCGTAGTGCTGCGCGAAGTGCGCGAGGGACGGGAACACGAGCGCGTTGGGGTCGGGCAGCGAGGAGTCGCCCTCGAGTTGCGGGTCGCCGAGCGCGAGGAGGCGGAAGGGCGCTGGTGCGTTACTGGTATTGGCTGGGGGCAGGGGAAACGCACAGCCGTGCAGCAGCGGGTACGTGTAGAGCCATGTTGTGCCGAGGAGGGCTAGGGGCGCGAGGAGCAGGGAAACGAGGAACAAAAGGCGCGAGAGCTGCATTGATGCATTCTTGGGGATGGGCTGTTGTGACAGACACGGTTTTGGACAGCGACGTGGATGCTGGGATTGCGGAGATTAGGTTGGTGACGAATGGGAGGAGAGGATTTGCGGCGGAGGGACCCGCTTTGGTAGGTATGCGTGGTGCTGAGTCAGCGTATAATATTGGTTGTGATGATTGATAGCTTTACACATCAACGTGCTCCAAACACCTATATATACTGATATCACTCTAAAGCCGTCGCTATTTCCCTTGTAAATTTCTTTCTTCTATAAAAGATCGGAATCCTGGTTATAGTCTCAAAGTAACCCTCCTACCATCCCAAGCTCAGGTGTTTATGTGACTCGCCTAGCGACCGTGAGGTATGATAGAGAGGATTTACAGAATAGCTATTTACCAGTGTCTTGATGAAATGACTCTCCCTAACACGAAAGTATCATATCCAATTTTTTCACACCACCCCTTTGTCATTGACAGCAACGCGGTTCGCGCGTCTCTCTGCATTCATAAACATCTTCAAGTCGATTTCATCTATCCGAGCATGGGAAAGATCTCTTGTCTTCTTCTGTTGTACAGGTTGGTCATTGCTGAGGGGGGTTGACGAGGTGGTAGTGAGTGTCACCGGTTGTGTAGGATGTTTGGCTGATATCGGCAAATATCAGCAGCTGTATTGGAAGCCTGGAAAGATGCCGGCGAGCATCATGCCCAGAAGAAAAGGCCTGAAGAAGCACTAATGAGTATTTAGTCGAGGCCAAAAGACAATCGGAAACACAGGAACATCGACGAAGCTCGACAATCAACCATTCTCAAACTTCATCAATTCCTTCCCCATTTTTCCAACCTCATCCTACCACCATGCATCTCCTACGTACCGCCGCTATCCTAGCCTCGTTGGCTTTGGCAGCGTCAAGCTTCGATTGACAGTTCGAAGGGGGGTCAGACGGTGAGGAATGCTCAGAGGGCGGGAGATGCCATGTGTAGTTGGTAGTAGGTAGTCACATGCAACTGCTTGAGCACGGTTTGTTTCGTATGCGTGAGTAATGCTCTTTCGACACTTCCCTGTCACCAAGTGCGACGAGATGAGACAAATGAGTTGTAGAAAAGTAGATTTGAGACGTCACAATAGATTGTCCCACTTTATATTGTGGGAAAGGACGGGAAGGCCGAAGAAGATGGACAGATTGAAGGCGGAAGCTAATGGGTAGACCCACTCTTATAGCCGACAAAGCAGGTACCCATTCGCCTAGCCAATCTGCAGAGCGTTTCGTTTCGACTACCAACATCTCGTCAACGCTGGTGACAATGTTAGCAGGTCGTCTGAATGCCACATGCAATAACATCCGAATGGAGCACCTGTTCATAACAATCGACAGCTTTCGTATATTCGTTCAGTTTTCAAGTCTCCAAGCTTCCTCTACGCATCAACTTTTCGTCACCACATTCCACTAACCAAGCAAATCCCCCAAAGCACCACCCGGCTTATTCCCCGACTGTGGTGTCTGCTGCGTAGGCGTACTTGAGCTGGAGGCCGGAGCACCCCAGAGACCCTGACTAGTCTTCTGCTTCGCTAGATCGCCCATGGTCGCCTTCTGAGTCGGCGTCTGCGGCTTCTTCGGCGCCACACCACCGAGCAACGCTGCAAAAGCGTCACCGCCTGCCTTCTTCGGCGCCGCGCTCCCGATCTTTGCCCCTGGGGACATGACAGAGGGCGTGGAGCGGGCTGACTGGGGCGCGGTTTGAGCCACAGATGTGAAGTAGTTTGGTCCTGAGGCTTGGTATCCTGCGGGCTTGGGTGGCTGGGAGAATGTCGAGGCGGCCGCCGGGGCGGACATGGGGGGAGGCGCGAATTGGTTTGTTTTTGCGACTGGTGTGACGGTATTGAACAGGTCGTTGAAGTTGCTGTTGTTGGTAGCTGATTGTGGCTGCGGTGCGGCAAATTGGGTCGAGGAGTTGATCGTGGACGTCGACGCTGGGGGCGCCATACTGAACGCAGGCTTGGATACGGGCGCGACGGGAGCTGGTGGTGCGGCGGACTGGAAGTCGTCAAAGTCATCGTCATCCCCAAAGTCGTTCGCAGCGGGAATGACGGGCTGCTTTCCTGCAGAGCTCGATACGGGCGCGGGCTCGTCATCCCAGGCCAGCAGATCGGCCACAGGTTCTGGTGCTTTTGGCTTGGGAGCTTCCTTCTTGACCTCTTTTCTGGCCGCACTGACTGGAGGCTCCTTCCGCCGCTGGGGACTCGCATGTGTGGCCGCCCCCTCGTCGTACTCGTCGTATTCATCGAAACGATCGCCTCGTTGCTGCGTATCCGCAAAACCAGATTCGTTTCCTCCAAAGCCTCCACCGTCTCCAAAGACACCCCCGCTATAACCACCGTAGTCGGCCTGTTCGCTGCCAAACCCACCATATCTGCTGCCGCTTCCACCGCCTCCACCGCTACCGGAAGAGAAGCCCCCACTCATGCCCGCTCCGCCCTCGACACCTCCAAACTTGTTCCGGTTCGCGCGCGCCTTCTTGCGCTCGGTTCGGATGCGGTCGACGTCACCGAGAAGGTCGGCGAGCTCTTTGGCCCGGTTGCGCACGTTGATGCCCTGGTCCTTGCCGTTCTGGTCGATGAAGTGGAACTGGCGGAGCATCTTGAGGAGCGAGACGTGGGAGCGCGCATCGTCGATGACCCGTTCGGAGCCGTTCTTGATGAGGAACTCGAGGAGTTGGAGGCCCTGTCTAGTCAGCACATGTGGGAGGGAGACGGGGCGGTGGGGCTACCTTGTAGATCTGTCTCCATTCCTCCGACGACTTTTCTGTGAAGCGCTTGTAGATCATTGGCATGATTTCGTTCAACAGCTGGCTGCATCTTGTGAGCGTCGCGTCCGAGAGCGCACAGGTGGCTACGCACTAGTTGAAGGTTGCATTGGCAATCTCCTGCATCAGCGACGAGGATGCACCTTGGCGCGGTCAGTCACGGGCCGTGTGTTGGGGAGGAGCACACTCACCCCAGGGCTCGTTGTTGGTCGCCTCGCGCACTTTCGACTCCATCTCGGTGAAGTTCATGACAGCTGCAGCGCCCATCAGCAATGGCCAGCTGGCCCTCCCCCTCCCGACTGCGTACCATTTTGGGCTTTCCGGAAACCGGCCTTGAGGTCGTAGAGCGACAAGTTGCTCACTTGGTCTTTCAGGCTGTTGAAATCCATCGTGGTGGGATTGCGCGTCGAGGCGGTTCGCTGTTCAGGAGAAGGGTTGGTGCAAGTGGCTGCGCAGTTCGTGTCGAAGCGGCTCGGCTGGCTGGCCACCACAGGGACGCCCGAGTCAGCCTTGCAGAGGGCACGTGGTGGTGAAGTGACTGTCAGCGCGAGAGATGGGCATAGGTAGGATTTTTCTGTTAGAAGGAAACGTTGGATATTTTTGTGCAGTGTGTATGTTTCATCACAGAGAGAGATGCTGGGTACGATAATCACGTGACAATATCTCCATCTCCACTCCTCTTGCGCCTACCTATCTACGCAGGCGAGCACAGTTGCCCCAAGCGCTAGTGCACCAGAGCTCGCCATCAGCTCGACTCGATGTTCTAAGTCTAGCAATAGCTTAAGATTACACTTCGCATCGTATTCATTGATCCTCTACATATAAGGTAGATAGCACTCAGACTAGCACATACATACAACATGAACATTGTCCCGTCTTTTGTCGCTTCTGGCTGAAACCTATATGTTCTACGCAAGAGCCCATCCTTGCCATGCACACAGTAACTAGAGAAAAAAGCTCCAAAGTACCAAGTTCAATACTAAAGCGATGAACGCGCCAAATTAGGAACGCGCCAGTCCGTGCTCAAGCTTCATCATCATCGGTCTCCAAAGTTTTCGATGTCTCGGTCACATCTCTTGCACCGCACTTCCAGCTTTTGGCGCTATTTCGTTTCAGCAATTGTACCATAGCCATCTCGTTCGTCTCTTGTGTTGCATACCCCCCTCATCTCTTCCCACCACCACCGCATTTTTCGAGTGCGATTTGCCATTGTACATCAATTTCTCCAGAATCACATTTGCCTCACAGGTAAGATGAAACCCCACGCTGCACATGGCAGATATGCAGCGTAGCCTTGATTCACCGCCAAGAACCGCTAGCTAACCCCTCACAGCCTATCACCCCGCGCTCGCCATGTTTGCCCCACTCAAGACTTCGTCCGCCGCCCTCTCGACCTTCCGCTCTGCCTCAATTCGCGCCCCAATCAACAAGCGATTCTTCACTCCTTCAGCCGCCAACATGACCATCAAGACATACTTTGACATTTCCTGGACCGGCCCCCAGGTCGAGGTCGACGGACAGGGCAATATCACCAAGAAGGGCGAGGTCGCGTGTAAGCTGCCCCTCGATAGCTGCAGCTCCATTGCGAGCGCGTTATAGTATATGCACTACTCGATCCGCTGCTGACAAACTCTCCTAGCCCAGAAAGGACGCATCAACTTCGAGCTCTACGAGGAGACTGTCCCCAAGACGGCTGAGAACTTCCGTGCTCTCTGCACTGGGGAGGTAGGCTTTGGGTACAAGGGCTCCAAGTTCCACCGTGTCATCCCCGACTTCATGCTTCAGGGTGGTGACTTCACCCGCGGCAACGTAAGATGCTCACTGCATGTACTAGGTGGGGCAATTGGCTGATAAACTGCAGGGCACCGGTGGCAAGTCCATCTATGGCGAGAAGTTCAGCGACGAGAACTTCAAGCTGAAGCACACCAAGCCATTCCTGCTGTCCATGGCCAACGCGGGCCCGAACACGTACGTCTCTCTGACCTACTGACTGCAATCGGCGCTAACACATCTCAGCAACGGCTCCCAGTTCTTCATCACCACCATCGTGACCTCGTGGCTCGACGGTAAGCACGTTGTCTTTGGCGGCGTTCCCGATGGTGACGTTGAGTCAATGAGGGTTGTCCGTGCCATCGAGGCATGTGGCTCCAGCAACGGTTCCATCAAGTACAAGGAGTCGCCAACCATCACTGGTGCAGGTGTGCAGTAGATGTTTGACTGAGCTGTGGAGACAGTTCGAAGTGACGGAGCGGTTCATATGCATTGAGGGCTCTAGCCTATACTAGAGCACTCTCCAAAGCAATAAATACCTACCCGATCTATCATTCACGAATTCATGATTGTTCTACGTAATGTTTGTGCCTTGTTTCGCGCTCCGCGATGCTCCATAAAATTTTGGCGTAATGAGGGGCAGCTGCCCCGCACTAGTCAGTTGCCCCACCATCGTCATCGCCGTTTCTCTAGACAGGGCTGCACAGTTGTTGAAGTGGTGTAAAAGAGTAGAAATAAATGTGGACACATCTAGCGGCTATTTCCATCTCGTGTAGGGCGTGATATTGACATTTGCTCAACGACTGACTCAATGACGCCATTCGCCGGCTTGCTTTAAACTGTCTCTGCATCCTTCTTTGTCTAGGTATTGATATTCGTACTGGACTTCGGCAATTCCACACTCGTCAAACCTATCTCGAAATGTCTCCATCCTACCATGCCGCAACGCACGGCATTCACGCTGATAACCACGTAAACGCCCTCACCGACATCGCCCCTCCCATCCACACATCCACCACATTCCGTTATCCCCGCAACCCAGATGAATTGGAACCTGTCCCTGAAGAGGGCGAATTTGTCGATCTAACGACACCTCTCATCTACTCTCGTCTTGCATCCGCAAACACCAATCGCCTCGAGACCATCCTAGCCCCACTGATTTATCCCAATGCCAAACAGGAAGAGTTGGGAGGCAGTGAAGGACTGGCAAACCATGTTGTCAGTTACTCGAGCGGATTGAGCGCGTTCCACGCGTTGCTCGTCAATGTTGTGCCCAAAGTCATCGCGATCTCTGGCGGCTACCACGGATGTCACGGCGTGATCGACCTACACAAGAAGATGCACAACGTGAAAACAGTAGACCTCCACGCCGACGACGCAGCATGGGATGCCGCCGGTCTTGGAAAGGGCGATATTGTGCATCTCGAAACTCCGCTGAATCCCACCGGCGAGGCCTTTGAGATCAAAAAGTACGCCGAACGAGCTCACAAGCGAGGTGCATTTCTCAGCATCGACTCCACATTTGGACCGCCCGGTTTGCAGGATCCGTTCCAGTGGGGAGCAGATGTAGTCATGCACTCTGGTACGAAGTACATCGGTGGACACAGCGATATGCTCTGCGGTATCCTCGCCACATCTACTTCAAAGGAGGGGCTGAAGATGGCAAAGACGCTCCGCGCTGAGCGCATCTTCCTCGGCGCAGTGCTAGGCTCGCTAGAAGGCTGGCTCGGCGTGCGCAGTCTGCGGACCATGGAACTCCGCGTCCAACGTCAGTCTTCAAACGCTACACAACTCGTCTCCTGGCTCAACGACTCCCTCAACGGAAAGACCAGCGACGCGGAGCTCGTGAAGAAAATCGTCAACAAAGTCTCACATGCGTCCCTCCAGGCAGACGATATGTCGTGGCTCAAGGAACAAATGCCCAATGGTTTCGGCCCCGTGTTCAGCATCTACACGCATAAATCATCCCAGGCACGAGGTCTGCCAAGCCATCTACAGCTTTTCCACCACGCCACGAGTTTGGGGGGCGTGGAGAGCTTGATCGAGTGGCGGCGCATGTCAGATTGTGACGTTGACGAGACGCTTTTGCGTGTCAGTGTTGGAGTGGAGAACTGGGAAGACCTGAAGAACGACTTTTTGTCTGCTTTCAAAGCACTGGCAGACGGTGCGGAGAAAGAGGACAAGAGTGGCGAGGGAGGGAATGTAGCGGTGGGGCAGCAGGGGGCGGAGATGCCTGGGGCTGGTGCAGGGGCTGTCTGAATAAGTGTTAGGAGAGGGTGCTGAGATAGTATCGAATGCGGCAAAGCTTGTCTGGTGTCAATTCATGATTTTACATCACTGTTTTAATTGGTATTTCGCGCTCTCTCAGGGGATCTTCATGCTGATCTGCTGTACTTGTAGATTCTAATCCATACGCGCTAGTTATTATACCACCCTCAACAACGACACTCTGCACGCCTCCCTTCCCATGTTCTCGAAGATAAACCCCCCGGTTCAAACGCTACGTCCCATCCCATAAGATTATATCACATCACCAAACAGATATGACACCACCAGAAGAGCGATAGCCAACGTTACACAACAAACAACAAGGTGCAATGTTGGATGCTAACTGGCTGGTCTCGGGTAGTACAAACATGCATGGTTAATGCACCTTATACTATGTATGCGCCTTTCTTTTTGCATTTATTTTGTCTTGTAATTGTTCATTGCGGTGCTATATGCACTCAAGACACACACCAAGACATAGCTTATACATTAGCGCGGAAGTGGTTCTGGGCAGAATCCCAACGTGCCAACTCATAGCACGCTACTTACACCATTGTGGAGACTAACACAGCAGGCGTAGCTTGAGCATGAAGACGTGGCCGACGTTAAGAAGGAGAGAGAGTTATGTATACTACTCATAAGATCACCCACCGCATAGGCAATCTGGTGCTTCAAGGTCATCAGCAGCGACGAGCAAGATGCATGATTAGGCTGTCATCCCGATGTAACATGATGACGCCAGATACATGAGAGGCTGCATTATGCGTTGTTGACTTTCGGGCATTCTGGTGCCGCTCAGTCTTTCACACGCCCGGGAGGCTCCGTAGGAGATCGATTCGCTCTCGTCCCCCGATCGATACGATGTCCGACAAGCCTAAGCGAACAAAAATCGATGGCGATCCGTAGCAGCCGAAATAGCCTACGAACCGAAAGAGTCGTTCGCGATCGGCAGAATAGGAGAAAGCCCTAACAGAAAAGGCTCATCAACGCGAAAGAGAAACCCTTAGGCAGCTTGATAGAGTTTGCAACGTAGAAAATGCGATGCTCTTGGCCCTCGCCAGAGTAGATGACATTCGCTGAGAACAGATTCGATTTAACACAGTATAGCTTGGGTGCTTTCTGACGCGATGACGAAGCGGGCGGAGCGGGCCTTGCCGATCGTGACAGACAGTCTAACTACAAATCGAGCACTAATGCTAATCGGGCATGAAAACAACAGGGGGTTTCACCTCTTGTAGATCTGACATGGACTGTTAAGAGATCGATGAACAGACACCTGTATGTCAACCCTTAGAGCTACGCGCTACGGCAATCTAGCTCGTGCTGCTCACGCTAAGGCGAGTCAGTTAGTACTTGCCCGGTCAGTGAGTCCTTGCCAGTCACCTTTGGCCATACAGATTTTAGTCAGTGGTACTTCCAGGGTTGGATTAGTAGACCTACCATACGCATATCCATATGCTGACCTGGTCCCAATCGTTACGCCGTTGTCCCCTGCAATCCCTGTAGGTCCTTACGTCCCTTCTCATGCGTCTTGTCTCTATCTACTCACCCTGTGCTCCATGGTTGCATTTGTAAACCATAACGCGCCATGATCCACACAGTATTACGTATTTCGCATCGACCTAGTTAGAGTCATCACCGATGCATGTGCACAAAATCGATCGAGGCATCAATTGCCCATGCGGTGTTTTGTTGAGAAGATAAACGCGCAACAACGAAGTCGCACGAAGGATAACAGGGGCACGTGAATTCTCTTCTCAAGTAGAGTATTTAAGCATCTTGGATTCCGTGTCTTACCATTGATTCACTTCACACTACCCACTTGGCTATTATTACCAAATTCCTCAGTATCAGCAAAATGGTGAGTAACTTATATAGAAATCAGGCAAGCTTTAGACCACTAATTGTTGCCAGGCTTCTCAAAAGCTTTACATTCCGCCCGATGGCATATCAGTACGACTCGCCAATTTGAAGAGCCACCGTGTTCTCTTCTCAAGGTCCCATGAGGCGCCATACTTTGGACATCACCCTTTAGCGGACGTCTGCGATGACCAATGGTGGAAGATCATTCCGGGTACAGGTTCTCGTGAAGGAACATACCTTATAAAGAGCGATGTGACTTCAGAAGTGCTTTACTCTCGGTCGAACAATGCACCAAACTTCGGAACTGATGGTGGAAACGGGTCTTATGACGACCAATGGTTCGTTTTCGAGGCTGGCATAGGCAGGCGGGCCAGCTACTTTCGCATCAAGGCTCCATCGACCAACACCGTGGTGTTCTCACGTGATGCCGACCCCCAATTGTCTAGTCATCCGGCTGATGGGACGGTTTCTGATGACCAATACTTCACCTTCATGATGGAAGATATGGTACTCGACAGCATGGTGTTTCATGAAACCGGAGGCGTCATCGGAGGCACGTCACCGAGCTCCCTGGGCAAGCAAACATTGCCAAACAGGTCGTCTACCCCTCAGACAATTACCGCAACGTTCACCGAACAAGAGGATAGAGAATATTCCTTCGAGCATACGACGGGAATGTCTCTGACCGTCGGCACCGAGCTTTCCGTCGGAGTTCCTGGCATCGCCGAAGGAAAAATAAGCATGTCTGCCACGCATAGCGAGGAGTTCAAATGGGGCTCCACTACAAAGACGGGCAAAGGCACCGCGTACAATTTCGCCGTGACTGCACCCCCCTGGACGTGTGTCACGGCGTACGCCACTATGAACAAGTCTAAGATGAGTGTGCCGTATACCATGACGCTCAAGTCGAAGAGCACGGGTTACAAGGTTGTTACTGAAGGGGTGTTCCACGGCGTGCACATGTACGATGCAACGTGCTCCTACACCGAGGAGAAGCTTAGCCACTAGAGTATAGTTATTGACGCCTAAGGCTTACAATGTTCTCTTGCAAGGATTAGGCGCAAAATATATCCTTGCTATAAACTGCTCCTGGATTGTTACACTTCTTATACACTCTCCTTTATAGAACTGTATTTCGCCCCTGACCTCTGGTCATACTGCGAGTAAATGAGATGCTATGCAGCCGAAGTGCATAGTCGATCACAGTAACTTTATTTGACACTTTTAAGTGCGTAAACCTGGTGTTGACTGTATCGAGTGTTGAGAGAGAAGAACGTATAGTAATATGTGTGTTTACTGATACTATATCTCACCACGCAAACAAGAAAATCACGACTCTAGGTTGGGATTATTGTACAGGTCAACGTTCAACACCCATTATCTCTGACTTTTCGTCGTTACGAGCAAAAGAATTTGCCTCAAACTATGTCCATTGGCTAGCCGTTGTAATGTGTCGACTAGTCAATCACATCAACATCTCTCATTCCACGGGATTGCTTTCTTCAATGCGTGTTGGACGTCGTTAAAATTCCCTCTTCCCTTACGTCGCCGTGACTGCGACCTTTTCTGTGATACTTTACCAGGAAATTCTCCTTCATTACCTCCCATGAATTGTGCGAATTTCATGTTTTATGAACAGTACAAATACAATCGCTCATTTGGGAAGACAACCGAGATATTTGTCAACTACTCAAGCTATATGTCGCACTGACATATTCTCACTAAGAGGAATTGATATACAATGGTAACAATTTCACACATATCCTAATACAGTCTCCTTTCGCACTCTAAAGAACCACATCTCCTTTCAAACCATCACATCCGCATCACATCATCACGCAATCCAAAACTTCAGAGAAACATTCATGTATCCTTTCTATGATATTTCTACCCGTCTGCTTACCCTACCCACAATCGAACATGCGGAAATGAGTCATTGTGACTTGTCAAATATACGCCGTGAAGAGCATAAGAAGAACACTCCAGCAGCCCCCGATTCGCAGGATCTCAACTCGCTCAAACTTGGAGTATGTACCACACCGTAGACAGGAGACGGGAGAATAGCGTAGGAAGGTATGAGTTGTTGATGCGATAGACGTGCAGGGCTAGTCTTTGCATGTTGATAGACTTAGATACATGCCGACTACATTACTTGTAATATTCCGTACGGAGTATGACCATGGGAAATTGTGTGCGAAATACATGTCATTGTGTATGTTCATATTTCACAAATCATACGGTTCTAGCAGTTCAAAAGGCTTGTACGGTCACCTGCTGAACGCACTATGATGTAGGAAGAATGAAAAAGTTCTGGGGCACAAGACAAGGCTGTTACGTGAGATACTGTTACTTTTCACTTGTATTTTATTAGTTTTCGCGTTTTTTTGCGAACAAGTTGCGTAACGTACTATTCCATGTAAATTTCTAGTGTCAGGTCGGAATTTGGTCATGTGAACTAGAGGGGACTCTTTCTCCTGAACCGCATGTATGGGTTGTTAAGTTTAAGTTCATGCAATGCAATGCACTGTCTTGCCACCACATTCCAGACAACCCAGCACGTTCCATCACGTATTCAACGGGACGAAACGAGACGGATTCCAGTGAGACATATCGGAACAGAGAAGGAAGATCACGCGTGGCAATAGATTGTACCGCGGAATAAAACCTACCCCAAGACCTACTCTAGTAGACGAGGACTCCACCCGCAAGTCCCCGGTCTCTCTACTCAGAAGGCACTAAACACGAGGGCGAGATCCGACATGTCCCTCCAATCCATGCAGTTTCCGCGGCCTACGCTAGAACTCATCAAGGTAAAGCAGCGGTCGGAAGTTCTGGACTCAACACTATCTAAGTACAGGGGTGACGAGGCTCTTTGCGCCACTGCACATGACTCAAGATTTAGAGTATAGGTGGCTTGCATGATTGCAGGGGCCTTGCTCCGGATTGTGGGGAGGTTTTTTCACGCTTGGAATGCCGATGGATTGGCTTGGCAGTGGATGTCGGATGGGGCATATCGGCACGTGGGCTCTGGGGATGTGGTGTTAAGGTGGGGAAATCGTACCACGATTGGGGGGGATTGCCTATTGCGGGTTGAGCGTGGAGATGTCTTCGGGAAATGACGGGGCAGATGATGGGGAAACGATGGAGACGACGACGGGGAAAATTGCGGGGTTTGCCTGGCAGAAAGTTCATTGGGACAATTGCAAATTCATTGTTTGGGTGTCAGATAACATTGTGGAATTTCAATCGTCGTATTTCATTTCTCATGCTAACCACCAAAGTTACTCATATCTTCGTTTTCATCTCATGCAACGAAACAAGCCATCGTGCATTCAAACCTTCTCGACGTTGTTAGATTTGGGCGCAGTCTCGTGGACCTCAATAGCTCTTACACCATCCTTCTCGGAGTGAATGCTACCCTGTTCGATGTCCTTAGCCACCTCCCCAGCACCGATCGGGGCGCTAGTCTCGAAGTGACGACCCTTCTTCTCAGGACCCACTGCAGTCGTGCAAGCAATACCCATAGCGATGATAGCTGTAGCAATGCCCATAACTGGACCATAAGCTGGAGAAAGCTTGCCATCGTGCGTCCTGATTTGGTGCGATTCAGCCAGTGCGTTGACGATTTGCGCGGATGGCGAAGAAATCATGTTTCCGAGTTGATATGTAATTCCGACGAATGACGAACGGAAAGCAGGTGGCGACAGCTCGTTGAGATGGATGGGAATCACTCCCCATGCTCCTTGGACGAAGAACTGAATCATGAAGCCAGAGGCTGAGAGGCCGCGTTCGGTGGTGGGCAGAATCCAGGCCGGAATCATGAAAGCCGACATGAACGCAGCGCAGATGATAGTGCGACGACGGCCGAACCATTGCGAAGTGTACCCAAGGATAGTACCGCCCACACAGGCTCCGGTCTTCATCAGGATAGAGGCGCGGGTCGAACCAGCAGCACTGAGGTGTTTCGACTGCTTCATGAATGTGGTGTAGCTGTCTTGGCTGGTGTGCGAATAGAAGTTAAACTAGATCGCATTAGTTGGAGTTGATCGAGAAGACTTTAGGTGAGTGGACGTACCCAAGTCATCAAGAAGATACAGTAGACACACATCTTCCACTCCTTAGCAAGCATCACCTTGGTCTCCATCCAGAAAGCGCCGGGAGCTTTTGCCTTGTGGCCTGCCTTCTTTGCCTCGATGAACTGCTGGGACTCGGGGAAGAGGATTCGAAGGAAGCCAACAGCGATTGAGAAACCAGCTCCGATCCAGAAGACAATCTTCCAGGTGTTTGTCTCTCCACCAACACCCAAATTGGCGCAGGCGGCAAGAACGTAGCCGAAAGAGTATCCTTGTTGGAGGATACCACTCATAAGACCTCTTGCATCGACACTGTGGATGTTAGTGGTTGTTCGATGCAATAGGTATGTACTGCTTACGGGCAGTTCTCCAACGCCATGGAGATGGCATTTCCGTAGACACCACCCATGAAAAGCCCGAACAGACTGCGTACAGCAAGGAACTGCTGGAAAGTACCAGCGTAGATGGTTGCGACTTGAAGAAGTCCCAGGATCATCATGTTGATGACCATGGGCCATTTGCGACCGAACTTGTCACTGAAATTGTCAACTTCTGCACTTCGATGCTCACACTGTATTAAACATACCCGGCCAGACCGAAGAAGGCAGCACCCACAGAACGCAGAAGTAATGTCAAGGTGATAGCAGTGGTGATGTTCGTATTGGATTGCTTGTAGTAAGCTGCGAGCTTGGTCGTCTGGATCGAGAGCGCGTGAAAGTCGAAAGCATCGGCGGTCCATGCCAAAAAGCCGACAATGAAGTAAAGCCAGTCTTTCAGTTTGAGCTGAGCGAATAGGCTGAAGGGGTTCTTCAATGGTGCAGGCTTCTGCCATTCGCAGTGCTCTTCGCCGTAGTCATTTCTGACCACGACGCGCTGGTCCCAGGTGAAGAGGTCTCTCAAGCTCTGCTTGGCCGTCGCCAAAGTGCCCTTGGCCAGAGGGTCTGCTGGTCGGTTGGTGCTCGCCATGATGACTACAAGAGCTTAAAGGCGGACAAAAGTGGGGCAGAGACTGATACTCTTCGAAAGCAAGATATGAGCCTGAGCAGAAAACTGGTGTGCGGAATGGATGGCACAGACTCTATATATACCCAATAGTGAGTCCATCGGGATCTTTTACCCCATACATTCGCTTGCAAGCCACCTGTGCGATAAAATGGATGGGTACGGTATGGATGCGGAGCGAAAACATGCCAAGGGCCTCTAATGATGCAGGCGCGGAGTAGCTGCAGAGTGGATGTAACAACAGGCCGAGGAAGCCAAGACTACCAAGCAATAGTGGTGGAGGACTGGGCTCGGATGTCGTACGAGTGAGGGAAATGCCACCCTTCCCCAGGTTTTTGCCGAACGTATCAGAGCGTGTAGTATCATAGCGCGCCAATCTCCACCCTGTTGCCTCGTTCCCCACGGGGTTGCAAGGACGCGCTGCAAAATCTCCGAAGCACGTCGATGATCGTACGCTTTTGTGCGAGTGCCCGATAGCGGCTGTTTGGGCTCTGCTTACAACATTGGTATTGCTGTTTGCCTGTTCAGTCAAGCTCTGTGGCGTTGGAGAAGCCTTCTTGCGCTACCTTCGCGCTGAAGAAGCTCCACGCCGAGCACGGCAGCCACAAAACTTGGCGCACATTATTGAAAGTGAGCCTAATGGTCGCGCTGAAGCCTGCCTCCATTCCACGGGCGATAACAGGGTACGTAAGTGGCACGCCTGCCAAGCAGACAAAACTGTTTGGCTTGCAGGCCAAGATGGACACTTCGTCAGCCGAACGTCCTTGGACAGGCTTCTTTCGACAACCCTGGTGCGGCGTTGGGATGGGTTGCCACAAAAGGCCAGCCGTGTGGTGAGGACCACTGCGTTCGGCGGTGAAAGCATTAAGAGCGGGCATCTGTGAGTCCTTATTGCATTCACACCAGATGTATCGAGACCGAAGGACGGGCAGCTAACCCATGATGAGCTCAGTCGTTGTGCAGTGCATACACGCGCGGGCGCATGGAGGTCGACGGTGCACAAGGCCAAAACGCGACGAATCGTTCTGGCTGTAGAACAGCGTTGGCAGTTTTGGAATGACTGACTCCTGACGCGCAGGTGACACGCAGAGTGAGGGGAGTGTTCAGATCGGCAGTGGAGAACGGCGGAGACGCCGCCAAAAGCGCTAAGACGAGGACGATGCGAATCGCGATCAGGCCTTGCATGTTCCCATACACCACCATCCGGATTCTGGCGACTGCCAAGAACATCGCATGCGCGGACATTTGTGCTTCTCTGATTCGTCAGAATCGATCGACCTCGGAATAGTTTTGCTATCTACATCGCTCAACAAAAAGCTAAGTAGTGTGACAAAGCGTCCAACCGCGTGCTAAATTGTGTCTTAGCGCCTACCGGCAGAAGCATACTTACTGCCATGGTTAGCGAAGTTTCCAAATTAGCTTCACTACAGATACCCAAAATCTCGGCCGACAAGCCACCATGACAGGTGAATCTCTTCCGATCAGTCACCCAAGTACCCAAGACCCGAAGGATTCGCGTCAGGCGTCGCTCGTCGGAAGAGCGCCGAGTCAAATCGGCAGCTTTCACCGACAGAAAGCTGACTCAGAACGCGCGGTTCCCTGACACTAAAATCTCGCATTGAGATTCTGCCCTGCACCATCTCTGCTTCGACAGCGGATTAAACATCAGGATACATTGCAGCATCTTGTCTGTTGTATCATGAAGGAGTATTAATTGGACATGAGAACTGGCCTATCGCGATCCGCCAAGATACACTTCATCAGTACTAACAGAAGATTATCCCCTAACATACGCCTGTCAAAATCGTAGATAGCTGTCTCGGCGCCGAGAGCAGGAGGTACTTGGAGATTGACGTCTGAAACGTCAACAGTGTCTTGAACCAAGTCGACACGGATGTATTTAGACTAGATTGTTCTCCCTTCGACTGCATATGTTACGATAGCTTAGTTGTCTTTGGGAAGACGACGTGTGAAGTTTCATTTCCTTGAGTATGTAGTGTTAGGGTGGTCTGATCATTATCAAGTCAATTCTCATACGAGATGGCGTATGAAGGTCATCAGCGGAGAGTCTTGAGCCGAAGATGTCTTGGGAGCAGGTTCAGTGCTGATCACCGATAAATGGCATCTTCCCAGTCCACCTCCTTCAATGTTTAACGCCGAATGTCAGATAAAATGAACCCTTGGTCTTGGCCAAGGGTTTGCAAGACCATCTACGAAGCCAAAAGGAGAACGTGAGAACGAGAAAGTGTCCCCCTTGTCAAGAGCACTACTTCTTCTTTACTTCAGAAATCATGGGTATGAGTTGACTATAACGATGTAAAGGCTTGTGCTCAACAATCTCCTCAGCTACGCTCGAGGAGCTCGTTTCATCTGCTTCCAATTGTTCTCTACTGGCTGCTCCTTCTCGGCACATATTGTCCAGAGCCTATTTGGGTGCGCGCTTGTTCTCATAGTAGAGTCATATCTGCTTACATCATACTCATAACTTGGCCATCCTTCAACAGATATAAGTCTTGTATAGTGAAAGAAATCGAGTTTTCTGTGCTCGCGCGGTCGGATGAATAGTGGACCAAGTTCTACAGTATATAGGTCAACGTACATATATAGAATATTTGGTCTCAGAGTAGCTTCATATCCGCACTATGGACAATCAACTGCCACTCATAGCTATTCATGCACGTGGTTTCTAGCCGTGTATGAGATGTGGACAAGATTACCATAGAAACAAACTTTAGGCATGCACACAAGAAGAGGTCAACAGGCAAGAAGGGACTCTGACAGAGTGTATATAGACTGTGCAAGTAATTAAAGCAATGTTCCGGAAAGCCATTGAAGGTGGTATAGAGGAGGCAGCGATTTGCTTTAATGTGTATGTCGATCCACGTGCCGGCTGCACAAAGCAGTGAACATGATGTGGCGGATGATAGATGGCCTTAGCCTCGGTTGCAGTACAATCAAATGAGATGTATGATCCAGCCAGCTCCAGGCATGCAACCTTCCATACAGGCCCGTTCTTGAGTTTCGGTTTCCACATATCACCCTTCAAGTATCAAACTACACTCCATCAGCACACATACAATCCACAGTCCGGGTCTTCACATACCTGCCACTTCTGCAATCCACTAGCTCTATCTCCTGCTCTTGGTGGTGCTCTGCTTGCCATCTTCGGCTCATGCGTTTTTGAGTACTCCTGCGCAAGAGATGGGCATGCTTTCTTGTGTGCTTTGAAGTGTGCCTTCTGGCAGTCTTTGCCGCAGTACAACACGCTGTGGCATTTGTTGCACTCTTTCAGCGGTTTTTCATCCGAAGTCTTGTTGCACTGGGCGCATGATTCTAGCATGCTGGTTAGAGATGTGTGGTTCAAAAATGGCAGGCTGGGGTACCCGGCGCGCCTGAGGCACTGGCATTTGACGACTCAGCCATCGTTCTGGAGTGTGTGTAATGTCTTTATGGGCTCTGATTCACGGGACTGACTTGTTACTGCCTGTGGGAAGATTTCACGGCGCAAATGCAGGATTACGGCGAAAAAAGGTTAGTGTGGGGTGCGTTGCGCTAACGATGCTATCTCCGAGTAAGGACCGCACCTGCACATCTCACGCAAACCTGCATTTACTATTCTCCCGTGGCATGTTTGGAACATGGAGTCGCAAGATTCTCGTGATGATTTGCGATAGGAAAACTGAGGCTGATAGTCATGTTTCTTTCCATATGTTCCCAATTGGTCTAGCCGTCATCGACGCCCGATAAGCGATTTTGGGGCACAAGAATACTTTTAGCTTTAACGCTCTCAAAACCACCAGCGTCAAAGTGCTTCCGCAGTCTTGGACGGGCCATGCCTTCTATATCGACCCTCTTCTGGGCATCCATCCCTATCCTGCTGGCCGCACTCATCTACCAGGTCGGAGTCCCAGCAATTCTCCTCACGTCGATAAGCGAGCATATCGCGTTCAGGGTACTAGGAAATCTCTTCGCAACGACCCACTGCTATGCCTCTGTTAAAACATTGTCGGAGGGGCTAGATCATGCCGAATGTTTCAGCGTTTCAGGAGGAGTATTCACAAAAGTGTTCCCAGATCATTCTCTCGATGCAGTTAAGCATGCACGTACCGGGTACGTGGTGCCGGGCTTCTGGGACGGGCATGGCCATTTGTTGATGTATGGAGAACTGCTGGATTCTGTAAGCTTATTTGGTGCTGAAGATATGAGAGAAGTCAAGCGAAGACTCGTGGAATACCAACAAGAACGTCCAGAGACTGGAACGAGTGAGCAATGGTTGAGAGGAGTTGGATGGGATCAAGCAAATTTTGACGGCGAATGGCCGGTATCGGTATGGCTATTCTATATGTTTGATGTCAAGTCAGATCACTTACATCTTTACAGTCAGATCTTGAGATCGACAATGCCTTCAAGGACCTATATGTCATGTTAGACAGAGTAGACGTTCATTGTATCTGGGTCTCCGAGAAAGTACTATCTCTCTTGCCATCGTATCTGCCTGATATGCCTGGAGGGGAGATCCCAGCAAAGGGTGTCTTCTGCGATAACGCTATGGACATCGTCCTGGAGCACTACCCAAAGCCTGGCAAGCAACGCAAAACCAAATTCATCAAAGACGCTATGTCTGAGTTGAACAGGTTTGGTATAGTGGGAATGCATGACGCTGGCGTTGTTCCGAGTGATTTGGAACTCTACAAAGAGCTCTCTGCAGATGAAGACTGGACAGTCCGAGTCAACGCGATGGTTGAGTGTGAAATGAGGAATACGTTCTGTCCTGACGCGGTGGAAAAGTCAAAGACGCCCAAGCTGCAAATCAATTCTGTGAAACTATTTGGGGGTATGTATCCGCCTGTCTGTTCAAAACAAGATGCTTACGTATGGCAGACGGCGCGCTTGGAAGTTGGGGTAGTGCGATGATTGAGCCATACAGCGACAAACTCGAGAGTTCTGGTTCGCTTTTGGTGAATACCAGTACCCTCTCTAAGTTGACTCTAGATTGGGCAGAGGCCGGATTTCAGGTCAACATCCACAGTATTGGCGACCTTGCGAATCGGCACGCGATCGATGCATTTGAAGCAGCTTTAGAGGTCTTGTGTCCTGACATCGATCCCTACTCGTGTCAGTCTCAACATCGTTTCCGCATCGAGCATGCTCAGATTATCCATCCAGAGGATCAATCTCGGCTCCTCAAGCTAGGCATTATCCCTTCGATTCAACCCACTCACGCTACTAGCGATATGGGTTATGCCGAGAGTAGACTTGGCAAACAGAGGACAGCGCAAGAAGCATATCGAATGCGCTCACTCTTATCTCTCCGCCCTGTGCTTGGATCTGACTTTCCAGTAGAGCCTCCCAGTATCCTCGAAGGCATGTACGCTGCAATTACGCGAAGAAGTCCAAGAACGGGACTTGACCCTAACGGCAGTAAGACTGGTTGGTATCCTGAAGAGACCATCACTCTGGGGCAAGCCCTGGAAGGTTTCACTGTCAACGCTGCGTACGGCGCATTCCTTGAAGGCAAAGCTGGGATAATCAAACCTGGGGCGTATGCGGATTGGGTCGTTCTAGACGAATCATTAGAGACGACAGATTTGCGAAAAGCGACTATCCGAGAGACGTGGGTTGGTGGTAAGAGAGTGTACCTACGTCCTGCCGCCGAAGGCACTCCCTGAGTCAATACCAGGAACCAGGGTGCAGCGAAACTATGCAACAGCTAGACAACTACAGCTAAGTTTAGTGTAGCAATCTTGTGCCTGGATTTTAAGCTGTATACGCCTTGCGTGTACTTTAACAAATTCTAATTGTGCTGTTTTGCGGCCTGTAGGAGCCACAAAGAATGTGACTTCCCGCTTTTACAGTTGTCCGAGAGTCGGGATACATGGCTTGTTGTCGATCCATTAGTTGCACGTCCTACCTCTCACTCCGTCGCATCGTCAAACATTGCCGCATTTCTCCTCGAACAGCCATGACACGCATACGCTCTAGCTCGCTAACTCGAGGCTAGCTTCCGTTTGCGTGTAGATTGTTTTACATTGTGCGTGGCATGCTATCCCACGCCATCACGGTACTCACCATGTATCCCACCAACCAAAGCAAGTTGCTCCAGTGCAGATCACAGTCGTACAAGAAACCAATCTGCATGCAGGAATTTCTTTCGAATTTTCGTTTGCTCTAGCTGCGTTTCTCCAACGCATATACGTATAAAAGCTGTCTCAGCATATCGATCCAAACTGCGATCTCACCACATCCTTCCTCCGCGATACAGCTCCCTAGTTAGATCGTTTCGGTGGGTAAAGATTACATACGCCTGCGATGACGACCCCATGGACGCAAACGGCTGGTGTGGTGAAATCGAACACAGTGCACGTGGCCACAGACTCGCCTCCCACAACCCCGTCAGCAATAAGTACATCTGCCCATCAGCTTGTGTTTCAACTCCGGAACATACTCGAAAAACTCTCAGCCCTCGAAACTTTGGTGCCAGGCAAAGAAGTCAACGAGCTTCTCACAGGGCTTGTGACCCTGTGTATCACGCCCTATCCCTCAGAGCTCACCGCCTATTTCTTGAACATTGACGGTGTACAATCACTTTGTGAACAGTTACGTCCACTTTGTGCAACAGCGGAGGGTGAGCTAGAGAGATATTGGGCACATCGCATATTTCAAGATGCATCCTCAGGTATCCCCGTTATGACTACTTCTATCCTATCTTCACTGATCAATTTCAGTCCCAAAAGTGCTACACCAGCCTCGTAATCTCCTGTACTTGTTTCCATACTACCAAAACTACCTTGACCTCTCTCGTCTCGAATGCTCAACTCTCGAAGCCTTCCTCTCGTCAGAACCCCGTAACATTGCTTTCATCGGCTCAGGACCATTGCCCTTGACCTCGTTGTGTATTCTCGATCGTTACGCGAGAGCAAGAGTGCATAATGTTGATCGCGATATTGAGGCCCTTCAAGTCAGCCAAGGGCTATGCGAGAAACTCGGGTATGAAGATCGAATGAGTTTCTCGTGTGAAGACGTCAGTATGGACTCCGGCCAGGCGACAAGTGGATTATACGAGACGGACTGGAAATCCTTCGATGCCATCTTTTTGGCTGCGCTCGTGGGTCTGGACACAAATGCCAAACTCGGCATTCTGGAATCTCTGAGTAAGAAATTGGAGCCAGGGACGCTGGTCGTGGCAAGGAGTGCGCGGGGACTAAGAAGCGTGTTGTATCCGGTATGTTGAGTTTATCGTATATTCTGTCAACAGAATAACCTAACAGAATTAGGTTCTTGAACTTTCACAGGATTTACAACGTATCGGGTTTGAGGTCCTAGCCGAAGTGCATCCCTGGACGAAAGTGGTAAATTCGGTCATCGTTCTAAGAGTTATGGAAGTATGCGACATGGACTGAAAAAGCATTTGGCAACACAAGTAGCGGGGATTCTGGTATTTCTTAGTCACTTAAGACAGCCCGGCTTACGGTTAGGCAAGAGTAAGGTTCAGTGTGGATGGTCATGCTTCAAGTTGTATCATGCCTAATAACGAGACAACATGAGCAGACAATTATAGTAGAGCATCCATACATTCTGTACATCCAATAACTTCTTGGGTTTACAACTTTCGACTCGCTCATCAATCTTGATAATCATCACGTTCTGAAACAGGCGTATAAGTCGCCTCCGAACCACCTTTCCCCTCATATCCAGCGACTTGATCCTGTACGCTCTTTGTCCATCCTTCAGCACCAAGCGTAAATTGCTGCTTGCCAGCGCCCTTAACCCATGATTTGGTCGATAAGTTCGAGTATTCATCGTGCTGGGCAGTGCCGGATGCTTGTGAAGTCAAGAAACGGCCAGCAGAGGTGTGCTGTAAGAACGTACGCATATTCGAGGGGCGTCCAGATCCGAAGAACATGAAAAATATGGTTGAGACTGTTGTTACTGCGAGCAAGAAGAGAGCCAGGAATGCAGGAATGCCATAGACGTAACGATACTTGACACGACGTGTATACATGGTGACTGTAGGCCGTTTTGCATCATTTTTAGATGTTCCGTCTCGTTTCTTTTTGCTCGCGTCTTCATTGTGCAGGCCTCTCGTTCCGAGTACCATATTTGCGGCGATGTTAGTCCAGATGAGATTCAAAATCTGTGCCGATGTCTCAGGCTTTCGAGATAGCTCCTGCCAACGCTGATACATGGCAAGGTTAGATTTTCCAGAATAGTCGACTGGGTTTGTCGAGTGGAAGCCGGTTTCGTATGTCATTTCCAAAGCTAGAGAGGCGAAATCAAGGCCAGGCATGTTCTGGAAGCCCATGACCGCATTCCTGCGGGGAAGATAGAGCGACTCCTTTCTAACCGTCGAGAGCTTTAGTTGGGCAGCACTTTCAGGCGAAACTAAACCCCAGAGGGCTCCGCCGTCTCTGATTGACATGTTGGTGTTTTCGACGCCCCAGAGTGGTTTCGACTCATTGTTCAGATATACTTTGTCGGTGATAGAGACTATCTCAAGATCGGAAAGTTTGTTAGAGCCATTGAACCGGAAAGAAGTCGTCTTGATAATAGCTTTGGCGGTAGATATGCAAGAGTACATTGGAACTGTCCATCGAGATCCGGGATCAAAAAGGAGAGAAAGGCTCCCATCTTCACGACGGGGAGCGCCGTATAGAATCCCGCAATTGGCTTCAATGTTGGTTATATTAGCGAGATCTGTTGTGTCAATGTAAGCGATTTGTGGTCACAAAAGGTGAGAGAGAGTTACCTCCACGACCTGAACCTATACATTGAATTCCGATATCAGACCAATCGGTTGAGTTAACACCGAACGGGTTTGCGTAAATGGGATCCCGGGAGGTAGTGTTATATACTATGGTCCGGTTTCCAATCGTCGAAGTATTCGACAAGCCTTCTGTACCCATCAAATAATCATCGAACATCGTCGATACCTGGAGAGAGGTAGCCTCAATTGGAAAGCTGACGGGTGACTTCCCATCCTTGTAATAAAGAGGAAACTCTTTGTCAATCTCAGAGTTGAGATACGAAAAAGCTTTCACTCCCAAAGAATCATTTCTCGGGTTTGTCACATTCATATACGCCATTGTATAGATGTTGCGAAACCAAGCTCCCCGGTAAGCACGATACCACAGATTTACATCCTCTTGGCTGTTGAGAGGGTCCCATTTCGGATAGGTTCGATTAATATTAATGAACCCTCCACGGTCAGTGATAGATGGCCTATAGATACCGCTTAACGTCGAAAGCAATACTTCGGACTGCCTCAATGGTATGCTAAAGTCGATAGTCAGGTTTGTATCGACGCAGACTGTCTCCGGTACGACAAAAAGAAGGTCCTCATCCCAAGTACTTCCGAAGTCTCTTGAGATGGGTACGCTGTGATTTCGAAATCCGACTCCGCCGTTCTTCAAGTCGACAACAAGTCCTTCAACGGGTACGATATCGTCGATAAGTATTAAGCTGGATAAGGGCTGATATCTGCCTACTGTGCGTGGTTTGTCGTTATCAAGCCAAGGGCCCTTCCCCTCGTCGTATATGATATCGTTGACATAATTTCTGTATTGGATGTCGAAAGTGCTTGAAACTGAGTCCTCAAAATTTGCTCGTCCACTCTGAAAGGCTTCGATGACGGTTTGTGAGACCTTTGAACTGTATTGATTGTTCCCATAATCCACAGTGACCGAACCAAAGTCGTTTCTGATCACCGTTGTATTAGTGTTGAAGTCGTTCGGGCAGGGAATCACAAGGAATGCCCCACAAAGCCTACTCCAGGTAGCATTCGTCCTCGGTGGGGTACCGTAACCTATTGGAGAGGCATCCTTCATATAATGAAACATTGAGACCTCGGTCTCCCCATTAGCCACAATTCCTTCATGAAGACCAAGTGGTGTTACTATCGCTGCGACGCCAATCAAGACCAATATGAATGTTTTGAAGACCGACATGAACAGGGCTGATCTACACGCCGATAGAGTTGCCGCCGAATCGGTTTGCAGGATTAGAGGCCATATTGACGAGTGAAGAAAACGAGCGATCACGGACCTGTGCACTCGTCAACAAACTACACTCCGATGTCTCAAGATCATTCTACATGCCAAGAGACAGCTGTTAGTGTAACTGCAGCCGACCGAGGTCTAAGCAGGCCGAGCAAGATGATGGGAAGAGCTATGGGTACGAGAATTTGAACTTGAAAACATCAGTGAGCTCTAAGAACTGAGATACGAGTAGCATACAAACGAAGACAGCAGCGGCTATCATTCCAGATACTTGTGCAACTGTCAACTCTTCAAGCCCCACCATGGTGAATGATCAGACACGTGTCTGTAGGAATTTAGAGTAAGTGCCTTACGCTTCCATCATGCTGCTCAAGTACACCACGAACACGGCTCACTCATGAAGAGCCAAGAAACGCCGTGCGACATTTCCTGATCAGAGATAGACATTGGCGTAAATGCGGTCATCTCATTCGGGTCATGTGTACGGGAATGCGAGATAAGTATTTTGGTTGCCACATCTACATGCACCAGTTCGGCAGTGCTGAAGGCAGAGCTGAGCCCCCGTTTGACATTCCTCGATACGCGAAAGATTCTACTGGCTGATCTAGTTCAAACTTGACACTAGTGCTGACACGTAGCTGCAGCTTTAGGGATATCCTCGCTTGCATCAATTTACGCAATTCAGGGTTAAGCGAACAAAATACGAGAACGGAAGAAAGATGAAACTAGGACTCTGGAATCAGCCCATGAATGAGACAGATAGAGTGATCGACACGCGGAGCAAAGACCTTAGAGAAGTGTTACCTCTGTGTGTCAGGAAGGGAAACACAGCACTAAAACTCCACTACTTCTTTTAGGGTACGCGAATATCATGTTAGTAAAGTTTCCTAGCACTTTCAGTCATCGCTATTCGAACTTCGTTGGTTTCTTGAGTCCCTGAGCCCAATAGGAGTGCCACAATTTGGCACGTGGATGGTATTGCTCTACCAATTTGGCGAATACAGGTATCGAAGAGAGCACCACGTTGGATATATCAAAATACACATGTGTATAGATTTAGAAGCATGCGTGTTCACAAGAGTCTACTAGTTCGCCATCCGATGCTAAAGTAGCGAAAAACCTGGGCATCGTGAAGTTCAGCATCCGCGGGTGCTGCACCATGGATATATATAGAACCCTCTTGTGCTATACCAATCGTCAGTCAAGCGTCCAATTAGACAGAAGTAGGAAACTTACTATTTCCAAAAACTTTGGTTCTCCGAAATGTCTTCGATATGAGTAGATGCTTGATACTTTTAGAGTAACGTTGGCGAGGTCCACTCGATGAAGGCATCCTTGGTAGTGCAGTCAGGTCTTCCATACTGGCTATAGAGTCTGGCCTACGCCTTGTCGATGACAAGAGAGTATCGCTTGGAGATTCCACTGCCGACCTTCTGCTAGGTGGTGGTTGGAGAATTGGCGGTAAAGGTATTCTCGTCCTGTCAAATACCATGATCCGTTCAACGATATCGTCTCTCTTGTTGCTGCAGCCAACTTCTAGCCCTAACATCTCGCTTTCTACTTCTTCAAGCGCGGATCCCTGCTTCTCAAGCACTTCAACGTCCGATCGGCGTTCTTCGACAGGTATCGTTGTCAAACTCGATTTGCGATTTATGCCATAATCGAAATCAGAGGTTATGCGCGGAGTCACAGACCCTGCTTCCAGTTTTCCGATTCGTGATTTGACCCTCAAAAGGCGTTCTGGAGGTTTGAAGAATACGTTCGCATTGAATGGCGTGTCGCAATTGTCCGCAAAGTTCTGACATGCTTGCCACCATTTTTGGCTCTCCTCGCTTGCGTGTCTGGTGTGAGAATGTGCGTCGTTCAACTCATTTGCCCCCTCGACGGTACAAGGATTGTGTTCAGTATGAGATACTCGTGACTGGACGTTGAGTATAATCGTACGGTGAGCTACGAGCTCGTCTTGGATGTTCTGGAGCGTCCCTGCGAACTTTCGGTTCGACTGTCGCAACTGCGGATTTGTGGTTGATGTAGGGAGCAATTGGCTGGAGTTAGTTGTAGACTCTGGAAATATTTTCGAAACCGTTGCAGGGCTTTTTGTACAGTCGGTTACAGTCGCACATGAAAGATGTGATACATGGATCCTAGGAGGCTCGTTGCAGAGAGGCCACACATGTGTTGGTCCGGGAGAGATGGGCTCACTCAGAATACTCTTCATGATGCCACAGAGAGTCCAGATATAGAACAGGAAGATGGACAGGCTGCTATCTAAGAAATGATTGCCAATAATCTTGTAGAAGTCTTAGTGATACCGAAAGTACGTCCTGACGTTGGACGAAGAATCAATAGCTACGACTATTCTTTCTTTATCAAGAACCGAAGAGCATGGATTCTACTCCTGTCATAGTTTCGTAAGACTTGATGACCTATCGAGACCCAATCAATAGTGATTTACTCGAATATGTAACAGCATCATCAAAGACAACCGTACGAACATAGTTTCTGCGATAGGCCACATCAAACAAGTTCAAGACGCTGGTGTCGGCCATGAGTCAGGAGTTCAAGTTTCAGATCTGGTTCGGTGTTTCGTGCCCAAGCGTGCTGCAATATTGCTCTTGTCGGTCAATTGGAAAACCAAGAAACAGGGCGAGCCGCCCAATATGGAGAGCCAGGCTCTTAGTTAGTCGAAATACTCGGAACACAGTAGGCTGCAGCGAGGTCTTGCAACAGCTTGACAACTACATATAAAAAAAATTGTAAAATTTCTGAGCCTTACGTGTTGTTTGTGTTTGAAGTTAGGGTATAGAAATCCATTACAAAGAAACTCGTTATTTACATAGCATTCACTACGTATACATTGGAAGGACTAAAGAGATACCTAACAAACAGTTCTCCCTCCGTTACCCGTAAGTTTCCAGGTACTGTTGTCCGCACAGGGGCTCTCTCTCACCGACGTGTTGTCGACCTGCAGAGTGATGTCGATATCTTTTGTGTTCGGAAACTCAGTGCGAGCAGAGATGCGAACTTCTCCTCCACCGTTAACAGTCCCGCCCTTAATCTTGATGCCGTAGCAGTTCTCGATAAGAATCGCGTTGTTGCCATTTTCCGCAAGGTCGACGGTTCCGATCTCAGCAGCGCCGGATTGCGAGACACAGAAGACGCCACGGCCGCCGCCGCGAGACTTGACCCTATCAACGAAGACGTTGGTGGTGTAGCTGCCGTCAGCGCGTTGGCCGTTGTTATTCGCGAAGCGGAGGGTTCCATAGCCGGTTCCTCCACCGACGTTATCGCCGTCAACAAGTCCAACCCTGATGTTGGTAGAATTTTGGAGCAGCAAGCCTGATTCGCCGCAATTCTTCGCGATGACAGAGTTGATTTCGAGTCCAGTAATCTTCCAGACTTCGACGCAGTGGCTGGTAGGACCATTGCAGGAGATGGTGTCCATCTTGACGTTGCTGTTCGCAGGCCTATCACGGTCAAAACGAATGCCCATACCGCTACTGAGGTTGAAGTTCAGCTTCCCCAGAGTCAGATCTCGGGTCCCAGAGAACCGCATGCCAAAGACGGGACTGCCGGTCATGGTGAGGTAGGGAATTTGGACCCCCGTGGTGTCTCTCGACTCAATGGCTCCGCGGTCGGTCCTTGCGACAGCATTGATGGTTCCGCATCCTTCGAATATCTTGCCGCTGGTAATTGTGATTGTGCTGGCGCCGATGGAACCTGAGGCAATGACGGACACGCGCTGACCGCTTGCGACGGAGTCAAGCGCGGCTTGTATGGCAGCCAAGTAATTGGAGCCGGAGTACACCTCACTTGAACCTTTGACGGCCTTGAACGAGCTACCTGAGCCAGTCACCCGTGCATCAGGGGAGCCTGAGCCACATTGAGCAGTTGCGAGAGAGACAAGTGCGAACACTGTCGTGATGATAGAAGAGGCAACCATGGCGTTGCGGTCTGAAAACGGGAGAAGAGAGTCGATGTTTGTTGTAAGTCATACGGAGAGGCCGCTCTACTTATACATAGACCTGCCTGGCGCATGCAATCCAACATGACTTACTTTAGAAGGCTTGCGTGATCGCTAATGCCAGATTTTGCTCGGCTCCATATCTTCAGTTGAACCGGAGAGGATTCAGGAGCCTGCGTCAAGACCCTATCATCCCTATTCGCCATTGCATCTTAGCCATCTTGGCCGCCTTCTGCAGCTAGTCAAGCCTAGAACGCTGATATGTGTTTCTCGACGAGGCAGGAATACCGGTCCGCCAAGGCCTTGTTTACTAGAATCTCTCGGCTTTCTGTTCGTCACACACATTCCGAGTTTCGCGTTGATGGTAACCTCGACGGGTGGACAAATGGGAGGTTGTACAGGCGGGGACTCACCTGATGACATGACATCCTAACAACAGTATATACGCTGTGGACCTTCCGAGATGGGTGTGGCTTTGTGCTTTATGAGTACCCCGCAAAGTAGATCCCAATATTTTGACGATCCGGACAATTGGGTGAAACAACCACCAAGCTTTTCGGGCCAATATATCCCGCTATTTACTCGTTAGGCAGTACTTTCAAAAGATGAAGCCCCCCATTGCCAAGCATGGCCAAGCTCTCCCCAGATTCCTGTCATTAAACGTCGTTACACTTAGTTTCGTCGGTTTCAATATGGAACGGGCTTGAAAACTAGGAATGAATGGGGTCCAACTATCGACCAGACTCGACATATGTGGTAAGTATCTGGTTTCCAGTATCGATCTCCAACTTGTTTTTCGATCTCAGGGGAGTTGAGCAAAGTCGTAAATTCCAGAGGACATGAAAGGCATATTCCGCACTAGATCTAGCCTGTCCATTTACTCCAGTATCCAGTGAAGCGTTGGTTAGCCTTTGTTGGTCTTGGCTTGCGAGTAATGTAGTCCTTTTCGTCTCACATTCGTGATCCAAAAGGCCTGTGAGTCTATCAATGGTGTCTTTATCTCTGGGCAACTCGGCATCTGCCATGTTTTCGCTGCTATACATCTCATGAATCATTTGGGCTGCGAGCAACGTGCCCCTGTGTTGTTGAAACACACTGATCTAAGTTGTCCACGGCGGTGGACACAAGAGCGCCGTCGTTGCGTAATATCCTTCTACCTCAAGAGGTGTATCGAAGAAATCGAGAAGGGTGTTGCCGATAAATGATTACAGAAGTATCGTTTAGACGGAGAATGGTTGATCGAGCAGGAAGGTAAGGACCAGAAGGCGCCAAGGCGCTAGGTGCATGGATCACACTCCACAATCTCAATCGCGAAAGCCCATGCCTCCTACACCTCAGTTTCGTGTCGTCGTAAAGGAATCGCAAGGTAAGTCCCCATTGTGCAGCTCAACGATTTCAGCGTCTGCATAGCCGTTTCCGTTTTGATCGGCTTAGAAAATGGAGATTAAAGAGTGAGCAATGACATGCGACGAAGATGCTGGAAGTCTAGTTGCGGTAACCTCGATTGTCAATTCACTAACAACTTTCCCGGTTTTGCTTGATTTGCTGCTATCCTTCTTCAGGTCGTTTTGGTTTATCTCTCATCGACTGACAAGATATTCGACAGTTTTGGCTTTTTACATACCAATGTGTCGGTGCAGAATAACATCATTCCCGGTGGCTGCTATGTCTACGGCGTGAATGTTCATGCGTCAACGATTGCCATGGTCTCAGTCGTTCAACCTGTGCATTCACACGAGAAAACATCACATAAGAGCAGCACTATCTTATGAAGGTTAAACTGTGCTAACCCCTTCATCTTCATCTTTGCCTACAATCAGCTCTACCGCGCCGTCATCTATACCAGCAGTTTCGTAGCTCATAAGTATTTGTAACGGTTTATTCATACACTTGAGCTTTGCACAGAACTCTAACCAGGGACTCTGGTCAAAAGCTCAAAAATACAACACCACCACTTGCCACTTTCCTTCCAATATCCTCCACAGTGTCATTAGAACCAAGTATGTGTAACATTCTCAATCTGGTCGTTGATCGCGCCTCGTACTACCCCATGCACTCACTCATTACATCGTACCTCGATATCATCGATATCTTCAGACTCAGTCGGGTCTGCAAACAAACATCAGACATCTACAGCGATATTCAGAAGACACAATGGAATATAAATGCCCAGCTACGGTCATATTTCAAGGATGTCGACGCATTTCGTACCTTGCAGGGAAAGACTGGAACACTGATAGGAGGACGCTTTGCCTTTTGCTTCTTCCGTCGCCTGCGTAAGGACAATGTCCTTCGTTTATTCGTGCAAGCCGGGGAGAATGCTGAAGCCATCTACGACTTCCTTGAGCGAGAACGATACTCTATAATCTCTGATAAAGTCTCGCAAGATGCAGAGAATAATTCTGGTCTAAACAGAGTGAGTATACAGTGTGATAACTGCGAGTCATTGCTGACACAAACGCAGTTTTCCATACTGCAGAAGCCTGCTACGCAAAACCACGGCCCAGTACTCCTCTCCGTTTCGCAAACAATCGAAACCCCCCTCGACGCCGTGCTCCGAAACATGCTCTGCACATCTCAAGGCTGCTTCCTATCATGGAACAAAGCGTATTGCCTGTTCCCCATCGCCACATTCACGAATCAGGAATCATACCTGATGACTCCACTACGCAACGACACAGCCACAAACACGACCCTCACACGAGCAGTTCTCCAAACCGAAGCCCAATACGGACTCAAAATCAAGCCCCCAATCTGGCACCCCAACGCCAACCCCTCTCCCGACCACACCGAACTCGGGCCCTACCGCTGTATCGGCGACAAACACACCTGGACCATGCACCTCGACACAACCCACATCCCCGCGCCACAAACCCCAGATCTCGTCCTTGACATGGCCAGCTTCTGCATAACAAAGACCAAGGAAGACAGCCTGGCCACCTACCTAACCCTCGACTACTCGCTCAAGAAGTCCTGCGTTCTGAGGTACACCTACATCACTGCCGTCAACACAGAGACCTGGCATGGCGTAAACGGCTGGCATGGCATGACAGGCGAAGCCGCATACGCCGTGCTCAAGGTGCAGGGAAAACTCGATGAGACGACACTCATGCAACTGGCACTGTTGGAGCCTAACGAGCGACCGACTGAGTACGCGGCGATTGTGGATGATGTCGGAAGCGCCAATACGGCGATGGGCAAGTTTCGTGTTCCTGCGACTTGGGTGTACTACGATGAGGAAGTCCAGCGATGTTTGGGGGAGTTTCACCGAGATTTTGTGAAGCGACAAGATGGGTCTCAGCACGCGGGTGTAGGTCCTAGATGGGTCCGTGGATTTTATGGAGATTGAGGTATCTGGTGAGTACCTCACATGGGTTGTGTGACAATGGGGTTGGTAGAAAATCTGACGTATATACTAATAAACTGAATGGATAAAAAAAACTTTATTCTTCGCATGCGACTGAGTTTTTATATGCTATTCAAGACTTCTGATTGCGTAGACGAGATCGCATTCGCAAAATAGATGCTGCGGCCGTCACGTACGACCGCAAAAAGAAACTGCCTACTACCCGAATCGAACGAGCGATCTTCGCATTACAAGTGCGACGCCTTACCACTTGGCCAAGCAGGCGATATTTGATTTGATGAAAGAGTGAAAACATCTAAATACTATATTCCGGAGTGCTCAAAATTTCGACTCGTGTTGTTCGGAAGATTTGCACCATCGCATGAGCCGGTGCGGGGTAACGACGTTTGGCACGAGTCGCTAATGTAGCATTTCTGTAGTTGACTTCACAATGATAGTTAAGTAGTTGCTGGAGATCATCGTCATTCATCCAATTCATTTGCGATAAACCTGCGATCGCTTCTTCGTGACACTCATGTCCTATGCTTCAACGCCGGCCCAATCCCAAACGCCAAACACTACATAACCCATTCCAAACTCCATATGCATGCATGCTCGCTCAAAAACAAATCCAACATTCACCTTCCTTCCAAAATTCAAGCAAGTCCAAAGACACCCTTGCACCTCCTCCAAAGCTCGGTGCCCATAGCACGCCTCGTATCCACCGTCCTGGCTGCAGCCTCCTTGTTCTCGCTCGCGCGCCTGAGCAAGAAATTCAGGCACTCTGTCGTCGTGCCCCAAGTCATACACTTGACGACCTTAGCCTGGTTGTCCTTCTTCATCATCGGGTCCTGCACCAAGCTCTGCGAGATCTCGTCTGCCATGCCCTGGAGCTGAGCGTATGTGAGGCGGGGCAGTGACTCTGAAGAGGCGGATGTGAGTTGCGCTGCGCGGATGGATTTCGCGGCTTCGATGGAAGGCAGGTTGTGGGTTGCGAGGACGATGTTTACGGCTGGGAAGGGGGTGTTGGGAGTGGGCGCAGCGATTTTGTCGGTCCATTGCTGTGTGAGGACTGCGTTGGCGCAGGCGTCGTAGTTGGCGTCTGTGCCTTCTTTGTTGTCGTAGGTGAGTTCGTGGGGCTCTGAAGTAAGGTATGCGCCCCGGACTAGCTTCACGCCTGCGGTGTAACCGGATTTCGATGCGGTTTCGAGGTGCTGGGCGATGCGTTCAGAGATGCGGCGCAGGTAGCATTGGTAGGTAATGTAGAGGGTGGCGCGGCCGTTGGTGTTGTATTTCTTCTGTAGTGCGAGCGTCCATTTCTCGAGACCCAGGTTTGTGACTTCTTCTTCGGCGCCGGGAAGTAGGGAGACACCCTTTGCGGAGGCGGCGTCGCAGGCAGCGTTTATAGCTTCCCACATCTCTGGTGTAGCGTCTTGTTGGGTTTGAAGCAGGTGGAGAGCATGGCGACCCAGGCCAGACCATCTGAGCGGATGTTAGTTTAGAAGCGTTTAGTTCGGAAGGGAGTTACATACTTCAGTCCAACAAAGTCACCCTCCTTTGCCATGTCCACACTCTGAAGCATTCCCTTCCTCCATGTCTCGATCTCCTGCTTCGTCTCCTCTGTTGTTGGCACCGTTCCACCCAACACTTCCAGCGCGTACTCGAATAGTATGCCGTGATACCCCAGCGCTGTCCGCGCGAAGTCTGTGTTGCGTACCACCTCCTCCCGCTTCTCGCCTACGCAGAACTGTGCGTAAAATGTGCTCTTCAACAGCTTCGAGAGTACGGGATTACGCTCAATGCTCATGAGGTATGATTTGGAATCGAGCATCCGCCGAAGGATGGTGAAGCAAAGCCCTAGCAGGGCAGGCGACGAGGACATGCCGGTAATGAGGTAGGATCGCAACACTGTTGAGGTAGGTAGACGGGAAAGGACTGGTTTAATCGCTAACTCTTGCGAGGATGGTTGGTTGGAGAGAACCTGTGAAGAGCCAGCTACATGTGATGACGTCGGTAGAGAGAGGTTGCGCCGCGAGTGCACATATCGTCGAGTTTGAAAGAGTGTTTGGTGTGTCCGGGAAAGGGTGAGTTGCTCGAGGCGCTGGAGATGCTGTACCCGTGGGAGCATCTTTGCGGTTGTGTGAGGAATCGATATCAGTGTCTGAATTGGTGATGGCCTTCTTCTTGAAGTATGCAGACGGTATTGACTGAGTGAATTGAGACACGGGGAGCTTGCACAATACTTGTATGTGAGAGTTGATACGATTGCAGGTCCTGTGACCCTCGACGAAGTGTAAAGCGAAATATATACCTTAGGCACATTCACAATGGTCCATCAGGTCTCCACGGTGTCGCGCCTCCTGCTCGGCTTCCGTCGGCATGCATGACGATGCACCAGATCTGAGACGACTTATCGGCGACAACGCGGCAGCTTGGTGATTGGGCAATACAAGTAGTGGCTTTCGTGGGGTATGCAGCATCATCGGAGAGTTACAGAGTTGCGATTGATATGCTGTTCGTGATTGATGGGATGCTGATGGCTGTTGGGAAGGAGTGCATGCGGATGATACCAAAAGGCTTTCTACGGTGCGCGATCAGCTTTATTACTTCCACTCCTTATCTCAGTAACCGGGTAGGTTCTTGTGCTTGCAGCGCGGTATCGATCTACGTCGTGGCCTCGTGTACTTCGTACCTAAGAGTGTCACGAACGTGCTCCCCGCAATACCAGCGCGTGTGACTGCAGCAAAGCTCGGCTCGTATCGCAATCAATGCACTTTTGTCGCCAATCGCGAGAGCCGAATGTAGCCAGCCCAGATCAACAACATTCCAGGCGCTTACGGCAGTGCAGATCTCCACATCTAATTCTAACAGCATTGCGAGCACCGGTGTCGGAGGCTGAAATGCTCGGAGCGAGCGATATGAACCGAGTGCACTTCGGCACGCGTCGGTGTCGAACTAGTGTTTGTGGGTCGCGTCTGGCCATGTCTGTGAACGTGGAGTTCTTGGAAGACTTTTCAGAATCCTTTCTTGCTTGCAGAGATAGTAGTGGAGATGTGTATTGCGTTTTGCAGAGGCGAATATGCATCCTATTCACACCTGCGAGCTTGTCAGACGGTTTCAGTCGGCCGTACCTCACGCCACAAGCCTAGGGCACCTCAAGTAGATGGCCATATCCGTTTAAAAGCTCTGACATGTTCTAGTTTACATTTGAGACAAGGCCTGGTCGGAGGACTTAAGGATGGCATTCAGAGTCTCAGATCCAATCCTCTCCATGTCTGCTTACGTCAATTGCTCTTCAAAGACACGGACGCCTTGCTCGCTCGAACCCTTTTAAATTACGCAATTCTCGATCACTCACCAACGACAAGGCATGACGTTCATCCCTCTAGCAATCTTCAGTCCAGGCCGACTGTGGCGACCCCCATAAGTAAACAGTGTCTTTCACATTGACCCCACAACCACTGGACGCAACATAGTTAGCTTTAATTGCTCTTATTACGTCTTATGCTTGTTGTAGTAGTCGGTGTAGGCATCCAGCAAAGAAGTGGCAAATAGTTGCTACTTCGGGGGGTCGTCGCGGTTGATCTGCGCGCGGTTGACTTTCTTCACCAGTCAATGTCTCCTTGTTGTCACTTGAGATTGTTCGACGAAGTGGGCTGGCATCAAAGGCAATGCCGTGATCTCGTCTCCATCGCTCGTCCCTCTTCTCATCGTTTTCCGGCGCTGCACGTCCTTCGATATCGCTATATGTCGCTACTGTTTCTCCCTCGTCTTTGTCTCTTGCCGGGGGTTCTACACTTGGCAACATATAAGGTCTCTCCATCAATGCCACACTCATCGTCCAGAGCACTAGCAATGCCTGACAAGGCTTTGTGATTCTACCTGTTAGTGAGAGTAAGGAGAGAGTTATGAGCTTATCCTCCTCCTCTTGGACGTTGACCAGAGCAGATCCGTTACTACGACTAGAGACCCAGGGCGCGGCTACATCACTATACACAATTGAGAGTGCCTGGACTAGCTAAACAACACATGGAGCCATGAGCCCCCGGAAGCCCTCCACCTGGCGCTCCTCTCTCATCCGAACATAACATCTCAAGGACCCATCTTTGTTGTTTGAGGCTCTCTTGGGAAAAGCTCCTCGATGGGAAAAGACTTTCTAGCCGGCCATAGTTTCTCAACCAACAGTGACCTTTTGGTGAGGGCAACCAACGCAACATCAGCCTGGAGTGCTTTGATGCACCGGATATCTCTAGATCTACCGGCGAGTGGCGCGTACGCATATGCTCAGTAATCAAGACACATTCCCTTGCTGATTTCCTAGCAGTTTCTGCTCGTAGTTTCGCCGCATAGTCCATCTTTGGGATTCTGACAAACGATATGGTTGTACGAGCATCAATTGGTAAATTTACTGGTGTACTAAACGACCGCGTTACCTGGTGTATATCCTGTGCACAACTTGATGGGTCACGGGGATATATACGGTATTTTGCTATGAGATCATGAAGAAGCAGTTGCCGGGTTGGTGGAAGATAGATAGAGAAAGCGAACGTCTATGGACCAGAAAGTCCTACGGCTCTTCACAAACGTCATCGACGGCGCTGGATGGATTGAATCTTCATTGAGTACGTTCAGAGTCAAAAGCTGGCTGTTGTTTGTCAGGTTGGCGGCTGAGGGGGGTAGACGGGTGCGGATATAGATATAGATATATATACAATAAGATGTAAGAGGGCGTTAGAAAGACAAAGTAGTCATATATCAGTGTATTCATTTCATAAACATGCGTAGAAATGAATCCATCCATCTAGCATAACCCCGTTAACCCAGCCCAACCGAGCCCAAAACACCAAAGCATAAAACACAACGACAACAGGGTATACCACACCACTCACATAACCGCACACCCCACCTTCCGTCTCTTCTTCTCCTTCCTCCCCTGCACCCCATTCCCACCCCCACTACCCTCCCTCTCCCTCTCCCTCTCCCTCTCCCCAGCACCCCCCATAAACCTCGGCACACTCATCCTACTCCCGCCCAACGCCAACGCGCGCCTCTCCCCCCCAACATTGACATCGACATCCGACGTCGAGCCCCTACGTCCCGAATACGGATCCACGCGCGGCAAGGAACGCAGGTCGACCTCGCTTCCCGCCGGGTGGTGGGGGCGGCGCATAGCGGGGAGGTAGGAGGGGGCGTGGATGTGTGGGGTAGGGCGGGGGGGAGGGGGTTGGGAGGGTGAGCTGCGGCGGCGGGAGGAGGGGGAGGAGGGGGGCGCGGGGTAGGTGAGGGGGTGGAGGAGGGAGGGTCTGCGGTTGAGGTTTGGGTTGGGGGGTTGTATTTGTGTTTGTTGGTGGTGCGGGTGTTGATATTGATACTGATGGAGGAGGGGGGGCGAGGACAAGGCAGTCGAGGACACGGATAAACCGCGGTTCGCGTAGATGGTTGGTGTGTGTGGGAGAGCGGGGACGGGCGGCGCGACGGGATGACTAAGGCTCACGCTCTCGCTTGCTTCTGCGGTCGTGGTGTAAGCGGGGGGCGGCGGGACCCAATTATCCGCGTCGCTTTCATGCGGGATTTCTCGCGCGCCGTCTGCGCGCCGGTACTCGAGGGGTCTGAAGGGGAGGGCGCGCAGGTGGCGGCGGTTGGCTGGGGAGACGGCGGCGACGGTTGCTGCTCGGGCGAGGGAGACTTGGGAGCGTGGTTGTTGGTTGTCGTAGGGTGTTTCGAAGACGGCTTGCGCTTCCTCTAGGGTTAGTGTCATGTCGCTTTCGTCTCCGATGCTGGGTGATCGGGGTGGGGGGCGGTTTGCGGTTGTGCGTGCGCGGTTTACGGGGGAGGGACCGGTTCGAGAGGGTCGACGTGTGTTGTTTGCTTGGTCTTGGGCGCGCCGCGCGGCGACGGTGCGGCTCCGGACGAGTTCTACTTCGCGGTCGAAGTCGATGGAGCCTTCCGGGAGGGGTTCGCCGGGACACAGGGGGTCGAGATCGTACTCTGTTTTTGTTGCCATGGGTGCCGGGCTCCCCACTGGTCTCGTTTTATCAAAGTCCAGCATGACGATCACACCTTTTGAACCCAGCGGAATGCCAGGTACATCGTCTTCTTGGGCAACGATGCTGGAGTTCCCAACAGCGACCAGGCGCTGCATGGTGGAACTTATCTTCACCCAGCGCAGCACACAGATCTCTTTCGCGTCTGCCCCGTTGCTGGGGACAGGGATGCAAAAGCAGGGCTGAATGGGCGACTGCTCCTTTATCTTCTCATTCGGTTTGTGCTCCCAGCCCGGGACTTCGTAGATCCAGATGTTGGTAGTGCCACGCATGCGCAGCGCCACAGCCGCCATATCAGCGTTGGGAGACACAGCCGGCATAGCATCATCAACAAACTCAGAGCGTGTCCAGCGCTGGTGGTCTGGCAGAAACATCTTCCTCTGCGTAAAGCGCTGGCACGCAATGTCGTATATGCCCCACGAGTCCTCCTCGGCGTTGAAGGCAAACAGCTCATTGCAGGTCCCCGTGTCCGCATCCGGCAACAGCGTCGCCTGTCGCGCAATCTTAGCCGTCTCAGGGAACAGCATCGAGCCCGTCCAGACCGTCTCGGGCGGCTGAGGAGACGGCTCGCCCTCGTCGTTCAGCGGCCCATCATACAGGCCAGGCAGCACAAACAGCGCCGAGCTGTCCGACTTGCGCGCATAGCCCGTGATGAGCAGCGTGCGTCCATCATCGGAGAATTCCAGCGCGTCCCCCGCAGGGCCAGACAGGGTGCGTCTCGCCGTCTCGGGCACATCAGGCCCAATGGCCACGACCTCAATGCCGAACTTGTTCCCCGTGATCAGGATGCGCGCGTCGGGCGAAATGACAATGCTGCTCGTCTCGTGCACCAGCATGATGGTCCGCCTCTTCCTGACCTGTCTGTCCTGCTCGTCGCGGATCTCGTACAAATCGACCTGGCTGGGCCGGGACAGCACCGCCAGCAGGAAGCCGTCGTCGGTGATGTCCATGGCCACGGGCTTGCGCTTGACGGAGAGGGTGCGCGCCCACAGCCGGGGCAGCTGCACCGTCTTGATGAGCCAGATGTTCGAGGCCGAGTAGACGGCGACAAAGTGGCCCTTGCGGCTCACATTAAAGTCGAAGCTCCCCGGCAGCGCCGACGCCGACGCGCTGTTGGACACGAGTTCCAGGACGGTCAAGCTGGGGTGGGCATGCGTGGCGGCGTGGGCAGAGGACGTCGAGGCAGCGGGCGGGGTGTCATCGTACGTCGTCGCCGTGGTCATGGCTGTCGAGGTGGCCGAGAGCGAGGACGAGGGCGTGGCGGTGGAGGCGGACAGATGCGTCGTCGCCTGGTCGTTCATTGCGAGCCCGCCTGGTCATTGTATGGGGAAGTCGAGTGCGGTGTGCTTCAGGTCCGAGGCACGACGAGAGGCTACTCGTGCGATATTTGGCATGGACGAGTCTTCGCCATGGCTGCGAGAGACAAGGGCAAGGGTGGAGTGTGAACAAGGGAGCCGGCACGCATCGTGGTCCATACGGGATCTACGGCTTGGCTGAGCGACCGCGCTATGTCCGCTGTGGAGTGCTGGATCCGTTCCGTCGACGCTATTTATAACTCTCCGCATGCCGATCGTCAGACATCCTGGCTGTACTCGAAACACTGCCAAAATGTGAAGCTGCATCATTTTCTCGCTGCGGAAACATGGAAACGCCTCTCAATCTCCACAAGCTATCCACAACGACAATCCCTGCACCATCACCTCACAGACCCTCTCTCGACGCGCCACTCCTCCTCAAGCTCCCCCATCCTTCTAAGCTCCTCCGGCCACTGAAACTCAACAAAAAACCACACATCCCCCGTAGTATCCCTGATCTCATCCACGCCCTCCTCCCTCTCCCTTTTGAACCTAAGCTCCGCATACTCCCGGAAATACAACGACAGATTCACCCTCTCAAACTGCGTTTCAATGCACGCCCGTTCATTCAGAGCCTCCACGACCTGCTTCGCCTGACCCCTCTGATAGTCCACAAGATCTTTGTTCGTTTGCTCCCACACGGCGATGGCGCGGTCGCGGATGTAGTGTTCCCTCGCATGACTAGGGTCCTGCCATTGATTCCAGAACAAGTCCGGTCCTTCGGAGAGGATGAACCACGTCAGCCACGACTCGCCTTTGCGTATCTGACGCGGTCCATCGATGCCGCCTCCCCAGTCGAAGACCCAGCGTTTGTGGGATGAGGAGGTGTTGTGGGGCGAGGTGCGGAAAGCCGAGGAGAGCAGCGTGATGGTGAGCCTGTAGTCCTGCGCGCGCTCGACAGGTAGTGTCTTAATATATTCCAACCGCTTCTGCAATATTATGTCTTCTTTCTGTTGCTTCGCGCCTTTTTTCTGCTGCTGTGTCTTCGCCTTGGAACGGAATTGGTGCATCAACCGGTCGAGCGGCGTCTTCTGTGCATCGTCCAAGGGCATCTTGTAAACATCCCTGGATATATTTGACAACCGGCGCAACACGCGCCACCCATCCGCAATTCGCGCGCGCAACACCTCACCCCGAGCATCTTCAGCTAACAGTCGATACTGCGGGAGTTCGTCCCCACTCGTGATGCCATATCTGTCCACAAGAATAGCCGCCAGCTGTCGCGGGATGAGGCTCTTCAGCCACTCGAGCGTATACGCATCGGGGCGCGTTAGGAGGAGTTCAGCGAGGGAGAATGTCGCGCGGGCGGACGAAGGCGCGATGGTGGATATGTACTCGGTAATCAAGGTGCGGGTTCGTGGGCTGACGAGGCGGAGAGTCAGGAGGTCGGGGATGGGGCATTGGCTGAGGATGGCGATTAGGATGTCGTCGGGGAGGGTGGTGAAGTGGGGGTTTTGCGGTTTGGGGGGGAGGGTGCGGTGGCGTCGCATGGTGGAATGGTTCTGGTCTTGTTAGTTTGATATGGGGATGTTGATGTCTGACTGCGTAACATGCGGTGACATGGTGTAAGTAGTGTAACAAGGGGTATAACAAGGTATAGCGAGCTTGTAATAAGCTGTAACAAGCTATAACAAACTCATAACAAGCAGTAACAAGGCATATAAACTCATAACAAGCGCATAATAAGGTATAACAAGCAGTAACAAGACGTAACAAGCTTATAGGAGGCGATAACAAGACATAACAAGCTTGTAACATACAGTAACATAGCATAACAAGTACGTAACAAGGTATAACAAGCGCATAACAAGGTATAACAAGCGCATAACAAGGTATAACAAGTGCATAACAAGGTATAACAAGCGCATAACAAGGTATAACAAGCACGTAACACGCAGTAACAAGCAGTAACAAGCACATAACAAGGCTGTGTTACGCACGTGTTATGCCTTATTATACATTGTTACGTGCTTGTTACGTATATTAAGAAGTAAGAAGAGCTTAAAACAGATAAGAAAGACATAACAGGAAGTAATAAGAGGTATGATAAGCAGTAACACGTAGTAACAAGCAGTAACAAATACGTAACAAGATTGTGTTACACACGTGTTATACCTTGTTATACCTTGTTACGTGCTTGTTATGTATAACAAAGAGCAAGAAGAGTTCTAAAATACAGAAGAAGAGTGTAACAAGTAGTACGAAAGGATATAACACGCAGTAACACGCAGTAACAAGGTATAGCAAGGCATAACAGCAATAACTTAAACAACGTAAGAGAACGTAACAAGGTATACAAAGCATAATAAGAGTAGTAGGAAGGTAGAATAAGGTAGAATAAGAGTAGTAATATGTGGTAATAAGCTATAACAAGGCGTAACACAGCGTAACAAGGTTAGACAGGTAGTAGTAACAAGAGCTCTAACAACGTAAAAAGGCATAACAAGGCATAACAAACAGTAACAAGGGTAGTAGTAAGCAGTGAAAAGAGTAGTAACACACAGTAACACGTAGTAACATAACGTAACAAGGTATAACACGCAGTAACAAGAGTACGTCCTCAGGGCAAATACGTACCAGACTACACACAGAAATGCCTGCCAACGACAGGACAGACCCAATCTCAGTTCCAGACAACACTCTGTATCTCGGTCTCAAGCTGACTTCGTATAAACATCGTATGTTGATACCTCAGTGCGACGCTGGCGTCGACGGAGTTTAGGGATCCGCCCACGTGCCGTCGGTTTTAGCGCGGGGTGGACCCTTAATCTCCTGCCTTGACTTGGCCATCTCCACTAATCACCACCATCGACGTCAGAACGCTCCTATGTAGAACAAGAATCGACTTTCCACGCTCCACGAACAAGACACCGCGTCCGTCTCCAAATTAGCAACACATGACAGCGCCTATCTGTAAAGAATAGGCGCTCCTCTTGGCACCCTAGCCTTTGCGAAACATAACTCGAATACCGCATAAACTGGTAGAATTTTGCTAAGCTAGGCCCAATTAGGCAGGAGGTTAATACTAATTAGATAGTAAGGAATTGCTCTTAAGATAAACGTAATATAGCTTAGCAGCAGTTTTAAACTCTAGAACATTATTAAGATACCCCTATTACGTAAATTTATTAGACTGTAATATCTATAATACCTTTAAAGGGTAGAGAGCTACTTTTATTTAATATCTATTATAATTAGGCTAAAAATTATTAAAATACTACTTATTATTATATTCTAACAGCGTTACTACTACTACTACCTATAATACTACCTCTATCTACGTAGTAAGCTAATACTAGTAAAGAAGTTATATACTAAGAAAATAGTAGTAGTAGTTTACTACCTATATAAGACCTTAAATTATAAGGTTAGTATTATATTAAAGCTATTAAATTAGCTATACTGTCCTAAGTACTACTTTATAATGCTTTACTAGTATAGTAATAATTATTTAATACCCTAAATAAGTAGTACTTTATTACCTTAAAGGATCTTTTTACTAGTAAACTCTTAACTATACTACCTAAATTAATAAAATATAAGTTTAGAACTAAGTTAGATTTAAATATTAAGTTTTTACTAAAATAAAGAAGAATAGAGCTATAGATAAAGACGCTAGCTAAAAGAAGTAATTAGTATATAGAGCTATTAAAAGCGTATAAAATAGTATCTTAGAAGAAGAAGATTAATATATATAAATTAATTAATAATTATAGTATATAGATTATTAATTACTTATATATACTAATTATACGCAAGGGATATTAGCTAGAGGAGAATTACTAACTATTAAATAATTATAAGGTTAAAGCTATTTAGGAGATCCTATATTAGATAATAGGAAATTAGTAGTACTAATAAGCTACTATTATATAAGCTCTAAAGACTAGTTATTAGGTAGTATCTTTAATTTCTACCTTATATTAGCTAGCTCTAGAAGAGGCGTTATATTAGAGCTTTATTAAATAATATTTAAGTAATTAACTTATTTTTAGTAGCTAGTTCTAGTATACAGCCTAATAGTTATTCTATAAGATATATAAAGTTAAGTTTAAGTTTTCCTTTACTATTAGTTAGTTTTTAGGCTTTAAAAAATAATAAAGTATCTTCTATAAGAGGCTTACTAATTAAGCTTAAAAACTTTCTAAGGATTAAGTTAGTATTATTAATTTATTCTTAAGGTTTATTTAATAGTATTTATAAGTTAAAATAGGTAGTAATTAGTACCTAGCTACCTATATTCTAAATATAAATAAGATGCTAATCCCCTTTAAGTATTTAGATAGTTATACTTATACTTATACTAGTAATTATATAGTTTCTAAACATAGTATTAAATTAGGCTAAGGTAAGTACTAAGCTATATTAATACTATATATCTTTACTAATAGCTCTAAGCCTATAAAGCTAAAGATAATCTTCTATAGCTTTACTAAGAAAGACCTTAAAAGTTAAAAAGATTTTATATATAGTAATATAATAATAGTAGAGTTTAATAATAAGGTATATAATAATAAGAAGAGTCTCTTAAACTAGTTAAAAAAAGAGTTTATACCTCTCTAGTTTACTAATAGGTATAATTTTCTACTTATATTAAACTAGGTAAGCTTTTATTAAACTAATAAAGTACTTAACTTACTCTATATAAATTAGATATTACTTACTATTATTTCCTTTAGCTATATATTTCTTATTTAGCTACTTAATACTATAGTTAATTAAGCCTTTAAAGTAGTACTTTAGTATTAGACTAAAGCTCTTACTACTATTAAAAAAAGCCTTAATAAAATAAAGTTAATTAAAGACTAGCCTCCTTAGTAGTAATAGAGGCTTACTATATATACTATTAGTAAAGCTTAGAAGGCTCTTAAGCCTAAGCTTATAGTATAATTATTTTAATAATATAGAATCTTATTACCTATTAATAGCTTATATAATTATAAGCTAAAAATTAAGAATCTTAAGTAGGTAAGCTTTAATAGCTAGTAGACTAAGATAGATAATTATTTAGTAAAGCTTATAGTACTAGAGGCCTTATAGGCAGTAGCTAAGTAAGATACTAATAATATAAAAGGTAAGTTTATATTAGATAAAGAAGTTAAATAGGAGTTTCTAAAAGGTAAGAGTAGTTAGTATATACTATATAAGTTAAGTTTATAAAGTATTAATAAGATTATACAGCCTAAAAGAAAGCCTATAATAAGAAGGCTAAAATACCTAATAAATATAAAGGTATAGACTATAGTAAACTTATAGAAAAACCTTAAATAGTATAGCTTAAGAAGCCTACTAATATAGAAGGCTAAGCTTATTAAGCTACTAAAGTTATATAATACTAAAAAGTAAGCTTAGTAAAGTAAGTAAAGTAAAGTAAAGCTTAGAGCTAGTTAGACTTATAAAGTTACTATAAGGTTTTAAAGCTTTTAACTATATAAAAATCTAGCTAAATTAGTATAAATTTATACTACTCTAGAGTAATTTACTAGAAGTATAGGCTTTACTAACTTATCTTACTACTATATAAATAATAGCTCTAAGTTTAAGTTTATATAAGCTAAGTTTAGGTATAAAGTTAAGTATTAATTAGTATTATAGATAAAGTTAAGATAGCTATTTAAAATTATTAAACTCTAACTCTAGTACTAAGGCTTATAATAAAACTTTAAAGTACTTAGTTTTATATTAAAACTCCTAAATCTTTATATCTTAACTAAAAAGGTAGCTTACTTAATAGTAATTTTTTTACTATAAGTTTATAATAGTTTATACCTTACCTAAAAGCCTTAGCTATAATAAGGATAGTAGTAGAGCGTAATATTATAATAAAGATAGATAGAATAGATATAAGGATATATTTACTAGCTAAGCTACTAGCTAAGCTTATAGAACCTTATAAAGTAGTTAATAGAATAGTAGAGCTTAATACCTAAATAGGTAGTAGTTACTATAATTTAAACTATCTTAACTTCTTTAAATCCTGCCTAAAAATGCCTATAATGTTACTAAAACTGCAGCTATATACTTAGAAGTACTTAAATAGTAGTAGAGTTATAGGATAGTATTTAAATAGTAGTAATTTTAGCCTATATAGATATATAACTATGTATTAATAGATTAACGTTGCTTAGCAGTTTAGGTTCTGCTATCTAATTAGTATTAACCTCCTGCCTGATTGGGCCTAGCTTAGCAAAATTCTACCAGTTTATGCGGTACGACAGGCACCTGTCAAATGAATTCGCCTAATTTTGCTCCAAAGCGTTGAGCACATCTTGGCCCTGGCCTAGTCTATACGCTGCCATGCGACATGGCGCGCCAGCTGAACCTCATGGATTGCTTTGCACTGCACACATCGTATCGTAGACTGGGGCTCCACCAACGTTGATGGACTTGCTTGAAACACTTGTCTGCGGAGCCAAAAGGAAGTGAGCTTTTCAACTTCTGATCATTGGCCTCTGCAAAACACCTTGCATACGCCTCTTCACATCACTACTGCGCCTTGGTTGCACACGATTTCCGTATCGGGATACCTACGTCCAAAGCTGAGAGAAGGTTTGCGCCCAACCGCTTCCACCATGCCTCTCGTGGCGATTCTATCCTTGTTTCGTGTGACCGGTACAGAGCACAACCGCTAGTGCCTCGCTCAGATGGTCCACTCGGACTGCAGCAGGTAGAGTGTGGCTTGCAGAAACAGTTCACCAGCAATACTTCTGTAACTCATTTAACCAGCCTGTCGCTGTTTTGGTTACATCTGCATACTGACATCTCTGCTGCTCGTCCCAAACGGCCATCGTCATGACTGGACCACTCCCCATCGCCCTGCTCTCTGCGGTAGCTTGGGCTAAGCTTGCACTGGGCAATGCTGTGCCTCTTGTGCCTGCCGATCCTACCATTACCACGGCTGCGATGCTGCCGCGACAAAACGCTAACAACTGGATCGGATGGGTAGAGGAGTCGGGTACTTGTGAGTGGTTTGACCGTTTCCTCTTCTACTTCCACTAACACCTTTCCCAGGGGTGAGTTCGGTGTGCGATCCCGGCAACACATGGTATCAGAATGGGCAGTACGCTCAGTGCTGTCCAGAAACCAATCAAGCTTGCAATGCGCCCACTGCCTGCGTCTCTGGTTCTCAAATCTATCCGTTTCCGTCGTTTGCTACGACGACAACGGTCGCATGGTCAGATCAATCATATCCGAATGTTCGAATCTTTCTAACATGTCCTACAGTACTTCAAACTACAACGACACACGCATGTCGATTTGCAACACCGTCTTCATCTTCGAGAGCTTCGGCGACTCCAACCCCAAAACAGACATCGTCTGCGGAAGTGAATCGCAAAACTGGTCCTACTACCGCAAAATACCCGCCTCTGCCACCGAGGCGAAAACCACCCGTAAGCCCACTCAACACTCATATATACATCCAGCCACTAACCCACTACAACAGAATCCTCAGCCGCCGGCTCAACGACCCCCTCCTCCTCAACCTCCAGCTCCAAAACATGGATCGCCGGCGCAGTCGCCGGCCCCGTAATCGGCCTCGCCCTCATAGCGCTGATATTCTTCTGCCTACGCCGCCGCAAGGCCAAAAAGGCCTCCGCAGCCTCTGCCCAAGGCAGCGCAACCATGGCGACCGTCGACCCCTCGCGCCCCCCTCCCGGCGTCGGCGGCTACACAGACGCAAAACCCCAGTTCACAACCGAACAGCAGGGATACTACCCCCCGCAGCAAGGCTTCGCGGAAACGTCGGCGTCCCCGCCGCCGCAGTTCGTTGCGCCCGTGACGAAGTACGCGTATGCGCCTGGTGCTCCGGAATTGGGTGGTCATCAGACGATGGGCGCATATGCAGGACACACGCCGGAATTGGCGGGGCAGGTGCATACTGCGCAGCCTAGTGAGTTGAGTGGGATGAGGTGAGGTGAGGGGTTGGTGGGGCGAGGGTGGCGTGTAACGTGGTATGAAGTGAACTATATAACGGCATGTTAGTCAATCTTTACGCTCGATATGAACTATTCTCAGATATGTCCATCTCCCCTTTTTGCTATCGAGTCGGTGGGATGGATTGGGAGTGGTGGAAAGACATTGTAAGGCTTCCTCTATAGGTTGTAGAAATCGCCTTTCTGCGACAAAGGAGAGTATCTCGACGTCATGTCGTGGATGAATGAATGGAAGTAATGTATGAATCGAAGGAGTGTAACTACCAAGTATACAATATCTAGGTGAATAAACAGTCTATCAAGCCATAATTAAACAGCAAAGAGTGAGTCGATGCACAGACTATATGCCGTTTATAAATAGTTCGTTGTAACCATGCTCATCATCATTATCGTTATCTACATCCTTATGTCCCTGCGTACATACATACATACATATCAATCTTGATCCCTCTTTCCCTCCATCGTGCAATCCAGATCCAACAACTCCAAAGCAACAAGAAACCCCCAAAACAATGCGACGCAATGCAATGCAAAGCAATACGATGCGATGAAAATGTAAACAAACCCCCCTCACCTCCCTCCCCTCCACTCTCCATTCCATCAGTCTACATCCTCCTCCCCCTGCTCTCCTCCCCACTCCCACTCCCAAGTCCATTCCCATTAACAGTCCCATACTCCACCCCCGGCATAAGCACCTCCCTCGCCCCCTGCGCCTCCTCCTCGACCGCCTCCCTCAGAATCTTGCCACTGCGCCTCCACACAAACAGCACGAGCGCGGCGCCCACCAACAGCGCGGCACCCAGCAGCACGAGGTTCACCGGCACGGGATCGTTGTGGAAGATCTTGTGTGTTGCGGCGTCGAGGGCGGATTGCGAGAAGTTTAGTAGACCCGCGAGGCAGATGATGAGGCCGTAGACTTTGCCGAAGGTGGCGAAGCCGAAGACTTTTGCGGAGTAGTCGCTGGGAGGGGGGTTAGCTTTTGTGGGGGTTTATGGGGGAGGGGGTCAAGGGGGGGCTTACGAAACGGCGGTGTAGTACAACGGGCGGTACAGCACGAAGAGGCAGATATTAGCGTATGCGGCCCACGCTTCGGGGATGACGCCGAGCACGCCGATAGTGGTCGCGACGGTAACGAGCAGGGAGAGTGTGAAAGTCGTGCTTGTGTTGTCGAGCAGCAGGCCGATGAAGGGGACAGATATAACACCGCCAACGGGCAGGGCGACGTCGAAGAAGTTGTTGATCTCGACGGCCTTGGCGTGCGAGTGGAAGAGGTAGATGTACTGCGAGCGGATGGTCGCGACGAAGTAGTTTATGCGCGTCATCTGCAGGACGGTGAAGAGGGTGATGAGGATGAACCACGGGGTGCGGATCTGCTGTGCTGCTGTGCGGCCGTGGAGTGCGCCCCAGACGCCGGAGACGTTGCGCTTCTTCTCCTCGTCCTGCGCTTGCTGGGCGCCGTCGTGTGTGCCGAGCAGGGATGTGATTTCGCTGACGATGCTGTCGCGGTGGGCGCGGCGGGCGTGGATGGTAGATGGGTCCTGCGTGTCGTCATCTTCGTCGTGCAGGATGGCGGTTTCTTCCTCGGCCTGGATGACGAGCTCGCCGACTGTTTTGTAGGACGTGGCGGGCATGAAGAAGAGCTGCACGATGAAGATGTAGGCGGGCACGACGAGGTAGATGAGGAAGAAGCTTTTGACGGTGAAGGAGTTGTCGGTGGCCTGGTAGATGAGGCGGTAGATGAGGAAGACGGCGCTGGACGTGTCGAAGGCGCCGGTGAGTAGGGCGAGGATCAGTCCCGAGTACTGCGGGAACGTGTTGCTGAGCTGGAACGACGAGATGAAGATGAAGGGTCCGCCGAGGGCCATGAACAGGTAGCCGGGGATGTAGGCGTCGAAGGGGAGTTCGGCGGCGAAGGCGAAGAGTAGAGATCCTGCAGTAATACATAGGGCACCAATAATTCCACAGACTCGGGGCCCAAAGCGATCCAGAACTGTGCCGACGGGGAGAGCGACGACGTTTGTAGATACCGCGGCGATGGTGAACATGAGGTTGAGTCTGCCGTCGTTCGTTAGCTATGCGACCTGCACTTCGACACAGTCCCAACATACCGTAGCTCTTGCTCGTAGCATACCGACACGCCCTGCTCCAGCTCATCCTTTGTACAGCGATCCCTATATACGCCCTCCTCCAGCAAGACAGGTTTTATCGCCGCATACCCAAACACGACGCCCGCCGCGAACAGGCAGTAGATGACGGCGAGGAAGACCTGGACTGCACGCAGATTAGCTCCACCTTGCCAGATACTATACGAACTTCACTCACGCAGCCTCTTCCACTTGGGCACCTCGAAGGCGCCGACAGTCGGCAGCTCGCCCGTCGCTTCAGTCCATGTCCCAACGGGATTGAACGACAGCTTGCGGTCGCGCGAGCTGGGGCTTGCTTCCCTGCTCCATGGCTGGTACTCCTCGAGCGTTGTGATGCGCTCGGCGAGCGACATGGCGGAGGTGTGGTCGTTGTGGATGTATGTGTAGCTTGGTCGCGTCCTCTGTTACACCTCGTGCAGCGCAACACTCCAGCGATAAGCTCTTCTTCTTCTTCACACGCCCAATTCAAAGCAATGCAATCCAACGCAATTCTTCCCGTCAATCGTCAATTCAACCCTGCAACAAGTCTAGTCCGAGTCCAAACACCACAGCAGTAGAAAGATTCGCAGAGCGCAAAAAAACAGCACGCAGAGCTAAGTGGGTCGCACAGAGCTATATACTCTGGCGCTCTGTCTGCCGAATGACGACGAGCGGGGTGGGGCGGGGGGGGCGTCACAACCAACCACTCAATGCCAACGCCAACGCAAGGCCCCATCTATCCATGCATCTGCGATCCTGCGTCTCGGGTTCACGATTCCCCGCGTCGCGTGATAAGTCGAGTATACGATTACACATTGTAACTAGAACATTTCTTGGGCAGATGACTCTCCGGCGAGAGGAGAGGGGTAAATACCACTACTTATTGTTGATGCTGCGTCTAGGCGAGCGCAATGCGTGTCCACCCTGAACATTGCAAGCCTGGAGGATGGATGGACGGGTGGCCAATGTGAGGCCACTACGTACCAGACAGCACGACGAAACAGCACAGCGAATGATAGCGCGACTTAGCCGCGGATTACTTGCCTAGCTAGTTACCCGTAGGGAGCTTTGACCAGATGGTGCTGTGGCGCTATCTAGGTATCTAGGTATCTATCAAATCATGACTACCCGTGATGGGCGGATTTTTCTTTTTCTTTGTCGTCCTGGACATACCTACTCCACATGTTCGCTTATCTCCGGGCGGAGGACGGCGGACGGTGGATACTGAACACCGCTTTGTGTTGCGTTTCACCTGCCAAGCAAGTATCTATCGTGTTGATTTTAGTCTTCACGATGCAGTAGATAGTTTTTTTTGGCAAAGCGTCGATACTAATTTTAGGATGAAGTGACTGCAATATATCCATTCGTAACTAGTAGTCTCATCTATTAAGCTCAAGACAAAGCCAGAAGGCAGTCTGATGTTTTTGAAACGCGATAAAGACAAGAACAAGACAATACTAGACAAGACAAGATAAGATAAGATAGAAGAAAACGCCAAACTCCCTCGCAATGCAATCGTGTTTTTGTAGTTGTAGGGGAAAAACATATTCTCTGTAAAGACTGACTTTCGATCCATCCCCAAACATTAGCCTCGACACAACCCCTCCATCAAGATCAACGCTCAAGCCTCCTCAACAGACTTAGCAGCAGGAGCAGCCTTCTTGTTCTTGTACCACAGCGTAGGGAGGAGTGCGCAGGAGACTGTGAACAGGATGCTATCACCATATCAGTACTCTGTCTTGATTTATAGGAAATGGGAAAAAACTCACCAAAGCGCAACACTGAGTCCCCACACAGTCTTAGCCTGGAAGCAGTTCGACTTGGTAACGCCGGACCAGTGCAACAGTCCCAAGTTCGAGCCAACGGTGTTCAAGTTCTGCGTCGTGGCTGTGACGAAGGCGTATGCGGACTGGGTGTCGACTTCGGTAGAGGCACGGCCGATAACGTAGCAGTTGAGGTAGGAGAGGGGCTTCCCCAAAACAACAGCACATACGATAAAGGCGATGAGGAGCAGGGAGTCGACGCCTGTCATGATCAAGAGGCCGAGGTTGGCGTGCGACCAGTAGTAGCCGATGCTGACCATGATGTAGAGCGCTGCGATGCAGGTCTAGGGAAGGTGCGTTAGTGGGGAGTGGTTTGTATGCGGCAAAGGGGATACATACCACGCTCAGTGTGCCGACGAACTCCTTGGGGGGCTCAACGCCCATGATTAGGATCATGTTGATGAAGTTGGAGGCTATGCCGATGACTACGATCATGGCGATGGCCTGGAGGATGCGGACTAGGAGGAACATCTTGCTCAGGGGCATGGCGCCGTAGCTGGGGACAGAAGACATGTTTGCGGTGGTGGTGTTTGGGGGGGAGGTGGTTTGGAAGGTTGCTGGTGAGCTAAAGAGCGAGTGTCGTGATAGACGTGCGAAGTAGTTTTGCGTAGAAGAACGATGGGATATCTGCACAGCAGATAGAATCAAAAAGAAGAAGAAGAAGTGATCGTAGAAGACAATAATCCAAAGACAAGAAAGACCCAGATAGGAGACAATGAAATAAAGACAACACAAGGAAAGAGACGGAAAAAGGAAACTCGCAGAGTTGTAGAGGCGATGAGATGCTGATGTGGTTTGATGTCTCTTTGGGTCGACTCCAGTACATCCTATATACCTTCCATCCAAACTACTTCCTCAACAAAAGTTCACCACCCCAACTCCAATGCGGATGCTGGAGGCCGTTCTATTCCTGTTCGTCGTCTGTCTGGACCTGCATCGTTTCAGGACATTTTGAATAGTCGCTGCGCGAGCCAATGAGCTGCACGAACGGCGCTGCTTCAGAAAATGTCCGAGCTGCCGCACCGACGCGTAGCGGCGGCTACCAACACGCCCAGACCCCACATGTACGATTGAGTATTACGGGGGAAGCCATTGAGGTGAGAGGGATTGGCGTTGTACCTGGTGGATTTGGAGCTACGTCTCGCTTCACCATCTGGGTGGCTGTGAGTAAACGTCGCGGCTGTTGCGTTGCTTCCCCGGCCCACGTCGAGTTCCCGCCCAGCATCGCGCGCGGGAGCTACGCTTGTGTTGTGTTGAGGCTCAATCAGATGCCATTGAGGGTTGAAGCCTCGTTTGGAGGATCGGCGATGGCGTGTCTGGAGAGGGGGGAGGGCTGGATGAGAGGCTGAGTGTGTCTATGGTGAATGTCAATGCGTACATGTTCAGCTCAGGTTCGCGTGTGCATTGGTTGAGCGTGTTGGATGAGCAGAACACGTATGGTTGGCGTAGTGACAGGATGAAGCAGACGGTGGCCTAGACATTACGTATCAGGTGACACTCGACAGAGCCAGCACAGCACAACCTCCATGATACCAGAGATAGGAGAGCAGGGTGCAGCGAAATCATGCAACAGCTTGACAACTACAACTGAGTTTGGTGTAGCAATATTGTGCCTGGATTTTGAGCTGTATACGCCTTGCGTTCACTTTAACAATCTCAAATTGTGTGATTTTGTAGCTTGTAGGAGCCACAAAGAATAAAGCTTACTTCCTGCTTTTACAGTCGACTGAGAGGAGAAGTCTGCGGAATCGATGTCGGAATTGATCGGTGCTGATGAGCTCCCCACTCCCAGCACGTGTACAGCTCGGATTCGACAAAGGCCAACCAGATGCGGCATGTCCGGCCAGACCCCAGATCTCGGACTGTAAGCCGGAGATATGCGCCCTCTACAAAGCCATGTCCAGCCATGCCGTGCAGCCCAGCAGACACGTCTGGAAGCTCTGTGCGTGGGCTTGTGAGTGTTTGAATACTGCAATCGCCCTTCCATCCCAAACAAGATGGGTCTTCTGGAGTACAGACAACATCAGGTCGACTGGTACGTAGCTCCACCCCACCACCACGTCGCAGCTCCAGCCAACACAGTCCCAGCCAGCGCAAGCAGTCGGAGCGCGCCTCGAAGATCGCAGCACTCCCCCGGACCTACCTCTCCCCGCTGTCGCTGAAAGAGCGCACCATCCTCGGCAAGTCGATCCAAGACCTCGTGCAAGATGTGCACAAGCGCGTCACCAGCCCCGTCGACATCCTGCGCGCATACGGCAAGGTCACGATAAAGGCACACGAAAAGACAAACTGCGCCACGGAGATCCTGTTCCCGGAGGCGGAAGACTGGGCGCTGAATGAGGTCAATCTCAAGGGCCCGCTGGCTGGCATCCCCGTCTCGCTCAAGGACTCGATCCAGGTCAAGGGCTTCGACAGCTCCGTCGGATACTCGAGGAACACGGGCAAACCGGCTGCAGAGGATGGCGCCATGGTGAAGCTGCTGAAAGACGCCGGTGCCGTGCCTTTTGTCAAGACCAACCTGCCAACAACCCTCTTGTCGTTTGAGTCCACAAACGACGTCTGGGGCCAGTGCAAGAACCCCCACAACGACAAGTACTCGCCCGGCGGCTCAACAGGCGGCGAGGCAGCACTGCTAGCATTCGGCGGGAGTCGCATAGGCATCGGGTCAGATGTTGCGGGCTCCGTTCGCGCACCCGCCCACTTCTCCGGCTGCTACTCGCTGCGCTGCTCCACGGGGCGCTGGCCAAAAGTCGGCATGAACACCAGCATGTCAGGCCAAGAAGCCATCCCCAGCGTCTTCAGCCCCATGGCCCGCACCCTCAACGACCTGACCTACTTCACCCGCAGCTTCATCCAGATGCAGCCCTGGAAGTACGACTACACGGTCCACCCGCTCGCCTGGCGCGACGACATCGAAGCAGAGTTCCAGGACAAAGAGAAACTGCGCATAGGCATCATGCGAACTGACCACGTCGTCGACCCCTCGCCAGCCTGCGCGCGCGCTCTATCCCTCGCCGCCTCCGCCCTCGCAGCAGAAGGTCACGAGGTCTTCGACGTCACGCCCCCGTCCCCCTACGAAGCCCTCCGTCTAGCATCCCAGCTCCTCCTCAGCGACGGCGGCGCAACTTTCATGTCCCACTTCCGCACAGGCGAATGGAACGACCTCGGCGCCGCGCAGATGGTCCTGTACATGCGCCTACCCCGCTTCATCAAGTACGCGCACTACCTGTGGGTCAAGCACGTGCAAGGTGACGCTCTCTGGGCCGGCCTGCTGCGCGACTGGCACCCCAAGTCTGCACATGAGTACTGGCAGCTCGCTGGTCAGCGCGAGGCGTACAAGCAGCGCTTCTATGCGTGGTGGGATGAGACGGATATGGACGTCATGCTCACCCCGCCGAACGCTACCCCCGCCGTGCCCCATGGCGGCATGCGCGACGCGGTTAGTAGTTGCGGGTATACGTTTCTTTTCAACCTTGTAAGTCCCCTTATTATACATCATCCAACCCAGCCACTAAATTCCGTCTAGCTCGACTACACAGCAGGCATCCTGCCCGTCACCCACGTCGACCCCGCCCTCGACGCCCTGCCCGCTACTTTCTCCCTCAAGACACTCAACGGCGTGGCCAGGGGCGCGTACAAACACTACGACGCGGCGAAGATGGCGGGCTTGCCGGTTGCGGTGCAGGTTGTGGGGCGCCGGCTCGAGGAGGAGAAGGTTCTGGCTGTTATGGAGAGGCTGGAGGATGCGCTGGATGAGCAGGGGGATCGGTATGAGTTGTTGGAAGTGGATTGATTTTGTATTGAGAGGAGTGGGTGGTGGGAAGGGGGTTGGATATGCAGCTATATTTACGACGTTATGCGAGATGCGAATGAACGATATTTATTCTTCTTTCCCGAGCTCGCTTCGCGCATGTTTGTAAAGCACACTTTTATGTGGGAAATGAAAGTAAACAAGAAAGAAAAGAATACACGACATGTTACTCATTTCCATTTCCATTCCCAAACATGAACCATGACGAACATCAGTAAGTAAAGATATACACATGCATGCATCAAGTCCCAACCCCCACCGTATTCTCCAAAGCCAAAAGCCAAAAGCGAAGCCAAACCAGAAACTCCAAAACCAACGCATCCCCATCCAAAAAACAAAAAGGTATCATATCATATCATCGCACTCCCACTTCCCATGCCCATCTCTCATCCCCACTTCATCTACCCCTCACCCCGGCCATAACCCCCCCTACCCCTCTCGATAAAACTTCTTAAAAATCAAATGCAAAAACAGATTAACATTAACCCTGACGGCCCCGCCCCCCGACCCATCCCTCCCCTCCCCAAAAAGATTCATAAACTGGTGATTATCGAACTGCGCCTGCAGGAGTCCATCGAGGGGGACCTCCGCCAGGGCGCCCGGAATCATCGTACTCCCCTGGGAGCCCTGGATCTCAAAAACACCCGTCTGATTCGAGCTAATCGTCATATCGAGGCGGTCCCACTGGCGCTCTGGATACCCATTCCAAGACACCAGAATGCCTTTCTCGGCCAGGTTGCGTGCAGAGTACTTGAAGGAGCCGAATCTGTATTCGCGGCCCGAGCGCTGAAGTTCGCGGACGTGGTTGTACTGGCGTGTGAAGGGGAGGAGGAATTTCTTCTTTCCCTTTTTGGTTTGCAGCGTCGACATGGCTTGTTCGATGTAGTCGTTGTAAGATTTGAGTTGCTGGTCGAGGAAGTGGGCTTTTTCGTCGAGGGCGGCCAGGCTGGTGCGGACGCCGTCTAGTTCTTTGGCGCGCTGGATGCGCCGGCGGTGCTTGGTGCGGATGTCGACTGCGATGGCGTTGAGCAGGTCTTGGTAGTTGTTGTGCGGGGAGATGCGCCCGGCGCGTTGGAGTTGCACCATGTTTTCTAGGCAGTATTGCTTGAGGGAGGGGTAGTCGAGTTCGAAGACGGAGTTTGCGCTCATGTCGGTCGTGTAGGTTGAGGATGCTGACGAGCGGACTGCGTTGTATTTGCGTGACCGGTCCTTGGTTTGGGCGGCGAGCTCTTCGCGGATGATGGCGTCCCAGCGATCTTCGTCTTCGGGAGTGACGGGCTTGCAGATGATCTCGGTGAGGTTGGCGCCGGTTTGCACACGGATGATGTAGAGGATGTAGCGTTTCGTCTCCATGAAGAGTGATTTGATCGCGGCGTCAGGATCTGGACATGTTAGCGCGTGATGTATATGGAAGATGAAGTTGCTTACCCTCTTGTTCATGGAACTTGCCGGTGAGAGTCAAGGTGATCTCGGTGGAGCTGACGTGCAGCAGCTCGTTCTCGTTGTTTTTGGCGCTACCAAGCTCTCGAATGACCTCGCGCAGGGGATCGTCTGGAGAAGGACACAGGGTGGACAGGTCATCAAGCACAAGGTTATGGATGGCGAAAACGTCTGCAAGTTTGATGTAGAGTGTTGGCTTCGTTCGTGCGAACAAGTCGTTGAACTCGTCAATCTCAAACTGAGCCTCGGCGGCGCGGACGTTGATCACTGTCGTGATGTTAGCTACGTTCATATAAGTTTCAAAGTACACCTACAATTTGACCAAATGTCCTGCAAACGGTCAATAGCTTCAGTAATGTAGCTGTTGAGAGGCTGCAGGTAGAGATCCTCTCCGCCAAAGAGCTTGCCTGCTGCGACTTGGCCCAATACCTTCGCGACCGCACCAAGGTTCCTGTTCATAACAGGTGACATGCCGCGGTCGACGACGCCCCAATGCTGTGGCTGCATCAGCGCAGGCTGCAGGTAAGTCTTCCAGACCCAATGACCAGCGATCTGTAGAAGCTGCTCCTCTGCTTCGTACGGGAACTGGAGGCGGAGCTCTTCAAACATCTGCTGGGCAAGGTACCGAACTCCATACGGCATCCGGTTGAGAACTTCCTCAAGCATGGAGAAGAACTGGTCTGCAACGTCTCGGAGATCTTGCAAGTTATGAATGAAAGTACCCCGAGTCTCGGGATCTTTGAGTGCCACGTCGCGGGACACGTTTGGATCGCGGCGACTGCGTTGACCAGTGCGAAGCTCTTCGTTGTTGATTGCTGATCGGTAGATCTGCATTGGATCGCTCTCCAGATCCAAGTGCTCGTTCTCGATGATGTTCTCTCGAATTACTGCTCCCAATACGTCTTTCAGAAACTTGCGGTCGCGTGGTGATCGGACATAGCCACTGAAGAGTTTAGACCAGAAAAAGTTTCCTCGCAGATACTCTTGCAGCGCTGCGCATCCCTCGATCTCCTCCTTCAAAGACCGCGCCAACAGTTTGAGTAGCCAGTACTCTTCCCTGGCCTTTTGCGCCAGGCCAAACAGGCTCATCGTCAATTGCTCGATGCGCTTTGTGTCTTTCTCGGCGAGGTTCTGGTCACGGATACGAGTAAAAAGTCGTGCAAAATATTGAGGCTGTGTCTGCAGGATGAAAAACAATTCCTGGTAATGCTCCAGCTTTCTGCGAGAGGTTTTGTTGAGAGCTTTCAGATCAAAAGGATCCTTTGAGGAGATGTCCTTGCTGCTGAGAAGCGTTCCGACGTGGCCGCCGAAATGCTTCTGATGCTTGACAACCTCATCCAGTGTGATTTTGTTCTTGACAAGCAGCGCAATCTTGATATCCAGCTGATCAATATATTGCTCTGCAAGCTCGTTTTGTCGCACGTGCTGCACCACGGTCTTTCGGAGGCGCTCAAATTCTGTATCGTTGTTAGCAGACGGTCCTGAGAGTGATGAATCGCGGTCTTACCAATCTCCTCGTCGAAGTCGATATCGCTGTCGTTCAGGAGGTGAACAAAATTCTTGACCGTTGAGACAGGAGGGTTTGTTCCGCTAGTCAAGCTCTTGTATGCTTCTCCTTGTTGGCGACCACGTATGAAGCTCTGAATCTTTATGACCTTCTGCATGTTTTCCTGGTAATGTTGCTGCTTCTCGGCATAATGCTGTCGAATCACCATGCCACGAGCGAGGGCTTGCAACTCCACGAGGGCCTCTTCATGCTCCTCAACTTGACCAAGCTGGATCCCAATCTCCATCCGCAGCAACATGCCACGTGCGAAGCCTTGGATCTCGACAATCTCGGGCTCCTGAGCATTGAGATCACAGAGTGTCTCATATGTTTGCTGCCGTTGTACAAATCCCCGGCAAGATGATTGGAAGTCAAGAATGGCAGGCGTCTGAGCATGGAGTTCTGCGAGGTCCGAAAAGTGTCGCTGTCGAGAGATGAAGCCCCGCATATAAGCCTGTAGTGAAGTAATGACATCTCCTTGGCTGTCGAGCTGCGCGAGAGTGTCTGCAACCTCTGATCGGACCTTGCCTGCTCTTGATATAGCCTGCAAGTCGATAATCTGCGGCTCCTCAACGTGTAGTTCATCTTGCATCTGCTTAACGGAGTTTCTCAGAGAGTTCGCGCGTATTGTGGACTGCAAGTCAGACCAATCTACATCGGAGCTCTCCAGTTGCTCCTGCACCTCAGCATTCTTCCGTCTAGCAATAATGCCTCGGGCAGCGGCCTGCAAAAGAGAAACGACAGACTCATTTTGTCGGAGGCTTTCCTGGTCGGTTCGCATTGACTGACGCAGGAGCATCGCTCGGGTCACAGCCTGGAGCTGCGCAATCTGTGACGCCTTCTGAGTTAGCTCCATGTGTTGTCGATCAATAGTCTGTCGCACAATCATCGCTCTTGAGACTGCCTGAAGCTTCGCAATCTGTGGTTCAACCTCTTCCAGTTCTGCCAAATCTCGGCCGATCTGACCTCGCACGAGCAACGACCGGGAGACTGCCTGGAGTTGTGCAATTTGAGGCTCAACTTCCTCCAGCTCTGCCAGATCCCGGCCGATCTGACCTCGCACGAGGAGTGCCCGAGCAATAGCTTGAAACTGAATGACTTGGTGGTCGTGTTCTTGCCGTTCAGCCCAGTCCTGACCGACCTTCTGTCGCAAAAGCATAGCTCTACAGGCCGCCTGGAGTTGTGTAATCTGCAGTCCAGCCTCGTTGAGTTCCGCCCAATCTCGACCGACACTATCTCGCACAAGCAATGCCCGTGCGGCAGACTGGAACTGTGTAACTTGATACTCGTTTTCTTTCAGCTCTGCCCACTCTCGGTCAACCTGGAGTCGCAGAAGGGCTCCGCGGATCATGGCTTGCACATGCACTACGGAAGGTTCTGTGTCGCGTGTCTGTTCATAGCTGTTGGATACACGAAGCCGTTCTAGCGCTCCCCGAATAGCTGCCTGGAATTGTCGGATCCCGTTCTCGTGTTGCTGGACTTTCGACTTGGTGTATTCAACTTGGACTCTCGCTTTTCGTCCTCGGAATAGATTCTGCACCTTCAGCACTTGTTCCTCCCTATCCCGCCAGTATTCCTCCTTGCCTCGCAACCTCGATCGAACAACATATGCTCTTGCCGCGCTTTGAAGGTTGATGGAGAATCGTCGCATGTCCAGCTTGTAGTAGGCAATCTGTCTGGCCCAGTCGCCACGAATGCGCGACTGCAAATCCACAATGAGGTGTTCGTGGTCCCAAAGGTCTTGCATCAGGTTCCCAAGCCGTATCCTTAGTAGAGCACCCCTCATCTGCGCTTGTAGATCCAAGATGATTTCTTCATTTTCTGCGAGTTCGCGGTCAACGCGATCTTCCTCGGTCTCCTCAGGCTCTGGCTCTGGCTCTGGTTCTGGTTCAACGGCGAAGTTTGCTTGCATGCCCGAGAAGTTAGGCATACTAACGCCAGACTTGTCCAGACCTTTCTGCGTGGCTTCCAACTCATGATCTTCAAACTGGAGCTTACCGACGAGATTTCCAATACGGAAGTCGACTATGCCTTTGCGAAACAAAAGCCATGAGAGAGCGTGGATGCAATAGATGACTTTAGGAACGTTCTTCTTCTCGTACAGATCGATCAGCTCAAAGCGGAACAGATCTGGTAGTTCGACTTCGGTCAGAAACTTGAAGAAGTGGGCGTAGTTGTTGGAGTGGCGGTACTGGAGTTTTGGGTCCCTAAATATGCGCAATGGATGCTGTTCGATGGCCTGCACAATCTCGGCCAGCGTCACACCGTTTCGCAGAGCTTCCTCCAGTTCCACAACGGGCGGCAGCTCTGATTCGATGATGTCCTCCATCCACTCCTTGGCCTCTCCAATGTGACAGAGATATTCGTATGCCTGCAAAAACTGGCGTTGCTGGTCCATCCAGTTCCTACTAGCCCACGACGATGTTGCCTTCTTCTCTCGCATAGGGTCGGTGCGCTGCAATCTTCTCCGCCCGTGGAGACCCACGACCTCCTGCTCGGGAGACTTGATTGTGAAGGCATCTTCGGTTCCTGACTGGGCGAATTTCGATAAGGTGCGCAAGTGTCCTGTCGTCGACTTGTGCAGGTTCTGCAGCGCCGGTTGCTCGAGATGTACCGAAAGAGGGCGAGAGGAGTGGTCACGAGTCGGCGCGCGTATCGAGTCGGCGCGGGATATGGCTATGGACAACGGGCGCGGTTTGGGCGGGGAGACGGAGCCATCGAAGGGCTGGTAGCGCGTGTTCTCGACGCTCTGTGACCGGACGTGGGAGTGTGTTGGCAGTTCTGTCGGCGGGCGGGCAGACCTGTCGGGAATAGGTGAGCTCTGTGGGACCTGCTGGGTTGGGCGCAGTGCGTTGCGCATGCTCGAGTATGTGCTCCCTGGGTTAGCGTCTCCGGAGCCAAAGGAGGGTCCAGGGCGCGGTTGTGAAAGTGCAGTGGCTTCACTCATGCCGCGGCGGTGGCTTGTTGTCACGGGACCGTACGAAGCATTGCTGGACTGGGTGCTCGACCGGCTCGCGGGGTTTTGTGAATTTGTCGAGCCATTGGAAGCCGTCGAGGTCTGGCGCAGCGGGGAGGGCGATGCTGCCGTGTGCCCCAGTCTCGTTCGCGGGGTGTACGAGTGGCTCATGGTGAGCGCGGGGGTTGATGCAGTCCGGACTGGCGCCGCATGTGTAGCACGGCGTGCAAGGGGTTATTTTGATTGTCGCAGGGCGAGAGGCTGTCGAGGCCGTCTTCGAGACCGCAATATTAGAGGTGAGTTGGCGGCGCCTGCCTGCCAAACACAACCCAAACTGATTTTAAAAAGTAGCTACAAGCGGTCCAGCGACCCGGCCAGTGACAGACAACTGCACGGCTCTAGAAAGGAATGCGAGAATGTGAGGATGCAGTCGCAGACTCGAGTCGCGGCGGCGTGGAATGGCGGTGCAGTCGAGTCGCACGGATGTTTTGTTTACATTCGGAGGCGTCTCCCAAACCCAAACCCTGCCTGACCTGACTACGGTAACGCAGCCAATCGACCACCTCACGCCTCTATGTCAAACACGCGCTCGAGCTGTCTGGAGCAGCACGTCTGCATGCGACCGACTACCTCTGCGCTTGATGGTTGCTTGCCTGCACAAACGCCTTTTCTTTTTCTAACCTTTGGAGCCGCTGTCTACTCCTGATGGTCGCTCATCTCGTCTGGCCACCCACCAGGCAGACCCAGCCAGCCAGGTCATTACAAACTATGACATGTCGCCGTCGGCCGGCACACTGACGGTCCGTCGAGAGACGCGATGCGACGACGCTGCGCTGAGTGCCTCTGTGCTTACGCGTCGAGGTGCTGCGCGTGGCCGGACGCGCTAATGGCGGGGTCTTGGCAACCCACCTCAAATTCTTTTTTGCGAACTTTTTGTTCTTTTCTCTTGGGAACAGCCCTCACCTGTTTCCCGGCCAAGGTTATCTACGCAACCACGGTCTCTCTCTTTCAGTCACGCCTCGCACACGCTTCTCTTTCTCGAGAAGTGCTTTCTTTCCTCCATTATGCCCATCTCCAACGGCGACGCCATGACCAACACCGCAGTCGACGCCCTGGACTACTCCAAGGCTGTAGAGGTGCTCAAGAACGAGTACTCTGAGCGCGATGGAATCGACGTCAAGACGCTGATCGACTCCAAGAGGAACGGTGGCTTGACGTACAATGACTTTCTCGTGCTCCCTGGGTACATCGGTTCGTTGCCCTCGTAGCTGGCGCAGTCTCCACTGCAATTCTGACCTTCTAAGGGTTCCCCGCCTCTGAAGTCACCCTCGACACGCCCATCACGAAGCGCATCACACTGAAGACACCGTTCGTCTCTTCGCCCATGGACACAGTCACTGAGCACAACATGGCTATCCACCTTGCCTTGCTCGGTGGACTCGGTGTGATCCACCACAACTGCTCCCAGGACGACCAGGCCGAGATGGTGCGCAAGGTGAAGCGCTTCGAGAACGGCTTCATCCTCGACCCTGTCGTTATCTCCCCCAAGACCACCGTCGCTGAGGCCAAGGCGCTCAAGGACAGGTGGGGTTTTGGCGGTTTCCCAGTCACAGGTAAGCAATTGTCACTTTCGCCCTGCAATTTCGATTTTATGATGAACAACCTTTACATTTAACTTTCGTTCATCCGCAACGATTCCGTCGTGCTGTGGAGAAATGATTTCCTGAAAACTATCCAATCTGTCATTTGAATAAAAAAACTCACTCGTTGCGCAATCGCTGACTGTGGATTTACAGAGGACGGCACTCTTCGATCCAAACTCGTTGGCATCATCACTCCCCGAGACATCCAGTTCCACGACAACGTGAACGACGCGGTCACCGCGGTCATGTCCACCGATCTTATCACCGCTCGCCACGGCGTCGAACTCAAGGAAGCCAACGACATTCTCAACAAGTCCAAGAAGGGCAAGCTTCCCATCGTGGACGAGAACTTCAACCTGATTGCGCTTCTCTCCCGTTCCGACTTGATGAAGAACCTGAACTTCCCGCTTGCATCCAAGCTTCCACACTCCAAGCAGCTTATCGCAGCTGCTGCCATCGGTACTCGACCAGAAGACAAGACCCGTCTGCAGAAACTCGTTGATGCTGGCCTTGACATCGTCATCCTTGACAGCAGCCAGGGCAACAGCATGTACCAGGTCGAGATGATCAAGTACATCAAGGAGAAATACCCTGAGCTCGATGTGATTGGCGGAAACGTCGTCACGCGAGACCAGGCTGCTGCGCTTATTGCCGCAGGTGTTGACGGTCTCCGAATTGGCATGGGAAGCGGAAGCGCTTGCATTACGCAGGAGGTCATGGCCGTCGGCAGACCCCAGGCCACCTCAGTCTACAACGTCACCTCGTTCGCCAAGCGCTTTGGTGTGCCTTGCATCGCGGACGGCGGTATTCAGAACGTTGGGCACATTGTCAAGGGTCTTGCTATGGGCGCCTCGACTGTTATGATGGGTGGTCTCCTTGCTGGTACCACCGAGTCTCCTGGCGAGTACTTTGTCAGCCGTGACGGTCAGCTTGTCAAGGCTTACCGTGGTATGGGCAGTATCGCTGCCATGGAGGACAAGAAGGCCGGAGCTGGCAACGCAGACTCAAAAGCAAGCAACGCTGGTACCGCGCGCTACTTTTCCGAGGGCGATCGCGTTCTCGTCGCACAGGGTGTCTCTGGATCCGTCCAGGACCGCGGTTCCATCACCAAGTTCGTACCCTACCTCATGGCTGGTGTCCAGCACTCGCTCCAGGATATTGGCATCAAGAGCATCACCGAGCTTCGTGAGGGTGTCACGGACGGCACCGTAAGATTTGAGCTGCGAACTGCCAGCGCGCAGGCTGAGGGTGGCGTTCACGGTCTGCACAGCTTCGACAAGAAGCTCTACTCATAGATCTTGGTCTGAAGTGAACTAAAACATGCATTGGGAGGGCGTTGGGTTGGTCGGATGGATTGCTTGATATATCTCACATTTCTAAACATGTGAAGACGACTGATGAGTTACGTTACGGGGGATTGGGAGGAAATGGATAGGGCTAAAAGCAATGATACCACGAACACCGTTCACACTTTATACATCGCTTCCTCTGGTATGGCTTATGTTCTGAGAAATCGTTTCCTGGTTTGCGGGTTGACTCTTTGGGGCGAGGCTACCCAGGGCAAACCACTTCCCCACAACCTCGGCCCCGCTTCGCACACGTCCCCCATCAACCAACAATCACACATGATGACGCGCTACTATCCCGTCTCGTTGACTTCCGAGTCAAGAAATGTCACGGCTGAGCTGTTTGCGCTTCTTTCTTCAACCAAGGCGTTACCTTTTCGTTGCGCGAACACCTCATTCCACGCGATCGATCATTGCGCTGCCGAATCGATTAGTACAACGCGCTGAGCTACAAACACAAGCAACTTCTCCACAAACCCATCTTTCAAAAAAGTCCGTACAGCACATACACAAGCGCAACATGTCTACGCCAGCGGATCACCAGCCGCTCAAAAAGGCACCCAAGACTCCTGTGGCTCCAAGACCTAGCTCAAGGTATGTCTACAAACGTCTACCAACACCCTTCAAGACAGCTCACAGCTCCAGCGTCCTCCTCATTTCGCCCACAAATCAAATCCTCCTTCTCCATCGCGTGTCCAAAGCCTCCAGCTTCGCCTCCGCGCATGTCTTCCCCGGCGGCGCCTTGAGCAAAACCCACGACGGTGCCATCCCCGACATCGACGAGCCCGGCCGTCATCAAGACGGTCCTGCATACCGCCTCGCCGCGATTCGCGAGACGTTTGAGGAATCCGGGATCCTTCTCGCGAAAAGCAAGAAAACAGGCAAACTATTCACAGACATCGACGACGCAAAAAGAGACGAGGGACGTCGCGGAGTGCATGCAGGCACGGTGAAGTTCACCGACTTGCTGGAGAGCTGGGGCGCGGTGCCGGATACAGAAGCATTAGTACCGTTCACAAGATGGGTCACGCCGCCAAACGTCCCCAAGCGCTTCTCCACGCAGATGTACATTTACTTCCTACCGCTGGGATCGTCGTCGCCCACCGCTGGGGAGGAAGAAATGGTTATCCCCACCCCGACGCACGACGGCGGCATCGAACACACCGCCGCCCGCTTCCTCCCGCCAAACAAATGGATCGATCTCGCGCGCCAGAACAGAATCATCCTCTTCCCCCCGCAGTTCTTCCTCACCCTCATCCTATCCAAGTACCTCTCCCCCAGCGTCACCGGGCCCGATAGCCCCGTCCCCAGCGTTGCCGACCTGCAGGCCGAGCGCGATAATCTGCTCGCCTTTCTGAACAAACCGCGCATGTACGATGGTAGACCTGAGGTCTCGTTCACGGAAGCGTGTATCTCCCCCACGGTGCTAGGCAAGGGCGAGTATGGGGATAAATCGCAAGATGGGGTCGGCGGCGTGGATAAACACACCGCGGTTATGGTGCTGGATAGACCGGGACCGGAGATCGTGGCGCAGGGGCATGGCAGGAGGGGGATACGGGAGTGGGTTGTTACGACGAAGTTTAAGGGAGAGGGGCCGCGGGATGTGGATGTTAGGCGTAGGGAGGAGGTGCTTGGGAGTGGGATGGGGATGGAGAAGGGGAAGTTGTAGGTAGATGGTGTGTGTGCTGATGTTCCTTGTGGAATGATCAAGTAGAGAAAAGTGTGGTTTGGTGATGTAATAGGTACCTATCTCTTGGTTAGTTAGAATACCCAGAACTAAGTAGGCTGCAGCGAGATCGTGTAACAGCTTGGTAACTACATGTAAAAACCCTGTAAAATTTCTACGCCTTACGTGTTGTTTGTGTATCTCTACTAGCGTGTTTATCTTTGTAGTACTTTCAATCCTGTCGTTTAGGGTTGTTGTGTTACTACAAAGAGTAGACCTTGATTCTGGGTATTTTGACTAACCGAGAGCCTAGATCTCTGCGGTATTCTTCACGCGGTAGAGCACTAGAATAGTAAATACCGCCTGAACTATGGAAAACAATAAAGGTAGCGTGGACCTTGGTCGATGTGTATCTTCGCGACCAGACCTTGGGATTCAACCATCTGGCGAAAAATCAACTTGTTTCTGTGCTTTTACTACGGACTAGCAAGAGTTGATAAGGCACGTTTGACAAGTGTGGTCTAGACACGAACTATTTACATGCACATTATTACTTCAAGAATATGTAATCTATACCACAGACATGAGAGCGTCTGATTTACCCGGTAGAAGTGATTCGAAAGTAGTGTACCAACTGGTGCGAGCGTGGGCGGCTTGCTAAGTCCATATTCAAAGGGCTATCAACAAACCAAATTACTGATAATTGCGCCATGTTGTTGAGTCAACAATGATGACAACTCAGAAACGACGGTACAGGTCGTTAGGGCATTTCAAGTAGAAGATAATATATGCAAGGTAAGTAGACAAACGTTCCAACGAAAGCTGTCGCTGGCAGTAAACACAGCTAATACGTATCAAGCATTCCATCCGATCTACATCGCGCTTTCCAATCGCACTGCCCGTTAACACTCCGCAAGAACATCCCGCTCGGTAGCGACGGGAATAATCCCTCCCTCACGTGCGCACAGCACCACACCGAGGCAGCGCAGCACCAAAAGGCAAAACAGCGCAGCACAAGTACCGTACCATCTGACTAACTAGCCCAAGCCGTCCCGATCCATACAGCAGCAACGGACACATAAATATGCCGCAACCACATGCCTCACCACACCCATGCACGGCGATCATCGTCATCGCAGCCCGCGCGCGACTCCACTTCGACTCCACCCCATCGACGTTCTCGTGACCGTTTACCGCTCCCCGCGAAAAGATTTCCCCGCAAAACCCAATGCAGAATGGGGGATCGGACAGGGAAGAATGCGAGGCGTCACACGCTGCCTCTAGGGACGCTGGATTTTGCTCGCGTTGGGCTGGGTTGGGTTGATCTTGCCACGTTGTGGGGTGGGACGGGGTGGTATATGCGCGAGTGATGGTACGGTGGTACACTTGCGAGGAGGTGGAGTCATGCTGTAAGTGTAGATCTCGCGGGGTGCAGATGGGAGATGGGAGATGGGGATGTGAGGGGTGCGCCGAGGCGGGGATGGTGGTATAGGCAGAGAGACGTTGTGGTGGCGAGTATGCTACTGTTGTCATGTATGTAACGGTATAGGGATTTACGTCTTGGGATTATGTGAGGCGGCATTTCTTGTTTTTAGCCGGAGAATATGCGGAGATGGACATCTCGATCAGGATCTGTTGCTCGTCGGACTTGGATGGGTATTCCCCGCAATCCTTCTAATGTGGGTATGGTTCTACCCCAAGCTCAGGTTCGCACACGGCAGAAGGTACAACCAAAGTCTACGTGTCTGGGTAGCCATGGCTAGGTAGGGCTTCCTAGACGCAAGTCTAAGAAATGACGTAGGAGTTTGCTATCAGCCGACAGCAGTACAGCAATGCCAAGTGGTAAAAGAAAGCTGTCAGATTCTAGTTCCAGCGCAAGTCCTCGATGCAGCAAACAAAATCGCCCATCTTAGCCAAACCGGCTGGCTGCCCAATCATAAATTCCACCACTTGGCCGATCGCTCCATCATCATCTCAAACACACGGCCAATCATGGGCTTGTACCTGAGGTGGCAGTTCCAAACACCCGCCCCCAGCCTTTCCCTGCATATCCTAACCACAACGCAACAAGTCCTCCGACCAACGGAGGCCTCGTGGTTTCGTGGTGACGCACCGGCGCAGACCGTCCCGAACAACTAACCAAGCGCGCAAAGACATGAGCACGAGTGCGCGTTTGATAGGAGGAAGTGAGATTTGGATCCTTGCTGGCAACGCCGTGCGGGAAGGGAGGAGCATGGGGTAGGCTGCACATGACATTGGCATGACTCTGTGATGGTGAGCTGGCGGTGATCTTTTGCTGGGAGGGTTGAATATGCGGTGCTTGTGAAAGAGTGGAGAAGGATAGCTTTACGCGTGTCTTTTTAAGAGAGATGGTTCCCCCCGGTTGTTATGATTGTTTACATGTTGAGATACTTGAGGGTTTTTGCATCTTGAATACCTTGAATCTTTCTATCCGACTTTATTGGACTTTGTTATCGTAGTACGAGTATCCTGTTACCTCTGTGTGTCAGAACAAAATGGTTAGACTCTGGACGACTGTGGCTGCTGCTGCATTGCTCACTGTGAGCTCTGCTTCACCCTTGTAAGTATTCCTCGCATAGGTTCAACCACAAAAGCTGATGGAACGCGTAGAAAACCCTACAAACGCGCCCCATCTTTCGACTACAGCGGCCAGAAGGTCCGCGGCGTGAACACAGGTGGTTGGTTCGTCCTCGAGCCTTGGATCACGCCCAGCATCTTCGAAGGCAATGACGCTGTCGACGAGTACACATTGACACAGATCATGGGGAAAGATGCTGCTAAGTCGCGTCTCCAGCAGCACTGGAATTCCTGGTTCACTCAAGACGATTTCAACCAGATGGCTGCTGCAGGTCTGAACCATGTGAGGATCCCAATTGGGTACTGGAGTGTTATTCCCAGGGACGGGGAGCCGTACGTGCAGGGTGCGTATGACAAGCTTGGAGAGGCGTTAGACTGGGCGCAGAGTGCTGGATTGAAGGTCATGATTGATCTGCATGGTGGTAAGTTGTACAGGTCTCTAACTGTTGCTTCGCATGCTTACACTCGCCAGCTCCCGACTCACAGAATGGATTCGATAACTCGGGCCGCTTGGGCAGTGTCGCGTGGACTCAAGGCGACACAGTGAAGCTTACGATCAATGTGCTGAACAAGATTCGTGATGACCACGCTGCTCACCCTGCCGTCTCCGCGATTGAGCTCCTCAACGAGCCTATGGGCCCCAATCTCGATATGGACACCGTACGTCAGTTCTACATGGACGGATGGGGCAATCTGCGCGACTCCAATGTGGCTGTTACATTCCATGAAGCCTTCATGGGCGTCACGGCCTGGAACAGCTGGGGCGCTGGTATGTGGAATCTGCTCCTCGACACACACCACTACGAAGTCTTCAACAACGGTCAAGTCTCCATGGGTATCGACGACCATATCAAGACAGCCTGCGACTTTGGCAACCAGATGGCCAGCACAGGAAAGGCTACTATCTCTGGTGAATGGACTGGCGGCATCACCGACTGCGCAAAGTGGCTCAACGGCAAGAACAAGGGCGCACGTTACGACGGCACCTTCAACGGCGCACCCCACATCGGCGACTGCACTGGCAAGTCTACAGGAACTGTGGCCGCCCTGTCAAGCGCAGACAAGAGCAACATCGGCCGCTTCATCGAAGCCCAACTCGACGCGTACGAGAAGGCAGCAGGATGGATCTTCTGGACCTGGAAGACGGAGGGCGCACCCGAATGGGACATGCAAGATCTGCTCGCTAATGGATTGTTCCCGCAGCCACTGACGGCGAGGAAGTGTAAGTCCGGCCCTTCTCTTCCATGTTTCGACGTTCGTCTTTTGGCGTCGTCCGTATTCCTCGCATGAATGTGAAACTGACGTGCTTATAGACCCGGGCCAGTGCGGCTAAATATCCCATATCACGGGCTTGTTTCTTACTTTTTTGTCTGGGGAACGTTTCACGCTCGCTAACCCCATGCGCTGCTCCCATTTCTTCTTACCTCATGTAACGATGTAACGACTTTGCTTCGAAGATACCCCGATGCGTTCGCTCGCTGTACGGGCTCCCGGCTGGGAAGCCTGAAGGATAAATGTCTTGTATATATTGGATGGAGGGCATATTAGCCTGCGACAGATAGTGTACGGTAGTTGACTGAATGCTGTATACGAATTGGCATTTCAAGTGTTTGCAGCCCCTGGACCCCGCATGCTCGAGTTGATCTGCCGTGAATGTTCTCGAGATTGAGCTCTTGGGCTATCATCTCGGAGGTAATTGTCGTGAATCGCGATACCGGTTGCTGGGGCTGGTTCAAGCAACGCTAGACAGACGTGAGGATGCTAGACATGGTAGAACCCTCACTTACTGGCTTCAACAAAATTCGCTTTGGGGCACAGTAAGAGCTTGAACCCACATGGGCTGAGAATGTGTGTTAAGCTTCCTGTGTTCCACGCTAGCGTATTGCGAAGAAACAAAACAAACGCCACTTGGAGCGCTCGCGGTGAGACGGGAGGGTTCATTTTACGCAGTAATGTTCAACGGGCCGTACATCCTACGCAATGTCTTACGCCTCATCATTCAAAATGCGCGTGGCCACAGCTGACGAAGAGTGTGTGTGTGCAACGAAGGGCGCCTCCTTTCTGAATTGGAAGGATGACAAGGTCCCTGCATCTGATCCACTACTTTTGGGTATAGAGTTCGCTTCAAGCCTCGGGCCTGGCGACGCACGACAGCGTTGATTGCAGCGACGTCTGTTGTGGCCAAGACCACAAGGAACGTTTTCATTAACGACTCTCTGTCGAACCGCCTATGAACAAGGTAAGATTTCGCCGGCTGACAGGAATGACTCTTCGTTTTCAGGCAGTCGTCAGACCAATTTCCAGGAATAGCCTGCAAATTGGCGTCACATCCTCCCTTCGCGCCTGAAGCAAGCCCGGCCCCTATTCGCAAGCCGTCCAATCTGCGCATCGCAGCATGATTGGTACATGGCTCCATGACACCCGCGCTTTGGGTTAGCCTGTTAATCTACGGCCACCGCCGGACGTTAGCGCCGCCTTACTGCAGGAACGAGAATGTCGCCAAGCGACCATCAGGGCGTGACCGGAAAACGATATAATGTAGGAATGCCTGCCCACACCCTCATTGTTTCATTGCTTTCTTTTACGAACCAGTATTCGCAGCCTCTCACCCAGAAGAAATTTTTCTTCAGCCGCTCACTTAAGCAACCCACAGTCACTCTTTACCAGCCTCTCATCACTTTCTCTACCACTCTCGCACTCTACGCGTAATCATCTAATTCCACAAAACAACAACAACATGTTCTCCAAGGCCTCCATTGTCGCTATCTTTGCCAGCTTTGCCGCTGCGCAGCACGTCGCTGTTGGCGACCCAACCGGCAACCCCATCACCCGCCCGTTGAACGAGGTATGTACCACCAACAGCGCTCGAAACGCGACGTGCAGAAGCTAACAGCTGTGATTCAGGTCGTCCCCGCTTGCCAGGCCTTCACCATCACCTGGACCCCAACCACCACCAACACCATCTCCCTCATCCTTCTCCGTGGCCCCTCGACCAACGTCGTTCCCCTCGGCGCTCCCCTCGCCGTCGGCATCCCCAACTCGGGCTCTTTCACCTGGACCCCTGCGTCCACCCTCGAGGCTGATGTCTCCCACTACGGCCTTCAGCTGATCGACGATGTCAACGGCCAGTACCAGTACTCGACTCAGTTCGGTATCTCCAAGGATGCCTGCTCCGTTTCCTCGTCCAGCGTTGTCGCTTCGTCCAGCGCCGCTGTGTACCCCTCCAGCGCTGTCGTCGTTGCTTCCAGCTCCGCTGACACCGGCTACGGCTACGGAGCTGCTTCTTCCTCCGCTGCCGCCGCCTACTCTACTCCTGCTGCCGTCACCAAGAGCGCCGTTTCATCCTTGAGCCCCCCTTACCCCACCGTGGTCCCTGGCACCGGTGCTGGCTACAACTCCAGCATGGTCATCGTGCCCTCCGGCACTGCCCCTGCCTCAACCAAGCCATCTGCCACCTCTTCCACCAACGGCACTGCTGTCTTCACCGGTGCCGCTGATGCCAAGCACGCCGGTCTCACCTTTGTCGGTGCTTTCGCTGCTCTTGCCTACTTCCTGTAAGCATCCCGCGCTTAGAGACTCAAAATTCACTTCTCTCTGCGTCGCGCATCTGCGCTTTAAGGATGCTTAATGTCATGACTGCTTTCGTTTCTTGATACCCGTCCAGGCGGAGCAGGGTCCGCTGGTCCACTTGGGTCTGAACATCTTGTTTAGTTTCCATTTTGGCTTTGCTGCATAGTGGAAAGTGGATGGATGTAATCTAGCCAAGAATGCATGTTGCTTAACTCTTGTTTTGAAAGACTTCTTCATCGTGACCTTCTGTGATTGCTGATGCTTGATCTGATAGGGTTGCAATACCTTTTCACTTTGCCATCTCTTTGTAATACGCATCATAGTGTTGATTGTTCCGTTCTGTGTTCGTGATCACTACATGCCCTTCCCCGCACTAGTCAGATGCTTCGACGTCGTCAAAGAGTTGGTTACCAATCGATGACGTTGTTGGAATAACATTAGCCTACCAATAGTTAAACAGACAATGTAACTACCGATGTTGCCAGAGTCCATCATATGCTAACCTGCTGCGGTAAAAATCAAGCTTCAGAATCCATGAACATACTTCCCTAGCTTTCGTTTCCTTTGATCTCACCACCCTTCTCCAAGCATGGGTTCTCCTCCACCCCCTCACGTCGGCGTATCCTTCACACCCACTAATCATGCTAAGATTCCATCAAACATCGATCCCTCCTCGACTACTCTTCCCAACCCTTCCGTCGTCGTTGTCACAGGTGCGGGCAAGGGCTTAGGGTACCACATCAGTCTTGCGTATGCGAAGGCCGGTGCGAGCGGAATCAGTATTTCGTCACGCACGCTCTCTGACTTGGACACGTTAGAGAAGGAGATTTCCAAAACCGCCGCAGAACACGGGAGGAAAATAGAAGTATTAAAGAGTGTATGCGACGTCACGAGCGAAGAAAGCGTCAACGCACTGGAGGAAGAGGTCAAGCAGAAATGGGGCAGAGTAGACGTAGTGATGGCAAACGCGGGCATCATCTCAGCGTATGTCGAGAACGGCAAAGATGGAGAGTCGAATCTTCCTGTTGGGCTGGTGCAAGATGATGACTGGGTGCGCGTGCTGGACATCAATCTGAAGGGGACGTGGCGCATCAGCAAGGCTTTCATGCCGCTTCTTGTCGCCTCGAAGGATGGCCCGCAGACACTCATCTGCTCGACTAGTATCGGCGCCCATTCGACGGATAGCGAGCTAACGCCTATCGCGTACAATGTGTCGAAACTGGCGTGCAACCGCTTGATCGAACATGTTGCGAATGACCAGAAGAAGGACGGCGTTTGCGCGTAAGTTCTTTGCCCTGCTGGGTTCTCCCTTGCACATTCTTGCTATCGTCGTTACTGTGGGAGACTGACACATGTAGCATTGCACTCCATCCTGGAGGCGTGGTCACGCCGCAAACTCAGAATCATACCAATGCTGCATGGGGCTCGCTGCTGGGTGATGATGAAGGGCTTGCGGGAGCAGTGTGCGTGTGGCTAACCAAAGAGAAGAGGCTTTGGTTGAGCGGGAGGTATGTGAGTAGCAATTGGGACGTTGGGGAGTTGCAGGGTATGCGGGAGAGGATTGTTGAGGAGGATCTGCTGAAGTTCAGAATGGCAGTTTGAGCGGCGTGGGTGAGGCGTGGTGAGGCGTGGTGTGGGCGGATAGATGTTCTGGAAAAGTTTACCTGTGTCCAGAGCATGATGTGTGATATCATAGCCACAGACAGACTATCTGAATCTATGCTGTACGTGAGCTTGATCTTGTGCAGACCTTATCTTAGTATCCACTCACCAACAACAGATACTGAGCAAAATCCGCAAACTGAAACAGAACGTTGGAAATATTAGATTGACCAACACTCTACCATGCACACAAAGGGAAGTTGAGGGAAAGAATGATTAGATAAGAAAGCCCTTGTACTTCTCAACATATCTTGCTGGAAGGATAGTTGCAAGATACTACCAAATTGCTGTTATCCGGGCCCGTAATAGAAGGTCATTTTGCGATTGCAAGATATTGTTGTGTCGGCGACCTGGATTGAGTTGCTTCCAAATCATCACAGCTCCTGCCCCACCATCGTCATCCTTCTGCCCCACGTCGCAGTTGCTTTACCAAAGCTCCCACCCTCCTTCCTAACACCGTTTATCAGCGATTTGGAATTCCCCAAAAAGATCCACAAGGCTATCCCCTTCTGGTAAAGATCCGTCGCGCAAGCTCTCCAACCATCGTAGATCTGTAATCCAGAGAGCTCACTCGGAGCTGTAGCTGCAACGTATCATGCGGATCCAAGCACATAGTTGACAAATAATGATGGAAGGAGTCTTAGTGTGCTGATCTGATACGTTGCGGCACTCAATGCCCGCCTTGTGGGACTAATTCGGAGGAGAGACTCCGAGGGTTGAAGTAAGGTAACAGACTGCGCGACTGAGATAGCAGCAGAGCTATATAAGATACTCTCCTCACGCTGAGGACCTTGCTGGACAAGACACATCACTACTCTCTACACTAAACTCACTCCAACGAATCAGACGATATGACCGACTACAAGGGACAGTGCCATTGCGGCCAGACGGAGTGGACTGCTACGCTGCAGTCAGACCAGCAGGCGCATATCCTTTGGTAGGCATACCAACTCGAACCCCACGAGGCAGTGGAAAAGTAAAACAATGCTAACCACCCGGCAGCCACTGCGATACATGCAAATCCCTCTCTGGAGCACCATACACATTGAACCAGATCATCCCCGCCAAGGCCTTGAAAATCACCAAGGGTGACGACCTCGGAAAGTACACCTACAAGGGTGATTCTGGTAAGTCTCAGTCCCAGTCCACTACAGATCTGCTCTCCGCCTCGATACCTCATGTCGCTAACGCAATGGTTAGGCAAGGGCGTTCACTGCTACTACTGCAAGAACTGCACCTCGCACGTTTACCACGCACAAGAAGCCCTCGGCCCGGACAGCATTGTGCTGCGCACTGGACTGCTCTCGGAGGGACTCAAGAACTTCGGCGCTGGTGCGGAGATCTACTGCAAGGCGAGGCTCCCATGGGAGAAGGAGGTTGCTACCTCGTTTGAGGCTATGCCCCCATCGTAGACGCTGTTGAGACTAGCGACCGATGGTATATGTAGATTGAATGAACAATGATCAATGACTCTTGCACATACTTCCTCAGCTTGAACATTCATATCACATCGGTTCCTGCCTAACATCCTCAGTCGCAAGCACTACACACTGTTTGCTCTGAAACACTTCAAACAAAGCAACATGTTAGCCTTAGAAAACATACATTCAACAAGAGGTCCGAGGAAGGAACATGTGCCATGTTCGCTATGTCTTCATGCATTCATTCATGTCTACCAACCACTCTACTATGTACTAATTCGACAGATCCGGGAATTTCCTCAAGAAATGTGATGGGCATTCGTACCCTGAAGGATCTGTTGAGAAGTAAGCATTTGGACTTCACGTCTGGTCTTCCGTTTGCACTTACTGTTGTCCAAATACAACTGATGGTACGCCTCCGCGTCCCACCATTTGCCCGCAGATAGCACTTCCGTAGCTACGCTGCCTTTCCACCACTGCTTGTTGACCTTGTCCGTAACATCCTTTGCGATCTTCTCCTGCTCAGCGTCGTGATAGAATATCGCGCTGCGGTACTGTGTCCCGACATCTGGTCCTTGACGGTTCGCTGTCGTGGGGTCGTGCATCTTGTAGAAAAACTCGAGGAGGGTTCGGTACGACACCTTTTCAGGGTCATATACGACTTGGAGCGCCTCAGCGTCTAGAATATCCATTAGCATTACATTTCCTCGTAGTCCATGCCCTCAAATAGTGGCAATGGAGACAAAGAGATAGCGTACGGCCAGTCCTCCCACTGCACACAGCTCTGTACCCGGGATCTTGTACGTCTCCACCAATGTATCCCACTCTTGCATCCAGCAATCCCTTCTTGCCGAATTCGCGACGGTACATGTGCTCAACGCCCCAGAAGCATCCTGCGGCGACGGTGGCGGTTTGCGCCCCGTTGGGGACGCTCATGGGTTGCGTGGGGGCGGAGCTCATGCTGAATGGGCGGAGGAAGCGGGTCAGGAAGGACATAGACGCCCACGAAAAAAATATGAGAAGGGCGAGGTGGAGGAGCTTCAGTTTGAATGATTTGGGGGTTTGATGTGGGAAATTGGGGGAGAGAGAGTAGTAAGAAATGTTTTATGGATTCGCCGCTGAGCGCGTCGATGGCGTCAGTGTTGTGCCTGACAAATCGAGGGTCGTCCGGAATCATGTAGCGGGTGTTTCGAGCCGAGAGCAGTAACTCCCTGACATGCACATCATTGTCTTTGTCGTGCACTTTTTTCCGTTCGCCATTGCAGCCGTTGAGTAGCTGTGTTATGTTTTCGCGATCCAGTCGCGGTGCTTTGTGAGGCGATTTCGGTGCGACGCCTGCGCGAGTAAGCTCGATTACGACACTGAACAGTCCACAGTCACGGCGTGCGGACATTGGCATTCTACTTCATAATCAGTAGCAATCCAAGGTTTGGGGCTTCTTACTCTTTTGTTATTTTTCGTTCTTGAGGCGAATTTTCTCTCTCAGTTTTCGCCAACTTTCCCTCTGAGACCTAGGCCCTCACATGTTGCTTGTTTCCCTTAAAATGCCTTCCTGGAATGTCACTCCATCCTCGTTCTCAGGACTTCGAATCCGCATTCAACCTATCACAGCTGAACTTCTTACATCCTTGGAATCACAAGAATTCTCCATTTGAAGGACAAGCCTAGATTCTACACCAGCCACCTGGGCAACCGAAGATACCCTCTGCGCAAATTGGGACCGCGGCTGAGACATTTACTAGTCGACCTCACCAATACAGAAGGTGCTCCAATACAGACAAGATCTCGCTTAAAGGAATTGTCGAGAGATCTCAGCCGCTTACTCTCAATATAACGCAATCTATTCCTCTATGTCTGCAGCGAGAGGCGAGATCTCCAACATGGATCAACCTTGACAACGACCACTATCACTTCAACGTCTCTTGCCAGATAGCTCTTTCAAGCTGGTAAATTCACATTTCCCTACAGGAACTCGTACGCAAACCTTGTCCGAAGATGACTGTAGCCGAGAAGCTACTGCATTGAACTCATTCTACTATCGCCCAGCATTTGGTCCTCTTTGCCCAGAATCGACCTTTGTGCTCATGCGCCTCCGCAGCTGAATATAATCGTACAAGTCGTTTAGAATCACTATACAGTTTCTGTGCGACCGAGGCTCTTCGTTGCCAGCTGAAGAGACACTTTGTGTATTTGCGGTCGTTGCTGTGATACGTTCCACGAAGAACATAGCGAACGACATGTACTTACATCGTCTGAACCCCTCTCATAACTCACGTGAGTGACGGCACGAAGCGACAAAGCTCGTCCTTCTACCTTGGAGTATTCTCATTCTGGCAGGTATTCACAAACGCATGGTACAGAGCAAGGGTTTCATTTTCTAGACTGTGGTCCAGTCCCATCTTGACTTGAAGTCCGGACTCGTCATTACTTCAATCGTAGTTCTATCGCACCAGGAAATGACTTGCTGGCTCAGAAGTTGTCACTACTACCATGTACACCCAATATAATCATCCCGTCAGGGACCGAAGCCTAGGCGTTGTTTGAGACACCATGTGGTATCTCTCCAGCGGTACAGAGGGTTCTGGACTTAGCCATATCCGACAATGCGCCTGGTACTTGCGGGTTGGCATCAATCTCAGCTGTGCGGATGCACAGACGAATACAAGCTGCCGCTATCATGGATCAGTGTTTGGAAACAGCGTGAGAAGTGCTCACAAAGGGTATATAATGTGGTCTCTGTTCCCCAGATTTATCTCATCGCCAGCAAACTCAGCCTCCACACATTCACTTTCCATATCAAACTCTTCACTCAAAACCTTCAACATGAAGTGGCTCCTCGCTCTCGTTCCTCTGGCCGCTGCGGCCCCAGCTCTTGACCCCTTCACTGGAGATGCTCCCCCATCTGGCCAGGTACAACTCCTGTCCTTCAATCTCGAATCTGTTCTTACCAAAGCAGGTCACAATCCGCGGCGTCACCTACGGCGGAACTGGCTGCCCTCAAGGCACCATGAGCTACCAGATCTCCGAAGACAAGACTACCATGACGCTCATCTTCGACCAATACGTCGCCTCCGTTGGACCCGGTATCGAGATCACTGAGCAGCGCAAGAACTGCCAGCTGAACGTCGACCTTCTGTACCCCGGCGGCTTCCAGTACTCGGTCTTCAGCGCCGACTACCGTGGATATGCCTCGATCCAGAAGGGCGTCACAGGCACTCTCAAGTCGACGTACTACTTCTCGGGCCAGACCGCTCAGGTAAACACCCCCCTCGCGAACAGGGCTCAGGCCAGATAGCTAACAGAATCAATAGTCCAGCACGGATACCACGTTCACCGGACCTTACAGCGGCGACTACCTCAAGCACGATGTGGCTACAAGCACTTCCACCGTTTGGTCGCCTTGCGGCGCTCCTGCAGCACTCAACATCAACTCTCAAGTCCGCCTGGCTCAGAACGACACAAAGGCTAATGGCTTGCTCACCAATGATTCCACTGATCTCAAGTTCAAGCAGGTTGCCTACATTCAGTGGCAGAAGTGCAAGGCGTAGGCTTGGAACAGATCGTACGGTTGGACGGAGATAGGATTAGTGTGATGATGACGATGATGATGATGATTATTCAGGCGGCTCGGAAGGTTTGGTGAGAATGAAGAGGTTAAATGTGTTAGTTGTTTATTTTCTCTGCCTGATTCGCCGACATAAATCAAACACGTTCATTCATTCATTCATTCAAGTTACGGCTACTCTAGCACATCTACGATTTCTCCTCCCCAATCTTAAACACATATTTAACCGCACTCGCCTTGCCCTCCTTCAAATTCCTCAACCCCTTCTCCACGCCCTCCAGTCCCCCTGGAATAACCTCAAACGGATGCGCCTTGAAGAAGCCCTCCGCCATCCCCCGAGCCATATACCTATACATAACATACGCGAAATCCTTATCCCCTGCATGCGCCTCTCCGACCTTAGTCTGCGTCATCTGCACCGTCTCAGGCACACCATCATACGGCCTGCCGGGCAGCACAACCGTGAGCCGACCATCCGCTTCCAGCACCTTGACGATGTTGAGGTACGAGTTGTGCTCGCTGACGGCGTCATAGGCGTAGTGCAGTTTCTGGCCCTTGAGCGCGTCGCGGATGCCCGAAACGACGGCGTCGTCGCCCTTGCGGTAGTCGACGATGGTGTCGCCCTTGGAGCGGTCGAGCAGCGTTTCTACGAACGCGGTGCCGCGGCCCGCGACTGCGATGATGGGGTGGATGTTTGCGAGCGAGGCGAGCTTGATGGCGAAGCCGCCCACTGCGCTGGCGCCGCCGTAGACGACCAGCGGCGAGGGGGATTTTGCGGGCGTCCAGGGCGCGGGGAGCCCGAGTCGTTGGTGCAGGCCGATTGCGGATGTCATTGCTGCGAGGGGGATGGTTGCAGCTTCTGTGGATCTTGTTAGCGGCGAGACTCGACTCCGGATGAGACGAGGAAGAAGATGACGATGCTGTTGAATCTATAGGTAGAGAGACTTACCCTCGAAAGACACGTTATCCGGGATCTTGAACGTGGTATGCTGCCATCCAACCGCGTACGAGGCAAAACTCCCACTTGGCTTCATCATCTCGTGGAAACTCGCTACACGGTCGCCCTCCTTGAATTCCCACACGTTTTTCCCAACCTTGTGCACGATGCCCGCAATGTCGTCGCCAGTGTTTGCGACATAATTCGGGATCATCTCTGGTAGTTTCCTGCAAACGAGATGAGCATGTTGAAGCAGAAAAAAACGATTCAATCCCTCTAATTCTAACAATGTTATATGGGGGATACAAAGTAGAGGTCAAAACTCACCAGTCCTTTGGATTACTTCCACTAACAATGACGCGGATAACAAGCTGGTTCGCCTCCGGCTCGGGGATAGGCACTTCTTCGAACGTGACGACCACATCTTTAGCAATGCGTGCTTCCTTCATCTTTGCACTTTATCTACTTTCTCGGGTTCGAGATATGTTTCCAAGCTCTTACTGCAAATAAGGTGGTTGGTCTGAAAGGCAGCTATCGAAAGCCAGAGTACTGACGTTGGTTAACGAGCTTCACGGCGGGGTACCTAACATCTTATAGCAGTCTACCTGGAAACTAGCCCCACTCACATCAAGCGCAGTTCTCATCATTACGAATACGCATATGTGGGGTAGTAACTTGGATTAAGTATAAGCAGTGCGGCCCTTTGCAATATGAACAAGTATACGCGTAATATAGTGGCATGAGACTAGACGTATTGATTGGCTAGACACCCGATCGATGATGTTTGATTGGTAGAGGGACTTGTACCGTATAGCCCCGTATATCTGTGAAGGGCCGCACCCCTGGTAGCGGATACCACAAGCTTCTTGGGGGTATTCCTCGATACCAGAGCGGACGAATAGCGGACGTGGATAATTCGATGATACCAAGCAGACGAATAACCGAACTATATTGCCGCGACTTGGCCGAAGCAGAGACAACTCCAGATATACCCATTCGTCGTAATACCGTAGATAGATAAGATAAGATACATTGTCAAGCAGAACAATGTACAACGAAGAATTTGGGATTGAATGTGCCATCCAGGATTCATTACGGACATAGCGTAGCGCGTAAAATAAAGAGAAGAAGTATGCCGAAACGCCAAATCAAGCTGCCATTGGCAGCGTATCCAACCCCCAGCCAACCGTTCCAAAATGCTTCAAGACAAGATTCTACCCGAGTTTGATTGGACGAACATGAATATTCCAACGCCGCCGTATAGCGAGAGGGATGAAGAGAGTTGAGAACGCCGAAGAAACACTCCCCACAGATCGAATGGACCACGACAAAGAAGAGACATATGAATAGACATCAAAACGTTCCACGCGCTGACAACATGTCAGCAAGAGACGTACTCAACGCCAGGTGCCCTTAGCGCCAGGCGCAAGACTACCTCTCGAAGAAGCCGAAGCATTGCTAACGATTCGTACAGGTGCACGATTCAACGTCGACGATGGCTCTCTTGGTCGGTCCTCCCCAGTGATCGCCACCGTGGTTCGTCGAGCAGGGCCCTTCATGATGGGTGCAGTCCGCGGACCGAGGACGCTGCTCTTCCAGTCAGCATCGTGATTGCTCTTGACCATCCGACGCGCCGCACTGGCAGAGAACATCATGTTCTCGTTTGGTGGACTGGTTGAGGCTGCGGTAGGGCTGCGTCGCCGATGAGTACGGTTGATCGGTATGGAGCCATGAGTTGTTGACGAGCGACGTTTGATGGCTGATCCAATCTTACGTGCGTCCGAATCTGTCCACTTCTCTCCCTCTGAGCCCGATGAGACGTCGCTGTACTCAGTCGAAGCCGGGTCTGTGGAAGTGCTCTCCTTGATGGTCAAAGAAGCTGAGCGGACAGCATTGGCGCCAATCTCACGCAGGGGTGATGTGTTATCCGAGTGTGCACTCATCCCGTCAGATTTCTTCGACAAGGCACCAAGCGCAAATCGACCTGCGCGTGGTTTGAGTTCCAGGGAAGCCTTTGGAGGTGACGGTATTGGGGAAGAACCGTTGTGATCAACTACCGGTGCAACGGTTGTGGCAGAATAGGCTGGTGGTGGTAGCTCATTATACGTATGTGCCGGCGACGACTCTATGTGTTCTGGTATGTCCTGGAACTCCGCCAGGGTTCCATCTTCCATGTCGTCTCTCCAGCGAACGCCGCGTTTAATCTTCGATGGCGACTTCTTCTTCGAGGGAGAGTACTGAACGCTGACGCCTTTCTTTACCAATCCCATTTTTCGACGTCGAGGGGAACCTTTCATGGGCGATGAAGTTAAATGGGGCGCTTCTGTGAAGGTTGGCATAGGAATGGCACGCATTGGGGACGGTGCCATGATATTTACCGGTTTCCTACGTTTCGGCGTGCCCTTGTGGCTAGGAGCGAAGAAGTCGGTAACTGGTAAACCGCCGTCTGGCCGAATGACTTGCGCGGTTGCAGTTGTGCAAGAGTTCATAATCTTGGTGAGTAGCTTCCTTGCGGAGTCAACTGCTTCTGTTTCGTCCATTTGAGTGATTTGGTTCAGGATGGTGACTGTTTCAATGTGCGCCTGAACAAGGACTTGAACAATGGCGGCGTCGCCACCCTTCTCCTGATCCAGTAGAGCGATGAACATTTCTCGGTCGGCATTTGACTTCAACAGTTCGTACTCTTTGTTCAGACTCGCAGCGTCAGGGCTGTCGGCGTTTCCATCAACCTCCACTAACCCTCTCAGTCCAACTTGAAGAGCGGTATCCATCTTGCTTGTCCAGTTGGTGCGTTCGATGCGTCGGTGGCAATGTTGTCGGGTTTGCTCGAGCTCGGCCGAGATTCCAATCGCTGTATCTCTCATTGCAGCGACTTGTGAGGGCATCTCTTCGTTCTCACGAACGTCCTTGACGTTGTCAAATGCTGCGATCCATGATGAGATCATGCCGATCCGCTTCTCAGCTTGTTTCAAGGTCTTCATCATATTCAGCCGATCCTTCCGCTCAGGCTCCGAATCAGAGTAAGCCTGGCGTAGACGTAGAAGAGCATCTCGCAAGATGCTCTCTTTCTTTTCGCTCTGCTTTGAGTATTTCGAGAACGCATTGCCCTCGAAGTCTTTCTGTTTCTTCATCAGGTCATCGATAAGATGCCTTTGCTCTTCGATCTTCTTAAGGTAGTCCTTCACATGGCGGTTTACGTTATAGACGTTCTTCGTGACCTTGGTCTGGATGTTCTTTGCTCGGTTCGCGTAACGCAGAGTGTTTTGGGTTTCGTCGAAGTGGACGCTGGACGGACTGACACAGACGATCATGACAGTTCGACAATTTCCACCGAGGGAAAACTTGAGCAGTCGTGTGAGCTTCGAGTTGCGGTATGGGACGTGGTTTCGCTTTCGCGCATCACACAAGGCATTGATGCAACTGCCCAAAGCGAGTAGAGACTTGTTGATATTCGCGCCTTCAATCAGTCGCTCTCCGCGGTTCTTGGTTGCGCTTGCGCGCTCACTGCCAGCCAAATCGATGATGCTGAGAGTGGCCATCGTGTGGGGTTCGTTGACAGAAGCATTGCGGTCCTTGGACGAGACGTTGATCTGGAGGACGGCGTGTGATCGTGAAGATGTAGCATTGGCCTCGGTCGGAGACATTGTTCGGTACTCGTTTCCGCGGACAATTATATCCATAACCTCTTGGACCTGAAATGCCATTAGTCCTTGACCAACAAGCATCCGTCATACCGCTTACGTTTTGTGGGCGATGGCTGGAGAGACCGGCAACGGACACAGTCTGGTTCGCATCTTCTCGCAGCATCAACGTCGTCTTGCTTCCGCCCTCCACCAGCAGATCGCGAATCGTTTCATTGTAGATCTCCAAGTAAGAGAGAGTGATCTCTGTGGCCTTTGTTTCCTGCAGGTCAGTGATCTTCTCGAACAGCTCCTGCATTGTCAAGAAAATAATGCCTGGTTGTTGTGATGTTCCTCTAAACACCTGTCAGCTTCTACGAGCAACGAGAGCCTCCATTTGACGTACGTGATTGTGTGTGTCTTTCCACAGCCAGTGGCTCCGTATGCGAAAACAGTGGCATTGTATCCGTCCAGCACGCTGTCCAGTAGTGGCTTGGTTGTGGACTCGTACACATCGCCTTGTGTTGTTGTGTCGTCGAAGACGCGGTCGAATGCAAAGGTCTGGTCCTTGACGCGCTTACCCTGCGGTCCGACCAATGATCGTGAAAAGCGCTGGACGGGGTTGTCTTCGGGAGGATCGAAGATCCTGAGGGCATGTCAGCTTCAACCCGACGCAACAACAGCGGACAGTTTACATACAGGCACTTTTCATCCAGGACCTTGATCACAGGTCGGACGCTTTTGGCATGCAGTTTAGGAGTTGGTGCAGCCGCCAACGACCCATCGCCGAGGAAGAGAGTGTGGTCATCCGTCTTCGTCAACTGTGCAGCTTCGCGTATGGTAAAAGGGCGCACTCGCACCGTAACCGAGATGGAGGACGCGCCATCGGCGACCATGATGGCGCTGTGAGGGGTAAAAGAAGTCAAGAAAAATACAACGCAGCTTGCTCAAGACTGGAAGCGGAAGCCCTGAGCCAAAGCGGATTGTTGCGTGCTGTGGTGTCGAATGACGGAGGTGACCTTTGAGATTGTTGTCGTAAACAGACAGGGATCTCTCGTTGGGCAACCGCGACCCTTGCACCAAGCACGTGATATTTCTGTATCTCCCCCACATCCGTCGACGTGGCCGTCCTCGACACGATGATAGTTCCTCAGATTTATGTTTCACTGTGCTCGAGATTTTGGAGGTTCGCCCTCGTATTTTTACCACCGTCTGGTATAAGACTATCACAAAACCCTTTAGCATAGCAACGCCCAGACATAGCACATGAGTATCACATGTCACATGGACTGGCGTTCAAGTATGTATGATGTCCTTTGAGGTGTAGACTTCGACGAGCCGGTCAGTCCTCTCATACGATCGATACTTGGAGGAAGCTAGTGGGATACAAAACACCAAGTAATTCGTATGGACATGAACAAAGTATGTGTTGGACAACTACGAAGCAACTTCAAAGTGAGAAACTAGTTGATCAATCATAATTCGTTCCAAGCACTTACCACTACCAGGTGCCCGCTCAAGTGTGTGGCTTTGAATATCTCCATCCCCTTCCCTCTCTCGCCAAAAAGCCCTTCGCCAACTGATCATGCCGCTCTCTCGCCAACGATCCCATTCTTCCCTCTCCTCTTCCCCCCTCCAGACATCAATTCCTGCCGTCCAGTAAACCCCGTATCAACCCACGCTTTGCCATCGAACTTGTAGCCATGTAATTTCGTCCTCGTCAACGCCCCAGGCCCGTACTCTTCATGCAACAACTCCTCATACGCGTATGGGACCAGAACCTCCACGCCCTCGAAAGTAGTCTGCCGCAGGGGAAAGAGCTGAGAGTGGTCGTAGGCGTGAGCATCTTTCGTAAACATTTCCCCGTCGTTTCTAGGCGACGTGTGTACAGTCGTGATATCGATGAACAGCCCCGTCGATGTATCAATCCACCGTGCATCTATCACGTTGAACTTGTCTCTTGTGTCGTGGTTGACGTGGTGCGGATTGATCTCGAGCAGATACTTTTTGCCGTGTTTTTGTAGCGTGTCCCAGTCTTCTTTTTTCAGGCCCAACATGTCGTCATTTTTCTCATCCCCTACTAGCAGCCCCAACTCCTTTGCCGTGAAGGGGTGGACACTCAATCCCCACCATTCCCCCAACTCCAGTATCCCGCTCTCTTCAACCATGACGTCCACGTCGCTGTCCCATGTTAAAATGGACCCGTTCCACCACCATCCCAACAAACTCCCATGCATGATCCACGTCCTCACGCCTATTCTCGCCATCGTCTCCATGTAGGTCTTTACCAGCAGACGGAGATGCACCGTGCGGCTTTGCTGCGGGAGCGTGGATGACGCAAAACGGCCGTCGTAATGAGGGTGAAATTTTGCTTCATTAAAGAATTTGGATTCGTGTCTCAAGGGTGCGGAGTGGTCGTGCGTGAGAGTTGTGAGGCCAAGGAGGGAGGCAAAAGAGGCTTGGCTGGTGGAAACGGGGGTAGCGAGGATGGTCGAGGGGAGAAGGAGGAGAGCGGCTGATAGCTTCATGTTTGCGGTTGTAGTTGTGCTTGCGGGTGTTGTAAAGTATTGATGTTTAATTCAATAGAGTGATGTGGACGCTGCAGATAATTGGGTATCAAATGTCGGAATCATAATACAACTGGAACGCTGGGACGAGAACAAACGCAGTACAAATGCCAAGAAGAAGAGGAACAACAGATAAGAAGAATATGGTTGTCGTGAGAGCTTGCGCGCGTCGTCGCGTCACCGCCTCGTCGTGGGAGCAGAGGGTTCTTTATGCGTCAAGAACCTTGTTGAGACTTACGTAGGCCTCTGCGTCGCTTCAATCAAGCTTCGCAGAAGCTTACGAGGCTTCATCTCCAGCCTTGGGAAACATGCTCCCATAAATACCGACGCGTCAAACATCCCGACTTTTGTATCAAGAAGACGATACATGAGAGGAAGACGGGAGTAGTCTTCATGTGGGTTTGAGTTGATCGTAGATGGTGGGAGAACTGCCACCGAATACGAGCATACCGGGCCGCTGGGCCTCACCTGCAACACGTTCCCGCAAACAACACTAGGTACTGGAAACGGCAAACCACATCGAAAGATTCATGCGCACACGTACAAGGATGTTAATAATATTCTTGCTCAATTGAGTTTTGTCTCATAATCTACGACCATCACAACTCGACCAGCAATTCGTTTGGGCGTTGAAACACTCCCATTGCCGTCCATCATCTACACATAATCAACCATGCCATGCTGGATGAGCGCCATGCTTCCTCCAATTCAAAAATCGCAAACATCTCCATCGCGTCTCAGCGCACCAAGTGATCCAAAAACAACAACGTTCATCTCAATCCAAAAACACACCTGATCTGAAATGATTGGACGCCCATTGCAGGCTAATTACGTCCTCCCTCAGCTTTTGTAGGTGAGTAACAAGGTATACGCTCATATACGAACAAAAAAGCAACACAACAGCGGCCATAGGAAGTGTACAGTGCCGAATAAAGTAACGTAACGGTTGATGCCATCGCGGGAACGCCGTAAACTCCGCCCAATGAGGTGAACAGGACAAGGCGATCGTTTGTAGAATCGCGTGTCCGTAAAAGAGTGACAGCGCTACGCATGCCAAAGTCGAGAAGATGCAGAGTCTATCGGCAGGCGAATCATTGACACCCGGAAATGTGAAAGTTGCAGAAAAACAAGGGTATTAGGAAGGGTATATCAGGACATGGCATGACGTTATTCTGAGCCCTTTTCGTACTTGACAGGATGGAAGAGTGCTGGGCGCATGCAGATGCGGCCCGTGTTGGCTTCTTCGAAAGCTGGACCACCCTTGTCGTTCTCGCGCGAGCCGAGCCATCGCCGCCACCACTCTGAGGAGAAGCCAGCGTTGTAGTAAAAGCTGTTGCCTAGCTGGTTGTGTTCGCCCCAACCGAAGACACTGTCGGTAGGCTTGGGTGGCTTGTTGAATGTGCCTTCAAGCGCTTCAAGAGGCCAGTTGTGATCGAAGTATACTGGGTGTGCGGCGTAAACGGCCTTCAGTCCATGGTGAAACGCGACACTCGGCGGCCACATCTCGGGGAACATGTGGTGTTTCATGAGGTACGTTTCACGGTGCATAAGATCCAACAGACGCTTCGAAAGTCGCGAGACAGTGATGATAGCGCATCGTCGAGGAGGCTCGGGAAGCTCAAGGTCGTATCCAGTCACATCGTCGCGGAATACCCAGTTGGTTTTGGCGGGGTCGAAGATCGGGTTGAAAGTGATGATGTCAGCCTCCTCACCAACACCCCACTGGTAATCATCTTGAGAGTATGACCTGGGAGGTTGCGTCTCAGGGGGACTGGGGAGCATGCCGGTGTTTTCAAACTTCGGTGGGCCCCAGACAGGCTTCTCGTCGCTATTGTATAGTTCTTCCTCCACCATTTCGGTGAAGTTCTTCCAGGAACCATGGAGGTCGGGGATGTAGTAGCGAGAAGAACGCTCCCAAAGACCTTTGCGGGGCTGTTTCTTGGCCCACTCGCCGATCCTGTTATTGAACTCGTAGTAGTGACCAGTCAGACGAAGATCCATCTCCCAGTTCCAGTAAAAGTCGTACTCGGGGCGGGCCTGCGAGAACCATTGCATAGCAAAGTGAGCGCTACGATAGACCGAGTGAACGGGAGCCTTGGCGTGGTTGTAGACGTTGTTAGGGAACGGCTCGGGGTAGTACATGCGCATTTGTTGCTCCGACCACAGAGTTGCCATGCCCCAGAACTCCCTTGGAAGATTGTCCTCGATGACTTTCTGGTATTGCTCTTCCGAGGACCAGATGGGGATACTGTCGTCCTTGACGTGGAGCAAAAAGTGAACGTCGTACTCGCCGCCAGACTTGAGAGCCAGTTCGTTGATCATGGCGCGGATAGTCAACAGCTGGTAATCGCTGTACTTGTATCCAGTCCAAGTGCGGAGGATGTACGCGTGTCGAGGGACCTTCTTCTTGGCAGGCGCTCCATCCTCTGTTGCGTTTTTGGCTTCGAAGCGCTTCTTGTTCTTCTCGTAGCATCGTTTTTGCGCAGAAGCCCAGTTGACCTTCCTGTAGTCAACTTTCTTCTCTGTGTGCCAGAGCATGTCAGCGCCTCCTTTCTCGGACTTTGCATCCATGTCGAGGCCGCCCTCTTCACGGGAGTAGGAGTAACCGTAAGGTCCGAGGCGGCCAAAGCGCTCGAAGCAGACCTTGTCGTTCATGCCAAGCTCCTCATAGGAGCCAAAGAAAGGTGCAGACATGTTTTGGGGAATGCCAGGGTAAGCATAGATGTCGGGTGAGTCAACCTTTTCGTCGGCGTCGAGATAGCATGTCTCGACCTTGTCGTGGTCCTTGAGATACTCGGCGGAGTCGAACTTGTAGGGGTCGAAGGGGATGGGGTCCATGGAAGGCTCCTTGTTGTCCTTTGGCATGTGCGGCCACTTTGGCTTGATGTTGTCCTCGGGGTTGGGGCTCTGCGAATATCTGACAAAGTCTTGCTCAGAGACCCAATCCCCGTACGGCACCAGCGTGCGGACGCCATTGAAGAAGCCAGACAGTCTGCAGTGGTTAGAGGAGTCGTCGACAGGGTCCCGACTGGCATGCTTACCGAGGATAGTGCTCCCAGTGGAATTGTTTCTTGTCGTCACCTTTGCGTTGCTGGTCGTGCCACCTGTGTCGCCTGTAGATACCTGTGCTCAGCATGGACACCAGCAGCACGATGGTGACGGCGAGTGTGACCAGGCGCGCGAACGACAGTCGCGGCCTCTGGATGCGGCTTGCCCAGGCGGGCTGGCGATACTTGCTGCCGCCCCATGACTTTGAGCTAAAGAGCGGCAGGGGTGACGAGCTCTGGCTGTCGGCGCCGGGCACCTTCTCGTAGTTGAAGCGCGTGCGGATGAACAGCTTCCCGGGGTTGAATCGCGAGGCCATTGTGGTGGTGAGAGTTGTGAGTGTGGTGGGTGTTCGCGTGTTGCTTATTGCATCGCCGGGGGTGGCGTTAGGGGCTGTGAAACGGCCTGTATGCGGCGGGCGGCTACTCGGCGGCGCGAGCACTGACTGTGGGGTGGGTGGGTAAATTGCGTCGAGGGACGACAGCTACGCGTAAAACGAGTGTACTGTCCCAAAGACAAGCTGGAAAGACGACCGGGCGTTGGGGAGGAGGACGGGCGGACTCGCAGCGACTTGTGCGGCGAGCTGACCCTTAAGCTTGGCTATCACACTTTAGCCCTTCGTACCTGCCGCCTTCTGCGCTAACCGCCAAGATGCAAGATTAAAATTCTAGAGCCCGATCAACAAGAAGCAGCTAGAGTAGTACCGAGCCGGACATGCAACTTGTCCTGGATCTCATGCCATCGATACAGACAGCACCTGCAAACTCGAGGGGAATTGAAGCTGCCTGGCAACTGCTCAACCTCGACACAACCGCTCGTGCGTAATGAGGCCCGTTATCATCTTCCTGGCGCGCGGACTGCCAAACCAGCAAATCAAGTGACGCCATGGTATCGTCTATTTCGAACCCGAGCCTGCCCGCCACCCTGCACACAGTATTGTTTGAGCCGGAGTACCGTCGAGCTGTAAACCGGGTGCGCCAGCCTTGATTGTCTCAACACAGTGTCATTACGCTACCACTCCCACTTTGTTGGGAGCCCTGCCCACTCTTCATGTCGACTCGCAGCGGCTTTCTGCACCCCTCCACCACGGTTACTACGACGACATGATGGATGCTCTTTACCCCGGCCTCTCTCCTCCCATAACACGGCCAGTTCGCCAGTTCGCAGCGACGGCTTCCAATTTTATGCCCATCAATTGGCTGCAACTCGGTCAGTCAGCGGTTCGGCTAGTCCCGATGCACTTTGGACGCGCGGCCTGCCTGTAGTGGCGAGATTGCAACGGCGATCCTAAAAATACCTCACTGGCGTGAATGAGTGATGGTAAGACGTTGCTGAATGTCGGGACGTTACCGCACGGGCATGTCAAGGTCGACAAAAGACACGGGCTTTCCTCAAGTCTTCGTCTTTGAATCACGTCATTACAATTTTCACATCGCGACGCTTTGGCCCCCGCTGATTATTGAACCCAAACTAGGTATTGATCGCTTGATCGTCCGTGGTATCAAGTTTTACCAGTGTGGACCACGCATGGATACTTTGATTTTTCATCTTCAGCATTTGCAAAACATGTCTCAATCGAAAACACAACAAGCAAGTTTCAAGAACCACTTGCCAAGTGGAGAGCCGTCGGCTCCACTTTCTAGGTCACAATAACCATCATCGATTGATGTGAGATTGGAACACTATTTCAGACACAAACTGACTGATAGTTCTATCAGTTGACGAACACCGTTTCTTCATGGCATCGTTTTTTGGTCGATTTCCTCTGTGGCGCAGCCAAAACGACCCGATGACATTGATACATCGCTTACTCTACAACCTATTTAGATCAATGATACGATATTGCATTTATGATCCATGTCTCTCTAGTTGTTGACAGCATATTTAGGGACTGTCATTTGCCAAATGCAAAGATTGGAAGTGTACGCCAGGGTTGCATGCTGATCGATCAGCAACCGCAAATTATTCAACGAAACATCTCCAGCTTGGAACGCACATCCTCGATCAACATGTCAAAGATGTGGAAGACTATCGGTCCGGACTAGGTGATATCCAGCTGCCGAGCCCGTATCTCTCGACGGACGCGAGATATCAATACCCATCATTTCGTCACCACAAACCTGGGACCACACTTCGACAGCCTTACCGCGTGTAGGTACACGTCAGCAACGCGTGTATTCGTGTAGTGGCTTTTCGGATGGCGCATAATCGAGATCTGCGCTTCCTGTGCAATTCATTAATCAATTTACTTAGCCAAAGTATTAAAAATACTGGAGCTCCTCTAAACGGGCGATCGGTCTTGACAAATACGAAGTGTGGAGGCTGCTATTCTGGAGACTTCTGAGCTCACACGAAATGAAGCGACTTATCCGAGTTGTTAAACTGAAGCCGGCAGACTATCACGTTCTCTCGATACAGACAATCTGTCGCATTCATGTGATTCCGTTTTCCTCGATGTCAGGCCAAGACCATGTTTCTTTCGGCTGTCGTAGAGGCTCAGTCTGTCTATCTTACACAACCATTTGCTTTCCCTCGCAGCACGAAGTTCTTCTATTTACTCTCTGTCCTTATCTTTACCGCTAGTTTTGCGCTTATAAAAGGTATACTTGGCTTTCAGACCGTTTCTCTAACGGTCTCTGCGGATCCCGACAGCATTGACATTCCTTATCTTCGACGAAATCTACCAGCGCTTTGCATGCCTCGAACTTGGCGTAGTGTTACGTGCCGCGACGATTTGATACAGAACGTTGAACAGCATCAACAATGGGTATATCATGTGAAGATCACTTCCAATATCGAAGAGGAATTGTACTGGGAGGCCTGTTGAAAGAGGCAAAAGGTCGTGCTAATAAGGTGGCAATGGGATAGAGGTGATCTAGTGGTCATGGCATAATGTAGGAAGATAGAAATTCAATAGGCTCTTAAAGTTGTCTAATATAGTCCAATATATGTATGAACTATTCACTGCAACCAACCACAATCCAGCAAGGTCCGAGTCGGAGCGGACCTTCCAAATCTCCGATGACTCTTTCCACATTCGACTCACCACCCCGCGTGTAGAAGCTCTGATTAGGCATTACACTACAACCACGACAGCAAAATGCCAGGAACACGAGGCCCGGTGCCGGTACCGCTCGAGACGCAGGGCCGCGACCTCACCCAGCAAATCCTCGATCTCCTCGATACGAAACAACCCCTCCAAAGCAATGAAGACTTCCCCGCGATATCGCAAGCCGAGATCAAGGCAGCACTGGACAGGCTAGCCAGTCGGCTGATGGTGGAATATAAGACGCTGGACTCGGAACAAGTGTCTTTGACCCCGGAAGCAGAGAGCATCGTGGAAAATGGGAGCCACGAGTTCAAAGTCTGGAAAGCCGTAAAGGATGCGGGGAAGGTCTCGATCAAGGAATTGCCTGTGGGTAGCACGCACCAGAACGCATACGACTATCGCTGATATTTGGCAGAGCATCGTTGGTGCTGAATCTGCAAAGGTGGGACAGGGCAATGCCTTCAAGAACAAATGGATAAAGAAGGATGGCGACTCTCTCGTCCTCCTTGTCACAGACGAGCCGAAAGACACAAACCGAGATATGCTCAAAGACATCCAGGCGTCGAAATCCGTGTCCGAACCCAAACTCCTCAGCGATCTCAAGAAGCGCAAGCTTGTCGTCGTCACAAAGGTCATTACCTATACCGTCACGAAAGGTCCGAAGTACGCGAAGGAGATACCGATAGAGCACACCGACTTGACCGCAGACCTGCTCACAAGTGGTGCATGGGAAACGGCCAACTTCAAGCCATACAACTTCGCAGCTCTGGGCGCTGCTCAAGATTCTGGCGCATTGCACCCGCTGAACAAGGTCAGGCAGGAGTTCAGGAACATTTTCTTCTCACAAGGATTCGTCGAGATGCCAACAGGACAGTAAGGAAGCTTCGCTCTCGGAAAGAACAACGTACAGAAAACTAACGACTCCCAGCTTCGTCGATTCTGGTTTCTGGAATTTTGACGCTCTCTTCGTACCCCAACAGCACCCCGCCCGTGATATGCAGGACACTTTCTTCGTTTCAGATCCACCAAAGGCCGATAAGCCGCGGGCAGACCCAGCAAGTGAAGCTACCATGGACGCTATGGAGGCCGGCTCAAGAAGACTCTTCGCAACCGGAGAAAAGAGGGAGACGAAGCCACGAGATTTCGAAAAATACTGGCAAGATGTCCAGAAAGTCCACCAAGACGGCGCTTTCGGCTCAATAGGCTGTACGATGCTCCAGTATGTCTTTTCAAGACCTAACACATGCTAATTTGTATCAGACCGATACCAATGGAAGGAAGACGAGTGCTTACGCTTGGTCCTCCGAACACACACAACCGCTGTATCAACCTGGGCACTTCACCGATTGGCAGAAGATCCCCGGCCCGCTCGCTACTTCTCCATCGACCGTGTCTTCCGAAACGAGACTCTCGACGCTACTCATCTCGCCGAGTTTCACCAAATCGAGGGTGTGATTGCGGATTTCGGTCTCACGCTTGGCGGTAAGATGTTCCACAGCGTTTGACTTGAAGGCCATTGCTGACTTGTCAGGTCTCCAACGCTTCCTCGAGGACTTTTTCTCCAAGATGGGCATCGAGAATCTGCGCTTCAAACCAGCATACAACCCCTACACAGAAGTACGTCGAACCATGCTCATTCGCTTCTTCACTGTACTGACTATGATTACAGCCTAGTATGGAAATCTTTGGCTATCACAAGGGCCTCAAGCGCTGGCTCGAGATTGGTAACTCGGGCATGTTCCGACCAGAGATGCTGCAGCCCATGGGCCTGCCCAAGGATATGCGTGTGTACGGTTTCGGATTGTCGCTCGAGCGTCCTACGATGATGAAGTATGAGGTGTCGAATATCAGGGAGTTGCTTGGCCACAAGGTTGATCTTAAATGGATCAAGGAGCAGCCGGCTGTGAGGTTCGATAAGGAATGAGAGGATATGAGCGGGAGTCAGGGTTGAGACCAGGAAGGTCGCGGGAAGAACAGGCGTATCCAAAAGGTATGAGAGACGAAGTGTATGAATGATATGATAGATGGGCCGTGTGCGAAGATATCCAAAATAAAAGAATGGCACCCCTTTGGAGGAGTGCCGTGTTCCTGATTCAGACTCTGGCTGGTCGTCCTTTACGAATGACAATCGAGAGAGGCAATCACACCATATATGGATGTATGAAGCGGAGTAGTTGTGTTTCTTCATCTCATCTCTCCCACAGGCCCTTGTCGCCATATCTTCACCTTTCCCTCATCACGCCTCTTCAGCACTCTCTTGCTTCCTATTCCTTGCGCCGCGGTAGATCCAACTCTCGCCGTCGCCCCCCTCTCCCCACCTCCCCTTTGCCCAAACCAACGCATCCTGCCCCAGCCCATACCCCAGTCCAACCAACACACCCATCCTAATCGTGCGCGCGGCCGTAGAGACCGGAAACTGATGCCACGCGCTCCACAGGCCACCCGTCACCATACCCGCACACGCACTACTGACCCAATCCCGCGAGATATCCACGCCCCGATCAATGCGCCGCAGATCCAACTCATCCACGCCCTCCATCTCGCGTATCGTCCTGCCAGCGCGCCACGTCCCGCGAAACACATCTAGACTCTCCTCCACGATGAAAAACACACTGGTCCATGCGGCGATCCATGCGCCTTTCCGCAGCCCGTCGGTTATGCCGTGCTGCATCTTGTAGTAGTTCTTCGACTTGTGGTATAGGTACCAGCCGGGCTGCGAGATGGGCAGACGGTGGGCGTTTTCGGCTCGGAAGCGCATCGCGGCCATGTGGCCTGAGGATGTGCTGCCGAGGGTGAAGCCGCATATGAAGGAGGTGAAGGTTGTGAGGAGGAGGCGCCGGTCGAAGGGCATGTTTAGGCGGGGTGCGTTGGAGGGGGGTTGCGATAGGAGGGTGTGCGGGGATGGGGGTTCGTGGGATGGAGGGGGTGATGGCGGTGATGGCGGCATTGTTGCTGTTTGTGTTGGAGTTGCCATGGTGGAGTATACGTGGGAGAAACAAGGCGCCCGAGGGGCTTCGTATATGGTGGTTGCGGAGGAGATGCGGAGGTGCGAGTAGAGTCCGTGAAGCTGGGTTTGACGGTTGACTCCGTTGGGCTGAGACGTTCTTTTCTACAGCCTTGAGTTCAATGGTATAGCTCTCAGCTTGAGAAAGCTTCGTTTGCGATGTAGTCGTTGTGTGCTGGTATGAGTGTTGTAGCTTTGAAAGCAGAATGAAGATTCATGCCAAGGCAAGTCAGCTGTGATCGCGTATGGTCGCGCTTTCCTCGACCCCGCAATTACTCCTCCTCTTCATCACGTACTCAAAAACGCGTCTTTAGCTTTGGAAATTTCACACAATCTCATTTGTACCTCGCGCCACACGAACTTGACGCGTGTATCTCAGATTTCACGATTGCAACTACAAACTGACCAGTCGCCACTACCTTGCGGACCAGACCCCCATTACTCACACCACCTTCGCACAATGACTACACCCTCCCCACAAACATGGACGCTCCGCTTCAAGTCCCGCAAAACCACCATCCTCCTCCACGTCGACCCTCTCCACACCTTCACCACGATAAAATCGCACCTCTACAACGCCCTCACCGAAACCGGGCTCAAAGACCTCGATGGCTCCACAATACCGCTCCCCTCCTCGCCTGCAGACATCCAGCTCGGTCGCCCAGTCGACGTCAACGATGCACAACAGGGCTTCCAGCTCGGCGAGTGGGAATATGCGGCTTCGGAGGAGTTTGACGGCAAGGGGAAGGGGAAGGGCAAGTCTAGCGCTTCGAAGGTGAACAATTGTCCTATGGGGGCGAATTTGAAGGATAATGCTGTGTTGGCGCTCCGTTGGGAGGGCGACGGGGTGTGGGATGGGAGGGATGATGAGATGGATGGGGATCTGGAGAATGGGTTGAGTGGGAAGGGAGCGGATATGTGGGGAGTTCAGCTTGCGAGCTTTGATGATGCGTATGGGGTTACCAATGAGAGTGATGTTGGTGGGGGGAGGGAATTTGAGGGGTGAGGAGAAGTCGGGGGAAAAAGTAGATGACCAAGTTCAGTGCCCAATTGGGGGATTGCTATGTTCCAGTATCTAGTGGAATATTGGTACGTATATCGAGTGTTTGCTAGGAAGCACTTGACTGACAGTTCTAGCTCTATATACGAAATCAATGACGAACATAGAATTACGCCAAAAAATCCTATTTACAGCCTATCCACCCACTCTCTTATCTATACCTGCACCTCTAGTCAACCAAACTCTCCATCACGTCTCCACCACCCATACCTCGATCACACACGTACCAATTTCCTATCGCCGTTCTGCTTGATCCGTCCAGCACGAAGACAAAGCATCACATTCCATACCCTAGCATTCACCACCGCGTCAAGTGCACATCTGCCCCGTCCTGTGATATGGTATGAACACCCACCCACTAACAGATGCCACAATACCCTGCGAAAATTTCCCTGGAAGGGCTTCGTGTGTCGATCTGTACGCCTGGATTTCTTTGTTGGGTCGTATCAGGTAGGGTAGAATGAATAAAGTATTGCACTTGCAGTGCGGTTCGAGAGGTAGAAATGGCTGTGGTGAGCGTCGAGTGGAGTGAGGCTGGTTAGTTGATGGTGTTGAGTTTTAGGCGGATAGTCACTGTAATGGTCTGGATGGTTGGTCTTTGGAGGAGGAGGTAGACACTTGCTGAACTAGTCTTAGCAGTTGGTCTTTGGAGATGGAGGCGGATGGAGTATTCTTTGTGGGTTGCGGAGTTGGTAAATGAAGAGACCACTCGCGTCTTTCATAATGGGAGTATCAAGAGTTTTGCATGTGTAGATTATGGTCGCAATTTACATGTTCCTCGATAATTTGTGGGTAGATCCATAATATTCTGGTGTTCTTCAGTGTAGAGCAATGATACTATCTCGTCATATAAGGCGACTCGTAAGTTCCTAAACCCTAGGGTCAAGATATAAAACTTCGATCAACGGCTGCCTGGGCTCTCAAACACGCGTGCTCGCATCAGTACATAAAACAGCCAATTGTCAAGAGAAGATTGAATAGCTCTGTTTCTATGTCACTATTACTGTGCACTATAATCGATGATTACTGTGTTGCGTCCATATTGATTTAAAACAAACATGGAAACGCTGACGATTAAGAAAGATAATAAGATGGCTTGTACATCGCTTCAGAGGACGTGGAATGGTCTTGAAGAGTATGTAACACTGAGTACTGCTCACTCCAAAAACGCTGTTCTGTCCTGGCACCAGGCTTTGCAATGATTCACGTTGAAGGGTTCAGTGAATAGTTTAAAAGATCATCACCACGCTTCAAAGTGTTTCAAATTATCTTTAGCACAAACGAGAGATTGGACTATGCTAAAGGTATCTGTGAACCAAAAGACAAGCTGTGGTTGAGTTGTAGAAGTGAGTCAAACTGCCCAGTTGTTAGGCACGAGCTGTTGCATGGCCATGTGTCGGTCAACATAACTGACGAATACCTAAAAGGCTATGTGCACACACGAATTTGCATTCAGCCCCCGTACCCGTTCTGTTGATACCATCAAGATCTAACTCTTTACATGTTCCCCGTGTCAACTCCATCTTCAAGACCAAGATCATACTTCTGGGCTCGTGCAAGGTAAGTGACTATATCCACCTTTACCGATCACTGACCATCCGAGTTTCTGTAGTCGGCTATCCTTCGGTACTCCGTACGTATCGTCTCGGCTGACACCATCACTTGCTCTACCGAACTCAACCCTAGTCACAGAACAAACTTCCTATCTTCGTGCCGCGGCACGTCAGTGCCGCTGCAGGTAAGCAAAAGAAGGTTATGCGGCTGAGAACCTCCTGCATGGCACACGAGGTGCATAATCTCAACGCAAGCTTGGTAGAAATTGATACGTTATACGGCGAAATCGTTGCGATGTGCCGCATCCTTTGTACGACATTGGCGTATGTTGGAGGCCTTGGTATACGCCACCTTCTACAAATATGACCCAGCGAGCAAGAAACGCTTCTCTAGCCGCGAGAGCCAATCACGATTATTCCTCGGGGGTTAGTATTAACAGCTCCCACACTGCGAAGACCCCCACGGTATACTATAATCGTTGCGGCCTAATGCAGGGCGGCCATATAGTGTTACGATGCTTCAAGGGCATATCTGTTCATTGGCCAGACATCTGGTTTGGGATATCGAATTAACGAATGGGCTTGTGATATGATACTTGTATTTTCGCATTGTGATGGGTCATATCCTTGGTGGGTGTCTGATCGGGCCGTTGATGATAGAGCGGTGTAAAAGTGTTGAGTTTGGAGCCAGTGAACGTATGCGGCTGGTGAGTTGAAGGGGTAGTTGGCTTTGGGTCGTTCACGAGAAGGTTTGATGTTCTGGGCGAATACAATCACACCATGTAAAAGCCAGATTGGACGCATCACCTGCATCACTGCCCAACGATACTCACCCGGATGAGACGCTTTGCCAAGCGTGATAGGGCGATAAATCATGTCCCTGAAACTCCTTGTCGACGGGAATACTTGGTGATCAAATAGCAAAGATGACCAGCCTTCGTACGGGAGATTTGGTTTAGACATATGCAACTTTAGTGCAGAGTTGTGCAAGACTGGAAAGGAGAACACATATGTTACACAAGCAACGTTCAACAACAGAGGAGCATTCTCTATGGGTTGCATACCATACAGGCTTGTCCAATTGCAGCATCACTAGTAGACAGTGCTCAATCATAGTACTGGAGATCACAGAAGTTCATGGTAACTTGGACACTACGCCGCAATGTATCGGTGCTGCAGTTGAGCAAATTTCTACGCTAGAAAGATGCAAAGGTCTGAAGTTCTCTACATGCACGTCCGCCCTGTTACGGCCTCGGCCAGTACTCATCCCTGCTCATCGGTCAAGTAGCCTATCGAATGGCGGACCGTGGCATCGAAGCCGGCAATCAATCAGCGAGTCAGGTCCTGCAACCGCTGGATCGCGTGAGTGTCGATCAATGAGGACCGAACGAGCTGCATACCTCTTTTGTTGATGGCAGGTGCAGGGATTATATGTTGTACGTTGTCACGTTGTCTGTGTAACTTACTGTTCCTGGCATAGATGTAGGGCTGTCATGAGCCTTACAGTGTGTATGCTTTTGCTGTAAAAGTGCCCACGAACATCTCTCTTCTGTTCGTTTTTGGACCGACTACATATTAGATCAATTGGCGATTAGAATCCATGCACTACAAGTCAAATGATGCTTCAGCTCTCCTCTGCAACGCCTGAGATGCAGAGCAGGCGTCTGACCTGAACTGCCAAAAGCAAAGATGCCTCAGGGCTAAAGAGTTCGAAACGTTGGGACACAATTCTGCATTCGCCCGTATGACAAGCCATCTGTCGACATCCAATCCTTCCCGATATGCAGCTCTATAGGCGAGCTCAGGGCTTTCTCTGTAGCTGTCCTGCATGCTACAGTCTTGGTGCCCTAAGGGCAAAAACAAAAACGTCTGTGGTGTGCTGTAGCTAGGATTCGAATGAAGTATAGCGTGTTCATCACTGCCGATTCTCATCAGGGGATTTTCATGGCCAATAGACTATCGACCTACTTGCAGAGAGTAGCGACCGTTGAATGCCAACGCGGACTTGACCGACTCAAGATTGGAGCGCTTATTTTTGGCACTTGCACTCTTTTCTTCTGTTCGCTTTCCTATCCTGGTCATTTTCGCTTCGGCTCCTCGACTAGGTTCAGCGGTTATTTTGTTGGTGAATTGCTCAGTAGAACGGCTTCACCACTTTGAGATCAACTATCAGACACTAGAACTGGGCCAACAGTTACCGTACTGGAAAAAGAAAGTTTAGAAGCAAGAGTGTATTTTGATGTAGTTCAGCCCTGCCACGATAGATGGCAGTCCTTCTCCTGCAAAAACCTGAGATGATGGTTCAAACCAGAGGAAGGAAAACGCCCCGAGGTTTAGCCTGCGTGCCTTTTTGCTTGCTTGCAGAACGACGCCATAAACTGCGTGAATGCAAGTCCTGATTGGATCGCTGCAGCAGACATTGCTCCGCGGTGGAATCCTTCTACAATACGTCTTCAAGATAAGCGCTGTTGACAATTTACTGAAATAATACCCGATCCACAACAGCCAAGCAGCGGTGAGAATCGAAGTCAAAGTGAGGCTCAGGCAGTTTCCTATTCTGGCGATTCGTAACGAAATTTGGCGCTGAAACGGCCCCACCGAACGGCCAAGACCCTGCTGTTGTACAGGACGTGCCATCCGCTCATCAGACGTTGCTTCATTTTTCCACCACCCGTGGCAGCCCCATTGTTCGAATCCGTACGCCTGCCATGACATCCCGTCGGAACGGGCCAGTAGCGTCAACTTACTAAATCGGCAGGGAAGTCTAGATCGATCGGTCAGTCGGCTGTGACTCTCCCGATGCTTCCGATCTCTTTCAGAACCCCAGAATCGGGAACCTGGCGTGTGGTTCTCGGGGTACCCCTTGCTTGCAGCGGGGTTTTACTGTATGACACGCGTTGCGCACTTTGCTTTTGCGATCTGACATGTCGGTTTAGAACCGAGTAATTGGCTGGACAAAAATACCGACATGAATATGAGATTTACTTTTGATGCTGCTCAACGATGGTACAATATGGTAGCCGAAAGCATTAGAATCTGCGGTTTCCCAGTCGTCGCCCTCCGCATGCGGAAACAATACGAGAATACGCGTCAGCAACTGTCCAGCGTTTGGATTGTCCTTTGCGAACATATGCGTATCATGAGACCGAGAAACCCCCTTTTATCGAAACAACCAAGAATCTTCGTGATCGTGAATCGCAAATTTGTCGAAGTCTACATATTATTCGACGAGAATGCCATGTAAATGTATATCTAAGAGGATATACAATATTCGACCCTGAAATGCCTATTCCATCTCTTGTGCGGATCAACATCCATTTTCACACTCAAGACAGACATTATACTCTACGGGTCGCGTTCGAAAAACGACTAGAAAAATCGTATTGGTACATTTGTTGATCTTGCCCATACCCTGACATAGTTGGCATTGCTACTGGCTCTGCGGTATCCGGCATAGAAGCCGGTTGAGCCAGCCAGGAGGAACAGGTGACAGAATGGCTGTGATCTGACTGTGGCACGATGTCAGGACAAAGATGCTGATCAGGGGCTGGACCGGAGTCTGCAAGCGTATGTCTGTGCGAAATACCCGCGGAGGGGAGTCTCGATCCACGAGGAGACAAGCGTGTATGGCGCGCGAGCGGCGGCACTGGCCCAGACTGGGAAAGGGATGGCCAGGAATGATGTCTCGACGGCATTTGTGGCGGATCGTCAGCACGAATGTGGCGTCGTTGTCGAGCCTCTACTATTTCGCGCTGTCGTCCAGTCCGATGACGAGGTGAAGGGCCCGGTCTGCGACGAGATTTCGCAACCGATTTTATTCCATGGAGTTTCTGATGTGTAGCCGGTGCTAGACCCGCGCGTGGCGTCGGAGTCGTTATTCCTTGTAGTTGACAACCTTGTTTTTGTTGTGACACGGCATATCGAGGGGATACTGATCCCGAAGCTGATTCCCACATTTCCTGTACCTTGCGTGTGGATCGAGCCTTATGGATATCCTCGGAACATCTCAAGTCTGGTCTATCTGGCTCTTGCTTGAGTGGAGACGTATCGCCTAATTCATCTTTCTCTGCCGCAATCCATGAAAACGCTTCGAAGCTTTCGGGAATAAAGGACTGTAGACCTGAATCCTCCAGTAAGAGCATGCCTGTGTTGGACATAACGGCGTCAGGTAATGCTTGTGAACCATCTCTTGCTCGACTTTTAGCGTCTCCATGCAGGTCGGCCTCGCCAAACCCTTGACACCCTCGTGTAAACGATTCCCCCTTCGTCGGATTCAGGACGTGGTGCAACTCTTGTAAACCCCAACTTATCCTTTCCACGGCTAGGATTGCGAGTCGATGAACTCCGTTATTCTGGAGCTCTAGAAATATCACATATGCCTGCTCTACTTTCAAGATGGCGGGAGTAATTTGTCTAATCTCCAGGGCGTCCAGAAGAAGAAGCATACACGAGTTGAATGCTTGTTGAGAAATAGTCCAAGAGACCAACGCAGCTGGTACTCTATGGTAGAAGAATAGAAAAGCTGTGAGGATGTCTTCTGACGACGAGAGGACTAAAGATCGGCCACGAGGGGAGGTCATCGATGACGCGGTTGGTGAAGGATTAGGCGAAGGCTTGTAGTTGACTGGTCGGAATGATGATGTGGAGACTGTGGTATTTGGGGTTTGTGTGCATCCAGTACTTGTGTCGGTTCTCTGACGGTTGAGAAGGATAAGATAGGTATGGGTTTTGCAAAAGTATACTATTCCTTGTGAGCAGTGACCAAAGGATGGTGAAACGAGAGAGGTAGAGAGATATAAAGCAACACACCAGCAGCCATGACACGTAGCGGCCACTCCGGAATCTCTGTCTCCTCTATAATCCAAGACTCGTCAAACTGCAACATTTCAGGCATCGTGTCCAGAAGTGTCCTAAGTAGATCAGTAAACTCGTCGATTTTGGCATCGGTCATCCGATCGCCACTCAATATCTGTCTTGCCAGAAGTGTGAAGTGGTTGACGAATTCTCCAAAACGCAGCATACGAGGATCGGTGGTCAGTTCGTGGGGAGGTGGGCAGTCTCCAATCCCGCTGATGCCAAGAGGGCGACCTAAAGTCATCGAATACTGTTCGTCCATATGTAGCATCCACCACCAGAGTGTTTGGCGGATAGCGCATTCTCTTTGCGTCGGAGGAGCCGGATTGAGGTATTTTGGGTTTCGGTGGAGACCAATAGCCTGAGCCATTCGGATGGTAGTGCCGAACAGTGTCCACGCTTCCATGTGTCTTCCAGAGTGTGTCAAGTAAGGCCCAATCATAATGAGGGTTTCGATTCCCAGAATCGTTGGTTTATGCATGAAGGATGACATTCGTAGGGCTTGCATCGCGGCTGCAACTGAAGCCTTTGTCAGATTCGACCCCCCATTCGACTCGATCCACTTACTGTACACGTTCCCCTTCTGCGTCTCTTCATCTATAATGTTGGCGTTCCACTGTCCACCACCTCTGTCCCACACAGAATGTTGTGCACCCAACGCCATAGCTGCAAAGAGAAGCGCCAGCATATCAGGGCACATGGCTGCGTTTTTCCGCCTATCAGAAAGGAATCGTTCAACCTCGCTCTTGGTGATCTCGATGGATACCTGAGGAAATGAACAGACTGTGATGCGCCTTTCGAAGGCGTCCAGATATTCCAGAAGATGTTCATCCGCAGGCAGGATTTTCAATAATTGTGGAATACATTGATCCGGTGTGGCGGAAAACAAGGTTGCAAATGGGTCAGGAAGTGGGGTTTTGGGCGTATACGCATCTTGACCACGTGGCATGAGATATGCCAAAGACTGCGCCGACGTTGGAGTAAGGTTTGCAGCAGCAAACTCACAACACGTCAGTTCAGGATCTATGAATCGAAGGTGTAGAACTTACATCCGCAATGACATTGGCAAGTCCAGGGCTACCAAAGTAAATAGAATCAGTCCGTTCCGAACCCTGGAATCGCCTCTGTTTTACAACTCGTCGTTTTTGTGATGAACTAGTCGGTCTTTCGCCAAGCTGGGAGTCTGGGGAAGTCGTTGTATCCGAGTCATCTTCGTCGATGGGTATTTGGTTGGCGCGTAACCGTTCCTTCAGGAGCATGTTCTCAGTACGCAGCTTGCGAAGTTCATATGATTGTTGGATTGGTGCATAGTCGCCTCCTTCTGCGACGAAGTGACACTCCTTGGGTGCTCCACGAGCGCAGCATGCTGAGCAGGGCTTGGTTCGATCACACTATGCTTTAGGTCAGTCAAGTACATCAGTGTAAACAATGGTGCGAACATCGGCTGGTAAAAACTACATAGTGTAACAAACGCTCAGACACAAACTAGGAACTGAATACTCGCCTTAACTTTCCTCTCACGGCACTTCGTACAAGATAGCAACTGTCTCGATTGCTGTTGGGCCCGCTGTTTTCTCTTGTTGCTCTCAATAATCCCGTTAACAGATGGTTGTATGTGGTCGCCAGAAAAAGTCGACATGGTAAGATGAGTGAACACCGGTATTCAACAACGCGACTGTTTTCCGCGACATTGACAAGTCTTGGCTTGAAGGGTGCACCTGCCCCTCTCAGAGAAGACCCTTATACCAACAGCCAACAGCCTGTCGGTGCGTCCGCAGTATGTTGCGCATGGCCCGTTCAGCTTCGGTGAAACCCTTGTCAACCACTCACGCGTGGCCCAAACTCCCGTAATCTGATCAGTAACCAGACTACACCCCTAGCTTCCATTCCCGGCACCCAGGTCCGAGGGCAGCAAGAGCGAGTGAGCGAACGACCACTACGGGCCGAGCATGCTTTGTTAACGCGGTTAGAACCAAGCCAGTGCCTTCACGACCGAGGATCTGGGACCAGATTGCTGCATCCGTCGAGCCGCATGGCCCGGTGGCACACGAATATCGCCAAGAACGAGAACCAAACGTTAATAGGTCCGGGAAGAGTTTACGCAACATGATCTTTTGCATATCTAGATTTATGTGGGCGCGGCCCAAGCCGCTGTAATTCTTGCATTGCGAACCGGCTCGCTTGCCGTCCATCCATCCCTTCCAAAAACTGACACCTACTTGACGTGATGTTTACGAAGAGACTCGATTTTGGTATATCCTTGCGGATGAGGCCTGCTACGTTAGCGCGATAAGTGGCTGGCGATTGGCGTACAGGGGGTGGTGGTGGTGGTGATCTGCGTTGTGGATCCCTCCCTCCCTAGTGTAACATCTTGTCGCTCATCGCCGACCCAAAGCCCACTGTCGTTGTGCAGTAGTAATTCGCAGTAAGTCCGCCGACACTGCTCTCGCTTGGAGAGTGATTTCAAATTCTAGGATGCTTGGAGGTAGTTGCATATCTACGTCAGCGTGCTATACCGTCATGCAATAGTAGTCCGTCCGTACCGTATCGTGGAGACCGGCATGGTGATCTAAATGTAGAGTATATGCAAATGCAACATTTCATAGCCTCAGATAAATACCGACATACTGTACAATCTGCGAAGGGCACGGTCTAGAACTATGTAAGAATACGGGATGGTGCTACACGAACTGATCTCTCGATAGGCGGATCAGCCGACTGCCTTGTAGTTCATGGATCTTTCTGGAAAAACATGACTCGTCGAAAACATAGACTAGACCCTGAACATAACCGCACAACAACTTCATAAAACCTGAGTCTACTGTGGCACCCCCTAAATGTTTTCGCAGATCTACCCCCTGGTTGCCAGCGAATCAGAAGGTGTGTTTTGTTTTTGGAGACGACTGCAGTTGTTCCCTGGTCTTGGTACATGAGAAAACATCTAGGGGATACTACAGTACAATTTTCTTGTAGCGTCAACCCACTAAGCATGATTTCTACTCCCCATTTCAAAGACGCACGAGAGCCCGATTCCCACGTCAAGCTCAAATCCAGATATACTCGAGACGCGAAGGAAACTCATGAACCCGGGATTCTAAACGCGGGTACTTGTATTCCTACACCAACCTATTCGATAGGCCTCTGCGTGATGATCTTCGTGGGCACGATCAACATTTTACCAGTCTAGTAACGAACGTATACACTTACTCGAGTTAAAGTAACCCCGAACTCACCCCCCGTTGAAGGGCAAAGGCTTGCGAATAAACCGCTACAATATATCGCTCTCATCGAGTACACCTTTTTGTAGGCATAGTATATTTATACGTTCTCTACGAAATGTACCAGTACTAAAAATGCATCATCACTCTGCAACCATCGAACACAAATACCTGGGTATAAGAAAACCAACTTCCAAACTCTACTTTTACTATAACCAACTTTTGTATACCCGAGGAGATGTGCCGTTCAGTATGCAGTAGAAGAAAAGCTAAGGTACCTGTTGTCTTTGCTATTGACAGTACGGTTAAGGTGTCTGACGGGTATGTGGAAGTCATGACATTTAATCTACTGTTTACGCCATCATTGTTCCTCGAGCCAAAGGTTTCTAAGTCGAAACGCAAGATATCAGGGAATGCATGCGAGCGCGATGGTATTTGCAGGTGCGTGTATGCCCGTACCTTTGATGTCTTTGTAAATCTGCCTGCCTCGAAGATCTGTATGTCCTTCGACGCGAAGACGAAACCTATTCGTCAATTCACGAGGGCGCCGAACAGAGGAAAAACTGTGTTCCAGAATGCAATTCAATGCACAAATTACTATACACTATACACGTTTTCGCCCGCATTCTCATGCTCCTTTCTTCGGCACCCCAGTATGCAGTCTCCAAAGCAGAACGCCAATCCATCGTAAACGCCGTGACAGAGTATATCCTTCAGCTTCTATCCTTTCTCAACTCTTCCTCGTCATGCACTCTCAACTACATCAGTGACTACCCTCTACTCGAACTGATTCTCGCGGTCAACCCAGACATCCTCCAGTTCCGCAAAGTTGTGGAAATGCAATGGTCGATGCACACTGTCATAAAACCTGACCGGTGTATCGAGTCGCACATGCACCGACTTCTTCTCGACGTTCCCAAACGCACTTCCCATGAAGCTGTAATTCCAAATGCCGTTGTCAGGTACCAAGAAGTATCCGCGAATCTTGTCGGACAGGAGAAGCTGGCACTTCTCGCCGAACGCGGTGCTGAAACCTGCTGGGCTGTCGGACATGGTGTCTTTGTTGTCGGCGCCCCACTTGTAGCCGTTGGGGGTGAGGGCCCAGGCAGCAAGGGAAACGGAGCCGGGGGTGAAGGAGACAGTCATACTGACGGTCTTCTTGTCCCAGCTGGCATGAGCGTTCATGAGGCGGGCGTGCTGAGTTACGTCGCTAGCTTGCATGTAAGGAGGCTCGTTGCCACTGACAGTGTGGATGATGCCTAGCGGCTCGAGGTTGTCGAGATACTCGTGCTGAGGAAGCTGCTTTGGCAACTGGACATCACGGGTGTTGCCGACTTGTGGAATCATGACGATCGTGCTGATTTCCTTGACTTGGTCGTTGTCTGGTGGCGACTTCCCGTACAGGTAACCAGCGACTTGCACGCGGAGATCGGCAATGGTGATGAAACGCTTGAGGACATTCTTCGGCATGACATAGGTGAAATGGCCTTCTTCCTTGACATCTTCCGAATTGATATAGATATTGTTGGCACGCGTTCGCAAGTTCGACGTAGCCACTGCCCTGGTTCGCCATTCCGTCTTCGAGGCGAAAGAGGCCTGTTCGTATTGGGAAGTGGTTGTCACAACCATCTCCTCGCCGTGCACGTTCTGGGTCTTCGTGGTGACGGCGGTCAACTGCTGCTGCTCTTGTTGCTGCTTGTCGATTTCGGCGGCCTGTTGACGTTGCATCGAGGGTGCTGAGATTTCCATACCCAGTATGATGTCACGCACTTCACTGCTTGTGAGCGAAGACGTGTTGACGTTGTTCTTCTTGCCGTAGTCATTGAGAATGAGATCACGAAGCTGCACTTCGACCTTGATCCAATCCTCATCGGCTAGCGACGGCCAGATGTGATGCTCCTGAGTGATCACAGTCTTGTCAGGTCGCAGGAGTAGCTTCGTCTTATCCTGGTTGACGTGGAGTGCACGCAAGATTAGGATCAATCGAGAGAAGGCGGTGTATGATGAGATTGTCTTCAGCCATTCATCGTAGAGATTGAAGAGAACCATTTGAGGTCCAGTCGCTCGAAGAATCATATCTCCAAGTTTCTCAACCTTCATGGCTGCCTGGAATGGAAGTTGAAGCTCGGATGCACGGATCGAGATGTTGGGGAAGTCAAGCAAATGGACTTCGAGAGGATCCAACAGACCCTTACGTGTGACGATGAGCTGCTTCGGTTGCTCCTCCACAGGAAGAGATCGAATCAAAGCGGCCACTTCTTCAGCAGTCTTCCACTTGGCCAGCTGTCCAAGACGCTTCTGACCTGCCCAGACGCTTGTGTGGATGATCTTCAAGAATAGTTGACCAGTACGAGGATTGAAGATGAAGATGGCACCGTTGATAGGCTTCGTAGTCAAGTTACCCTCGAAAGTCTTGTGGATTGTCACACGGTAAACGTTGGTGTCGTCAATGAACAGCTGGATCTGGTTGCTGAACAGCTCGGAGTAGTTCTGAGAGTTGAGGAACTCTTGAGAGCTCTCTGAGGCATACAGCTGGAGACCCTTGCGGATACGCTCGCGTAGGACATAGAGAGCTGGGTTGGCCTTCATGACCTTCGCCATAGCCTGCTGGATGAGCTGCTTCAGACCAGGGAAGTACTGTCCGTATGCCGAGTAGAGGTTGTAAGCCAAGTCGATACCGATCATCAGACCTGTAGCCGAAGGGTAGATACTCATGCTATCCTGGGTGTAATCGAGGTATTTGGCACGTACGTAGCGCTCGATGTCGTGAGAGTCGTAATCGCCATAACGCAGTTGAACGTCGACCCAGAATTTGTTCGTTGTAGTGGCACTCATGGTATCCTTGGTATCGTACAGCATAGACGGCGGTGATACACTCCACTTGTGGCTGGCAAAGAGCAAGATGTCAGCGCATGAGCTGTTCATCTTGTACGACTTTCGAGGATGGATCGTCTCCTTCTGGACTGTCTCAATACCGAGAGCCTCGAGTTCCTGATCGAAGACCTGGCAAAGATCCATGACGACAGACTCGTGGATCTTCTGCCACAAATGAGCACGGAAGATCTGGATGAGTGAAATTTTGAGCGTCGGAATCTTGCCGTGCAAGAAGATACCCGTGAGATCCAATTGGACCTGGAAACCGACGTAGACGTTAGCTCGGTTGATTGTTGGGGACCACCACAGTGTGAAGCGACGGTTGGGAATTTGGTTAAGACCGGACCGCTGAGCGTTAGTGAGCTTCTTGAACTTCATGGATTCTTCGAAACCTGGTTGGAAGTTAGCATTTGTAGTCGTGTCTAATGTGTCGAGGAGTATACATACCGGAAGCCTTCTCCCAGAAGAGACCTTCCCAGGATGGGAACGCGGTCGCCTTGAACAATGTGTGCTCGAGAATAGTCTCTACACCACCAAGTGCCTGGATGACGTCCGTTCGATAAGCGTTTAAGTTCCAGAGCTTTCCGTCGTGACGCTGGCTCGTCCACCAGAAAGGATTGCTCTTCATATGCTGGTAGATCTTGAACTCAGTCCTGGCTCGGAAGCCCTTGTCGAAACTGAGTGTGCTTCGGTCCTTCTGGAAGAGCGTATTGATACGAGGGAGACCTCGATCCCAACTATCCTCCAAATCTTCAAGAGTCAATCGTCGATTCTGCTGTTGCGCCTCTTGACGCTTCTGGGAGTACTCCATCCACACACGTTGAGAGTCAGTGAACTCAGACTCCCATGGGATGATGTATCGGAAGATGTTCGGGATGAGAGTCTCTTCGTCATGAGACATACCCGCACGATAATGCGTTACACCAGTGTCGGTCTGTTTTGACCAGCGCTTGTCGCTTGTTGGAATGAGAATGTGTGATCCAGAAATCATACCCAATCCACCAAGTTCCTTGGGAGTGTAGAACACCGCGGGAGGGAAACGTGAAGGCATCTTGGAGTTCAGTCCTATCTTCACACGCGTCTGAATCTTAGTTTCACACTTGACAATGGTATCAAGCAAGTTGACAGTGGAAACTGCGGCTTCACGATAGTAAGTGAAGAGTGCAATCAATGTCGTGTTCCACTTGTTGGCAATCTTCGTGAAGGTTGTTGATCCAGAGGACATAAGAATCTGTCGAATGCGATTATTGAACTTCTGAATGTCCTCTTCTGTCACCTGCAAGAAGGCATCTGCGGTTCGCTCCTTCGTAGAATTGTCGATGAGGGACCAAACGCTATCCTTGACCGGGAATTCGCCAGTCAAGTTACGAATCTTGGGCAAGATACGAACCTCGAATCCGGACATTGAGAAAAGCAAATTCGGGTTGTCGCGACTGTAGACGCTGGCAAAAGTGTCATCCCACTCGATTGTAGTCACTGAACGTGGCAATCGGTTTTTCAGGTCCCAGAAGACCGCACGACCGAGATTGACGTCGTGACGCATCAAGCGCATCCTTGAGTCTCGAGGCCAGCACTTCTTGTTCTTGTACCCAATGACGTTCTCGAAGTTCGGGTCAGGATTCTCTGTCAAGAACCGCTGGATCAGATCTCGCGATTCTTCGGCGGTGAATCTGAAGAACACCCAGATACGATCGATGTACCTCGTGTACAGTCGGATGGGGTGGCGCACTTCCGCATCTTTGTCCTTGAATTGCAAGAAATCGTTTGGACTCTCGGGAGCACCGGCGATCTCGTTTGCTCGCTGCAAGCCTAGCAGGAGGATATCGAGAACAAGCCCATAGAACTGGAACACAAAGCCGGAAAACTGTAGTCCACGAATCATGCCGTAAGCGTTGACGTGGTTCATGTCCTTGTAGTTCAGCTGGACGTTATTCTTTGCGGTGATGTAGTCCGCCAAGTTGTGGTCCATGATGAGTCGCAACAGACGGTTGAGCATGGTCAGATCGATCTTTTCATAGACCTTGGACAATTGTGTCTCGATCATGACATTGCACTCGCCGTCTTGATGCTCCCAGACTTTGTCAAGATTGTTGATACCCTGTGCCCACTTGTAGGTCAAGAGAGGAGGAACTTCCGAGTCCGAAGGCTTGATCCAAGCTGGGAACAGGTGTCGCTGGTCAGCTTGGTACCAGAGGTACTGATCAAGATAGGCATCCGTGATCTTCTCCATTGGCTCGATATCGTAGACTGGGTTGATGTTGCTGTAATTGTCGTTCATGTCAATTCCCACTTCTTTGAAAGCACGCTGCGTGAGCAAGAATCGCTTGATTCGAGCGAGTGTCGTTCCCGGAGAGTCGTAGGCCTGTTCGATAAGAGCGAGTTCTTCACGCTGGCTCTGGTTGAGTCGGCCCTTGACCGAGTACGCCTCCCGCAAGCGTTCCAAGGCGAGGATGAGGATTTTGGTGTCATGCTTGTAAGAAACGCTGGGGAACGGAATGGGCTGGAACTTCCTCGCTTCCAGCCAATGGACCATCGTTGTGTAGATAGCAACGGCTTCTTCGGATGAAACGTATGGGCCATCCTTCATGTAGTTGTGTTGACGTTCTTGCTCAGCCTTCAGCCACAAACGGGTCAAGCGCCCAAGGTTCTTCTTCGCAACAGTCTTGTCCACAGTAGCACCTCGTCGAATGCGCTCACGGTTGTAATGTGCAACCGAGATCCACCAGTCTGCCTTGCTCTTGACGTATCGCAAAATGATGTTCTCAATCGGTGCGGGGAGTCCAGGGACTTTCCAAGGAATGTTGCTCTTCCAGCATCGCCATGCTTCTGACAAATGCTGCAAGACAGTGTTGACCTTGTTCTGCTTGATACCCTCGGGCATCATGTCCATGAGATCGCTCATCACGGCAGCACGGAGTTCCAAATCGAAATGCGATTCAACACGCTGCTTAGTCACTGTCTTCGCGACACCCTTACTGTGACGACCTTCAAACTGACGAGAAAGAAGGTTACCGAGCCAGCGCTCTAGTAGGGGGATAATACCGCGCATAAAGAACAGCCAGACTCTCCATGCTGGGGCCCAGAAACCGCAACCAGGACCCTTGCCGACAGGGCCAGAGTTGAATCGATAGTAGATGAGATGCTTGAGATCCTTGCACGAGCGGATCTGATGCATCAGCTTATACTTGTATCGATACATACCAGTCAGTTGACCGACATGGTTGAACGCATACAGGATACCATCAGCGAGCTGGAAGGCGTCAATGTTGCCCAGTCGGTACTGGACCTGTGCATCAACGATCAGTTTCGTCAATCGAAGAATTTCTCGCATGAGATGGAAGGCATTTCCGAAGCGAGACTTCTTTCGTTCCTTCGTCGTGAGTGTCTTGACTGGCTTCAGGTTGAAGTTGTAGTCGAGATGCAAGTAGGTCAAGTTCTTTCGGTGAATGAGCAGGTTGAGCATGTTGTAGCCTTGCCTGCAAACCTGTAAACCTGCCTCGACCCAATCGATCTTGGTCTGCTGGAAGAACTTCGTTCCCTTCAGCGTTCGCATCAGGTTTTGCTTGTTCTGTGCTTGTGGTTTTTTCTTATGAAGCTCGTTCAAGACGAATGTTTTGAGCAGCTTCTGATAAGAGACCCGGACCTTGACCGGCTGCCCGGCAGGCACGTGCTCGAGGTACCACTGCTTCACAAGAGGAACATCCTGCGCTCTCACCATTCGGCCTGAACGCTTGTCGAACGGGTGTGGCGCCCACCAAAGGGCGATGGCCGAAGCTGTCTCGGGCGTAGAGGTATCCTCATCGGCCATGAACGGTTCCATCTCGTCTGGCAGCTGGAAATCATCCTCATCGTCCTCATCACTACCCTGACCAAAGACCTGATCCTCATGGCTGACAGAGATGTTCTTTGGGGCGACTGCTCGAGACGAGATTGGGTTGATGATGGGATCGAAGTAGAACGCGGGGAGACTTGGGTCCTCCGCACGAACGTAAACGACCTGCGGGTGAGAATACCACGCCAGCTTGACGCTACGCGGAAGCGAGTTGTAGAGGAACGGGTACGAAACGCGGTACTCTGTTCGGATTGGAGCGCGGAAAATGATGCGGTCGATTGCGTTGAACTCGCCAAAGTCCTCATCGTTCGGGTCAATGTCCTTGTATAGCGGTTCGAAACGAGGCCCTCCAGGGATTGCCACATTGAGTGCCTTTGCTGTTAAGAAGCTGTTCATTTCGAACATGTGGAAATAGTTCTTGTCGACGGTGTCGCTAAGGAGCTGTCGACTCAAACGATACAGGGTCGCCATTTGTGGAAGGTCGAGGTTCCATGTTTCGTAGCTCGGCCCATTGATGTGTGGGGTATCAAGGAGTGGTCGGTGTTCGTAAAACCATTCAACTACTGGCCCATCCTCATCCTCATCAAGCTCCAGCTGAATTGGCTCCAGAGGCTCGACGTCCTCAATGTTCTCAGAGTATGATAGCGGTGGTTCCTCGTCGTCGAAAGGCGGGAAGCGCATACGTTTGAAATGCCGACGATCACTCTTCTCCTTTCGCATGGCTAGCCACATAGCTGCCCATTGTGCATGGAAGACCGGCTCAATAACCCGAGGAACCTCATTGACCAGGGTCAGACATCCGTTAGTGTGATACAAGACCTTCACATCTCGTCTGCTCTCCCAAGGCATGGGCATGTTCTCCAAAAGTTTCAGGACCGCATGAGGCATAAACTTCAGCGCACCGAGGTAGCTACGCTTGTCACTCGTGAATTTCTTCTGTGACACATCGCCGATGTCCCTAAAGACCTTGCGCAGATGCTCCGGGGGTAGGTCTGCCTTCTGCGTCTCCACAAAACCAGCCTTGCGCTTCTCGCCGAACCGTTGTCGCTGTTGTCGCAGCCAATCCTTCTTTTTCTGTACGAACTTGGCGATTTGTGGATCGATGGGCGGTCGCATACCAGGTGGGCCTACAGTGCCAGGAGCGCCCGGGGGTCCAGGAGGGGGTGGAGGTGGTGGCGGCGCATATCCAGAGCCTGGAGGGCCTGGCGGAGGCGGCGGCGGTGGCGGGGGAGGAGGGAACGCCATGTTGGTGAACTCTTCAAATCACAAGCTATCTATAGTCAGCAAATTGAGATGCCGCGCTGCTGTTGAGAATGATGGAGCTCAAGGATGACAGGGAGAGCAGATAAAGTAGAGGCGGCTCTGAAACGCTCCGAAAGGGGAGGCAAGAGCTTGTCAAGATGAAGGATTTGAATTGTCGTGAACTAACCTTGTGGGAGAAGAGACACAAGCAGTGTGTCGCGTGCAAGCCTAGGAGTCGAGTCCTAAAGCTTTGCGGACGACAGAGCGCCGCGCGTGAAGAAGGGAGTGTCGCGTCCGCGCGTGTATTACAAGTCAATTTATGAGAGCTTGAAAGAATCAAATATGATGACGCGCAACGAGTGGAGTGAAACCCTCGACGCGTTGTCGCGATTTGTGATGGAGAAGATGTCCTTGTGGCGTCGCAACAACTCAACTTTCGGTGATCGTCTTTCTTTCTCCGTCAAGGCTACAAGCACGTGAGACCTGGTCCATGCATTCTTGGCGAAGCGCTAAGCATGTACTAGACTTTACCCTCCAGCACGCTCGTCATGATGTTCAGCGAGTTAGTTTCATTATTGATGTTGTCTCCTACTAACGATGATTTCTTAACGCATGGCTAGATCGTCCAGAGTGTTGTATGACTGTGTTAGTCGATCTTACGAGAGAACCACGGACGTACAGATGTACATAGGTATCCGATTAGCAGGGCTTTCCAGTATCTTCAGCTGCAATCCGCGAGTGTAACAGGAGAACCATAAGTGCTTCAATGTTGTGCAAAGCATTGGTATTCAGCGAGTCCTGTTCTCTCCAAGGTCCATGTAGAAGGGGGCAGCGCACGTTTGGGCAAAATTTGATTGAAACACCAATTTGATTTGGAGAGAAAACATCGTGCAAAATGACGGATCAAGCCTCCTCAAATCATCAACATACTATATGCAATGATCAATGCTTTGATTTGATGTTACTGATTATGAGCGTGTTGCCTTGCCGTGATCGTTTGATGGACGCCAAGTCTATTCGCACTAGCGTGGTCAGCTAAGCGAGACACACAATTGTCAATCTCAGAACTGCCAGACTCGCACGACAACTAACCCGCAGCTCCCAGTGGTACGTATACTCTGCCGTTTTGCTGCCAAAATTCACGAACCATACAACTAATTCTCTGCAGACTTAGGTACGCTCTCCGACGCGCACGCGCACAAACGACCGAAGCCACGAACATTCGCTCACAAATTGCAACAGACAACCACCCACTGCATCCCTAGGATCATCATCAAAATGCCGGACTCCAGACTCACCTACGTACGTCGCACCGAAACCCCGAAAACTCGATCAGGCATTTGAGGAAAAGGGAAATTACATAGGATTTGGGCTAATGATGGGCAGAGGCGTCGTGCGCCATACAACACCAAGAGCCAGAAGGTCCGCGTGATCAAGGTTAGTTCTCGAACACGATGCGCCCGCCATCAACTGTACTAAAGGCTGGGACAGACCCCCGGTGGTGAGCTCCGCTACTTGCATATCAAGAAGAAGGGCACTGCTCCCAAGTGCGGTGTAAGTTTAGCCTTATGATGCCTCCGTATCGGCTACTGATGATTGTTAGGACTGTGGTACCAAGCTCGCCGGTATCCCTGCCCTCCGCCCCCGCGAATATGCCAACATCTCCCGCCCCAAGAAGACCGTCCAGCGTGCGTACGGTGGATCGCGATGCGCCAACTGCGTCCAGGACCGCATCGTCCGCGCTTTCCTGATCGAGGAGCAGAAGGTTGTCAAGAAGGTGCTCAAGGAGTCGCAGCAGAAGAAGCGTTAAGCGGTGGCAATTGAAGGGTACGGGGTTTAGCATGTCAAAACTGGGGCTATCGGTGTTCATGTGCATTACGGGCAGTCTCCTGGTTCGGTCGGCTTTTACGATATCAAGGCGATTTCTACGTCACTGTCCGATGTCCACCGGGACAGTAGCTGAGTAGGGTTACAAATGAATCCACAAGCTACGAATCAGCATCTCGGATTGTCATCATCTGTGATGTGGTTGATTGGGCATGCCAGACAGAGTCGGATTTTCTTCAATCACCAAATAGTGCAATCAGCCGCGTTGAATATCACGAACATGATTATTTTCGACCGGATGACGCACCTTAGCAATCAACTATGATGGATGTGAAAGACACGAACCAGACTATGCGGCCTCTGTCGATGATGAAGACAAGTATCGTAGCTCAGGAGGACAATCCCGTGAATTTGCTTGATAAACACCGCTTGCGCAACTGACTTAACACATGATAGCTACGATGAAAAGTCACTTATCCTTCCTGAGCGTTTAGCTGATACCAAAATCATGATGCATCATGATCTCAGCCATTACGCTGAAGCTTCTTATCCGCAGGCTATCAAGGATCTCGGTTTAAATTGTTCAAACCAGATGTCATGACTAACAATCACAACTCACTCATCGTGCTATCCAGTGCGAACAGGCAGCAAGAATTGTAAACAAGATGTGAACGTAGGATCGTATTCTACTTCAAATGCTAGACTAACTACGTTACAAGCGTACATCTTACACCTCTCTAGGTTTTCTATTCTTTGTCCACGAGCCATTCACACACAGGTTGATGTTTTCCCTCATATCGGGTGGAACCTTCCAACAGCAAACGAGGTCCATGATGACGGGGCCGTGATCATGTTCACTCGACCCTTGCAAGTCCTAGAGCCTGCAATAAGCGGCTTTCCCTGCATTTGGACGGGAAACACCTGATCGAAAAGCAATTGGCGAGGCTGGACAATCCCCACCTCGCTACGCTCCGGTTGTCGCTCGAACTGCACTCTAAGCTGCGACATCGGTTATGCGCAGCGCAGGACGAAGATGTTGTCCCGTATGTCCCCGTCCAGCCCAGGACTGCCACAACAACACCACCCTTTTGCCACTAGCCCTGCAAGCACCGGCAGAGGTTTCAAACGCTCGGCCTCGACCGACGACGAGCAGGACAATGGCGACGGTGACACGCGACCATCGTCAGCGAGGCGGAACACGGCCGTCAAGCGCGCATGCAATGAGTGTCGACAACAGAAAGTAAGCTTCCAATAAAATGTGTGCTTCAGTATACCGCACCACACCTATGGGAGTCAGAGCGCACGCAAGGCACCATCGAGTTCCATCACCCCGCTGACCTTACGTGCAGCTCAAGTGCAATGTCCAGCAAGACCCATTCGTAAGTTGCCAGCGATGCCAGAAACAGAACCTACGATGCGTCATCGAGCCCAATTTCAAGCGCGTTGGCAAACGCAATCGCAACGCCGAGATGGAGAAGGAGATGGAAAACCTGCGACAGAGACTTGCGCTCTACGAAGGACAGCCGCATCCGCCCACGCTGAACACACCGCAAGCATCAGCAGAAAACCGCCACTTTTCTGTGGGGTCGGTGCCCAAGATGGAGGACGACGCATACCTCCAGACACAACACCAGCAGGTGGCAGCAACATCGCTTCTGGACCTGCGCAGCGGATCGCCCATGTTCTACACTCTAGGAACGGGCGAAGTGCGCCTAGGCGCAGCGGAGGTCAATGAACTGTTCACAGAGTACTTCCAGCTGTATCACCCGTTCCTGCCATTTCTGGATCAAGTGCGCACACCTGAGGAATACCTTTGCCAGGACCACAAGCTTCTGTTTTGGGCCATCATCACTGTTGCGGCACGGCGTTACGGCGCTCGTCCATCGCTGTTGAAAGATCTTGCGCAGCCCTTGACCGACCTGATATGGGAATCCATCAGAAAAACACCAAATCACCACGTCGTGAAAGCCCTTTGTCTTCTGTGCACGTGGCCACTTCCAGCAGAGCGGACTGTCACAGATCCGACCTTCATCCTGTGCGGCTCGATGCAGCAGGTTGCCATGCAAATAGGCTTACACAGACCTGCGCACCCTCAGGACTTCTCGCGCACAAAAGTACGACTGCGACAGGAGGACATTGACGATCGACTACGGACATGGGCGGTCTGCAATATTGTGGCCCAGACGTAAGCTATGTTTCTTCAAAATCTAAGTAATAACTGACATCAAGTAGTGTCTCCACAGGCAACGGACAACCATCAATTACCATGTACGACTCGACGTTGGAGTTCAAAGTGGACGACGAGAATCACATGCGAATCATACCACCAACCTTGTTCGTACGCTTGCGCCAGGAAATGGCGGCTAGTCGAATCAATAAGCTGCTCTACTCAGCGAACACACATCGGTTTTCTGACGATGCTGGCATCACTTACATGAATTTAGAAGCGGCCCGTCTGAAAGAAGAGCGCGAATCGGTTGATGGAGTAGACAACGGTATGTATGGACTCAATCGTTGAGAAATTGCTTCGACTGACTTCTGGGTAGATCTAGAAGACCTTTATCATTGCGCAGTGTCGTTACATCTTCACCTCTACTCCTTCTTCAGTCCTGAAACCCGGCTAGAACGACGCGAAGATCTGGTGTCGTTGTACTTTGCAGCTACAACCTATTTGGACCGTGTCTTCAAGGTACAGCGTGAAAATAAGCTGCCATATGTCCCCTACTATGTCATGCAGATGGCTTTGGCCGCTGGATTTGCTTTGCTTAAATTGCTCAACTCCGACTTTGCTTGCAAATTGCCTGCTGAGCGCAGTCGACAGTTTGTGCCGCAGACTGTAGATGCTTTGAGGAAGTCCAAGGTCTGGTCCAACGATCTTCTGGATCGTTTTGCCGAAGTGCTGGCACAGCTGTGGAAGGCGAGCTCTCCCGGCCGCAGTCTTCACAGCATGTCGCAATCACCATCGGTCAGCAATTCAGGTTTCACAAACATGTTCAACCACCACAGCCAGCAACAGAACCATCCAGGCCACCGAAGAAACAGCTCAGGCATGCGCGAAGACTCACTTGGCCTCATTGTCCGCAGTCGAATGAGCATGAGCGTCATGTTTGACTGTGTGTGGCGCTGGCGAGAAGCGCACATCAGCGGTGCTGCAGAACAGCTCGATAACACCGTCATGACCAACCCCACCAATCCTGATTCGTCCTCCAGCTCAACTCCTCCGCCCAGCATTTTAGAGAATCCGGCGCATACTCTCCCGAACTTCAACCCACATCTCAACACGCTGAGCATGCCACTTGCGCTTCCGAATGGTATGGGCAGTGCAAACAGCTACGAGTTCTTTGATTCCGTGTCCTGGATGCTGGAGACGCAGACGGATTGGAATCAGTATGGGACTGGGGAGTTTGGCAATGACTTTAGTGCCTAGGCGGCCGACCTTTCAAGCCTGCTCCTACCTTGAGGATGTCGATATTTCATGATTGTGGAAATCGAAAAGAAGGTTCCTGCCAATAGATTCACTATGTCCAAGGAGTTCCAGTTGCTTTCCAACCGAGGTGTCCGGAATTTACAAGCGGCCAAGACTGCCACCTTTGCAACGACCATGCCATCTAGATTTTCTGCACACAGCTAGGTTGCTACTGTAATGAGTTGGCGAAGGAGGGCAAAAGACATTCGAGTTCCAGCTCTTTGGAACGTTTCTGTACCCCGAGGCTATGAATCCCTGGTCTGCGGTGCTTCTCGGACTGCACGGCACATCTTTCCAAGCGACATCTCTGGCCGATCGCAGTCTTGGCTTGACATATCTCTTCACACTTGCACGGTTTCTCTCTTCTTAACTCTGGCTCTGGCTTTTATTGTACTTTAGCGGGGCGTTTGCGGCGTGCTGAGAAGTGGAAGGACTTGTGTCTGATGTTTTATTGATTCTTTCTCCAAAATAGACGTGGAAGTGGAAATGAAGGCAAATAATCAGGTGCATGGCTATTGAGTTTATCGGGTGTTATGAGTGAAACTGCGAATCGATCATCATCGTACCATTCTTCTATTCAGGCAGGCTTGGTGAAGTACATATGGCACGTCGAGATGAGCATATTGTCTTGGGACTTGGGAGAGTTGTGGAAATAATATTGAAGAAGACGCATAGCTAGACTTGGTTCACCGTCAGTTACATTGCGGTGTGCTTCAGTTAGACGATTTAGAAATGCTTTTTCGCAGTTGACAAGGTTCATGACCTGGTATGTTGTTGTTGTTGCCCATGATCAAGACCCGTGAGGCGTGGACAGGCAGATGACCCTACCCGCTTTCGGGTTGGTGATTGTCGATCGTTGGACCCGACCGACATCTGATAGATAGATAATACGGAGCTCCCTTGAACCTTTGTCGTCGTTCCTTTCGTCTTGTTTTTTCCTTTTCTGCGTTTCCGGCCTCGAGTCCTCTGCGTTTCTATCCTCGAGCCTCTGCGCTCATTCACTCCACAATGTCTGGAACCCGCCCCCTACTCTCAGATCGCACCTCCTCCGAGCGCGACATCGCGGAAGAGGACGCCCTCCTGACCGGCCAACCCACACAACGCCCCTCCTCAGGACCGCGAACATGGACATTCTGGCGCGAAATCGGACTCTTCGTATGGGCTGTCGTGGCCACGGCCCTCGTCATCGTCCTCGCCGTCGTGTATCAGAGAGGCCAGGACCCAAAGCACAGCAGTCCGCACCCGAGCGGGAAGCGCAACCTGATCTTCATGGTGTCGGACGGCATGGGCCCGACGAGTCTGAGTCTCACGCGCAGCTTCATGCAGTTCCAGAACGGCGCGCCGTATAGCGAGCAGTTGGTCATCGATCAGCATCTTATCGGGCAGTCGCGTACGCGGTCGTCGTCTTCGCTGATTACGGATTCGGCGGCGGGCGCGACGGCGTTTTCGTGCGCGCTGAAGAGCTACAATAGTGCTATCTCGGTGACGCCGGATCATGAGCCGTGTGGTACTGTGCTCGAGGCGGCGAAGAAGGCGGGATACATGACGGGGCTGGTGGTTACGACGCGGATCACGGATGCGACGCCTGCGTGCTTTGCGGCGCACGTGAACATGCGCATGGAGGAGGATCGCATTGCGGAGCAGATGGTGGGCGACTACCCGCTGGGACGCGTCGTGGACCTGATGTTCGGCGGTGGACGATGCCACTTCCTGCCCAACTCCTCCCTCAGCTCGTGTCGCGCCGATGACAAGGATGTCGTCGAGCTGGCCAAGAAGAACGGCTTCAACTACATCTCGGACCGCGAGAGCTTCGACAACCTCAAGGGCGGCGATGCCCTCGACTTCCCTATGCTGGGCCTCTTCGCCGACACCGACATCCCCTACGAACTCGACCGCCGCAATGAAAACGATATCTACCCGTCTCTGCACGAGATGGCTGAGGCTGCCATGAAGGCCCTGAGCCACGCCACCAAAGACAGCGACAAGGGCTTCTTCCTCATGATCGAAGGCTCGCGCATCGACCACGCAGGCCATCACAACGACCCCGCCGCCCAAGTCCACGAAGTCCTCGCCTACGACAAAACCTTCACCAGCGTCCTCGACTTCCTGAAGAACGACAAGACCGAAGCCGTCATGGTATCTACCTCTGACCACGAAACCGGCGGTCTAGCAGCAGCTCGTCGTACGTCTCCATCCTCTGCAGCACCCTTAAAATCTCCATGCTAATACCAACCCTAGAACTCCACACCTCCTACCCAGAATACCTCTGGCACCCCTCCCCCCTCGCAAACGCCACCCACTCCGCCGAGCGCCTACACCTCGAATACACAAAATACCTGCTCTCCTCGCCCTCGGACGCCCAGAAGACACAGTTCGTGCGCGCCTCCATCGCCACGGGCCTGGGCATCGCCGACGCAACAGACGATGAAGTCGCGCTCCTCGTCGCAAACCCCACAACCGCGCTGTACTACTACGCCGACATGATGTCGCGCCGCTCACAGACGGGCTGGAGCACACACGGCCACTCGGCCGCTGATGTGAATATCTACACGAGCGATCCTGTGGCCGCGAAGGCGCTCGTGGGCAACCATGAGAATACCGAGGTGGGCGGCTTTTTGCGCGATTATCTCGGCGTCGACGTCGAGGCTGTGACCAAGGAGTTGAGGGAGAAGGGGAAGGGGTTGATGGCGCTGGGTAAGGACGGGGAGGAGGTGAGTTGGATGGGCGCGATGCCTGAGAAGGGGCAGAGACTCGATGGGCAGACGCATTTGGCGAGCTACGAGGGGGATTTCAAGAAGAGGGGTGCTGTGCATGGGCGGGCGTGTGATTGTGGGCATTGAGTGTGTGTCTGTTTGGAGTTTTATTCGGCGTTTTTAGATCTGTCACGTCTATGTATTCTATTGACTATATATTGTATCCTGATTTAACAACCCTACCTCCATCAATCGACCTCGCTAATCGCCCCCAAAGTCTCAAGGAACCAAACACTCAAGCAACACCTCCCTCCACCCTCCCTCCGCATCAATCCCGCCATCCATACCCATACCCTTCTCCTCCCCCGCTCCTCCCTCACTCCCCCTCCCCCCCTCCACCTCCCTATCCCCACCTACATCCCTCCCAACCCCCACCCCCCACCCCCTAACCCCCAAACCCACACAATGCAGTCCCCCCAAAAACCCCGCCATCCCCACCGAAAACGCCCCCGCAATCCATATATCAACGCCCAGCCTCTCACATCGCTGCACAGCACCAAGCGCACTATGAGCATGCTGCCCCGGCACAGCGGGGAAGACGTAGCCCTGCAGTCTGAGCGTCTGCGAGCTGTGGCAGAAAGCTCTGTTTGTCTGTATGGATCGTGTGGTGAGGAATATATGCAGGGCGAGCAGGGCGAGGAGAGTTAGGTCGAGAAGTGTTTGCAGGATGGGGGTGGAGAGGGGGCTGTTGCGTCCTCGCTGCACTCCGTGGTGGTAGTCTAGACTCCATATCGCGTATACGCAGTCCAGCGGTATCCATCCCCCTTTCATCAGCACATACTGATTTCAAGCGCGAGGCTACTCACGAATATAAATATGCATACGCATACCCCTGTTTTTATCCCTTTGAACTGCTGGGCTAGGAAGTCTGTTTGCCAGGGAATGGGCATGGCGTATGTGTTGGCGAGATGTGTTGAGGATATGTGCCAGAGGAGTGTGAGGAGGAGGAGGAGTGAGGTGATAAGGGTTAGTGTTGAGGTTAGGAGGGGGGCTGAGAGGGTGGTGTAGGTGTTGCGCGACCTGGGGGGTGGGTGGGTTGAGGTTGATGTGGAGGAACGCATAGTTGGTTGGGTTTCTGATGTTTTAGAACTGTCGATGTTGGGGGATGGAGGTTTCAAGATGGGTGTGGAGGCTATGCGAAGTAGGCAGTGGCTTGGGCGGTCGGCGGCTTCTTTGCGCTCCTGGACTTGATGTCATATAAGGGAAGTGATAATATGACTGGCCGAGGAAAGCGCGGCTTGGATAGCACGATCAGACGAGGAAATAGCTAGAGGAAGGACACCAGTCAAGATTTGAACGAGATTTATAACGTAGTCCATATGGGTATACTCTCCATACCAGGTGTAAATGCATTCATGCCAAAACGCCGCCGCTATGCTTTTTGAAGTATGAATCTCATCAGACCTCCTCCGACTGCGTCTCCAACCACTGCCCAAAGTACACACACGTCCTCGCCGAAATCTCCCCCTCGTCGCCGCAGAGATCGAAGACGGGGCAATTGCCACAAGGCGCGTCGACAAAGCCGTTGAAAACTTTAGTTTCGCTCGTAGTCAAGACTGTCCGGTAGCTTGTGCCTGATATCTTCTCCAGCCGCCCGTCAAGTACCATCATCTCCAACAACTGCTCCATGTCGTCTTCTCGGACTATCTTGCCCCGCAGAATCTCCCTTGCATTGAGCCACTCGGCTTCGGATGCTGCAGTCGGGTATTGCGGGTTGTTCTTGTGTACTATCGTGGAAGAGTTTGGGTCTCTCGGTGGCTTGTATGGTTTTACAGCCGGTGCGTCTTCGATATCTCGGACACCCTGCACCTGCGCTTTCTTCTCCGCAATCTCAGCTGTCCTGTCGTGTTGCCCGTAGTCGTTCCAGTTCGCAGGCACCTTGATGCATGTCTCGTTCTCCACGTGTTGCGCGATGACTCCTGAAATAGTTTCGATGAGGGCTGTGTCAAAGTCGCCTTCAGACTGCCATGGTCCACCCGCAATATCCTCCGATGGTCGTAGATGCTTCAACAGATACATTTTTCGATTCGGAAATTTGACGCTCATAACAGACTGCACCAGGTCCTTGGACTCCAAACTTTTCAGGCATTTTGTCAGGACTTGTTGTGTGACGTTCGTTCGCGCGCGTAAGGCTTTCGACCAGATGCCTTCAGCCTGGACCTGATCGATGTGGTGGTAGAGGAGGCGTTCATCGGGCGTCAATCGTCGCAGCCTAGACATGAAGATTAGTATCACCCGGAGTATAGAATCAGAACCGACGCACTTTTCTGCCTCTGATCTGGATCGCAGCTTCCAACACGGTTCACCGTCGAATGTCATCAGCTTCATAAGATGACGGTCGCACAGCTCTTGCAGGAGCATAGTCAACTCCGCCATAGTCTCCGCGACCTGCATGTTGGAGAGATCGCGTTGGAAGAAGACTGTTCCCTGCGACTTCTGCGCGCATTTGTCGTACAGCAAGTCTGCGGGAGCTTCACTTGCGCTGGGTTCGGCGCCAGAAGGCTCCTCCTCCTTGGGCACCGCTAGAGGCGCTGCTGCTGAGGCCATGTCGTAGGATATGCGCGTTATCGATCGATCATGGGCGGAGGAAACTCAGCGAGAGTGTCTGTCGCTGGGAAGGTCGATGCGCCAAAATTATTTGGGGTGGAGTCACGGCACGTGATGAGGTGCATATGACCCACTTTGCGGGGAGACGGTCTTCCGCGTCGCGTCTCCGCCTTTACATCTCTCGTTGCAACACCACTTTCGACGTCCATTTTCTTGGAGTTCGAACACGTTATTGTGCCAACTTTGAACAGCACATGCAGCACAACCCAGTCCGTTCCCATAATAACTAACCTCCAATCAACACCCAGCATGAACGCAGCATCAAGACCATTACAGGGTGGACATGTACTTGCAGTATGCGTGTATTCAGGTCCCAGGCAGTTGAGAACTCTGTTCACTCAACATCCGACTAATTGTCAAAACACTCCACCATGCTTCTAATTAGGTTCCTACACAATTTTAAAACAACTTAAGTGTAGCACGATCAATTCTATTGCGCAACCCCCCTAAATATCGACCCCCAACCCCCGATAAACACCCTGAACATAGTCCGCCGCCCGCCCACTCCCATACAGCGTATCAACCATCCGATTCATCACATACGTAATCGTAATCCCACGCTCCACATCGCAAACAACAATACTCCCGCCCCACCCACCCCACACACACACCTTCCCCCCAGGCAACCAATCCATCGCCGTACCCTTGCTCGACAACGCAAACCCAATGCCAAACCGCATATGCTGCCCGAGCACAAAATCCACGCCATTCGCCTGCTCGCGGAAAATCAAATCGACCGTCTCCGCCTTGAGCAGCGCGTCAGACGCGGATCCATTGAGCGAGATATTGGACAGGAGGCGCGCGAGACCGCGGGCATTCGAGTGGCCGTTCACGGCGGCGGCGACAGCGCGGCGCCACGCGGGTGTGTTGGCGACAGCGGCGTCCATGAGCGGATTCAGCAGCGTTCTAGAGACGACGGACGATGGGTCTGCAAGGCCCGCGGGCATAATGGATAGGTCTTCAGGCGGTGGCGGCGGGAGCACGTCCGCCACACGGTGCCAATCTGCTTCTGCAGCGCCGAGTTGAAAGTCCGCGCCCAGCGGGCCCGCGAGCTCATCGCGGATGAACTGCTCGACTGGCTTCCCGGTCACGCGCTTGATAACCTCGCCGACGAGATGACCCATTGAGACACTGTGGTAGCCAGATGCAGTACCAGGCGTCCACCAGGGTGCTTGTTTGGCGAGCAGAGCCGCGGCCTTCGGCGCGTCGTAGAGTTCCTCCAGAGTCATTTTCTCGTCCCATCCGCTCACGCCCGAGGTGTGGGAGAGCAGATGCCGGACCTCGATGTCCTGCTTGCCGTTTGCGCCGAACTCGGGCCAGTACTTGGATACCTTCTCGTTGGGGTCGAGCAGGCCGCGGTCGATGAGGACGAGGGCCGCGAGACTGAGCACGGTTTTGGACGACGACCAGATGTTGGTGATTGTGTTTTCTTCCCAGGCGCGCGTCTTGTCCGTGTCGGCGTGGCCGCCCCATATGTCGACGACGTTTTTGCCGGCGATGTTGACTACGATGGATGCTCCTAGCTCTTCTCCCGAGTCGAGGTTTGCTTGGAACAGCGCCTCGACTTCTTTGAAGCGCGCGTCGCAGGTTCCGGATACTTTCGCCATTGTTGGTGGTGGGAAGGTGGGAGACTGAATAGGTGAGGTGGTTTGGCATGCAAGGGGCTTGCAAGTGAGGTCTTTATATATGTACTGTCTGTCCGAGGAGTGTCATCTTGGTACCCACCACGGTGGAGCATGATCTGTATCCACCCAGATACGCGAAGCTAGTGTACGTGTTTACATCCTGGACACGGTAGACATCAAACTACTAACCATGGAAGACGATAAGGCGTCCTGTTGTAAAATGCTGCTCCATTGCATAGCCACAGGGTAACGCAAGCGAGCAAGGTTCTCCGCAACTTGATCGGTGAATATAATGCGCAACTCACGATGTGATCTCGATTCTTCGTTTGTAAGCAGCCCGCAGCGGTACCTGAAGATGTCGTGTGGAATTGCCATTCGGTGGTGCAGGATACACGCCGCACTTCTGCTTTAGTTCGTTGATTCGACTCTCAGTGGCAGGGGTGAGGTTGGACGTCTGCCCCGCATCGCTAACGGCTACTCCTGAAGTAGTGTGTCATCCGTTGAGTAGCTTCATATGGGATGTGTATAGACAATTTAAATCCATATCAGGCTAAAGAGTTGAGCTTGAAGAATTCGACTTATTTCAAGAGTTACACCAACCTGTCTCCTCCACCTCACTCCTCCCATTCCAAGACTAGCTCCCTACTTAAGGAAATTTTTAAACGCGCCCTTCCCCTCGTTCAAAAAGTTCTTCATGTCCCTCTTCAGATTATCCCTGCTACCACCTCCAAACCCACCACCATGCTCCCCTGTCGAATTGCCGCTGACAAACTCCCTCGCACCACATCCCGCGCCGCCGCAGTGTCCTTGGCCTCCACACCCATCTCCAGGGCACCCATGGCAGAAATGAACAACACTCTCGCAGCACCGGCCGCACTCGCCATTGCCCATGAACGGTCCGCCGCCCTCCCAGCCCACACGCATGATACGCGCTCGGCGGCCCTCCCAGCCCGTCTTCGCATCTGTGGCATGGAACACGCCCCAGACTTCTATCCCGCCCGCGCCGTCGATGAGGACGAAGTTGCCGTGCCCTGGGCCGTAGGGGGGTGTTTCATCGCGTGACGCCTGGAGTAAGGGGTGGTTACTCTTAGCCCACGAGGTAGGATCCAGCGGGTTTCCGCCCGTGTGGTACAGGATGTTCATCTTGTACTCAGAAGTCCAGCTGCCAGCGCAAGAGTACACGATACCGGACCATCTGCCGTCGGGCGAGGACAGGAACTGCGGACCCTCGTTGATTCCGCTGTTGCCGCTGAATTCAAACTTCATATCGGGCGTGCTGATACGGACAGGCTGGCCTCTGAGCTCCGTCGGCCCCGCCATCTCGGCAATGTACAGCTCCTGTCGCGACTCGTCCTTCGTGGAGCCGCCGAGTGGCCACCCAGAGTACACAAAGTACATGCCGCCCATCAGCGTGACAACGGTGCCATCAATGGCCCACTGGTTGTCGGGCATGCCCGCCAACTTGCTGTGGAACTTCCACTTCTCTGGCTCTAGCGGATTCTCGTCCGAAGACGGGCCCTCGAGGACGAACATTCTGTGCCCACTATTGCCGACCTGCGGGTGGTTCGCCGAAAAGTACACATACCATCTTCCGTGGATGGCATGCAGCTCCGGGGCCCACACGGCCGACGAACAGTCTGTGTCTGGGGGTGGGCGCCAGATGACGCTCTTGGTGCAGCGTTTTTCGAATTCGAACAGGCTGTCGGCGGACCAGAGCTCGACGTGTCCACCCGACGTGAAGGTCATGTAATATGTGCCCTTGTCGAGTAGGACGTAGGGGTCTGGACAGCTGCTTGACGTGATGGAGAGGATGGTGTCGATATAGGACATGATGGCGGCGGTTTCTGTTCTCGGTAAGAACTTACTTCTACACTCTTCTTGTTGAGGATGGTGATTGATGCTTTCTTAGTCTTCGACAGACGTTCATGTTAGCTAAACAAACAAACACAAGATGACCCCGCACTCTTATCTAATCCATGCCAACTATCTACGGAAATCAGCTTAAGCCACATCCCAGTACCGCATCACACACTACGTAACTCAGGCCTGGTGACGTCATGTGTGGGAACTACGGAAAGACTGCTGCGGGAGTGCAGATCATGTGGGGTTTTTCCTGGAATGCATGTCGGTGCATACAAGAAGCAATGGAGATCTGGAGATCAGGAGATGGATTAGGGTTGTGCGCTGTTAGAAACATAGAAGTCAAAGGTTGAGTGGTAACGTTGAGGAACGATGTTGCAGATATATAACTTTATGCAGCGAGATGGAAGTAGAAGGCGCTAACGAAACATAACGCAAAGGCATTGAGGGTTCATTTGTGGTCAAGTTCCCAGTCTGATCTATGGAAGAAGTTTGCGCATCACAATTTCTCGATCGCCCCTTATTTTCGCGGAGAGGTAGCAAAGTCACTTGGAGGAGAAGCGGGAGATATGATTGGTTAAAAGAGATGTCCGCAGCGCTAACAACACGACAAAGGCCTCTGTCATGATTCCAGCTCACATGTTCAACTCACAACTCCAACTCATGATTCCGATTTCTGAGTTCAGACCATGATTTTAGACCATGATTTCAACTCATGGATTCAACTCCCAACCAAGCTCCTAGTTGAGGTCATAATACAGGTGTCTCGCTTTGCAAGAGTTTCTATCATGTTTGACTGACAGAGCCATATCAGTACCTAAACACGTATTCGTGCTCTTGCGTTTTGCTATCTCAACTCCCGCTCGCCTCCTCCTCCAACGTTCCTCTCCTTCTTTCGACGATTGTTCTTCGCCGAAGCCTGTACCTATGCTCCACTCCATCCTTCGGTCTGTCTACTAATGCGGAAATTCCGAAACTGGATAGCTGATGCTGCGCCGCGTTGGACGCCCCACCCGTCACAGGGGTTTCCTATACCTGTCTCTTCCCCTTACACACTCGCTGTTTGATACATCCGCCTTGCATTCGAATTCGTAGCATCGACAACCTCCGAACCGACATTTACTATCTGTGAAGAATTCCGAGATCGAGTAATTGGGCTTCATCATGGCATTTCCCAAGAACGTGGGCATCAAGGCCCTTGAAATCTATGTTCCGAGCCAGGTAAGCAATACGGCGCTGATTTCGAATCCTCAGTACTAATTCAATTCTCTGTGACACAGACCCTGGATCAGGCCCAGTTTGAGACTCACCAGGGTGTATCTGCTGGAAAACACACCATTGGCCTTGGGCTAAAGTCGATGAACTTCTGTAACGATCGCGAAGGTAAGTCAATCGACCGATAACTATCTACTTCAAGCCAAAAGAACCGGTGTTAAAGTGTGTAGATGCCACTTCTCTTGCATTGACTGCCGTTTCGTCGCTCCTCCGCAAATACGCAATAGACCCGCAGTCCATCGGCCGGCTCGAAGTCGGTACAGAATCCCTCATCGACAAGGCCAAATCGGTCAAATCCGTTCTCACGCAGTTGTTCGGCGACAACCACGCCCTGGAAGGTGCGGACACGGTAAATGCCTGCTACGGCGGTACCAACGCACTATTGAACGCTATCAACTGGGTTGAATCGCGCTCATGGGACGGCAGAGATGCAATCGTTGTCGCCTCCGACATCGCCATCTACAAAGACGCTGCTGCGCGACCTACCGGAGGAGCAGGTTGTGTAGCGATGCTCGTCGGCCCAGACGCTCCCATCGTTGCCGTCCCTACGCTTCGCGGCACATACATGACCCACGCATACGACTTCTACAAACCCGACATGAAATCAGAGTACCCCCTCGTCGATGGCAAACTCTCCATCTCCTGCTTCCTCTCCGCCCTCGACGGCTGCTACAAGCAGCTTCGCGACAACGCCACCCGCCTTCTCACCGACGATACCGCGCTGAAGCAGCGCAACCCAGACGCCGTAGCACTGCTGAACCGCGAGCGCAAAAGCTTAATCGACGTCTTTGACTTCATGGCCTTCCACACGCCAAACTGCAAGCTGGTCAGCAAATCCTACGCTCGCCTGCTCTACAACGATTTCCTCACCAACAAGTCCGACGTAGCGTTTAGTACTGTCGCCGAACCCCTTCGAGACCTGCCATACGAAGAGTCGCTGAAGTCTAAGGATCTGGAAAAGACGTTCATCGGCCTCAGCAAAGAGCGTTTCGCCGCCCGCATCGCACCGTGCATTGAAGCACCAAGTCGCTGCGGGAACATGTATACGGCTAGTCTTTACTGCTCGTTGATTAGCGTCCTGTCGTGCGTCGGCTCCGAAGGACTGCAGGGTAAGACAATCGGCATGTTCAGCTACGGCAGCGGGATTGCTAGCACGCTTTTCACGCTGCAGGTCGTGGGCGATGTGAGCGGGATTGTTGAGAAGATTGATCTTGCGGGGAGGTTGCAGGAGAGGCATGTTGCTAACCCGCGGGAATATGAAGAGGTACGTTCCCATCTATCTAATCTATACATTGGAGTGGTGTTTTTGGCTTTCCTCGATTCCTCTCCTCTACCCTCTCACAGACGAGTAACTAACGATTTCCAACTAGGCCTGCACATTGCGCGAAGCAGCATACGGCCAGAAATCCTACACGCCCAGCGGCGACTTGTCTACTATCAACGAGGGCGCTTACTACTTGGAGCATATCGACGAGCAGTTCCGACGCACCTACGCTATCAAGAAGACGACTACAAATGGCACCAACGACTTGCACTAAGCAAAAGAAACGCGGCCGAAGTTTTCAACAGGGAATTCCTGCCAAGCGCCGGCGTTGTTCTTAGATGTGTCTTCGGATAGAGCATAGAGTGTTATATCTTTAATACTTACATTCAAGCCTTTCACGTTTCATGCATTAGTACGCCATCAATTGATCCTGATACGGGGATACCGAATATTGAAACCAAGACATCTACACAGCTATTTCAACTAGTCTTAGAGAATTCGTATGATAGCATGCAGTTCTTTGGTGAACCAATAGCGACCGTATTTCGACACCTACCCACTATCTATCGGAAGCGGGTGAACGATAGAAGGCGCTAACTTTCGCGGTATCGCACCATGTATACTCACACATTCATCTACGGACGTGATCCTCTAAATCGCGATGAGATCTTTCTGTATACACCTAATTACTCGGTTCTGTAATTGACATAAGCTACGTAGTGTATCCTAATCTCGTCTCTTTTCTTTACTGACAAACAGTCAATATTGTGGATTGACTTGGATGGGCGAGGTGAGGACGGTGCATGACATTCATTGTAAGGATGCTTGTGGGTTATCCGGCGGAGAGGGTTTGGTATATAGCAGCCGAACCATTCTAAGCACGAACCGCGACACCGCAGATGCGCCATGCAGAGCAAAACCCCCGCATTGCCAGCTAAGATATCCATCCAACAACACCAGCAAGCTCGCACAACAACCACCTTTACAAGTCCTGCACACCCACCCCCCTACCTTAACCCCCTCTCCCCCCTCCCCCCCACATTCCTCTCCCTCCTCCTCCGATTATTCTCCACACTAAGCCTATACCGATCCTCCGCCTCATCCTCCAACTCCTTCTCCACCATCTCCCTAACGCGCATAATCTCCTCCTCGCCCACACCCTTCGTATCAACAACCACACTCGGCGCACCCTCCATATACCTCAAATTCTCCATAGCATGCTCAACAAGCCTCTGAAGCTTGGGCATGGAATTGAGATTATCATGCCGCTTCGTATTATGCAGATCGGGGTATAGAATGCCGCCGCCGTTCTCCTCGCCCTGGAAGGCTTGGATGTAGGGGATGTGGGCGGGCAGGTCGTTGTGCAGTGCTGCGCCGACGCAGACGGCTGTTTCGTGGCACCAGGTGCGGGCTACGTTGCGGGGTGTGTAGCCGCCGCCGCCGATGAGGAGGAGGGGCCGGTTGTAGCGCTTGACGGTCTCGATGCAGAAGCCGTGGGCTTTGATGTTCAAATTAAAACGCCCTAGGCGGTCGCCGCCGAGGGAATCGGCACCTGATTGCAGGACGATGGCTTGCGGGTTGTATTTCTGGATGACGGCGTCGGTGACGGATTGGAAGAGCCATTTGTACTGGTCGTCGTCGATGCCGTCGTCGATGGGGATGTTGAGGCTGTGGCCTTTGCCGCGGTTTGCCGAGTCGCGGGGGCCCATTTCGTCGACGTTGCCGGTGCCGGGGAAGAAGGGGTAGCCGTGTTTGTCGATGCCGAATTTGTGGTAGGATAGTGTGAAGACGCGGTCTGTTGATTCGAAGGCTTGCTCGACGCCGTCGCCGTGGTGCACGTCGATGTCGATGTAGAGGACGCGTTGGTGCTGCGTGAGGAGGAGCTGGATCGCGATTACTATGTCGTTGACGTAGCAGAAGCCTGATGCGAGGTTCTTTTTTGCGTGGTGTAGGCCCCCGGACCAGTTTATCGCTATGTCGGATTGGTTGTTGAGGAGGTTCCATGCGGCGCTCATCGAGGCGCCGCTGTAGAGGGAGACGTAGTTCCATAGCCCGTCGAAGACGGGGCAGTCGTTGGATTCACCGCCGAAGCCGAAGGCTATGTACTGGGAGTCCTCGGGCTGTGCGTTCTGAGGCGTGATTCTGTTTGATATCAGCACGATTGAGGCTCGAGATGTGGGTAGCTTACTTGCTGAGGTACGACAGATATTCACGATCGTGGAATATAGCAAGCTCGTCGAAATTTGCAGGCCGCGGCTCGTACAAATCCATTGTGTACTCCAGTCCATAGGACAGAACCAACTGCTTCGTCAACGTCAACCGCCACGGCTTCATCGGATGCGAGCTGCCGAAGTGGTGATACTCGACATGTGGATTGTAATGGAAAGAAGTATTCCATCCTCGCGGCTTCTCTAACCCATACTCTTCAGCCTCCTTTGCAATCACCTCCTGTTTTTCTACATCCGTAAGAGCCTTGAAGGTTGAGAAATCCTCGACATAAGCATCGTTAGGCGAAAGATACTCCTCGACGATGTTGTTGCCAGGTCCATTGGAGGAGAGGTAGCTGTGTCCTCGCATGGCAGCAGGTTTTCGCTGCACGGGGTCTAATCGCGCTATCTGAGTGAAACTGGCCGGGCTGGAGAGCGGTGGTGGTGGTGGCCCTCTGGAATTCCACCTCTTGATGTCGTCCTGGAGTGGACTGGACGGACTAGAAGATTGAATAACACGCCTTGCAACGCGACGACTCTCCCGATGCTCAGCTCTTGCACGACTCAATTCCGAGCCTGGCTTGCGAACTACAGCAGACTTCTTCTAGCAGTCGTTAGTAACAATGAACATCCGTGTTCTCCAAACGGACAAAGTAAATATCCAATAGCCGACCAACAGTCGCGACACGCAAACACCTCCCCACCACCCCAGTCATGTGATCACCCAGTGTGTACGTACCTTGGAAAGCGGTTGAGTGGGTATATCATGGATGCGCTTTTCGCGATAATCGACTCTGGCAATGTTTCGCGTCCGCGGACGGCGCGCCTCCCACCACTGATTTTCTGCCTGTTTCCTCGGCGAGCACTCTGCATCCGAACTGGCGTGTTCGCTGCTACTTGAATCGTCGTCTTCGTCTTCCTCTTCGTCGGATGCGCTCGCGTTGTCGAAGTCGGGATCGTCGCGCGACGCGAGTGATTGGTAGGCTTTTAACATCACGTGAGGGGCTAGTCCGGGGGCTATTCGTTGGTAGGGCTGTCTTATGTCACACCTCACTTGGTCTGCGGAATATTATACTAGAGAGCAGGAAGTTGATGTGTTGAAAGAGTTGGATGCAAGAGTAGATCACGTAAGGAGTTGGGCAGCGGCAAAGCATAATCGTGGGCTGGGAGCAGTGTGGTTTCCACCTTCTACACCGCGCTTTCACGGTCGCAATCATCAAACGTCTGGCGGTTTCCATCGAAGTTGTGGGAGCGACGCGTTGGCGCTGATAGCTGTGACCACCGGACATCCTTTCACAGCTGTGTCGACCCTGCATCGGTTTCCTACCCTACACTAGTTTGCTAGTCAATCTTCGCGCCACCGGACATATACGTCGCTGAATCGACAACACGCATTGAAATCCAGACCAAGATTATCATCGTCTTCTCAACGAAGCGAGTAAGAAGTGACAGCAGTCATCATGGCCGTGGCAGAAGACGCAGCAGCGGTTTTGGAGCAGTTCATCCATGATGGTAGTGCCTCCTACATGCCCACGAAAGCTTACTGGAACTAACGACCCGCAGTCGCAAACTTACCGGCAGAAATCACCCATTTGTACGAGGAGGTGCAGGCCAAGGACCAGCAGATCCAAGACTTGCGCCTCGCGATACAGCAGCGCGACAACAGCCTGCAAAAGTTCATCAAGCTGAATGGCAGTCTGGTGCAGAACCCCAAGGAGGAGCCGTATTCCAAGGTGATTAGTCAGAACTTTGAGCGCGCACAGTTGTTGCAGGAAGAGAAGATTGGGCTGGTGGAGAAAGCTGCTGCGCTTGTATGTGTATTGATATTGGTTGTATTTATGTTCTTACTCACGCGTGTTGCAGTTGGATCGACATGTCAAGCGACTGGATATCAAGCTGCGAGACTTGCAGACCGATGGGTCGATTCCCACAGACCCCCAAATGCCGTCGCTGCTGAGGGACTCGCCGGGGAACATGGTGCCTGCATCGTCGATGTCGACAGGTGCGAGCACGCCGTTGAACCCAGTATCTGGCAATCACGGCGGCGGCGCTCCGAATCTCGCCCATGCCGCTGCCCTGGCACGAATCACTAATGCAACAAACATCAACCTCAACTCCAGGTTGAACCCCAATTTGCAGAACATGCAGACCCAGGCGCTCCTCAACCAGCAACGACTTACGAATGCGCAGAGCGCGATACAAGCAAACGCCAGGTCGGAGCGAGAACTTTCAGACGGGAGTGACAGCAAGAGGCGTCGGCCAGCTGGCAGCCTCGGACCACTTCCTTCAGCAACATCGAACCTGGGCAGACAAGGCTCAACAGGACCAGGGACGCCCAAGCCGTCTGCTCCTGGCTCACGAGCTGGTAGCGTGGGGCCCCGGCCGCAGAAGAATGCGCTGACAGTGAAGAAGGCAAAGCCACAGCAACCATTGCGCAAAGCTGCTCTTACAGCAAAATCTGGCATCAACAAGAAGCGGCGCAAGGGCGGGTCTCGAGCGTCGCCTTCAACGACAGCCGACGACGAGAGCGTGGCAAGCGAGGCAGGGACCGAGGACGAAGACATGTCAGGCGTTGGGGGTGCAGATGCAGACGAAGAGGAGTCGGACGACACAAAATACTGCTTCTGCCAACGCGTCAGCTTCGGTGACATGGTGGCGTGCGACAACGACAACTGCCAGTATCAGTGGTTTCACTGGGAGTGCGTGGGGATCAAGGAGGAGCCTGTGGGCGACTGGCTGTGTCCGGCGTGCAGCAAGCAGCCCGCGCACAAGATCAAGCGGGTGCGATAGCATGGTACTCTAGGTAATGAATCTTGACGCGTATGGGGGGTGTGCTTTTTCTGGCACGTTGGACTTTGTGGGTTGTGGCGGCGGGGAAAAGGAAAGGAAATGTCACGATGCCGTATGCCCTCATGTCAAGTGCATGCTTTTCCTGTGGTTCGCAAAATGAGGCTGTCCCCACCGCCCGCGCGTACCTGCAGGGATGCAAGGATCTCCGCAGTGCCGTATTAAATGTGGACATGATCAGAGGCTCGATGCGTGCCGGCAGTGATGGAAGTAGACGTCTAGCGGAAGAGAATGATCCTCCAAGACACAACCGAAGCCATGCATCAGCAGCAGGCGTCCAACAAAGAGCCGTCATGGCACATTTGACAGTGAGCGGTCCACATGGCGTCTGGCGCATACCGTGACAGGGCGCCGTGTCATTCGCCCATGCGTCGACCGGCGGAAGTTAGCGCGGGCCTCGATCCAACGTCCAGCCAAGAACGGCGTGGACTGTGAAAGGGGCGGGCCACGGACGTTGGCGGCAGCATCATCCCTCGCCATCAAAAGGCCTGCGCCCGGCCTGCACCGACGGCTGCTGTAAGAGGCTGCTCTCAGACTCCGCCATAGACTCCGACATCGACTGCTGCTGCACTGCGGGCTCTTTAGCTAGACGCTGACGGTGCTGCCCACGCCCACGCCCGCTCTTCCCGGCGAAGAAGCTGCCCTCGACACACCGCGCGACTCCACCTAGCAGGGCCGAGCACCCAGCGCGCTTCTCCACACCGAGTCTCAACACGAGCACCACCACCACCTCCTCCTTCACCACGACGACGCCAAGCATGAACACGCGCACCGGCACCCTGTCGCCCGTCTCGACAGACGGCCAGGAATGGTCGCCCATCACGCGCTACCAGAACCTCGCCGGCGAGAGCCCCTACTCGCCGGGCCTGCCCCCGAGCCAGTACGGCGGCAGCACCACCCCCGATGGCGGCATGCTGAACGGAGGCGGAATGCGCCCGCAGCCCAACGGCAACCCGTCCCCGCCGAGCTCTGTGGGGCGCTCCAGCGACGGCACGGGCCTGTACGCCGCGAGCATGAGCGATGCGACGCTGACCAACAACAACAACAACGGCAACAACAGCCGCAAGCTGGCCATGCTGGAGGAGACGATGCTGGAGCACTTCCGCGTGCTCAAGGCCTACCTGGGCCCCTACCTGAACGACGAAAAGGGCAACCCGCGCCCGAGCCGCGCCAAGGACAAGCTCACGCGCCTGTCGGGCGTGCAGTTCCAGGAGCTCAGCACCGACGTCTACGACGAGTCGATCCGCCGCGAGCAGGACCGCAAGCGCGGCGGGCCAGGCGCCCCCGGCAACGACACCCCAAAGTTCCTGCTGCCCAAGAACAACTTCCACCCCAAGCGCAACCAGGCCCGCCAGAAGCTGTCCACCCTGCCGCTCGAGCGCTTCCGCCAGCTCGCCACCGACGTCTTCTACGAGCTCGAGCGCCGCTATCCGCGCTTCACGGGCGGTGACCTGCCGCCCCGCGCTGCCAGCCCCGCCGCCAGCATCGCCAGCCGCATCAGCAACAGGGGGCCGCCCAGCCGCAACGGGACCCCCAACAGCATGAATGGCCGCCCGCCGCCAGGGGGATACCCAGACATGGGCAGTCGTCGGCCGTCGCAGGCCTCTCAGCTGTCGGGCTATGGCCCACCCCCACAAGGATACTCGGGTCCGCCCCCGCAAGGCTACTCGGGGCCGCCTCCACAAGGCAGACCACAGGGCCCGCCCAGGTCCGTGTCGGGCAACAACGAGCTTGGCCGCCCGCTGCCCCGAACCTTCCAGTCCAACACCATCATTCCAAACAAGGGCATGATGGTTGAGGACGACGACGACAGTGCAGGCGACGACGACGACGCATTCAATCTGGAAGGCGCGGCTGCGAGACGACAAACCAACAAGAGCGCCAAGAGCATGAGCATGGCGCAGGACAAGATGGTCGTGGACTTACAGACCCAGGTGTCGGAGTTGCAGACCAAGGTCGATACGCTGGAGGAAGCACTGCAGAACAAAGACGCCCAACTGCAACGACTCACCGATGCTGACAAGATGCGCGACGACAACTCTGCTGCCGAGCGATCTGAATGGGATGATCTGCGTAATTTGCTGGAAGACAAGGTCGAGAAGGCCGAGAACCTCAACACGTCACTGCGCTCGGAGATTGAGAAACTGCGCAGCGAGAACGAGGAGGTCGAGAAGAGCTTGCGCAATGAGAATGAAGAAGTAGAACAGAGCCTGCGCATGCAAATCGCGGACCTCGAGTCGAACCCTCCCCAGCAAGCGTACGATGGTGGGGATGATGAGTGGAGGCAGCGATGTGAGGATCTCGAGCGCGAGCTGAGCGAGCAACAGCAAGTCACAGAAGAAGTCCGGAGAGACGCATCCATGTTCCTGCAGGAGATGAGGGAACTATCCGCACGCAGCGACGCAGCATCACAGAAGGAGGAACGGTTGGCGACTGAGGTGTCGTCTCTGGAGGCCGATGTCAAGGAATGGAAATCGCGCTATGCACGCGCAAAGACGCAACTTCGAACCCTCAAGGCGTCGTCTATCGGCTTGTCGTCGCTCGCGTCCCCGAATATCGCAAACTACGCGCGCGACCCTGCGCTCAGCACACCAGATGGGCTGGTCAAGGACGTGCACGTGACGAAATTCCAGCTTAGCATCGACGAACTGCTACAAGCCGCGCGGAGGGTAGACCCCGAACGCACGCTCGAGAGCATGCGCAACGTGGTGCAGTGCGTGCGGACCGTCATCGGCGACATTGACACCACGCCCATGTCGCAGATACAGTCGCCTGCTAGCAGCATCCACGGAGACATTATGGCTAGTCCGGAGAAACAGCAGGCAAGGCTCAAATCTCGCGTCAGCGCTACAGCCAACAATCTCATCACCGCGACTAAGAATCACGCTTCTTCTACTGGTCTGTCTCCAGTCAGTTTGCTCGACGCCGCAGCGAGCCATCTTTCCACGGCGGTCGTCGAGCTGGTCAAACTCGTTAAGGTCCGGCCTACGCCCGCGGATGAACTGGAGGGTGATGCAGCACATGACGATCTGCCCATGCCGCTGAAACCCGCTGCGCTCTCGACACACAACGCGCCTCCGCCCGCGCAGCTTAGCAGTAATAACAACAACAACGAGCCCAGCACCGCCGCAGCAACAATCAGCCACAACCGCAGCAGCAAAGGCGGAAGCAGCGACTCCACGCGCTACAGCGCATACAGCTCGCCCTACAGCGGCTACGACCGCCAAAGCGCAAACATGTCCGACGGCATGGCGGAATTCAAGGTACGTCCCCGTTAAAAAAAAAACCCCTTGAATTTCTAAACTAACAAAAACCAAAGACATACCTAGACCACCAAACAACCCTCCTAGTCCAATCCATCCAACCCCTCGTAACCCTAATCCGCAACAACCCCACCACCGCCCCCGAAGCCCAAATCATGACTCACATCCGCGACATCGCCGCCGCGGTTGAACACACAGCGTCCCGCACGTACGATGTCGTCGCGCAGATGGATGACCCTGCGTTGGCGAAACATGCACTCCCTGTTGTCGAGGTGTTGGAGGATTGTAGAGAGGATTTATTGGCTGTTGATGTTAGGGGGGGGAAGGAGGGGATTCCGTCACTGGCGTTTAGGGCCGGCAGGGCGTTGAAGGAACTTTTTGAGAGGGTGGAGAGGGTGGAGAGGGGGGAACTTACTGAGGGGGGGGATGGGGGCGTGGAGTTTTAGGGGGGGGATAATACGCTCGCTGGATGGAACGGGTGGGATGGAAATGATGGGCTTGGGGGGAACACGACGTCACGCCACGCCATGCTATGCTATGCTGCATATACCATACCACATCATATCATGTTACATCACGTCGTTTTTACCCCGGGAATTGAGTTGGATTGGGCTGGGTTGGGTGGACCTGGCATGCCATGCATATAAGATAGATACGTCGATGTCGACGTGGTGCAGTCGGATAGTATATATATATACATACACACCACAAATCACACACAATGCAATGCAATGCAGTACAACACCAAACAAGGAAATAGAGATATCCATCCTTCGATTTCATTGGCCTTCTTCGCGCTAGTACATCATGTCCACCTTTTATCTAAGGCTTTACACCCCAGCCTTTCTACACGGAAACTCGCCTTTCCACAACCATGAATAAATCCATCTACCTAACGCTTGTTTCTTACTTTTCCTGGCTGACTAACTAGTCAACCAACTCTCTCACCCCGTTCATCACATTCTTCTATACATACTACACTACACTACACTACACTGTACAGTACAGACACCCAAGATCCGACCATTCAGCGAAATATCTCGGCATCTGCGCTTTCTTCATAATCTATAATTTCGAATTTATACCATGTACAGTAGTCAGACAGGAAGAGAAGCGGAGAGGGGAGATGTATATTGATATTTGATAGAGAGCTTGGGTGAGTGTGACTGGTGGCTGTGAATGGTAGGGTGTGTTGGGATACGCTGAGGATGGGATTGGCTAGGACAGGACAAGAGACAGACTGCGTAGACGTAAAGCAGAGCAGAGGAGAAGAGGAGAGGCGGAAAGCACCATCGTGACAAGTCTTGGCGGGATCAGACTTCAAGGTTTTCTTACGGATTGGGCTGTTCTATTGCATGAATCTTGTTTTCCAGTCTTAAAATAGTAGACAAAATGTTGATTTGCACGCGGAGTGTGTTGGGGGTATAGGTATAGGCGTACACGATACTACACGACACAATACAATACAAAACAACACGATGTGATACGCTGAACTCAGGATGAGATGTACCAGCGCTTCCGACTTTCGACACGGCTGCTTCGATACAAAGGCCAAGGGGGAGAATGCAAGAGAGTAGGCAGATAGTGATTCAGTATTCGTGGTGTTTATTGCGAGCTTTGTGGAGATGAGGTCTGTTCTATCGTATTGTACTGTATTCCAGTATACAAGAGGGGGATATTGGTCGTACATGTTATACATCTCCATCTCCACATCTCCACATCTCCATACTTCTACTTCTACTTCTACTCCACTACACGCCGCTACAAGGGTATAAAAAATCCACCATCTATCCATCGCCAAGCATAAGATTGAGTCGAGTCACATCCCATCCCACCCATCACCAACCCACACTATATCCACGACACAAGCCCGCCACTCCCGCCCTGCCCCTCAATCCCCAGCTGATTCAGCATATCATCCCAAGCCGTCCAGCCCATACTCTCGTCCTCCATGATCGGCGAGTCGAGCTCGTTCATGGTGGGGGACGTGTCGTCCATGGCGGGGAAGACGTTGCTGCCGTATATGGGGAAGGCGGTGTTCATGGCGGGTGGGAAGGTCATGCCGTTCATGCCGTTCATACTGTTGTTCATGTTGTTCGGCAGATTCGCGTCGTTCATGCCGTTCATGTTTGCGGGGTATGTGTTGTGGGACATTGCTGGGGCGAGAGGCGGGTAGCGGTTCATCGGATTGGTTATGCATGTGCCGTCGAGTGTCATGTCGTCCATGGGGTTGACGCCTATACTGTCGAGGTTGAAGTTGAGTACATCGGGGAAGGTTGGGTGATGGTTGATATTGTTCGTGTTTGCGTCGTTGGTCATGTTGATCTGTTCAGGTGCACCCGTAGTCAGGATATGAGCCGACCAGCTCAGGGGTGTTGCAGCCGAGTTTTCACCCAGCCTAGGTGCCAGCGGTTTGAGCAGGCTATCCAGATTTTCTGGGCTGGGTTGCTCTGTCGAAGTTGGAAGTGCGTACGTCGAGCCCTCGCTGGATACGTGTTGGAACAAGAGCGGGCCGTTTTTCAGTTCCTGGCTTGCCCGTTCGAGTGCGAGCTCCCTCTCTCTCGCTGCCCGGGCTTTCATCATCAGTCTCTTTATGGGTTTCCACACCAGTCCTTGCTTGCGGGTCGACGAGCAGTCATTTGGCGAACACCACCATTGATGAGCGGTTGCTTCGAGGGCGCGCCACGCTCTTTCTACAGCTGCACCCCTGGTTCGGATGGACAACTCAGACAGCAGGAACGCGATAGCATGCCATTGGATCCAGGTGTTAAAGTGCCAGCTCCATTTCATGGTTTTCGATTCGGATTCTAAGAGTATAGAGCACTCCATCACCTCCAGAGAGGTTATGAAGAGCTTGTCCTTCGTTTCTTGGGAGTGGGATGAACCTACGGTAATATCAGCCTGGAATCAGTAGAATAAAGCAAAGATCTTACCATCATCTTTTCGCAGAGGTGGATGAAAACCCATTAACCAAAGTTTACTAAATACCAGACGCATCAACGTAGCAGTTACCCAGCATATAGGGTCAGACATATCAGAGTCTTTAAAATACTTGATCTCCATCTTTTGGAGGCAGTCATTGATGTACTTTTCCTTATCTGCAAGAGCGACATCCGCAGCTTTGCCGGTCTCACTCGACATGGACAGTATGCGACGCACCAGCACAAAGGCATCATAGCGCAATAGACACAACGACATGTCTGTGAAGCCTTGCCGTTCTTCAGGGAAGTCAACCATATCCGGATCAAGGTCGGAGTCGTTGATATTAAGAGGCTGCAAGTCAGAGTATTAGCACTGCCCGTCGATAGGTAGTAGTAGAAGTTACCATCTTGGCGTCAAACTTCATTTCAAAGAACATGGAACTAATGCCATGATCTTCAGTTGACCGCCCATCAAGAGAGCAGATCTGCCACCATAGCCGTCTGCGCATTTCGACCTCAAAAGGCGGGAGCTGGAACTGGGTGCCGTCTCTATGGATACCGAGGGTTTGCGCAATGCGTGTAGCCAGGCCGACCAAGGTCCAAAGCAACCGGGGGTCGTCGTTTCCTCGAAGTAGCGCCAGGAAGATGACATAGGCCTGTAGAACAACCAGTTCATTACAATACAAAAAATTCGCCCTGGCCAGCGCCTGCTCGAGTCCGAAGCGATATTGGTTGAGAAGGGTCTTTCGATCTTTTCCCCATTTGTCCATGCATTCTACATCAGTCGAGCTTGTAATGGCACCATAGTACACCACAAACAAGAGGGTTTCCAGAGCTTTACTGATCTTGTTAGGATGCAATACAGCATCGTGTAAAGTACGCTCGAAGGTGGGGACGTGCAACACCCTGAGCAACGGCTCGACTCTCTCTTTGTATATCTCCCAGAACTGACATGCTTGGTCGGGTGGAGGACGCAGCAAACTCAAATCGACATTTGTAGAGCTGTAGCCAAAGATGAAACCTTGGTGTTGCGACGAGTGGTGGGATGCGTCTGGGGTGTTGGCGTCGTCTTCGTCATCGGATGGCTCAACCAGAATCGCCTTGAGGTCTTCCACCTGGGAATGTCAGTTTGCGTGGTTGTGTGGCAGGGTGGGACGGAGTCGCACCTCGTTATTCAGACTCGTCCATAAGCCGTTCGCAATGTACCGACTTCTGCCCTTCTCGACCACCAACCTATCAAAGCGAGTTGCTAGTGCATCTACGCTCGCATCGACCTCCGTGTTCGGGCTGCCATGTGTACTGCCATGTTCGTGATAAGCACTCTGCTGCTCGCGTGTGCTGCTCTGTGGTGTATGCCTGCCCTGCTCGGCAGCTTCTTGTTCGTGTCCCTCGACTTGGGCATTCAAGCTCGATACCACACCCTCTAAGCGCCTGAGTCTCTCGAGGAGTTCGCTGTCTTGCGGTTTTCGGCTCCTTCTCGGCGCGCGACCAGGGCCAGGAAAGACACACTCAATTCTACCGCGCACGCAATTTGAGCAGGGGAGCTTCTTATCGCACTTGACTTTTCTTCGGCGACAAGTGACGCATGATCGTAGGTTCGGTGTGGGACCAGATGCGGGGGAGGGGCCGTTCGTGGGGCGGTCCGGTTGCTGCGCGTGGTCAGGCGAGTTCGTGTGATGTGGCGTGTCGTCGGCCATGGCGCCTGTTGTGGCTTCACTCTCTCCTCAGCAGGAGGAGGTAGCTTCTCGAGATATCACTGACTCTAACGTCAGGGCGGGACAGGCTAGGCCCTGATCGATCTCGCGCTGAACCAGCTTCGATGCGCCGTGGAAGAACAACGACGCATCAAATTCAGCGCATGTCTGTGTTCGTCTCAAAAACCAAGACCAAGACCAAGACAAAAGACGATAAATGTGACTGGATGTGATGCACGACAGGGTCATAAGGCAGGCAGATGTGTCTGCCTAGTCTGTAAACTCCGCAGTTAATTCCGCTCCCCGCACAGTTAGTCATCATCTTACTTCAGAAAACAACCCTCTTTGAGCCTGCCGCTTACTTTCTTTTTGTTCTTCAACGAGCAACCCATCCGCTCACATGTCTTCGAATAGAGCTTAGCGTTCGAATACTTTTTGGTCACTTCGCTATGTATATCGGCTGCCACTCTCCAGCGCTATTCGACCACATCTTCACCGCTGATGCGCCCAAGTAAACGGCCTGTCCCAAACCTCAAAACTCGTTAAGCGCGAAGAAGTGATGTCAGTCACTGCGCTTCAGTGGCGCTTACAGGCGCCACCTCCGTTCGACTTTTACTACGTATAACACAGCCCTGATGAGACAGCAAAGCTATTTGTGGCTGAGATAAAGAATAGTCAATGGCTTTCTATAAACATTACAGCGCATTATTAACAAGAGAGCGCTCTCCATTTGACCACGGAGTACCCCAGACAATAGCTCAGCATTGGAAGAAATCGACGACGCTTTAGAGGCCCAGGCCCTATCGTCTGATGTGACGTCATAAGTATATTCATCGTGGGCTTGACGTTGGTGGTGAGTTAGCAGAAAGCCTTTTTATCTTGTCGTACTTATGACGATTCTGAAGCTGATGGCGCCAAATCAGAAAAATCGGAGGCAGGTGTTGTATCGCCATTTGTACCTGCACGTTCATTATAGTTCCGAAAATCACCACTAGTTCCCGAGAGGCGTCTTTCTAAATCCCCGGATCATGATAACGTAGACCCCCTACTCGTCATCCTGAATTTCCTTCACTAGGCTGCTTGTTTTGCCAGGTCTTTAGTGCGCATGCGCATCGGAGCACATAGGCTCTGACAGTCTCTGCATTGTCTCCAGAATTGTCGTTCTGTTGCGACGTGCCGTCCTCGTTTCCACGAGAGCACCTCCCGGCAAACCTACCATCCTCTGGAAGCTGAAACATCTGCGCACTATGGGAAGTTTGCAGGAATTATGTCAACCCACGGTTGACATCCCTCGCTAGAGCGCGCAAAGAATTCGCCGACGTTGGCTTTAGGTCCGGTAATCGCAATTCCGACGATGGGAGTGACGCACGCCGATTACATGTTACCAACTAACTAACCGCTTTACAGCTGACGGCCTCCCATCTCATCGATTGACTAACCGCTTTTTAGCTGACGGTTCTAACGCTAACATCAACCTGGTAGCGAAACCTAAACCAGATCCATGGTACGCATGCAGATCAATGTGCTAACTTTAACACTATCATCTCCACTAAATCTCAACCTGGGCAAAAGTTATTGTTGTGGAGTAGGTATAAACAAGATGACTCGCAACAAGTTAAGTATCTCAGCATCCTCCTCTCGGTGCACCGTTTGTCAATCCGTTCCTCCGCCAGCATGCGTTCCGTCATCCCCTCTCTCGCTCTCCTGAGCCTTCTCCCGCTTTCACTTGCCGCGCCTGCCCCCACCGCGGTGCAGCCCCCGGAAGTCACAGCCGCCCCTTTACTCGAAAATGCCGCACCTTTGGAAGAGCGTCAACTACTTGGCGCCCTTCTAACCGGTCGAGTGAGCAGCCTTCTGAAGGGCATAAACAGTGCTATAGCTGTACGGAACCCCACTGCTGTAAACTCCCTGCTCGTTCAGATCACGCCATCTGCACGACCAACTGCTATATCACAGTGTTCAGCTCTGCAGTCATCGATTTGGGCGAACCCAACGGGGCGCACAGATTTTCCCAATGCGGTCGCGATACAAGTCGCTGTTGGTCTTGGACCACCTTTGGCGGGCACGCTGAACACCGCCCTGACAGGCGCTTTGCCAGTAGGGGAAAACAGTATTACGAACAACAACCCCGCTCCATCGACCAAGATCTTTCCGAAGAAGGACAGTGCCGATGCACCATATTCGTTAACTGAAAGTGCGCTACGCCAGGCGTTGTTTATTCCCTCAAGTTTCACATACGGAAAAAAGCCACCCACCATATTCGTCCCCGGTACTGGATCATACGGCGGTATCAACTTCGGCAACAATCTGCGGAGATTGTTGACTGGCGCTTCATATGCTGACCCGGTCTGGCTCAATATCCCTGGCGGCATGCTCGCTGATGCTCAAACCAACGCCGAGTACATCGCCTACGCCATAAACTACATATCGGCAGTGTCAAAGAACAGCAAAAAAATCTCTGTCATTACCTGGAGCCAAGGCGGTCTTGACACACAATGGGCATTGAAGTACTGGCCCTCCACTCGCAAGGTAGTCACGGACTTCCTCCCGGTGAGCGCGGATTTCAAAGGCACTGTCTTCGCCAACGCCCTTTGTCTCAGCACCTCTTCTCCCTGCCCGCCCTCCGTCATCCAACAACAAGCCACGTCGCGATACGTTGCTTCGCTCCGCTCCAACGGCGGCGACTCAGCATACGTTCCCACAACATCATTCTACTCCTCCTTCTTCGACGAGGTCGTAGAGCCGCAATCAGGCACCGGCGCATCCGCCTACATGAACGACGCACGTAAAGTCGGCGTGACGAATGTCGAGGTGCAGAGTGTCTGCTCCGGGGCTCCAGCGGGAACTTTCTATGAACATGCTGGTGTGCTGTTCAACCCGCTCACGTACGCGCTGATTGTGGATGCGTTGACGCACGACGGGCCTGGAAGCCTGAGCAGGATCAACAAGGCGAGCGTTTGCAGTACGTATGCAGCGCCGGGACTTGTCGTTGATGATGTTATTTCGACGAGCGGTCTGATTCCCATTGCTCTTGTGTTGCTGTTAGCGTACCCTGATAAAAGGACTGCAGAGCCGGCGTTGAGGTCCTACGCTGCGTAGTGCTTTTGTGAGGTGTATATCAGGCGTTGAATATGTAAATCTTGTGTGTAACGACCACACATTCTCTTATGAGCTCAAACACACTTTATGACTTTATGCAATTGAAATATATTGATTTTGTGTATGTGAGCGTTTCATGCCTGTATCTTCTGACGGGAAGCAACCCTACTCACAACCTATTCCTACGACCTATTTGAGGCACTGTGATTGCCAGCCGAGTTACTTTCCAAGCAAAACATTCTCCAGCCACGCTTATAGGTTACACCTCACTTTCCCTCCCACCATCTTGCATCCCCACCAAGTCTACCTAACATTCACAACACACACCACCACACTACCCAGACCCAGACCGAAACTCATCAGCCCCTCCATACCGCCCCATATTACCATACCGCACCACCGGAAACGAGCTCACGATATTAGAAAACCCAGGATGCACGCCAAACCCGCGCGGCGCCTGCTCAGAGCCCGCCACCGGAAACGAAGGATACGTGTTTCCATGCGCACTCCCCGTACCGTTCTCGAAGCTTGACGGTGAAGAGACACGGACGGGCGGTGAGTAGAGGTCAGCGCGTTGGGGTGAGGGCGTGGTTAGTGAGGTGGGGAAGGAGAGGGGTTGGAGTGGGTAGTCTCGAGGCGGGCGGAGATGGTAGGTTGGGGTGTTGAGTGGGTTCGTGGAAGAGGGCTTTGGTGCTTGGGCTGGAAGACTGTGTTGGACAGGATTTTGGTGCTTCACTGCTGGCGCTATGGGGCGATATCCGGTCTGATGTGGATACGAAGTGAGATGCTGTTCGAGGGTTTTAGCATATGAGGGTGTGTGCTGCTGTTGATATGGCGAGCCGTGATTTGCGTACACCCCAGAGACATGATTCTGCGGTAAATCCGTTAACACTGGGGTTGCCGCGGCCTGCAGTTGCCGAACCCACGACGAAGTAGCAGCATTTCGAGCGTGAACTCCTTCCAGCAACCGATTCTGGCGTCGATAGTATTCATCATCGGCAGGTGCGATAGTAGCCGAGAGTCCCGGAGCAATGTACTGACCGGGCTGTGCGTGAAGCAGACGGGGGTCGATAACAGCCTCAGTGGGTGCTGCTTTCGGAGGTTCGACAGCTGGACGTGCCGATAGAAGGGAACCGTGAACTGGGTTAGCAAACCCGTTTGAGTCGGTCTGAGCCATATGCGTGCCTTCTTCTCCACTCCGGTCTTGCTCCACTAGGCATGCTATCCGCTTCTCTTCGTACTCAACCCATGCGTCACTCGCTACATGGCTTCTCTCCAATAGCTTGAACGGACCTTTCAGCTGTGCTCGCCGGATAAGGAACTTGGCGAGCGGCTCTAGGTTGGCCGTGACGAGAATGAGGTCCGGTGCGAGATCTTTGTAGCGATGCAGGATGGCCATGAAAACGCGCTCGAAGAGCAGGTCGTCGCCATCGGTTGGGTAGTCCTATCGTCGTGTTAACTCTGAGCAAATTGAACGTCGGAGGAATACTACACACAGGCTTGACGAGGCAGAAAGCAATGGCCCGTTGGACTTGCGGCGTGAGATCTGCGTCGTAGGGTAGTGTGGAGCTGAATGCGTAGCGGAGAAACGGTACAAGAATGTGCTCGACCCAGAGGGGCTCTATCGGAAGCTTGGGGATGCTCATTGTGGGCGTGAGGGTGATTGAACTCTACTCGGTTGGTTCTACGTGGCAGGAAAAGCGTGAGAAGAGTTGAGTAGAGACTATCGAGCGACATTTGTGGTTTTGGGTCTTTGTTTCACTTTCACTTTGCGCGGTAGCAGGTGAAATGATACGGTAATGTTGAATTATTCATATGCTTTCACTTACGCTGCTATGTGGTTTAGTGACGATACAGATACGCTTGTGAAATAACTTCATGACTCTAAGAGTGAAACGGACCGCTGGAACAATAGGATAATTCTTATCTGAGTTTGGTTCGTGTTGGCACCATGACTTGAATGTGATTGGGAGTATCACTTAGAACTAAAATCAAATTATCCAGTGGATTGGGACTGAATTCCTTCCTAGATTGTTGAGAAGGAGTAATTTGTGTTCTAACTACTGGGCAAGAAAACACACAAATAGGATCGATAATAATCGAGCCTTCAGAGAGACTGGTACAAGGGAGTTCTTAGAAATGAAGAATTGCTTGATGCTTTTATGTCTGATACACTTCAAGACACATCGATATGTACTTGTCAACCGTTTTTGAATCTATCTTATTCTCCTTTCCATGATAAACTCAATTTCGTAGGGTTTGGCTGTTGTGAAAATACTCGTCACATACTTGCCACTCTTATGTCCCAAGTAAGTTGATCCTTTTTGTAAGTTCTTGTAGTAATGTAGTCGAAGGAGACTATGGCGAGGAGGACGACAGCGAGGAAGATAATAGCGAGGAATATTACAGCGAGGAAGACGACATTGTAGGACGCTACAGCGATAAACACGACACTGGTATACCAAAAGAGTTGATAAGATATCTCCGGATGAGGAAGTCTACTCTGCACAGCCCTATCAAATGGGGGTGTCTTGCTACCTGGAAGGACGACAACCCGTTCATAGGGTACCGGCATTCTGCTTGGACGTCTAGATTCACAACCTTCCCAGCCATCATCGAGAACATGTACAAAACAATCGGAGAGACCCTACTGTCACAACACGCATCAAAGCCAATCGACATACCAGAGAGGACGATGCAGATCGACATCCACAAGGTATTTCCTCACTGGCTTGCTAGCACTGACTATGAGGTAGACGAAACAAAAGCTGTTCTTCAGGAACCCGCCCCAGTAATTGAGATATCGCGGTGTTTGTAAGGACTTTTGCAGCAGCCACTAGGGATAAGCAACTAATCCAAGGCCGCCTCGAAGGACCAGACTTCAAAGTTTGAAGTAAGAAACATTATACATGCCCAGAAGCAAGGAGCTGCATTTGTAGCCCGCAAGATTCTAGCATGTTATCAAAGTGTAAGCCTTCTATATATATGCAGAAGCAGTGTTTCTTAACATCAGCTTACACCTAATAGGTTGTCAAATGTTTGCCTATACGATTCAATCAGGCGTATGGTCTGACCTCCGACAACGACTTCCAGAGAACAAACACACCATATCCAGAACACTTTGCACTCATTGAATTCGAGGATAGAACATCAACCTTGTTACCCTTGTCCATTCACATTGCAGGCTCGCGTGCCCGGGCAAATGTTCACGAATGGAGCAGGGCTCTAACTGGTGCTGCTACCACAACCTGCCGTCCGTGGGACCGATCAGGCGAAATAGGAATCAGCATCCGAACTCTATTTAGTGGCTTTCCGCTGCTTATGGTTTCAGACACTGTTATATTACAACCCTATATCTCATCAGACACGTTGAGCTAACTAAGCAGAACACATGTGGTTGGCGTAGTGGCGGCGAAATCATGCAATAGCTTGACAACTACAACTAAGTTTAGTATATAGCTCTTGTGCCTGAATTTTGTGTAGTATACGCCTTGTGTGCACTTAAATAAATTTTAGTTGTGTAGTTTTGTAGCTTGTAGGAGCCACAAAGGATGTAACTTCCTGCTTTTACAGTTGACCGAGAGCCAGTTCGGCGGATTCAGTTCTCAATGTCTTGTGGGCGTAACGTTCTCAAAGAAGGTACAATTCACCCTTCCAAAAGAACGCTCTGGACGCCAATGGGCGAAAGATGCTCTTCGCCTTCTACATTCAGTCGGTCCCAAGAACATCTGGATTGGAGATGTTGAGGGTCGGACCCTCTGCGAACCTTTTGGAGGATTCCATACTCAGTTTGGAATTATCAACTCCAGACACGCAGACGTTTGTTATGAGGGAAAGTTTTGGTATCCTGAATGCGAAGACACAGCAGAAATAGCCTGTGCAATGATAGCAAAGGGCGCTCTGAACGGCCTGTCACAAAAAGCTGTGCAAGATAGAGTAGACGCCGCGCTCAACAAGACAGGTACTCGCTCAAATCCCTTAGAGCTCAGGGAAACTTTGGTCGACCTTGGGTTTAAAGAAGAAAAAGCAGTGTTTGTCCACTGGGCTGCTGGCAAGCTAGATATTATAGGACTGAGTTGCACTCTGCGTATTCGAGCACCCGTTGTGGAAAATGAAACAGATATGTTATTCAATCTTGAAACGGTAGCAAACGTAGTTGAAAAATCCATTTTCAAAATCATTCTTTGACCAAGCTACTTTCCACGTTCCGGCCCGTTCATCAACTATCCCCCGCCTCACCTTCACTGCGCGTCACTCTCACATCGCCCTACTCCCGCCAACCTCTGTCCATCACAAAATACCACCAACATCACTCTTCTCGCTCGCTGCTTTCTATCCGCGACGCCGCACTTGCTAAAACAGGTGCCCGCAAGCCGTACTTTGTATATCACACGCGCGCGGCTACAGCGGCTTCTCAGCCTAGACACGCTCTATCGTAGGTACGCAGCAGCGTGTCTCACTGAACAATTCTGACTTTACTCGCCGGACGTTATGGCGGCCACTGGCGACGTTCTGCCTGCCGACGACAAGCGCAATCCATCATACTACGAGAAACTTGCCGGCTACAGAGAGAATGATTTATAACTAAAGACAAGAATGGCAAAAGCATGAGACCTCTACCTAGAAGAAGGCGGCACCGAGATTCTCAATCTGCCTCGGAAAGCGACGTGGGTATAGGGTAGGGCCTCTCGGTCAACTGCAAAAGCGGGAAGTAAGTTACATTCTTTGTGGCTCCTACGAGCCGCAAAACTACACAATTGCAATTTGTTAAGGTACATGCAAGGCGTATACAGCTACAAGTTCAGGCACAAGATTCCTACACTAAACTTAGTTGTAGTTGTCAAGCTGTTGCATGATTTCGCTGCATCCTGGTTCCTGGTATTTCGATTGGTCGAGAGGGGGCCTGCATCGCAAGGCGCCACTCTTCAATGGCTACTTCCAGCTGCAGCATCTCAAGATCGTCGTTCAGGTCCCAGGGGACCTCACGATTGAAGTCAAGCATACACGGACTACTGCATACCTCCTTCTTATCAACGTTGTGACTTTTACAGAGATACAGGCGTGGGGTTTAATGAATATACAGTTTCATTGTAGGAGGTCTGCACACGCCATGCTTACAATCAAGCTGCGTCAGGCGCGTCTATGAACTACCGACCCGCCTCATGCCGAGCAGTGAACGGCCATCAACGCACGCATACACGCCTCCTCGCTGACACCCCGACGCATCTCTCGACTCAGGACCAATCTACCTATCTCGCGCAAAAACACAAATATTGCGACGACGAGGTTTCGATCTAATCGCTGCCGCAGCTACCCGCACGCCGATCTGCGCATGACGCTACAAAAAGCGGGACCTAGGAGCCTCAACACGGGTGCTAGGCCTAAGCAAGCTAAGTAATCCGCTTGATCCTGGCGTCGAGCGAAACTCAAGCCAGTGAAAAAGTTCCCCTAAGCTTCTACCTCCTTGCTAGCGCGATACAACGTAGTCCATAATTGATAAGCCGTGAGGCTCAACCGTACCGTGCGTTGTGCATGCGAAACAGGGTGCGTGGTGCGCAGTTTCGGTATCTGTGGGGTTTGGCGAGGTTTGCTAAAGCAGTTACATGTTATCAGTTGCTTGATGGTGATAAGGGAGAAGTTGAAGGGTTTTGCGGATTGCATATTCTGCACATCCTGGCTGCGAAATTCGCCGATGCTGCGCCCATAGGCCAGACCGTACGCTTGCAAAAGCCGATTGCGGATCGCAGAAGGCGTTTTTTTCTCTTGGCCTAGGGAATTTTACTTGTGTAGGGCGCTTTGCTACGGGCCTTTTGGAGGTAATACATGCTGCAGAGCGACATAGGAGAGACTACAGATGTCCCTTTTGTGCCGACACTAACCTAACCACTCTTTCGTGGGGTAATATTAGCAGAAGTCTGGGGTACAGAGGCAGTGGAATCTGCCTGCGGGACTGCGGAAGCGTTATTTTCCATGTCCATTTCGTTGGTCACAGTAATTTGGACCTGTCACTGCCGGCGCACCCAACCGCTCTCGACCAATCACCAGCGCTCAATGACTACAGCATCTTGCGCGACCGTACTCTTGGGAGAATGGTATCCATGGCTCAATTTCGGTGTCTGGGGAACGCCCCACAGTAGGCACACCAGACCTATGAGTTAGGTGCGCGAAATTACGTCTTCGTCGGGCCGATCCTCGTTGGGATTTTTGTGACAAAAGAGGGCGTCTGGCTCGTCTCTTAAAGACTCGTAACCAACACCTTCGTTCTTGTGTGTACATCTCCAACAATCGCCATGTCTTCTCCTCCATCCTCTGAAATCAAGAAGGGCTACGCCCCAGGGCACGTAGACGCCGAGTCGCAACATGTGGCCGAAGATGCCGTGTTCGGTGAGGTGGTTGAGGGTGGCCCGGATTATCGCGCTGTATGTTACACCGTCGCCAGTAGTGGGAGTTTTCGAGCTGACAGTTGTAGGTTGGATGGAAAGGCACTGTTGCCTTGATGTTGAAGACGCAGATCGGACTGGGTGTGCTCTCTATCCCTGCTGTCTTCGACGTCCTCGGTCTGATTCCCGGGATCTTGTGCTTGTTCATCATCGGTATCATCACTTGCTGGTCCAACTACGTGGTTGGCGTCTTCAAATTACGGCATCCTGAGGTCTACGGTATCGAGGATGTGGGCAGCATGCTGTTTGGCCGTGTTGGACGAGAGATTCTCGGCGGAGCGTTCGCATTATGGTGGGTTTGTGTTGCTGGGTCTGGAATGCTCGGTATTTCGATCGCGTTGAACTCGCTCTCTGAACATGGGACATGTACTGCGGTCTTCGTCGCCGTCGCCGCCATTATCGGGTTTGCACTTTCGAGTATCCCAACATTGGGCAAGATTACGTGGGTGGCGTGGATTGGTCTGGTTGGTATCCTCTCAGCCAGTATGTCTTCTACCAGCATATCCTCTCGTCTGTCGGTATCACTAACGATGGACAGTCCTCACCGTCACCATCGCAGTAGGCCTTCAAGACCGACCACCAGCGGCCCCCTTGACCGATGGACCCTGGAAATCTGACTTCAAACTCTTTGGTAACCCGACATTTGCTGAGGCAGCTGCGGCCTTGACTTCTCTTGTGTTTGCGTATGCCGGTACCCCAGCGTTCTTCAACATCGTGTCCGAGATGCGTGATCCTCGCATGTACACACGCGCAGTCATGATCCAGCAGAGCATTTCAACTTGCTTCTACGGCGTCGTCGGTATCGTCGTGTACTACTACTGCGGCTCGTACGTTGCATCTCCCGCCCTGGGTTCCGCAGGAGCCATGATGAAGAAGGTGTGCTACGGTCTTGCGCTCCCGGGTTTGATTGCTAGCACTATGTTGGTCACACACGTAAGTTGTTCCCAAGCATAATACACGGTAACCATAACTCACGCTTTTGTCCAGATCAACGCCAAGTACTTCTTCATCCGCACACTCCGTGGCTCGCGTCATCTCAACCACAACACCCCAACCCACTGGATAGTTTGGTTCAGCTACACCGCCGGCGTTTCACTAGCCGCATACGTCATCGCCAGCGCAGTGCCTGTTTTCGGCGGTCTGGTGTCTCTCGTCGGTGCCCTGTTCGGTACGCTCATGTGCTTCCAGCCTATGGGTTGCATGTGGCTGTATGACAACTGGTCGGCGGGCAAAGCGACCAAGTCGCCAAAGTGGATCGCCATGGTAGTTTGGTGTGTGTTCGTCATTGCGTCTGGAACCTTTTTGATGATTGCCGGCACCTATGGGTCGCTCGTGGAGATCATAGCCAGCTACAGTGTAAGTGGCGGATCGAAGGCATGGACGTGCGCGGACAATTCGAACTCGACATAGTCGCGTTGGGAGAGTGTCGATTGCATTTGATATGGCGCTTTTCAAAGCTGATGAGTTTGACGAACTTGTATATATGAACCATTAGTTGGATTGTTTCCCTGTAACGAAATTATGTTTGACTTGTACATTTCTCGCCAACCTCTCCCCACAGCCGAATGTCGTGTTACTTCTTACCTCTCGTCCACAGCCCGCGCAACCCCTCCTCACTTTTCCCTAGAATGGGGTCTTTCCCGGGTACATCGACACCCCACACCTCCTCTTCTTTGCCCTCGTGCTCCCCACCCACAGCGAAATCCCACCTACCACCATACGGGTAAGCCCCCATCATCATGAACTCACCCTGCACTGGCACCTTTGCGAAAAACTCCTTTCTCTTCTCCTCGCCCTGCGGACTGACATCCGCAACATCTTTCGGCTGATGGAACACCAACTCTGTCGTCTCTGGCCTCGGCGCGAAGGTCTTGTGACTCACTCCTGCTGGGATGATAAACACATCGCCCAACTTTGCTTGGATTTCTATGCCTCCATCTTCACGTCGGGGAAATCCATCGGAACCGTGATCTGAGACGCCGAAGCGTATTGTTGCGCCGTGTCCGGAGATCACAGCCATACATTCGTGAGTTGTGGAGTGATAGTGTGACTGGATGTCTGGTCCGTAGCGCGCGATCCATTGCGATTGCCAACCATTAGAGGCAAATAGGTCGAAGATTGCGTTGGAAGTGAAAGTGGGGGACGAGACGAGGGAGAGGAGGAGGGAGGGGTAGTGGAGCAGCGGGTAAGGGGAGTTGGGGATCAACGGAGTGGACGGTAACCGGTAGGAGTGGACTTCTATCGCCATTTTATCTTGTGGGAGGCACGCGGCTTTACGTTGCAGGCTGAGGAGGTCTTATCGTCGGAATAATATCCGTAGTTGTTGCGATGTGGAGCTCGGATAAGGAGACGGTGTGGGGTTGGACGAGATGATGTGGGGTCGGGGTCGGATAAGGAGTTGCGTCTCGAAATGGATGGAGTGACACAACAACGTCGGTTCAACGTGGTTTGCCTTTTGTGAGAAAAAGGATTGACCGATAATAACATTTATAATTGTTGTTGACGTTCCATTGGCACGTGAACGGCGTGCATGTCAATCGTACTCGATAGATAGCTGCCGACGGCGGAAACACTGCCCAAAAGAGGACAAGCCTCACGGAATGAACTCCAGCAACTTGCGTACTCCGAGTTCCCCTTGTCTCCAATTTCTCTTTCACCATTTATTATTTTCTTGTTCGTATCGTATCCAGGTAACGAGAAAAGGGCTTCTAATCAATCGTCATCCTACCTCTTTGTCTTCTATCAGTCTTTCCACGCATGCCCCTAGGCTACCGTGAGTCAACCGATTATGTCATAAATGTGTTGAGGATAACATTCAACTTCAGCTTAATGCGCAAGGTTTTGTATTTCGCAGCCTCGAACATAGTCCCTAATCTGATTTTTGATCGAGAAGCAGGTGAGCCCATGCATATTTACATCATCACAGGTTAGACATGAGCTTATTACGGCTGGTCAGAAATCCCCATTCAAGATAACTGAACGCAATCAAATCCCTGGTCACCATTCTGCTAGGGACCTTGAACAGTTATTCGCGCTTGCACATCATCCGGATGGCAAAGCTTTTCTCTACCTCTCGAATTAGCAATTCGACGCCCGACGAATGGACTTCGATTACTGCAGACTAGATTCAGGAGGTTCTTACTGTCATATCCGTACTATTCATCATCGGGACCATCGTCGTGTATGATGAGCGAGTCGCTGTAGGCTCGTTTGTTTCATCGAGTGCTCGTTTGTGTCGAAGCAACACAACGAGTTGCCCGTGCCACCGTCTACGCACAATCGCAGAGTGTACCGATTGTTTGTGTGACTGAAGTACCACATCTGTCAGCGGTTGGTATGGAACAAGAGGTACACCATGCGTGTGAAATATGGGACACACCATCAAAACATTATAAAAGTTGAGTAACAGCATTCGAAGAGGCGAGAATGTATCGGATTGCAGAAACAAAATGAAGAGGCAATAAGAAGCACTGGGTATTGAAGTTCTAACATTTGGCAGAAGTCGTAGCAGTGTGCCACCTTTGGGAGCTGGTTGCACTAGCTCTGAGGAGCAAATACGATTGGATCTGCAAGCTGAGGAGCGTTCTGCGTAGAGGGTGACAACCTGCTGGACCCTCCACCAGAAGTCGGCCGCGATCCCCGCATTCAGTCGAGTGTCCTCCAATTGGAGTTTAGACCGTTTGCGGGGGCGAGGCAACACGATGTCATACCCAGCTTTGCAAACTACCCGGACTCCCAAATGCGGTAATCCGGGGCGACGAGCCGGGAATATGGAATTTAGAAAGTGTATGTTCAAGGTGCCATTTGCTCTTCGCTATATTATTCTTTGACTTCCTACCATCAATCTACCTGCCTGCAAGACTCCATGATGACGCCAACACAAACAAACGACACAACCGAAGGCGGCGACAATCTGGTGAACGGTTTGAAACAAGAAGAAGAGATTGAGCAATCGGCAGTGAAGAGGTTGTCGGACGAGCAAGACCATGTGTTGAAGTCTTTCAGATTGCTGATTGCAGATCTATGCCAACAGTTCAACGGGGGGCATCCTGGGTACTTTCTCCACAACCGTCGCAAAGATACAACTGACAGTTACACAGAGGAGCAATTGGCATGGCAGCGATTGGAGTTGCATTGTGGAAGTATGCGATGCGGTATGCGCCGCACACGCCAACCTATTTCAACCGCGACCGATTTGTTCTGTCGAATGGTACTTTCTCATCCACCAAGCATCAGGACATAGCAGCATGACTGACAGATGGCAGGTCACACATGCCTTTTTCAATACACATTCCTCCATCTCACAGGCTTCAAAGCCATGACCCTGGACCAACTGAAGTCTTACCATTCCGATCGTGTCGACGCTCTTTGCCCAGGTCACCCGGAAATCGAGCATGAAGGTATCGAAGTGACGACGGGCCCACTGGGACAAGGCGTTGCGAACGCCATCGGTCTAGCCATGGCGACGAAGAATCTACAGGCGACATACAACAAACCAGATTTCGATGTTGTTTCGAACCACACATGGTGTATGACCGGGGATGCTTGCTTGCAAGAAGGTGTAGCACTCGAAGCGATTTCGTTCGCGGGCCATCTGAAGTTAAACAACCTTACTCTTATCTATGATAACAATCAGGTCACTTGTGATGGCAGTGTTGATCTCACTAATACCGAGGACATCAACGCAAAGATGAGAGCATGTGGCTGGGATGTCATTAACATTGAAGATGGATGCTTTGATATCGAGGGCATAGTCGAGGCGTTGAACAAGGCCCGCGCATCGACTGACAAGCCCACCTTTATCAACGTACGGACGATTATCGGACTCGGTAGCGCTATGGCAGGGGACGCCGTTACACATGGGCAAGCGTTTGGGGCCGACGATGTGGCCAACATGAAGAAGATGTACGAGTTCGACCCGGAAGTGCACTTCATCATCAGCGAGAAAATGCGCAAATTCTTCGCAGATATTCCTGCAAGGGGCCAAAAGTTGGTGCAGGAGTGGGACAAGAAAGTGCAGCAGTATGCCACAAAGTACCCCGAGTTGAACGCAGAGTTCCAGCAGCGAATCAAGGGGCGTCTTCCTGAAGACTGGAAGGAGCTAATTCCCAGTTCTTTCCCGGATCAGCCCACGGCCACAAGAAAAGCGTCAGGGCTGGTGTTTAATCCTCTTGCGGGGAAGGTCAATAGTTTTATGGTCGGCACTGCAGATCTATCACCGTCAGTTAACATGATATGGAAGGATAAGGTCGACTTCCAGCACGTAAGTGATGCTACACGTCAAGGGTGGAGTTGTGTGCTGACCATATATAGCCTGATCTAAAGACTGCGTGTGGCATTACCGGAAACTACAGCGGACGATACATCCACTACGGTGTGCGAGAACATGCCATGTGCGCGATCTCGAACGGTTTAGCAGCTTTTGCTCCCAACACCATCATCCCTGTGACATCGTCCTTCTTTATGTTCTACATTTACGCAGCAGCAGCAGTTCGCATGGGCGCGCTGCAGCAACTCCAAGTCATACATTTGGCAACACATGATTCTATAGGTACTGGTGAAGATGGTCCGACACATCAGCCTATTGAGTTGGCGAATCTCTACCGAGCGATGCCCACCTTGCTGTACATCCGACCAGGAGATAGCGAAGAGACTGCAGGTGCGTGGATCACGGCCATCGAGGCAAAGAATGCGCCGACCATTATTTCGACATCGCGACACACTCTGCCACAGTTGCCACAAACAAAGCGAGACTCAGTGGCAAAGGGCGCGTATGTGTTAGACGAGGTTGAAGACGCAGACGTAACCCTGATTGGTGTGGGTGCTGAGCTGAGCCATGCCGTCGGTGTTGCAAAGGAGTTGAAGAAAAAAGACATCAAGGCGCGAGTCGTCAGTTTCCCGTGCCAGCGGCTCTTTGAGGCTCAATCATTGGAGTACAGGCGAGACACGCTGCGGCGACATCGCGGAATTCCTGCTATTGTGATTGAGCCATTCGCGCCCAATGGTTGGGAGAGATATGCCGATGCCGGTGCTTGCATGAGGCGATTCGGTCATAGTCTTCCTGGCAAAGCTGCGTACAAGATGTTCGGCTTCGACGTGCCGTCACTGACAGTGAAGGTCGAGACATATCTGCAAAAGGTGCAGGAAGATCCTCTCTTGCGAGGAGAGTTTGTAGATTTATAAATGGAAAGATCTGTTTCCCTTACATGTAAGAATAGCCGTTGCATTGGTCAAAATACCGTCCAATTGTGAATTGTCGAAAATTGACGCGTGCAGTGAAGAACGCCGCGATGAACAGTGACGACTTGCTTACATGATATAGCAAGACCTCACCTGCGATCCATTAGTACAACTTATTTTTTGCTTTTGTCCAACAGCAACACGTGTCGGCGATCTCGTCGTATGGATAGACAACGTGGATTATCCCATGATACTGCGACCGCAAGATAACTTCTACCAGGTCATCGGAAGATCATATCTGCCATCCTTCACAGAAGTCACACCTGTTGAAAAAACTCTGTATTCTTGCAAGATCGAAGTTATCGAGATGTGCTAGCCAAAAACTATTTCCAAGCACTCGATGTTTGGGCATTTGCTGCTTTCCCCTCCTGATAAGTCTCACTCAACGCGTTGTACAAGCCTTTGATTCTATCAATCTCCGCTAGCCATTTCTTTTGCTCGGTCTCATCGCCAATCTCACCAACTACGTTCACCAGTGACTTCGCATGGAAGAATTTGTTCGTCCGATTGTACAGCGGTCTTCTCTCTAACTGTTCCTCAGTCTCCTCGCCCTTAACTCTAAACACCTGCTCCAGAATATCGATATCATACGGAATCGCAAACAGATCCCGACTATCCTCATACGTGAAGAGGTAGTAGAATTCAGTAAATCCCGACCATGTGATGCCGCTCAGACAGAGACTGCACGGCTCGTGTGTGGCGAAGAAAATGCAGTCTTTTCGCGGATCAGGACGTGTAGTGGGATCAGGAAAGTCGACGGTGAAGAACTGCTGGATGCAGTTTATTTCACCGTGAAGGAGGGGAGATACGCGTTCGTTGTTGGTGGCGACTGTTAGGGGCTTGAGGTCGGCGCGGGACAGGATCGCGGCACCGAAAACTTTGGATCCTGAGGAAACGCCTTTCTGGGTGAGAGGGATGATGTCTTGTTCGACAGTCTTGAGAAGGCTTGAGATGAGGGTTGAGGGAGAGTCTGCTTGGGTAGACATCCTGAGCACACAATATGAATAGATATGGGGAGATGATTTTGAAGACAGTTGCCTAAGTGGTAAAAAGGCAGTATGTATTTGGTTTCCTCGAGGTGGGTTCTAGTATATGTGTGAACCTTGCTCCCTCGTCTTTTTCCATGGTGTTTGCCTCCAGCTGATAGTGGGTTGCAGCGGCCGACTTCGGAGACTACCGTCGATACTGAATTCGGCGATCTCCGATAAAGGCTGGACTACATGTTTTGAACTTCAAATGGAGTTGATGGTTTATGACTGGGGAATAGTTATGTGGAGCAATCTCGATGTCGTCTTCCCCGCTGTCACTTCCCGCGATGTCGCCTTCCTCGCAATCATCGTACTCGCTATAATCTCAATCACTGTCTTCTTTCTCGTATTTCTTGGCTTTGCCCTTGCGTGGCATCGTGGCTGGTGCACGACTTGTAGAGTGTAGTTCCTCGCTGTCGTCCTTCTCGCCACAGTCTCCTACGATGTTGTCTTTCTCGTTGCTACATCCCGCGATATCACTTTCCTCGCAGTCATCTTACTCGCTGACCTTTTACACGTTACGTCTTAACCAAGAGGAACATCAGGATTCAGAAATACAGAAGTAGCTTAGAAATTAGAGGACGAGCTACCAAATGATAACTACCTAATAAACTTCAGTGCTGTGACATATGCTCCATCCACTTCTTGTCGGAAACCACTGGCAGATCGATAGTGTTTTTCTGCGGTTGGTGTATGGATAGTACGAGTTGTTGACATAGTCTCTTGCGGGGATGCCGCGTGCCATTGCAACTCACTTGTTACCATCACATCCCACCAATCCATTCAACCCATCAAAAAACCGACAAAAGTCCAGATACTCGCCCCACGGTTTGGCTTAGGGCTTCGCCCTGGGCCCTCGCCGGCTTAACAATTATTGACATCTTAATAGATAATTTAGCATCAAATCACATGTATCGTAGGATATAATAAGTATAATATGAAAGTAGAAAGAAAGAAAGACTCTTACAGACACAATACAGATTTCTGGCTACTTAAATTTGAATAATAATACTGTTATTACTGCTAACTCTAGACGTAAAATCTAAAGGTTAAAGTTTGAGCAAAAAGATAATATTTTTACTTTAACAACGTATATCTACCTACTAACTATAGTTACACAAACACTACGTAGACAGGAAAATGTAGTATTTTTGCTTTTACAACTTTGTATATCTAGAATTTAACAAATACTTGTGCAGGTTGGTATATATAAAATCTAAGTCAAATTGCTTGCTGAGCTGGAGTTAACTGTTAAGCTGTCTAGAGCCAACCTAAAATGGTTGGGCAAACCGTGGGGCGAGTAATACTGAAATCTTGGAAAAGATCGCAAAAAGCGCACGGTGGTATATCGAAAAAGCCAAAGCCAACAAAGCAAAACAAGACGAAGCCGACAACTTACAAAGGAACGGGGCAAAAAAACATGACAAAAACAAGGCTTCTCGTTTGCTCAGCCCGATGCAAGCAGGGTCCTAGTGGACAGGTAGACGTGCCGTTGTTTGATCATGAGTTATCGGTATTGACCGAGAGTAACCAACAACAACTCATAACGCGATCCTAAGTTTCAAGGGCAATTTCTACGTGACGACCTGAACCAGCACGACAGGCGAAAGTAAACAGATATGACATCACCGGCCAGAAGACTTTATACAGCCGCGTGTTCTCTAGCCATGTACTGTTCTTTTATTTCACAGGATATGTCGTTTGAAATTTGGTTGCACCAGAGTGCCATTGATACAAATCTCTGAGATGAGTCATCTGAGGATCTAACAGGCAGTTGAGAGCCTGAGGGCAAGCGTGATGGTTGGTGCTATACGTCAGGCTGGGTGTGGGTTTTCGCACGCCAGTCCAATGAACTACCCTGCAGCTTGTCGTCATAGACGTCAAAGACGACGACTCTCATAGGATGTCGTCAACGCGTCTGGATTGATGAGCTACACAGAAGCAGCATCACGTCAGTCTTATAATCTTGGCTAAAGTCACGCACCGCGTTTGCCGTTGTATGATTCGAGGGTGCGTAACGTACGCCTCGTGACTCGACGTTTGCGTCAGTAAACTCGGTGCTCTATACAGGCCGTCGCACTCCAACATGAATACGAGAGCGGGTAATGCGGCGCTAAGTCTAAACAAGGGCTCAACAAGAGGCCTGCTCACTGCCCGTTTGACAGCAGCTGTCTGCATTAGCGGCGTATGACCCCGGAGAAGCCATAAAACTGATCGATACAGATGGAACAGAAATCAAACCGAAGGGTCAGGAAGCGGTCGCAGTAGTGGTAAGATGTCCTTAAATTTCACAGGCTTCAACAGGTACTCATCAAAGCCAGAACTTTTCGCGGTGTTGCGTGCTTGTTCACTGCCTAGCCCAGTCAAAGCCAGGATATATGAGCGTGGAGTCGTGGTCGAAATTTTCCGGTCGCTGTCGACGTTGTGGGAGTCTTGGCTTTCTTGCTCTTCTTGCTGCCGTTTTTCGAGCCGTCGAATTGCTGCTACTGCTTGGAAGCCATCCATGACAGGCATACTGATATCCATGAACACACAATCAAACGGGTCTTCTTCTTCCAAAACCGCTTTTTGATACAAACGTACTGCTTCTGCACCATCAGGTGCTGTGGAAAATGGACGGCCTATACGTTTGGCAAATGCAGCCAGAACTTTGAGATTGATAGGGTTGTCGTCGACAAGAAGAAAACGCCTAAAACGAGACACGACGTTCGGGCGTGAGACAGGTTCGATTGTGGTTGCCTCTTGTAAGGGCGACGTTTGTGGTTGACAGAGCTGCTCTAGTGCTTCTTTCTCAACGTCTGGAGCAACCTGGTGTAAGCGATCGTCTGAATGTAAGCCAGAACGTTCGCTGTGAGCAGCTGTCGAGTTGTCCTCCTGGTGTACATCTGTCACAGATATTTGTGCGACCTGGTGACACGCTCCTTGCCCAGCGGTGTCCGAGATCGAAATTGTAGACATTGCCTCCTTGTCACTGGTCGCATTCAAAGCTGTAAGAAAAGCAGTCCTGACCTTTCTTTCAGTAATTGGCGAATTGATACATGTGATCTTTTCGACACCCAAAAACTGTAACAATCCTTTCACTGGTGTTCCCAGCACAACGATCGGCGGGAGGATTGTTTGTAATGAGTCTTTTGAAAACAGCTTTTCCAGATTGAGGTCGTCCGTAGTGGTGAGGGTATGCGTGTCGAGCAGGATCAGGTCCGTCTGTGGCATTGTATTCTCTGATATGTTTGCAATTTTCATACCGAGCATTCCCTCACAAATGTTCCGAATAGATCGCTGAAGCATCTTTGGCGGGGATACGATGCGAGGTGTACGCTCAGTAGTTTTTGGCTTGCCTAAAGCTATGCTAATCAATCCAAGAGACAGATTCTGTAATTTGTCCTCCGGGATGCCGGCGCTGTGTATTATCGGGTTGGTTGAGGATTCCACAATTTGTTCGAAAGGAATATTGAAAGTCACACGAGTTCCTTCGTGGTGGCGGCTCTCAACGAAAATTTTGCCTCCAAGCGATTCAACAAGACTTTTGGCAATGCTAAGACCTAGCCCATTACCCAAAGATAGGTTGTTCTCTTGCATGAACGGCGTGAAGAGATGGTACTTGAGAAATTCATGGCTCATGCCGATGCCGGTATCGGTGACACAGACGCTGATATGTTCAGGGCTATTGTTTGCCTTCTTCGAAATCCTCAAGCTGACATCAATGTATCCTGTGTCCGTGAATTTGAAAGCATTACTGAAGATGCACAGGAGGATTCGTTTCCAGGCACCCGTTTCGACAGACATCATCCAGTCACGGTTCTTCTCTATATATGTTGTGATAAATAACGACCTGGACGGATTGATTTGTATCCGACTGGCCGATGCATCCTGTTGCTCTCTTTTGAGGCCGGACTCCATCTGCATGGCAGAAGAATGACCCAGTGAAACCACTTCTAAGACGTCTTCGACGAGCGTGCCCAGATCAACTACCTCCTTTTCCAGGGGAGTATTGCTAGGGCTATTTTTGGGACGATCGGTCTTGGCCGATTGTGCATTGTGCGCACGGCTGTTTATTCTTGCGAACTCCAGAAGGTGGTCGAAAGTGTCGAGTAAAGTAGAGCTGCATGACTCAATCATTTCCACCATGGAAAGCAGATGTGGGTCGTTGGTAGTTTCTTGTATCAGCTCCACAGTCGCCAAAATTCCATGAAGTGGACTCCGCAGTTCGTGGCTGATAGAGGAGACAAAGTCTGATTTGGATTGTGTGTTCGTTGAAGCCTCTAGGCGAAGGATCTCAACCATCAACGAGTTTCCAAATGCTGTCAGCGAGTTAACATCGTTGGAATTCAAGGTCTTGGCAGTGTCGGATACCCAAACCAGACAGGTGGCAAAGCATGATTCTCTTTGGTAGTGCCACAGGGGCAGGAAGACTGCGTATCGGGCTTTGGGCACACACTCGAGAAGGTCTTTCCAATCACTGTCGACAACTGAGCCGCCACTTGGATCTTGATGGTCATCTCCGTCATGATCGCTTTCGTAATCGAGAACGCCGTATTCGTCCATGGCGAAAACATGGCCTTGTGGATACCTGTCCGTCAACCGTTGTATCGTTGATTGGCTAGGCTTGCGAATGATCTCCTCCAGGGCCCCATCGTCGCATCGATACTCGGAAAGCGGCATCGCCAAGAGACTATCTCCAGGTGTCATTGGCTCCACGATCCCATCAACTGTGAACGAAGATGACGAGCGGCTTCCCGCGTACTGAGCGTCCGTCGAAATCGTATCAAAAAAGACTAACCCATCCAAGTTCAAGGCATAGCCAATCACATTCGCAGCTTTTGTAAAAAGTTTGTTAATATGATAGGACATGTCCAATGTAGCTCGTTCGGAAGCATTGGGTCCCTGAATTGTTGGTTGGAGAGATTCATCTTCGAAATTGTACAGCGTTGACTCCCATGGACTGATAGAATCTGTTGTTTCAGGGGGCGTTGGTGTATCATCTGGAGTAATCGTTGCTGAAGGTTCCGAAGTAAGAGAGAGAAGTCCGATTGAACACCGAGAGACGTCGTCAGTCAGGTCTGCGAGTATGCCTCGGTCTCTGTTTGCATCCATGGGCCGGTCGTTCTCTACACTTTCATCTGCACTTGAGTTCAAGCCCATGCGTGGGGTCTGACTGAAGACGTTGAGATCGAATGGGCCTGCTTGAGCTCCGCCAGTTTCAATAGTGCCATGGCCGAGAGAAGGGACATGTCTGTCCGACCCGACAAAGAAGCGGAGTCCATCCATCATTCTCTCTGATCGTGTTCGGCTTGCTTCGACTCGTTTCGTATTCAAGTATGAACTGATGGCCTGAGTGACGTCCCGAATGGTGTCTAGAGCCTTAGGGGCCAAGAAGTCTCTTGACTTGTTGTCGACGACACAGTAACTGCCTATGATGTGTCCGGAAAGAGAGTGCAGGGGTACTTCGATATAAGACACCATGTGTGGGTAACCGACAACGTAAGGTCGTTCCGCGAATGAAGGGATTCGGCGAAAGTCCTTGATGCAAAAGTACGACTTGTCGGCGACGATATAAGGCGTCTCGGGCAGTGCCACATCTGTCTTGCCGTGGAAGATAGACATTGTATATGGACAGACGCCCCATTCGAGGGCGATTCTAGAAATGCCCAACAACAGAGGCTGCAGCGGGTTCTGACGTACGAGCGGCTGGTCCCGCGTCATCTCAGCACATACGAACTGACTGCGGTTGTCGATGAGGGAGAGGAAGGCACGGTCGCAGTCCATCATGTGCACGCCATGCTGCACGAGCGCGTTGAGTGTGAGGTCGCTGCTCGGGAAGGGATTGGTTGGGGGCCCAAAGGCAACGTCGAAAGGAAACGAGGCCGCCGAGAGATATCTAGAAGCGTCCTGGTCAGTAGCAAGCACAAGTCCCCAGTGCACGCAGACGTCTTACGCCGCGATCTCGTAAGCTCGCACTCGTTCCGAGTTTTCTACAGCCTGAGTGGCGGCACAAGCAGCGGTCCCCGACACATCCATAGTGTAGCTCTGGAGCGCCAGCTGGGGGCACACTCGTCAGCACAAGGTACCGCGACGACCAGTCGGTTGCCCGCCTGGAGCCAGTAGAGCCGCGAATGTCGATGACAATGTGTGGAGATGGATTGAATCATGTGGCCTAGAAACCCTTCTGTAGTTCGTGGCTCGTGCGAACATCGGGGCCGTGAGTCGGGAACATATCGAAGACTCCGATCGATCTGCGATGATGCATATCGGATGACTCAGCAGTTGTTTATCTCTACAGACAGGCTAACGCAAACCAATGACAACTCCGCCACTCGATAAGATTCTAGCTATTATGGTTCATGTCGGTATTCTGTTCCGTATTTGAGTGGAGATGACTGCTCAATGCGAACAGACAAATCATAGGTATTTAAGCTGCTTGAGTAGATGATGAGCAACGTGTTCCAATACTTAAGATGATGACACGAGTGATATCCACACATGAAAAGCCGTACATATCTCCATTACCTGTTGCAATTGATACTTGTCCATGCAGGCACGTTGAAATGGTCCAGTCGTGTCTGTTGGAAAATGTGAATTTGAGCTTAGCACTACTCCTAAGATGTCAACACTTGTACAAATTATGATTAGGACAGTGGGGATGATCGCGCACCTTCTCTACTTCATACAATGCTGTACAACAATCAGGCATTCTCGAAGCGTATAGATTGTGCAACGCACAGGCCTCCGGGCTAATGTTTATATCCAGTCCCTCATGTTGCAGAAGCAAGCTCTTGGTTAGTCGGAATACCCGGAACTAGATAGGCAGCAGCGAGGTCTTGCAACAGCTTGACAACTACATGTAAACAAACTGTAAGCCTTTTTCGCCTGACGTGTTGTTTGTATACGCCTACCAAACATGTATGTCTTCGTAGTACTTTCAATCTTATAATTTAGGGTTGTTGTGTTGCTGCAAAAAACAGACCTTGATTCCGGGTATTTCGACTAACCGAGAGGCAAGATGGACCGGATATAACCGAAGATGAGACTTTACTTGTCAGGCATACATCTTCTGCGTCACTCTGTCAGCCATAGCCGTTCGCAAGGCCCATTACACATCGTAAGCAAGCTTTGTGGCGTATCAACGTCCTTGCATCCGCTAATCCCGAAGCCTCCTTCTTCATCTGGCGTTAGCTTGGATGACATTGGAGCTAGGTACCTTGACCACCTTCCTTAACCATGCCGTTAGTCTTGTTATCTGGTAATCGTCATCCATGTGCGATTGGAGGTATATAGGAAGCTGTGCGACGCGTAGATCGGGCGCTGTAATTGCGCTGTCGCTGTCGCTGTAGCTATGCGTTTCTCAATTGCTGTTGCAGGATTGTTGTTTGGGTTTGAGGCTTCGGCGATAGGGGTTGGACCGAAGAACGCGGTGGCAAGGGAAGCAGAGGTAGGTTATGCGATTGAGAATGACGGCCAGACCGCTTGCTTAGAACCTCTTGTTGTCGCGACATGTCCCGCCGTCGAGGTCGCGTGACTAGAATACACACATGTCGCACTGCTTGTTGCAAAACTTAACCATATACTGACTGCTCTCCAGATCGCACGCACAAATGCACGACGCAGCCTGCACAGGCGCGACGATGTTGATCCCGCAACCTTGTACCCGGAATACAATATTTCCGTTCCAATAGACTTTTTCCAAAACGAGACGCGATACGAGCCGCATAGCAATGGCACATTCGACCTAAGGTACTGGTTCGACGCCACATACTACAAGGCTGGCGGTCCCGTCTTTGTCCTGCTCGGTGGAGAAACAGATGGAGCCGACCGTCTGCCCTTCTTGCAGAAGGGAATAGTCCACCAAGTCGCAAAGGCCACGAACGGCATGGGAGTCATCCTCGAGCACCGTTACTATGGCAAAAGTTTCCCCGTCCCCGATCTCACGACTGAGAACATGCGCTTCTTGTCGACAGAGCAGGCATTGGCCGATGTCGATTACTTCGCGCAGAACGTCAAGTTCGAGGGTATCGATGCTGATCTCACTGCACCAAACACGCCTTGGGTTGTATACGGTGGCTCGTATGCAGGTGCACAGGCCGCGTTTCTGCGCGTTGTTTACCCGGGAACTTTTTGGGGCGGAATTTCGTCTTCAGGTGTTACGTTGGCAGTTTTTGATTATTGGCAATATTTCGAACCAATCAGGTTATTCGGGCCGCCAGATTGCATCAAGAACACTCAGCTGCTTGTTGATGTTGTTGACAAGATTCTCCTCGATGAGACCAACGCGGAGAAGGTACAACCGCTGAAAGAGGTTTTTGGATTAGGAAACATTACCGACGACAGGGACTTTGCGAACCAATTCACCAGTGTCTATGGCTGGCAGAGCACCAAGTAAGTTAAAGTAAGCTGTAACATATGTGATCTTCAGCTGACAATCATCAGCTGGGACCCTGAGGAGAATTCGGCATCTTTCTTCAAGTAAGCTCCCCTGCAGTTTGCTGTTTTTTTCACACTGACCATCTCAGCTACTGCAGCAACTTGACCCAGTCGGTTGACCAAGCAGACCCTGCGACCGAGTCCCTCCGTTCATCCGTCACCGACATCGTCTCAGCAGCAGGATACGCCAACGACACGCTGGTGCAGAACATCACCCTCAACGCGATCAGCTGGGTCAACAAGACGTCGCTACCAGGCTGGCGACGATCCATGTTGACCCAAGACCAGTACTTCACGACGCTCAACGACACATCTCTGCAGTCCTACACCAGCCTAGCCGACTATTCAGCCACAAGCTGGAGCTACCAAGTCTGCACCGAATGGGGCTACATCCAGACGGGCAACACGCCCGCGGATATCATGCCGCTCATCCCGCGTACCCTGACCATCGAATACCTGACCTACTTCTGCAAGGCGCAATTCAACATCACCACACCCCCGGACACAGACCGCGTCAACAAGTACGGCAACTACAGCATCGACTACCCACGCCTGGCGCACATTGGCGGCAACGCGGATCCCTGGCGCCCCGCGACGCCACTTTGGTACCCCGAGAGCAGGAACTCGTCGACGGAGAAGCCGTGGTTGCTGATTAGTCATGCTGTGCATCATTGGGAGGAGAACGGCTTGTTTGAGAATGAGACGACGCCGTTGTTGCCACCGCCGCAGATTGTGTATGCGCAGCAGTTTTTGAAGAACTTTGTCGTTGATTGGGTTGAGGGTATGTATTTCTTCGCTTGATGTTTGTTTTGAGGAAGTTGCTGACGTTATGCAGAGTTCAACAGTCAAGATCAGAGTGAGCTGAAGCGGTTGTAGATATCGTTTGATAGATGGTGATTGTTCGCTCTGTTGATGTTGGATCACGGTACCAAGAGGCCAAACCAAACACAATCAACATATGTACAGAAAAGCGACACAGCAGTCCTGTTGTAGGAATATTTTTGATGGTGATCAATCGGGACTCTCATTAATTCATTATCTATTAATCGAACCCAGCTGCTAAAAAGGCATCATCCCCACCCACCATGCACACAATTCTACTCCTCTATTTCACCCACGCAAACCCATCGCTCGTAACAATCTCATCCCCCGTCTCGGTGCCAACCAAAACACTAACCTCAAACCCACTCGAACTCACACTCCCACTCGCGCCAAACAAGCTCGTCACAGCCGCGGTGAGCGTAATCTCCTTGCCCAGATAGCTCGTGTTGTTGAACGCAGCGGGCGCCGTCGCGGGGATGGAGATGTTGGTCAGGATGTTGGACACGTTGGGGCCGAGGTAGGCGGACGACACGAAGGACCCGATCGTCGCGTTGTAGGGCGAGAAGGTGTAGCCCCATGCTACGGAGATGTCGGCAACGGTTTGGATGTAGTTTTCTGTGAGCAGCGAGATGGTGAAGGGCTCGCTGGGCGCGATGGTCGAGGGCGCTGCGATGCCGATGATGCGGGCTGAGGCTAGGGAGGCGCTGGTGAGCGCGGCGGCGGTGAGGGATGAGAAACGCATTTTTGGGGTGGTCGGTTTGGTTGGTTGGTTGGGATTGAAAATGTGGATGGTGCGGTTGTGATTTGGTGTTGTTTTGTAGCGGTGTAGAGGAGAGTAGATGGGTTGTGAGTTTCGATATAGAAAAAAAGTACCTTACCAGCAGGCCTTGCGGTCTTTATACCTACCCAGCCACGCACTCACATTCCTCTATCCGTCGTCCGTCCGCAGCGTCATGTCTCGTATTCGGCCGACCTCACCGTAACATTACTTAAGCTACAGCCGTCACAGCGTCGGAAGTGGCACTGCTGTGCTTGCTAAGCCCTTTTTTTAACATGACAATGCCGGGAGATCTGCAGGGCCATATATTTACGATGCTATATTTGGGTGCATGCAAGGGTTTTTAGATGCCGGTTGTGCCGAAACGAGAGTCAGCAGCTGGGGGCTGGCGTGTGCTACGTCATAAATTTGGACTAGTGGCGAGGGTGACATGTTGCATCAACATCAGCATCAGCATCTTGAACATATGAGGCGGGGATAATGTGGAGAATGTGGTAAGTTGGAGATGGAGGTTGAGGGTTGAGGTTACAGTGGGTTGGTTATACTTAGAAAGTGATGAGCGCTGTGTGTGGATTCATGGAGTATGAAACTACCCCAGGTGCTGTTCAGAGCAGTGTGGAGATGCGGGAATACTCTGCGACAAGACCAAATCTATTGATTGACCATTGATGATACCTGATTATATGAAGGGGTTACAAGTAATTTCCCGTATATGCACTGTGCGCTCAACTCCAATCTTTGGAAATCCTTCACAGTATGCACAATTCAAGCTGTCACCGCAAGTGGTACCATCTCAGCACCACTTTCTTACTGTTGATGTCGTCCTTCATACTCCCTTGATAGCACATCAGTCCATCTACGTAGGCTTCCCCAATGACCTTGTAATGCTCTTCTCTCGCGTTGTCCTCGCCGTTTCTTTCCTCGTCTGCGAGCTTCTCGTCTAACAGCTTCTCTTCGCAACGTCTCAAAATAAAAGGCGTCTCCCCACCAAGAAGGACGCAAACCGCGTCGCCTTTCTTCACGTTCCACCGTCCGAGTCCGAACCGGCCTTTCTCAGTGATGAAAAATCGCCGGTTCCTACACATATCATTGACGTGCTTGATATACTCTTTGTCGTTATCATTTTTGGGGGGTTTTCTTCTCTCTCGTATCCTCTGTTTCCAGTCCATGGGCTCCGTCGACCAACGGTCCGCAACAATGGTGCGGTCAAAAGCTTTCTTGGTGTCGGAGCCCGCGGCCCAGGGTCCGCCTACAACATGCTCCCAGCCTCGTAATGCGAAATGCCAATCTATGCTTTGGGTAGTTTCTTGGTGAAAGTCTCCGACTAGTTTGATGGTGTCAATGTCGTAGCCTTGAAGTGAAAGAATGCGACGCGGTATATCGGCTTTGAACACGGCTGGATGAGAGTCTGAAGCCTACAGATAACGGTACAGTGAGCAGCATTCTCAGTGACGGGATGTACGTAGCCTTCGACTTTGAAATATATGTGAAGATGGCAATAAGACCATTGCCATGTACGATATGATGCGACTTACAGAATAGTTGAGACCGGACTTTGTAAATTGGACGACATCAAACCAGCCGTCGTCGTTGGAGCCCCAATCTCGACACCAGCTCACTCCTGGCAGCTCAACCCCAGCGGCATCTACAATGACTGTCAGATCCTTGTTGTGTTGAAGAGAAGATATAGTAAACTGGAGGAAGACGTCCTCAGGCGGCAGACTATAGTCTGGAGTGAGGAGCGTAGGATTGTCTGACTTGAGTAGGCCAAGTAGGGCGTAGATCTTGTCAGAACCGAAAGTTGCAGATTGGAAACGGAAGCGATAGGCCATTCCGAGGAGCGTATCGTTGATAGAGAGGTCATTAACATGATTGCCTGAGCGGACATCTTCGATCTGTTCTGCAAAACCTGTAGCGACCAGATGACCGAATTCGTCGTGTCGAAAGGGTGTGTAGGTGAGTAGCTTGTGTAAGGTTTCCCATTTCACTTGGTGAGCGCCTCTCTGCATAACAACGTCCTTCGCCATAACAATTTCTTGTATGATCCATGCCCGACCCCACCATTCGTACTCCAGTATATGACTAAATTCTCTTCGAATTCGATTCCAGCGAGGAAGCCTATTGTGGTGTTGCAGTCAGTAAGTTGCTTTCAGGGTAACGGAGTGTGTGTTGACATTGCTCGAGAACCCTCACGTACTCCAGGAGAATACGTAAGATGTCGCAGAGACAAGACTCAAGATAGCTCTACCGACAACAGGGTCTTACATACGTAGCTCGATCCTTCCACATCACATCTCTTGTCTCTGGCTCTGCAGCATCAAACTGTCGTACAAAACTGAACGCAGCAGCAGTGGCCGAAGTTTGTTCGCCCAACCATACGACAACCTTGGAGGCTTCCGCATAGATATCTCGCATCATTTGAACCTGCGAACTCTTCTCGGGATTATCGTACTGGTTGATGCATATGGCATCGATCCAGATGAGTCGCTCACGGCCAGGGTAACGCAATGCCCTGAGCGCATTATATAAGTTGTATGTGACGTAAAATGGTTTCCCATCTACCTGAACTTTGTGAGGGATGAGGGTAGTTCCCCATACATAGCTCAGAGCCTCAAACTTCGATCCGGAAACCAGGCCAGGAATCAGATCGCATTCTATGTTATCATGACCTGTACCCGGTTTGAGACGAACAACACGGATGGAATGTGCGTGCTGGGGGAGTGGCGAATAGGCGTGAGAATTCTGAACGAGTATCCAGGTCCGGAGTCTGGGATAGACAATCTCGTAGATCGGATATCTGTACAAGGCGAACCAAAGAGAGAACAGCAACAACACCGCCACTGCCCAGATCCCCATGATGGCCACTCCCAGAATTGGAAGCATGAGCGAGAACACGACAGGTGGTAGGAGGAGTGTGATGAAAGATAGGGCAATGAGAAGAAAGCTCAATGGATAGACGGCTGTATAGTAGCCCATTCTTGAGAGACGTGATCCAGATGGAGCGAACTGGTGGATTTTATTCTGATACAGATCGATGGCTTCGGGCACAGCTACAACAGTCCAGGGTTTGGTATATCCGCTTCTGAGACTTGTAACCTGCTTCCACGCATTGGATATGATGACCCCTAGATAACTGAGTCGATGGAAGAGGGACGTCCGGTCGAATTTCGTGCCGATTGGGCACTGGGCCCAAAAGACACCGGAGACATGGCGTATGAAGTTGACCATCTCCACTCCCAGGACAGGAAGCCCCTTGGCTGTGAGCGCTGGGTAGATGTTGTCCGAAAAGAAAGGCAAGCGAGTGATGAGATGGTAAGAACTGTCGAATGCCTCTTCAATCAGGGACAATGGTGACAAGTTCTATCGCGTTTGTGATAGTGAGAGCCGTCAAGGCTTGCGCGAGGAAGTTGAGGGTCGAGAAGAAGGCTGAACTCCCTATGCGCGCATGTTTGGCCCCCACGCCGAGCATAGCCTCTTTAGGTTCCCATGTGAGCAACGCGTCTTTGGTTTACCGTGGTGGAAGGATCACCGTCCAACATCTGAGGTCAGCATAACATGCACATGTTGCGTGTAACATCATCTCAAACAGGTTAGTGCACATCAACGAGGCAGGCGCGAGGATGACCATATGCCTCAGCCTTGGACCTCAAATCCCCAAATCACAAAATGGCATCCTCTCCAACCCAAACAAACCGCAAACACTTCATCCCCCTAGAATCCAACCCAGACGTCTTCACAGAACTAGTCCACAAGCTGGGCCTCGCACCGTCTGTGTATTTCCAAGACGTGCTTTCGCTCGACGACCCGGAGTTGCTGGCGTTCGTTCCGCGACCAGCTCATGCTCTGATTCTGGTATTCCCTACGACGGAAGCGTATGAGAAGAGGGTTAGGGATGAGGACGGGGGGGTTGAGGAATACGAAGAAGATGGTGTGGTGTTTTTTAGACAGACGATTAATAATGCGTGTGGGCTCTATGCGATTTTGAATGCTGTTTGCAATGGGGAGGTGAAAGGGCAGATTCGTGAGTGAATTTACTGTCTTGAAGTGTGGTTTGTTGACGAAGTGTAGGACTCGACTCTGTTTTGGGCAACCTCTTGTCGACCTGCATACCACTCAAGACAGAGGAGTGTGCTCGTGTGCTGGAGGACAGTCAAGATTTGGAGCATGCATATGCTGAAGTTGCGAGGAAGGGTGATACAGAGGCGCCGGTCAATCCTGAGGACGAGGTCGATTTTCACTACGTTGCCTTTGTCAAATCAGACGCGAACAGCCATCTGTATCAACTCGATGGCGACCGCAAGCGACCGATTGATCTAGGCCTGCTGGATGCAGATGCAGATGCCCTGTCTGACAAATGTCTGGATGTGATCCGGCGCATGATTACAGGGGAGCGTGGAAATTTGAACTTCAGCCTGATGGCATTGGTGTCGGATCAAGCATAATCATAATATCAAACAAGAATGTAGGTAACCAAGGAGTCACACCCTTCGTAGAAAGATCTCGAAAGAGCGAGGCAGCGTGAACTATGAAGGACCTTGTTTTGCTCTTGCAACGTATTCCGAAGAATGCACGAACGCTTGTACAGCCGCAAAATCGTATCCGACGCAAGACGCGAGGATACGGGATGCTGCCCGAGGGCACTTGTGGGAGGGTCAGAGACTCAAGTGGCTGGTGTGCGAGTTGCGTGGTACTAATTGATGTCGTTTCAGTGCTCCCTTGACATGATGGGAACGTCTGAACGACAGAATGGTATCGTGGTGATGTGCGCGAAGCTACATGGAGAGGACGAGGAAAAGAAAAGTTCATCTGAGCTCGCCGCCAAGCCCTAATAGCCGCGCTAAGGTCACCTCCAGCTTCGGAAACGGCGAGCTCTCCATGTCACCCCCAACGTACTCGACTCGATTGTAGCCAGCATCACGTCTTGACTCTACCTTCGCCGACCTCTCCGTCGTCGCCGAGTTTTGACACGCTCCCGCTCTCCCGTTCCCGACCGGCGCCATGACGAAGAAGCGCAAGAGATATCCCGACCTCAACCAGAAGCTCGAGCGGCCATGGTGCTACTACTGCGAGCGCGACTTTGACGACCTCAAGATCCTCATCTCCCACCAGAAAGCAAAACACTTCAAATGCGACCGTTGCGGGCGTCGGTTAAACACTGCCGGAGGTACTTTCACCTCTCTTTCGTTGGGTCATGCCATGGCGGGTGCTAACGGCGACAGGTCTCTCGGTGCACATGTCCCAAGTCCACAAGGAAAACCTCACACATGTCGAGAACGCGATCCCGGGGCGCCAGGGCCTCGAGCTGGAAATCTTCGGCATGGAAGGTGTGCCTGCGGAGATAATAGACCTGCAGAACCAGCAGGTCACGCAGAAGCACTTCGCCGAGGAGCAAGAGCGCGCGCGCATAACGGGTAACCCTGTCCGCGGCCAGTACGCGAACGGCACGGTGCCGCCTAACAAGCGCCCCAAAGTCACAGAGAGCTTGGAGGAGATTGAGGAGCGCGCAGACAAATTCAGACACGACCGCAAGAACGGCATCCTGCCGCCGCCGCCCGTCGTCGAAGCCGTGCAGAACCCCGTACGTTTGGACAAGCTCGATACGTGTGGTAGACAACAGAAGCTAACTCGTACACGCAACAGACACCACCAGCCGCCCAGCCCCCATACGGCGCCCCCTCCCCCTTCCCCCCCGCCGCATACCCCCCACAACAAGCCTTCTCCCCCGCAAACGGCGGCATACCCGCCCGCCCAGGCAGCATACCCGGGCAACCAGGCGCCCTACCCGCACGACCAGGCTTCGGCGCCCCGCCCGGCGGCTTTCCCCCCGGCCCAGACGCCATCCAAGCCTCGCTCGACGACCTCATCAACGAGGCTACCAAGGCAGCTGCGCCCGACGACAAGAAGGAGGAGAAGAAGAGCAAAAAGGACAAGAACATCAAGTTGGTTTTCTTTGACGAGATTGTTAGCCCCGAGGAGAAGATGGCGCTTTTGCCGAGGTTCGCGGAGTTTGCGAGGGCGTAGATGGACGTGTGTGTGTGTGTTTCAGTAGGCGTTTGCTTTGCAGATTGTAAGGCGGGTGGGAGGGGATTAAATCGAGGATGGGACATGTTCTGTTCAAAAGGGGGATTTGGGGGTGGATAAGTCAAGTCAAGTCAAGTCAATTCAATGAAATATACAAAAGGCACTAGCAAGCAAGCAAATCAGAAGCCATGGATATCTGCAGTGTTACTCGTCGTATAAACACCCACTCACTAATACCTAAAGCTTTTGACTCTGACCTCTCTCTTTCTCTCTCATAACTAAAGATCCTGATATCAACAAAAACCGCCGGAAGACGCTAAATTATATATAAAAACCTCCATTACCGTTCCAATAAACCACAATAAAGTCCCCATCCCACCCCAATCCACGCATTACCAATTCAACAGATATTCACTGCTCAAACTCATACCCCCCCAACTCCTCCCCCTCCTCCTCCTCATCCTCATCATACTCCTCACTCTGCTGATCCTCCTCCGTATCTTCATCATCATCTTCTTCCTCATCATGGCTATGACTCCCACTCGCACTACTAGAACTCCTCGCATCGCTTTCGCGCGCCCATTCCGACGTCTCAGTGAAAGCCAGGGAGTCAGCTAGATGCATTGGCCTCTTATGCTGTACTTGCTCGTCTTCTTCCTCGCTCTCATCATCCTCATCATCGTCGTGGGTAGGCGTCGAGAGCGGGAACGTAGCATCATCCGAATCCGCGTCTACATGGGGCGTAGGATCCACATTCTCCAGTGGCGTTTGATGCTGTGTACTAGCAAACAGCACGCTCTTCCCCTGCTCGGCACTTGCAGCAGGCTCATCATACCGACGCTTTGCTTCGAGCACATCGCCACCCCACGGCCGGCACTGCTTGACCACCTCGCCGCAGCGCAGACACGTCCAGCCCTCGCCCTCTTCATTCGCGATGCGCTGCGCGACGCACGCGAAGCAGTATATACAGCCGCACTCGATAGTTTCGTAGGGGTTCGTGATGTCTGTTGCTGCGGAGCCGACGACGCCGCCGGAGAGGGATTGGGAGAGGATGTCTGCTTCTGTTGCGGTTGTGGGGTTTTGGTCGCGGTAGCAGATTGCGCAGGTGCGTTCGGGGAGGAAGGCGAGCTCGCCTGATTTGGTGGTGGAGTCGGGGTCGGTGTCGGAGTCGGTGGGGGATGGGGGCGCGCGGCCTAGTAGTGAGAGGAGTGTGGATTGGAGTTTGCGCCATGAGCGGGTGAGGATGCGGCGCCAGCGCGTGATGCCGACGAGCGGGAGGAGGAAGAGCAGGAACTCTGTGAAGGCGTGCCAGACGAGTTGGCGGTTGAGGTACTCGAAGGATACTTCGCGCGAGGTGGCGTGGCTGGTGGGCGTGAGGCGCAGGCGCAGCAGGCGGTCTGTGAGGGTGCGGTAGCGGCCGTTGACGAGGAAGACGAGGAAGGAGGCGAGGGAGGCCATGTCGTGGGCCGAGTTGATGCGCTCCGTCAGCCCGGCGAGGAAGGTCAGGCGCGGGCTCTCCGGGCGCGTGTAGTCTTCCGACGCGGAGAGTAGGTACTCCTCCCACTTTGTCCACGCGTACCGGCCGCCGACCATCAGGAAGCCGTAGGCTGTCTTCTGCCAGGGCTTGGGCGGTGGGCGGTTGGGGGCCGACGAGCGCGCGTCCGAGTAGCGCAGGCCCTGTAGATGGGCGCCGTACGACGCGTTGTTGTTCCAGATGGACAGCTTGAACAGGACGAGGCGCAGGGCGAGCAGGATCTCGGGCGTGTAGTTGTCGGTGATGTGTGTGCCGAAGTACTTGAGGCCCTCGCCGACCTGGGCCTTCATCAGGGCGAGCAGCTCGTCGTCCAGCAGCTCGGCGTCGACCTGGCCGACGCGGAACGAGGGGCGGGTACCCTCGCGGCCCTTGATGGCGTCCCAGGCGCTGCGGCCGACGCTGCTGAGGCCAGCGAGGGGAAAGGGGAGGCGCGACAGGGCGCGGGCCGTGGGCGTGGGCGGCTCATGGTGGTGTTGTCGTTGGTGTGCGAGGCGCTGGGCGCGGCGGGCTGCTATGCGTTGCTGCGCGGCGGCGAAGTCTGCGGCGGGCATCTGGGGGCATTGGCGTGGATGGCGGGTGGGTGCTGGGGGAAGGGGACGTGATAGCGTGATGGTGTGAGAGGGCGTGGCTGGGCCGAGGTTGGCGACGACTGCACCACCGCAGCCGAGTGCACCATGCGAGAGTGCTGTTCTGCGTGGAATTGGACTGCGAGCACGGCGCGATGTCTATTCTGCGTGAAATCATGAAGTGTGAGAAGATATCGTAGAAGGGCGGTACGCGTGTCCTTCACCGTCGATCACCGCCTGCGTAGGCGAAGAGAAGACTGGGAAATGGCGATTCACATGCGTCGAGCTCCAACAACGGCAAGACATCACCCTCTTCGCTTCACCGCGACGCGCTTGTGAGTCCATGGCCCTCGACTGACCGCCAGCGCCGACTGCCCCACCACGACAAACTCTGGTCCCCCTACCACCAAGCACCCGCCCGCCATGAACGTCGACTTCGGCGCCATCGAGGTGCCCGGCGAGGCCAACCCGCTCACCGAGGGCATCCTCTACCACGTGCTGCGCTCTGCCGCCTCGTCCAACCCGACGCAGATCCAGACGGGCACCAAGCAGCTGCAGGAGTGGGAAAAGGCGCGGGGCTTCTACCCGCTGCTGCAGGCAAGCACGCGCCCGTCTTCCACGCGACACAGGCCCCTAACACACGTCTAGTCCGTCTTCCTCGACCGCTCCCTGCCCATCGAGGTCCGCTACCTCGCCATCATCCAGCTCAAGAACGGCATCGACAAGTACTGGCGGAAGACGGCCACAAAGTACGCTCCTCCGACCCCACACACGCTCTCTATCTGACAATGGCAGTGCCGTGAACAAGGAGGACAAAGCTACCATACGCGCCCGTCTGCTGGAGAGTGCCGTGAGTGAAGGTGACCAGCGTCTGGCGTTGCAGAATGCCCTCGTTGTCGCCAAGATCGTGCGCTTCGAGTTCCCCCACGACTGGTGAGTTGGTGCATTCACTTCTGGTAACAACTAGCTGACGTCTCCCAGGCCAGACCTGTTCCAGCAGCTGCTCCAAGTCCTCCGCGCCTCGACCGACCCCAACGCCTCCAGACTGCAGCTCCCCCGAGCTCTCCTCGTTCTGCTGTACATCGTCAAGGAACTATCAACAGGTCGCCTGCTTAGAACACGCCAAAACCTGCAAACTGTCACGCCCGAGATCCTCAGCGTCCTGGGCACCATCTACGTCAATAAGGTGCAGAGCTGGCAGACCTTCTTCCGCGATGGCGGCGACGACGAAGGGGGCGCTATCGAGAGCATCGAGAACAGCTTGCTCGCCATCAAAATCATCCGACGACTGATAATCGCAGGCTATGACTTCCCTGGCAGAGAGAAGGATGTCCAAGAATTCTGGACTCTCACTCGCACCCACTTTGGCGACTTCCTCCAATACGTCTCGGAAGACTCACCACTCGCATCTAGCGTCCAGAAAATGGTTGAGAAGCATCTCATGCAGCTGTCCAAGCTCCACCTGAACATGGCCGTTACTCACCCAGCTGACTTTGTCCATCTGCCAAACTCACTAGATCTTGTGCGCGACTACTGGAGTCTCGTCTCGAGGCTGGGCGAGACCTGGGGCTCAAAGTCTATAGACGATGCCAAAATCGGTACAGATGGCGATGCTGAGGATGAAGCGCCCATAATTGAGCGTCTGGGCCTAAAAGGTCTCCTCCTCATACGTGCTTGCGTGAAGCTGGTCTTCTACCCCTTGCAGTCTTTCCGTTACAAGCAACAGCAGGAAAAGGATGAGAAGACGCAGGCGACACAACTAGTCAAGTCGGAGCTTCTCACTGACGACCTTGTTCGCGAAATGATCTCTTCGCTTGTCACTCGCTTCTTCGTGTTCCGAGCCAGCGATCTCCGCATGTGGGAGGAGGAGCCCGACGAGTGGGAGAAGATGGAAGAAGGCGCTGAGGATTGGGAGTTTTCTATCCGACCTTGCGCTGAGAAGCTGTTTCTAGACCTCGCAAAGAATTTCAAAGATTTGATCGTCCAGCCACTTCTACAAGTCTTCTATTCGGTCGCGAGTGAGTACTTACGACAGACAGTGAGGAAGGGTGTCTGCTAATAATTTGCAGCACCGGATAATGAGGATATTCTCTTCAAGGACTCGGTATACACTGCTATTGGTCTCGCTGCTGACATACTGCACGATCAGCTGGACTTTGACTCTTTCATGACGAACACGCTGGTTGTCGAGGTTGGCAAGCAGAAACCTGGCTTCAACATCATCCGACGACGCATCGCCATCATCATTGCTCAGTGGATATCCATCAAGATTGCCAACGACAAGAAGCCGATCGTGTATCAGATCTACCAACATCTATTGGACAAGAGCGATCCATTAAACGATCAGGTTGTTCGAGTCACGGCAGGGAGAAAGTTCAACGACATCGCGAATGAGTGGGAGTTCCGCGCTGACAATTTCCTGCCCTACGCGCCTGTCACGTTGGACAGGCTTATGGCGCTCGTGCAAGAAGTCGAGCTCGCGGATACGAAGATGGCGCTGCTAAACACGATTAGTATTGTTGTTGAGCGACTAGAGCACCATGTAAGTAAAACGTTGGAGGGTTATTGCATATACTAACATATACAGATCACACCCTACGCAAACAGCATCATCTCCCTTCTACCGCCTCTATGGGAACAGTCTGGCGAAGAGCATCTCATGAAGCAGGCCGTCCTTACCCTTCTTGCTCGCCTCACAAACGCCATGAAAGCCGACTCGCGCTCATTCCACATGTCGTTTCTCCCTATCATCCAGAGTGCCATCGAACCCGGGTCGGAAACACAAGTCTACCTCCTCGAAGATGCGCTCGATCTCTGGTCCTCGATCATCGCCCAAACCCCATCCGCGCCAGAACCCACACCACCAGAGCTCCTCAATCTACTCCAGTACCTCCTCCCCCTATTCACCATGGACAACGACACGCTCCGAAAAGCCATCGAGATCACCGAAGCCTACCTCCTGCTTGCCCCCGCCGCCGTTCTCGCCGACGACTTCCGCCCCGCCATCCTCCAAGCCCTCGCCGACCTGCTCGGCAATCTCAAGCCAGAAGCCAACGGCATCATGACACATCTCGTGCAGTGCATAATCCGCGGCGCAGAGGGCGTGGGCGGCGAACAAGCCGTCAAGATCCTCACCGCCGACCTCATCTCCACGGGCTTCCTCGCAAAGGTCCTCGAGGGCCTACACGGCGCATGGACACACCACCAATCCCACGGCCCGTACCGCGAAATGCCCTCCCGCGCCGTCGACGGCGTCGTGGAAACAGACCACTTCACCGTGCTAGCACGCATCGGCCTCGCGTCCCCCACCGTCCTCCTCGAAGCCCTAGCATCAGTCGGCAACGCAGAGCTCGAGTCGACGCTCGACTGGCTGCTGGAAGAATGGTTCAGCCACATCGAAAACATCGGCGACGCGCCGAACAAGAAACTCATGACCCTCGTGCTGACGCGGCTGCTGGAAACAGGCCAGCCGTGGGCGTTATCACGGCTACAGAATCTGTTCGTCGTGTGGACGGATGTGCTTGCCGAGCTTCTGGACGGCATGGATGATCGGAGTGTTGAGTACGTCTCCCCATAACTGACGAACAAGCAAACGTACTAACCACCCAACCAATTAGCTCGCTCTACTGGCCCCCCGAGCCCACGCCCTACGGCGCCACTACCCCCGCCGAACCTGAAGCTCCAGAGGACGTCCGGAAGCGCGAACTCATCTACTCCGACCCCGTGCATCGCATCAATCTCGTCGCGTTTGTGCGCGAGCATCTCCAGCGCGCTGTGCAGGCGGCGGGCGGCGAACAGCGGTTTCAGGAGGAGTGGTTGGGGCGTGTGGATAAGGATGTTTTGAAGGGGTTTGGGGAGCTGGGGATCATGTAGGGGTAGATGGGTATGGAGAGGCATGGTGCATGTGTGTGTAAGCTTACTATGCTACGCTACTACTAGAAATGCCTTGACAGTCTTCCTGTGCAGCTCTATGCTTCGTTGCAAATCGATCGAGATTAAGTCGTTGACATCGTTTACGCGCCTCTTTCTTCCTTGTCCCTCTTTCTTCTCACCACTATCACGGCTACCACCATTTCGGCGCTGGCTTCTGTATGCACATACTCGACTCTATCGAACCATCACATCCCAAACCACAAATCCCCAACCCTCACACCCCCCCATCCCGCAACCGCAAAAACTCCCACCCAGCCCTCACAACCGCCAACCCCCCACCCTGCGTCTCAACAGTCCGCCCCCTCCCCCTAGAATTCGCATCCCCCCCCTCCCCCCTCAGCGACGCAGCGCCCCACCACGCGCCAAACCTCCCCTGTTTATCGCGCGTCCCCAACGCTGCACGCGCATTATGCACAACCCAATCCGTGTACTCCTCACAACTCCGTCTATGCAGTGCCATCGCCGAACCGTGCGTCAACGGGGTGCAAAACGCAGTTAAATGGTGGAAGAAAATCCCCTTAAACGCCTGTCCGTTCTGCGAGCACATCCCGCGGGAATCACAACCTTCCTCCAGGATGCCGTTTGCGCCTAGGCTGTGGTCGTGTGTGTGCCACCCCGTAGCGCGCAGCACGTTGCGCACCAGCTTGTGCCCGTCTTCAAGGTAGGAAGTTTGGGATGTAGCGAGATACAAATCCCGCAGCCCCGAGAGTATGACGCCCTGATTATACGTGTACACGTTCTCGTTGCGCTCGTTGCAGACCGTATGCGAGGGGTAGTCGCGGATATGGAAGCCGTCTGTGTAGAGCCCTGCTGCGTTTATCATGCCGCTTGCGTTCAGCCAGGTGTATGCGTTCACTGCGCTGGCGAGGTGTGCGGGGTCGCGGGCTGGTGCCTGGCAGTCATCAGAGGCGGAGAGGAAGGGCGAGCAATTCCCATCCCCCGGGAAATACAAGTACATAGCCACAGACGCCGAGATGAAGAGTTGGTTCGTAATAGCGTTCTTGTACGGCAGCGCGTGCGGGTTCCACGTCATACCCCCGCCGCACAGATGCCAGTCCCAGCCCGCGGACGCGAGGTCGTAGAAGACGCGCGCGCGGTGTGCGAATGTGGGCGTCCATTGGTTTGCGTGCCAGGCTGGGCCGGCGTAGTGCGCGGCATCGTGGGTGTTGATCATTTGTATGCTTTGCAGCCAGCCGAGGACGACCCAGAACATGTCGTCGTAGGCTTCCATGCGCAGCGCGAGATGGTCTTCGCCGAAGTAGTAGGCTGTGGAGTGCGCGAAGTAGCGGTTTATTTCGTTTTCGAGCGTTTGTGCTTTGAGGTCGAGGGGGTGCGTGGCGTTCAAGGTGCTGGGGAGGGTGTAGGGGAGGGAGCGGGAGAGTGTTGAGAGTGTGGCTGAGAGGTGGGTCGAGGTTACGGCTGCGGTCCAGTCTATGGCTGTGGTGTACTTGCCGAGCCAGAGGGCGAAGTAGTGCGTTTGGAGGGTTGAGAGGGCGTCGTGGAGGGCTTGTAGCATGGTGGTTGCGTCGGTGGGGGAAGGCGTGGGCGATGCATGGTCGATTGAAGGCGTGTGGGAGAGAGCTTCGGAGGGGATTGGGTGGAGGATGTGCTGGTTTCCGGACTCGTAGGCCGGTTTACGTTGTCCTGAGGAGGTGTTAGTTGATACAATACTGATAGAGTGAGGATCAAGTTCCTACCAAGTGAAGCCTGCCCATTGTTTCCAACAGCCATTGAAGCGCGCGCAAAGACATTCACGTAGAAAAAAACGACGGCGCATAATCGCGTAAACAGCGCGATTCGAAAGTACATGGTTACGGTTCTTGATGGGCTTTCTCAGCTCCTCTCGAAGCAATTGAGAATACGACGACCTGAATCCCTAGCTCAACGACGTCGACGACTCCAAAGCCGCTCACACGAGCGGCAGATATCAATATGCTAAGGGAATGGCATGAGATATATATCAAAGCGCAACGAGACTTCCCCGCAAAAACGGGCGACTACACTTAGCGAAGAGGGGAAAAGCCATCAAAGGATGCACCAAGGCTTAGTCCAGCTGTTTACAGGAACGCGCGGCTTTCCCGTCCCACTTGCAGTCTAAGAGTTCATCGCCCAGGGATAGGCAATTGCACGTCTCAATCGTTGGTGCAAAAAGAAAGAGCACGTCGTGGTAGTGGAGTTGTGACGTGCACGTGTCCGGCCCGAGGTTCACGTGGTGCACGGACCCGACCGCCGCACAACACCACCCACAGCGCATCTCAACCACCACACGGTCGAACGAGAAGCGGAAATGGGCAAAAAGAAAGGATGTTGATCAGAGTGGGACTCGAACCCACGAGGATTGCTCCACTAGCACCTGAAGCTAGCGCCTTAACCACTCGGCCATCTGACCCGATGACTTGATGGAGAAATTTGGTGGTGGTTGGTATATGTTCTTTTTTGAGAATTTCCCAGCACGGAGTTTCATTCATCGAAGATTTCGTACTCCAGTGTCAAAAGTTGGTCGGGCTGCAAATTTTCACCAGGGGGGTGGAGTTAGGCGTCTTGGAGCGGGGCATTGTTAGACTCCACCTGATCCAGACTTTCACACCAACCTCGAAGAACTACTCACTCTCCCAGTCAAGTGTAGAAGACGGAAGCAAACTATCTTCTTCGTTGTTTGAGGGTGAAACGAATTTACACCATCAGATGCTAAAATTAGCAGGGCTGGGTGTGTACCTGCGAAGTTTGAGTTAAACTTTGTCAAATCAATTTGTCTAATTGTTAAAAACTTTTGCAAAAGCCTCTTGATGAGCTGAACTACCAAGAATTAAGCTACTTTCTTCTCTGCAGCAAATGATTATACTCTAAGATCTTAAGGTGCATATAAAAGATCTTGAAGCTGTTGCAAGATTCAAAGGTACATTGGTTCCTAGTACTTCGGACCCGCGCTCAACCTCCTCCTCAAATATGCTTACACCACCAATCTGACATATCCTAAAGCTACATAAAATACCCATCCGCATGTTCATAGTATTGCGGAAGGTCGTGGTGTATCCTTCGTCGTCGTCGAACAATTACACAACCTTGTTGGGGGAAACGAGGTGAATGCTCGATCTCACACACGATACTGATGAGGATGTGTACTTCATCATATCATCATATACCGCGTGTACGGATAGAATAGTTCGCGGGAAGGAAGTACTACGATGACGACGTGGACAATGTCATAGCCTACAGAAGACGCGTATCTGGATTGGAAGCAGAGGGTTTGGGGCTTGAGGGTAGATATATATTTTCAAAGTTTTATCTAAGACTTCAAAAGTATTATACAGACACATGCGTAATATACGCCCGTTACTCATAGTTCATAAAGCGTATACCCGCCCCGTCAAAATCATACACCCATCTACCTATCCTACAAAAGCAACCCTAACATCTTCATCCCAGAAAAGCCCATCTATAACCCCTCCACCTCACGATTCAGCAGCCTCACCGGCGTCACAAAAACAGCCTTCAAGCTCATATCCACCGCCCTAAGCCTAACCTCCCACTCATCACCAACCCTTACCTCCTCGCCCTTGACCACAACAACCGAAAGCCCATACTCAGGCAGATACCCCACCGTCTCGCGAAACCCAACTGCAGTCTTGCCCTTGCCCTCGGGCACGCTGCGGACCCAGCACTTGAACAGGTCGGGAAGCGGTGCTTCCTTGTAGTGGAAGGCGCGCATCATGGCCAGGGCGGCCCAGAACCTGTTCGACGCGTTGGAGGCGGATTTGATGATTTTTTCGCGCGGGGAGAGCGTGATGATGGATTCTTGCATCTGGCGCTGCGAGAAGGGGAGGGGGTTTGCGCGGGGGTTGGCGGGGTCGGCGCCGAACTGCGTGCCGGATTCGGCTTCGTGGCGTAGCGCGGCTTCGATCTGCCAGTGGGCTATCATGTCGCTGAAGCGGCGGAGGGGGGAGGTGACTTTGACGTAGCTGGATGCGCCGATCATTTTGTGGGGGAGGGGCGCGGAGTGGGCAATGGCTCGGCCGAGCGATCTGATGTATCGCGTCGCGAGGCTTCTTGTGAGGTCGCCGTGTTTCTCTAGGTAGGGTAGGACGAGCTGCTGTTTTAGGTCTTCTGGGGATAGCTCCTCGGCGGTGGGCATCTCGACTGTGCCTCTGTACATGACGGGGATGTTCCGTTCGGTGCACCAGGATGCTGCTGTTTGGCATGCAAGCAGCATCATTTCCTCGACAATGTTGGTTGCGTTGAACTCGGTGGTTACGTATCCTTTGGGGATTCTTTGTGTGAGCTCAATGATTGGATCGCCTTGAATCGTACGTGTGCGTTCGAGCGATGGCGAATTCCAGGTCAGTCCAGGCTGGTTAGAGTTCTCGAAGACGCGCAAGTCCGGAGTGCTGCCACAGAGGTGCAAGGCTCCGCGTGCGTCACGCGTCTTCCTCAAAATCCGCGCTATGCTGTAGAGATCTTGAAGCTCTTGAAGCTGAGCAGGAGAAACTTTTGTAGGGGTATCGTCTCGTTCGACTCGTGGCACATCGCCACCGACGACGAGCCTTCGTGTTTCCGTGGTCGATACATCACCTAGAAGGCGAGCCACCTCAGACGGGGTTTTACTAACGACGTTATGAACCGTGCCATGCTGAATCTTGGTTTCCAGCACCTCGCCAGTGCGGTTCACCCGTGTGCTGAATGTAATGACGGGCCGGTTGCGAGCGATGCTGAAATGCGCATGAGTGACCCATGTGGGTAGCATGGGGAAAGTTCTCTCCGGGAGATAGACAGTCTCGGTCATATGTGCAGCGAGGCCAGACAGAGTGTGGGTTTTGTCGAAAAAGGCGGTTGGATTAGCTACATGCACATGCAACCAGAGTTCCGAGTCTGACCCGTCGATTTTCTCGATTGAGACTCCATCATCAATCTCCTGGGCGCCAATAGGATCAATACAGTACACGGTCGTTGATCCCCAGTCACGGCGTAGATCAGCCATGGAGTCTCGGAAATCAGGATTTTGCCGTGTAACTTCCGCTTTGGCGTTGAGAAGCTCCACATTTCGGGAGACGCGGATTGTGGGGAGCATCAACTGCTCGTCGTAAAGGCTACAATTCTCATACGGCGAAATAACCCCAATTTCTTGGAGGAACAACACGCCGGTGGTCCGCTTGCATGCCTTTGACGTTTGGTCCAAACCCTCTGTGTTGTGTAAGACCTTCGGTCCATAACAGCCTGTTGCCATGATGAGACCTGCACATGCCGAATGGAATGCAGCCATATGTGCGAATTGCTTGGGGAGGGACCATGCATGAATAAAATTGATGATTTGCTTATCAGTGCTGCTGAAACGCTCACCCATGAATACTTGCGGAGCCGAAGATGGTTCTGTACGAGAAAGGCGAATCTTGCTGGGCCCGACGAAACCAGTGTTTGGGTCACGATTTTTCCGGCTCTGAGCAATGGTTCTGCGAACTTTCTCAAGGAATTGTACCACGTAGATTGTTCCTTTTGATTGTTTGTAGGAGGGTTTCAAAGTCTGGGTTGCAGCCATTGCCTGATGTTCACGATACTCGCGGATCCATTCCAGAACTGTTTCGACGATTTCGACATCGTTCTTAGGCCGTATGGCAAACACATTCGTCAAACGATGGCTGCGCTCGTCAGATTTGAAGCGGAATTCATTATGGTTCAATGCTTTACGCACTGCCAGAAGTGCTGCAGGCGATGGCTGATAGGCTGCGTGTTTACCGGCAAGCAGTTTTTTGGTGATTTGTGTAAGAGTCATCATGCGAGTCCTAGTAGCATCTGCGAGATCTGCGTATGCACTATCGAGAACAGGGGCATTGGTACGATATATCTTCTCAGATTCTTCAGTCAGACGCTCTAGAATCCTCTGCACGGGAAGGGCAGCTTCTGTTGGCACATGTACTTCGCCTTTGGGGTCGGCGATGCCGGGGCTTGTAGGTAGAAACGGAATAAGAGGTTGGAGTATGGCGGGATCGACGCAGCCAGGGATGGCAAAGGAGACTCTTGACAGCATCGAGTGGCTCCACCTGCCGTTGGCGGAGAAGAATTGGCTGACATTTGCGAGTTGTTGCACGAACACGGCAAGAACTGGCTCGCGGCCTGGTTGTCTGCGCAATGTTAGTGATCCTGACAGCTTTTATGACTACGAAATTACAAGAGACATACGATAGTTCGACCACATCTCCAGGCTTCAAAAAAAGTCCAATGGTGATCAGCTCTTCGCCTTGGTCGTCTTCATCCCACTCCTCGGCTTCCGCCTCCTCATCCGCTTTGGCACCGGTGGTCAGCTTGGTCAGACCATTTTGTATGTCGCCGTGGGCGGGATGGTTTTCGAATGCGGACAACACTTCTTCACCAGGACCACCAAACTTTTCGTCCCACAGTTCAAGATGCACGCGAATGGACAGCTCTGGTGTACGAGGAATGAGTGCTGGATCGAAGGGCTGTGAGGCGGGTGCAGAATCATTGGCTAATTGTGAGTGCTGTAAATTGTCAGCTGCAAGTTTGTTGCGAGAGAGAAATTGTTATCACACAGTCGCAGAGGCGTGGAAAGTTCGCCGCGGAAGACGCAAAACTTTCGCAGAAGAAAGTTCAAGACGGCGTGTTCGGCCAAGTTTTTGGTACTGATTTGAAAGACGCCATTGGCATCGCCAGCAGACATCGCCAGCAGTCCATAGCGAGCGAGGATGCATGTCTGACACAAAAGTGAAGTGATGAGGTCAAGCGCCACTTCCCAAACTGCAGGTGTGGAAGTCGCGACGGAAGGGTCTGTGCAAGCACTAGAGCTCGCCACGAACTCACATGGTCTGTCTCCACCGCACACCTCCGCTGCCTCCTACACCACACAGCTCACCACAAGGTATGTCGCACTACTTTTTCTACCCCCTCTCCATTTCTCTAGTGATGAACACAAATTATAGCATGTATTATCCGACTGGCGCTTCGGCGACGGTATGCGGAACATTCTTTCGACTGATCAGAGATTTTTGATGGACCTTTTTGATTTGATCTGCTAGAGACGAGTCTAACTGTCTGCAGAACCAGCCTCATGGCATCTGCTCGAGCACCAGCGGGTCACTTTTCGATCCTGTACTTTGCCGCCGCTTCGACGTTCACGGCAAAGAACAGCGAAACCATGCCTGCGCCGCTGCGGGCTCGCGATCTGTTTGCCAAGCTAGAAGAGAAGTACCCAGGCATAGGAGAGAAGGTTCTCAGCAGTTGTGCTGTGACTGTAAACCTCGAATATGTCGCCATGGACGAGGATGATGCTGCGGGGTTAGGTCGAGAAATCAAAGAAGGTGACGAGGTGGCCATCATCCCGCCTGTCAGTTCTGGATGAGTGGGGAGGACCAATTGTGCAGCATTTTTGACAATGTCTGGATGAGAACAAGTTCTTGCAAGGTAGGTGCAGCGTCTGGTAGTAGGTGTGTGCAGAGACGCTGAGCAGACGTGGTCAGCATAGACATGCTAAGCAGCTACAAGAGTGGCCGCGAGAGAGTGAGCCTAGTCAGACTTGGTGAGGAAGCGGGCCTGCTAAGAGAAGCATCGCGGAATGAGGACATTGGTTCAAGACATGAAGCCTACGCTCTTTATTGTTCTTTAGCATAGGCTGTCAAGATGTACATAGATTATACCCAGCAATATACTTGTAACCGTACAATGCACATGACATGATAGTCGACGTTCCACTTGTCCCTCTCTCTGAGCTGGACTGGTGGTGTGTCCAGGCTTGGCAATGAGCTCGTATTAGCGTTTTCCAGCCTCGGGGACCATCGAACGGCGTTGCGATGTCACCGACCGCCGACAGAGTCATCCAAACCACGACCGACCATGGCAGGTGAGTCAAGTTCCTGAACATGTGCGCACGAGTAGAGCACCGTCGCTCACAGGCAGCTGGCAGACCACGCGTCGATTGACCCGGCCCTCTACGCGTCATCGCTGCCACCGCGCACACCGGCGTACCCACAGACGCCGCAGCAAGGCTATCCGCAGGCCCAGCACGGCACCGCCCACCCATACTACACGCACCAGCAGCCCGCCCCGCCGTCGCAGCCCGTCCCGCTCGCCAGCAGCCTGCTCCAGCAGACGTCCCCCATCGGCCCCGAGGCGTCGCAGGACGAGGACGACCACGACGACGACGGCGACCATGACGGCACCCATGCGACGCCGGGCTCCGCCAAATCGCCCGGCGACTTCAAGCGCCCGCGGGCCTGTGACTCGTGTCGCGGATTGAAGGTGCGCTGCGACCAGGAGAGGCCAGACGTGTCGTGCAGGCGCTGCGCTAAGGCCGGGCGTCCTTGGTGCGTACCAGCAGAGGCCTGTTCGTGTCGCGACGCTGCTGCTAACTGCTCCCAGCATCACGACGCCGCCCACGCGGAAGCGTCAGAAGAAGGCCGACAGCCGCGTTGCCGAGCTCGAGCGCAAGATCGACGCCCTGACGGCCACGCTGCACGCGCAAAAGACGGGCGTGCCCGACGTCGGCCACCATGGGGGCATGCCGCAGTACGACAACACGTCCAGCGCGCAGCCCACGCCTGATGGCACCTTCCGCCTCGGGCCCCTCAGCCAGGACTGGAGCCCCGCCGCCAGCAGGTACTCGGACATCCCACCTGGCTACGGCCCCGCGCAGAACATCCAGCGCGGCCCAGAGCCGAAGCGGAGGAAGCTGGGCGACGGCAACGGCCATGCTGTAAGCACACGCACTCCTGCGCTGCCCTTTCCTGACTCTGACAGACGATCCCCGAGGATATGGATTTCATCCACCGCGACCTAGCTGAGCATCCCGAGATGAAGCGTACGGCGAAGAGCCGCATCCACTCGGACCACTCGCACATTAACGCCCTAATCGACAATCTGATGAGCCCTGAGCTTGCCGAGCGCATCTACCTCCGCTACGTCAACGACATCTGCCCGCACTTCCCCGCCGTGCCCCTCACGCCTGGTGCCACGGCCCGCGAGGTCCGAGACAAGAAGCCGCTGCTGTTCCTGTCGGTGCTGGCCGGATCATCGCACGGCAGTGCAGAGCAGCTTGTGCCGCAAGAAGTGCAGCGCGAACTGACCAAGCTCCTCAAAGACCAGCTGGCTGACATCATCTGGCGCAATGGCGAGAAGTCGCTCGAGATTGTCCAGGCACTGCAGGTGTCTGTGCTGTGGTATCGACCGCCGCTCCACTTTGAACAGCACAACTTCTACATGTACATCAACTGCGCTGCCGTCATGGCCCTAGACCTCGGCCTCGGCAGGAAGGCCACGCCAAACGTTATGAAGCTCTCGATAGGCCCCTTTCGGCGATTCCATCCCAATTCGAGTAGCATCGAGGCGCGCCGCACGTTCCTCGTCTGCTATTACCTCTCCATGAGCATTACCATGGTGCTTCGACGGCCCATCCTCTTGCGCTGGACAAAGTACATGGAGGAGAGCGTTAAGATTCTCGAGACCTCTCCAGACGCGCTTCCTTCTGACAAGCAGCTTTGTCAGCAGGTCAAGTTGGCGCACATTGGCGAGAGCATATCGGTCCAGTTCTGCATGGACGACCCTTCTGTCGAGGTTAATATTTCCGAGCCAAAGGTCATTTACGCCTTGAAAATATTCGAAAATGAGCTTCAGCAGTTGAAGGAAGAAAATGCTCAGGCGGGCGAAGTTGACCGTAAGTAAGACTCGAGTGCTTTCGCGACTTTGCTAACAGGCTTGAAGCTGCCTTGCGATTGGCCGAGCATGTAACGAATCTCTATCTCCATGAGATCGCTCTCCACCAATATCAAGGCTCAGCGGACCTGCAGCCGCCTTTCACCTCGGAGTCTGTGCCTTCAGAAGTTACCAAGGATGTACCCATTGGGCCTGCACACATTGGTGCCCTCGGTGAATGCCTCGCTGCTACGCATGGCATTCTGGATACCGTTCTGAGCATACATCTCGATGTCCTGATTACCTTGCCTGTCATATTCTGTAAGCGCCTCTCACCTTTCTTCCAAACACAAGACTAACATCATTCAGGTGTCCGAGCAATCTACGCAATTGTCTGCCTCATGAAGATGTGGGTATCAGTAACCTGTTCCGGCGAAGTAAGCAGTATAATCAAGCAAGAAGACCTCCACATCGAGCTCTACACCGAGCGCCTCGTCACAATGTTCAGCGCCATCGTCTCGCGCGACGCACAGTCTCCACACGGAAAATTCTACTTCGTCGCCAAACGCCTCCAGGAGCGCTTCGCACAAATCAAAGAAGGCGCCTCAACCCGCACCCCCCAACCAAACACCCCCAACCAAGACGACCCTCCCCACCCTCCCCGCCGCCAATCCTCATCAAACCAAACACCCCTCCACCTCCTCTCCGAAGTCGCAATGGGCGGCACCCCCCAGCAAGCTCAGGCCCACGCACACTCCCAGCACCAAGCCCAGGCCGCGCTCCGCCACCTGCCCCAACAGGCTATGCAGAATCAGAACCAGAATCACACTCAGAATTGGTACCCGCAGGATCCTAACCTTATGAATGTTGATCTGAACTTTGATTTCACGCAGTTTGATCTTGGGACCGGGTCGGATGCGGATCTGTCGGCGCTGTTTATTCCGGATTCTATGCTGTGGTCGTATCCGCAGGATGTTAATATGCAGGGTCAGAGTCAGGGGCAGGGTCAGGGGTATGGTGGGTTCTGAGGGATGTGTGGTTGTGTTTGTGCTGTGGAGTTTGGGCGTGTGGGGTTTCCTTGTTTGTTTGCAAGTGTGTGTGTAGTGTGAGATGAGATGAGATGGCGTGAGGGCTAAAAAGTATTCGTGTATGTATATGCATGTATGTACTACTTTATTATTGTCTATCATCTACACTATTCGTATCTTTGAAACTGTTTTCTGGCAATAACTCATGTTTCTTCCCCATGGTGACGCGACCAGACCTTGCTTTGTTCAAGAGAGAACAGCACGGAAACACGGATCAGATGTCGGAAAGTACATATAGAACATGGACAGCAGAACTTGCATTCGAACGTATCTTATTATGATTTGTTTATCCACACTAGCCAGATGAAAAAGTAGTAGCAGTAGTAGTCAAGGACAGTGAAGTGAGGTGGGTATATCCATCCATCCAACCATCCGTCTGTAAACGCCCTCCCCCGTCTCGCCTGCCAATATGGGACAAACCCATGGCAAACAATCCAAACCAGCCCAAACGTTGACGCCAGAGTAAACAACCTGCAATAGCGAAGCAACGCAACCCAGACCTCCCCCCAAAATCTTACTCACTCCTGCAACTGATGCGTCGGACAAGCGCCCCTGCCCTTCTTCTCCCACCAGTCCTTGATACATTGCTGTCCTCTGTTAGCCTCCATCTGCACCCCGGAAACAAAAACAAAACAAAAGAACGACAAGACATACCTCATGGAACTTGCACCAGCAAACCAGCCTGGCCATCTTATCCCCCGCCTCAAAGTCCTCAAGGCAGATAATACACTCAATCTCATTCCCCTCATTATCCGTGCAATCCTTCTCCGTCGCGACGTACGGGAACATGCCGCGCGCCGCCGTCGCGCGATTCGATCCCTCGCCGCCGGTGCCGTGCATGTGGCCGGCGGGATTGCTCATGCCGCGCGTGCGCTGCGTGGGGAGGCTCATGGTGGAGACGGGCGCGGGGGACGCCGAGTGCAGGGCGATGCAGTCTTCGATGTGCTGGGTGCGAGCGGAGTCGTCGCCGGAGGGGGATTTAGGCGGGAGTTCGTCGCCGCAGATGGGGCATTCGTCTTCTTCTGCGATTTGGCGTCTTGGGCGGGGTTGTAGGGCGGGCGAGGGCGTGGATGTCGTGGAGGTGAAGAGCGGGCGGGGGAACATGCTGGGTCTGCTGAATGATCCGGAGCCGAGGCCGAAGATGGAGGGCGCGTTGGGATCTGGGCGGGAGGAGGACGGGCGGGCTTGTTGCTGCTGCTGCTGGGGATGCATTGCTTGGACTTGGCTGGAACTGGATCGAGGTGGCATCCAACGCTCCCCGGTGAGCGCGCCGCTGTGATAGCTCAATCTCCTGTCGCTGGGTGTATCACGGGGACGATGTGTTTGTCCATGGCCAACGGTTTGCGAGCCATCGTGTACATTGGAAGAGGATCTGTGAGTACGCGTACGTGTCGGTGGCTGTGAGGGTGGAGGTAACACTGGTCTTGCTGAATGCGTGTATGAAGAATTTCGAGAGGAACCAGATGGGTTGTACTGGGGTGGTGGACTAAAGTTAGGATCCGGGACGCAGGGATTGCAAACGCGGACCTCCTCGCCTCCACCTAGCGCTGGGTTGCGGAACGGGCCGAAGGACGACATCATGTTTGCATCGTCGTCGCCTGTTAGATCGATGGTGTTGAACAGGTGTTCGGTTGGCGGGTGGACGATGAACTGACGTGGGATGGTGATGCGATGCGGCGAGCACGACGAGCACACCACTCTTCCACATTTTCTAATCAACAGTGTTAGCACTACAAAGTTCCTAGACATGTGATACAGCCTCAGCCGTGTGTGCATAACCAGATCAATCGAGTGGGTCGAAGCTCGGCGATATGCGCACACATCAGCAGCACACAGACGTCACAGCAAGACAAGGGAGAATGGAGATGGCGCATACCTGCAATGGTGCTTTCTAAAGAGAAAGGTAAATGGCCTAGTGCACACCGGACATTGTGAAACCTCAACATCAGGCTGCCAGGGGGGCAAGACCAGATCGCTGCCCCGCCTGTACGACGCCGGGCTCGATTGCGAAGGAAGAGATGGCGGCGATGGCAAAGGTCGCGAGGGATTGAAAGACGGTGGCAGGGGTCGTGAAGAGGCGGAAGTTTGCAGCGGGGCCCTGGAGGGCACAGGCGGAGAATCCAGCATGATGGGATCCATGCTCGAGTTTCCGGCAGGAGTGTTGTGCATCCTGATGCTCGAGGGCCGTCGCATGGGCGAGTCAGCCGTGGTAAGGCGTCTCTTGCGATCTGAGCTCCGAGATGATGACGAGGACGAGTCGGCGCGCGGGAGGGGGCGAGCAGGGAGCGTGAGGGGCGAGTGGTCGGCGGGGTGGTCGGACTGGACCCTCGAGGGATGTTGACGATGGCTGGACGAGTGGGTCGACTGGGAACGACGGTCCGATGTGTAGCTTGGTTGACTTTGCTGGTTGTGCGTCTGTTCCTCACGTGAATCGCTCAGCAGGAAGTCCATCCACGCCTCCCTCTCATGTGCATCATTTTGGAAGTGTGACGTCCATCTTGCTGGGTAGCCTCCCGAGACACTTTCACCGTTCCCATCCGTATTGTTGCTTGCGCCGTCAAGCTGGTTCGCGAGCGAGGTGCGACGCGGCGGATGCTGTCTTCGATCCATGGCCGTGCTTCAGTCGTGTTGGAGAAGTGGGATATGTTTGACAACGATCGAGGATCATGAGGCTTGTCGGCAAATGCGGAGGACGGTGTGGCTCCCTATGGCGACATGGCGCCTGGCACGTCTTGCAGGCTCGGTTTAGTGATATGCAGCGAAGAATCTACTGCCTTCCATCAGCCCTACGCCCATCAGGAACACACCATGCACCACACTCACTCACTTGGGGGTCAGGACACAGCGTCGCGATAAGACGTCGATGCGGCGTCTCGGAGGTGAGGGGAAGGCAGGGGTATCAACAACAGAGCTCGACCAGGATGAAGCGTCATGTGCAGATACACCTCGATGTACATTAGACTTCCACTCTGTATCAGCACACTTCACGCTTCGAGCAGACCGGAGTCCGGCAACACGCGATTGAGGCCTGAGGCTTATGGCACGCTTAAGGCATCGTGCATCATAGCCAAAGCACGGTCCACTCTCATCCACACATCGCATCACACCACCGCCTTTGAACCATGGGTACGTTGCACTCGAATGGACAAGCAGCACATGAGCGCGTCATGACCTTCCATGATATTCACGTAACCAGCAACCCTAGTTTCAGTAAGAATCACAATCCCGATTTTGTCTTGTGAATAAAAATGTGTAATGCCTGCCCGATCCAAACCCCATCTGCGCCTCACCAGTATGCTGCTCACCGCCGCCCAAAAGATGCGCCATTTTGACTCAAACACTAGTTGTACACAAAAGAAATTCGTGACCCCAACCCTACGTCTGCATGGGAGACAGAATTACAAAAAAAGTGACCCTCTAAATCTGCGCCGCTGCACGTTGGCAGACAAAATCAAACATCGAACAATCATCTCAACCTATGACTCGTCCCACTTTTTGTTGTGCTCCCACTTCGACTACGGTCCACAAACTCCGCTGAAGCCTCGAGATGGTTCCTAACATCATACCCATCATTCTGGAGGCTGTCCTTGGTCACATGATGTTGCACATAACCTGTATTGAGCCTCTGACCTCGAGTGGCCGGTGCAGGCGCGAGCTCCGCTTCGTCGCGATAGATGCTCGATGCTGGCGAACGTTCGGGAGAGGGCTCGCTGGATCCAAATGGGAGACGGATGGGCAAAGGTTGGAGATGTTGACTAGGGATAGGAGAGTCTAGCACTGCCGAAAGTCGAGAGGTGCCCTGAAGGATTGCAGCTTCCGTGGATGGTGTTCGCCGAGAGCTTCTCCGTGGTATATGGGGTGTACGACTCGAGGGTTGCCGTCGAGTAGCGTGGGATGCACGCGACCCAATCCTACTGGGAAGCTCGATACCCCCGCCCATCTCGATGGGTCCCAGTGATGGCGCAATATCAGAGATTCGATTAACACCACTGTCGTCGAAAGGCTCATTGTCCAGAGACGTGTCTTCGCTCTGACTTGACTCACTGTCAATCGACTGTCTCCTTTTCCCTTCCAATATGCCCGCTGACGCTACACCTGCTTTGTGACCTTGCGACCGCCTAGCCTGAAGCCCTCCTGACGGCACATCGTAGGCCGAGTCCATCAGTTCGCCTTTCTTTGTTTCGGGTGACGTGGCCGGACTGTCGTGATAGGGCTCTTGTGGTACTTCTGGAGACTGCTTGCTTTCTCCAGTAGCAGCCATTTGTGGCGGCATGCGCGTGCTCCTGACAACTTCAAATCCTTTACTCTTCTCTTTCTTTCTGCCACCAAGCAGATTCAGGCTCTTGAACCACCCTGTTGCGGAAGACACCGGGCTCATAGGATCAGCAGGACCAGTCTTGAGTTTCCGAGTGGGCTGCGAAGACAAAGCCGGGCCGCGAAGACCGTAATAAAAGTCGGATTCACGCACGGTGTAATCCGTCTGATTTCTTCGCTCAAGGTTTGGATCCGAATCATCCCGGTTCATTCGAAGGTAGGCCGGGGTAATCGTGCTTCGGGTTCGAGATGGACCTTCGCCATTGTCGCCTGCTTCAAGGTCCAGATGATCTGTATACGGTGCGTCGGCAATATCGGCGCCTCCAGTGGGCGCAGGTGCTCTGACTTGCGCTCCTGGTATCATGGAATCCATTGTATGTTTACGCGCCCGTGGAGGTCGGTAGTATGGATCGGCGCTATCCAGATTGGTGTTTATCGTTGGCCGTCGAGAGTTCTGGCTGGAGCCGCCTCCCAAGAAGTGAAATGGAGTCGCGTTCGTCCCAGGAGTATCTGGGCTTATGTTTCCGTAATCACCCTGGCTGAATTGATCGAACCCTGTGCTCACGCGCTGGCTGTCTCTATCGTAGTGCTGGTTAAGAAGCACAGCGGAACTAGCGGATAAGCTTCTGGACCGACTATTGATCAGTGGAATGCTCTTGTTCTCGTCATGACCAAGCATTGCCGCATTGGAGTTCATACTGCCACGCCCGTGTCGGTGGCTTGTCCGCTTCGACAATTGGCGTTTCCCAAAGACTTTGGTAAGACCTCCTCTTGTGTCTGTTCCTGCACCTGCCATCCTCGCAGCAACTTCGATCAGAGTTTGTAGGGAGTTGAGGAAAAAGCCAAAAACAAGGACGATGCCATGCAGTAGAAGAATGGCATAACCGATCCAACCTCTGGGGCCTTCCGAAACTCCAAGAGTGGGCACAAAAGCAACTGAGAGTAGAACACAAGTCAGCCGAACAACCGAGAAAAAGGTATGGTAGGCGTTCATGGATGTGTTGGATTGAAACGGTCGGAAGGCATGCAATGTGAGAATCATGATGACCTCGCAGATAGCAAGCATGATAATTTGTGCAATACCAGAAGGCTGTATAGCACCAACGGCAATGCCACGTATAGTAGTCAGTAGTACAGGAATAAAGGCGAACGGCGCAGCATCGTCCGAGTATGTGTTGTAAAGCGGCCCGTAAGTCAAGACGGTCGGTAGATCATCGAAAAGGTGAGCTCGTGGGCGTGTTGTGAAGATTAACCAGAATATCCAAGCGGCTAGTCCCATTACCCCGAGCAGAAGGACAACAGCCGTAGCTATGACGGACGCCGAGGAACGTGGTGCGACGACTAACTGGAACAGAGAGAGGGAAATGATGGGTAGTAGGAAATAGTTGAAGACAATGCGAACAATGTTGCCTGCGGTAAACGACCAGTTCTTGCCTCTGAGGTCGCCATCCTGCGTGTTGGTAAGTAGACGGAAGAACCATCGTCCCACGAAACCGATCTGAGTGATGGTGATCGCAACGGCGACAAGCACGAGAAGAAAAATAGCCATGCATGCCCATATGTCCTCCGAATCAGACATGCCTACATATTGCCCAAGCCGTGTCAATCCGTATGTCCCGTTGGCAAAATAGAGCCCGTCCTCGAGACTCTGAAACCCGTCGCCCTGGCTCACGAAGCTTTCATTGAAGAGGAGGAGCGACCAGCTGGCCTGACTGACTACTGGCTGAAAGAAGCCGGGGTAGTCCAGGGTCAAGCTGCCTGCCAAGACGATGAATTGTATGTATTGCAGACAGTCGCCAAAACCCGGCGTGACAAGACGCAGCAAGTCCTCGTCGCGGCCATAATTGCTCGTCCAACGGAAGATATTCGACGTTCCCCAAGGGCTGCATGTCGCCGCAAACATGGTTGCCAGGGCCACAAGGCCAAGCACAGCAGCTGGCATGTACGCAAGCGCCCCAGACAACTGGCTCCCCAGGTCTGGTGTGAGATTGGCAGACACGCAACCCAGGGGCACAGCTCTTGCGTCGCCGGAAACGATGCTCAGCGTCGACTCCCACGTCGCAAAGGAATATGCGCTGGAGAAGTCGTGTGCAATGCTGAATGCCGGCAGAGAGTATGGGTCGCTTGAATTGGCGAAGAAGGCGGGCCCGACGGGACAGGGCGAGTTCAACGTGTTGGCGCAAAACTGGTCGGGCTGCGAGGTCCAGGCGGAGTAGGACAGAACCTTGAAGCTGGAAAAGAGGGTCGTGTATTTGTTGTTCACCGGGTCGACATTGATGATCTTTCCAAAAGATTTGTTCTTGTTGGTCCAGTTGTCGCTGTCGAGGGCAGGGTATGGGCCTGGGGTTGCCTGGCCCGATACGTTGCCATAGACGGTGACGTTCAGCTTGTGCCGCGACGCTTCCGTGTCGAAGGCCGCCCACACGTACATGGGCGTGAAGGTGAGGAACGGGACTTCCCCCAGGTACAGCGGGTCGAGGCAGTTTTCGAAGTTTACGAAGACGGCCTCTGCACGGCCGAGGAAGCACGCTGCGGCGAGGAGCAGGACGAGCAGATGCATCGTGCGGCCTTTCCGCCTGGATCGCGGCGGCGACTGTGTGGGCTGGAGGGAGGGTATGTCGGCGGGCGGCCTGCTGTGGAGCCGTGGCGGAGCGGCATTGCGCGGTGAAGTGGCTGCCATGATCTTCAGCGCCCTCTCTTCATGTTCGCCGGCGCCTGTTGCGACTGCACGGGTTTGGGTGTGTTGTGGCGCAGTCGTGAGCGTTTGGAACAACGGCGCCCACTTGGCGGGCAGAGCTGGAAAGGTAGCGCAGCCGGCCGTGGGCTGTGGGTGAGGGTGAACGGGGGCACGCGCGACGAGGCAGGCGCTCTAGAAGAGGCAGGAGCTGACCATGGCCGATGACAGACGTGGGGGCGAGCGAGCGAGTGTAAGAAGCGAAGAGGAGACGCGTAGAGTCCAGACTGGCTTCAGCTACTGGACGGATGCAGTGTTGCTGTCAGAGAGCTCCTGAGGCGAAATGTGGAGGGGAAGCACGACCCAAGCAAGCAAACGAACCCCTGTTGGCAATGATGCAGACTACTATTGCCGTCTTGGGACGCGCTCGACTCGATGCGTCGTCGCAGAAAGCCTGGCGAGAGTGAAGATCTGCCGCGCGGTGGACCCTCTACACGTCTGGGAACATGATGCCTGCTCAACAGCAGGCCCGCACACGAGAAACACAACCTGTCCATTGTTCATCTCTTCTGCTTCTTCTGCCTCTTCTCTACATCATCATTTTCATGCAGCTAGAGAATGCTCGACTGAGCTGACAGAACTCGGCACGCGACTGAGTGTTCTGATTGGACGTGCCAATTTATATTTAGCTGATGGCCAGCCACCTCTCTAGTCTGACATCCGCTCAAAACCACCTTCACGTCACCATCCTCGCTCTCTACCCTGCGCTGCAACAGTTGCAACACATGGCCAATGATGTATTGACTAGCACCATACCTGCCCCCAAACATGCAACGTGTAGCCCTTGGCTTTCGATAGCCACAGTTTGCAGCATAGTTTTGGCGAAATCTCGCTCACACATCACCGCGCCAACCGCGTTGCACCGCTTCCAACTTGCACATGGCAACCCGAGGGATGTGGTCATTTATCGTTGAGCAACCATGTTGTCATGTCCCGAAGAAGCTACAGAAGCGGCCAATCTACAGCTTTACCAGTGACAAAGTTCTCGAACAAGTCTGCATTAGCCTAGACCTTGGAGTTGCTAATTTCGCAACTCCTACAACGGCAGGCTACCCTTGACACTGAGATACTATGGATCCAGGGCTCCCAAGCAAATACCATCAGGAAGAGGATATGATCGTCTCGAGATCGTCGCAAATGTGACATAAATAGTTTTGAGAATACCATGGCGGGTAGCTCGCGTCTTCCCCACAGAGATGCTTACGACTACATGTATCCATGGTCCTTGCTCACCAAATCCCTCCGTGTCTGACCGAGCTTCCTCTAACGCGTCATTCCCTAGGCCACAGAGTCCATCGCGTACGCACAAGCACGTTATCCCGCAAAACTCACGAACTATAAGTGGCAGGTCGCGGCACAGCAACGTGATCACACCCGCTTGCCCCGCTCATATCAGCAGCAGGAATGTCTAGTTTACACAGGTCGACTTTTGATTTGTACGGACTGGCCAAGCTTCCTTGGCAGACATCTTGATATGGCAGGTGCGAGTGATTCCTCTTGGCAACGATTATCTTGCGAACCGGTCCGGGTATCTGGCAGTGTTCAAATAGCATGTCATGGCCGACCAGTTCTCCGGAGCTTCATCCTACTTGCCCACTACCTCTCTCGATTCATTGACAGAAGATGGCGGTGCGATTGGCTGTTCTGGCCATTGGGCTGTTGCTGGGGTCTGCTCAAGCTATTACCACTGAGTATGTACCATGATAGCTAGTTGGAATGGAGCTGATCGATGTAGGGGAATGCTGGCTGCTCCAAGAAGAAGTACCGGTCAACTCAATGCCAAAGGAGTAGGTCCTCGTGTAGATACGCTCAAATGGCTCTGCTAATCGGACAGGATCAAGCCTTGTATAGCGAAACCAAGTTCAACTGGACATCAGGAAAGGCCTCTACTAGCTGGTACTTCCTGGACATCTCGTCTGGGAACATCACCAAGGCGCCATTCAGTTCAGAGGTTTCTGAAGTTGTGTGGGTTGGCGATACGGAGGATAGCATCCTCTACATCAACGGCACCAACGATGAGATCCCTGGAGGTGTCACGCTATATACAGCTGATCTTTCGGGAGACTTCGAACCGTACGTCGCAGTGGCTATCCTAAGTTTGGGATATGGAGTTTATTGCTGACGCTTTTCAGAAAGCTGGTTGCGTCCCTTGCTGCCCCGTTCTCAGGTCTGAAAGCGGCCAAGACTGAAAATGGAATCAATTTTGTTGCCAATTGTCTTGCTTATGAATTTAATGGGACGGCCTACAACCCAGACCTAATCCCAGCCGCAACCTCATTGGACTCTGCTGGTCGATTGTATGACGCAAACTTCATCCGTCATTGGAATTACTACATCACTGCTGAACGATACGCCGTTTTCGGTGGCAGTCTGAGTGCTGGTAATGGCAGCTATTCTTTCAATGGAGAAATGAAGAACTTGCTTTGGGGCATGAACGCTACAATCACACGCCCGGAAAGTCCTGTCCAAGGTTCATCCAGCGATACAAATGACTACGAAATTTCTCCAGATGGTAGTACCGTGGCCTTCCGCTCTAAGGCTCCCGAGCTCCCCAAGGCGAACTACACGGCCAGTTATATCTACGTTGTTCCGCACGATGGGTCTGAGGTGGCTGCACCAATCAATGGTCCTGGTACAACGGCGCCTGAGACTGCGCAAGGAGCTTCTACCTTCCCCACATGGTCACACGATAGCAAGAAGATAGCATACGGTCAGCAAGATGGTATTAACTACGAATCCGACCGCGTGAAGCTTTACGTTGCAGAGATCAATGGCCCCAACTCTAAAGTCAAAGCCGTTGCCGAAGACTGGGACTCTAGCCCTTCAGGCCTCAAGTGGAGCCCTGACGACGCAGATCTTTGGGTTGTATCTGAGCTGCACGCTTCGAGCCGCCTCTGGCTTGTTCCCCACGACGCAGCGGCTGATTTCAAGCCCAGCAACTTCACCGGGCCTGAGACTACTCTGTCCGATTTCGATGTCCTTCCCGACGGCTCCGCGTTTGTCTCGGCAGCAGCGAGCTGGAGCAGTCGTATCTTCTACAACCAGTTCCCTGGTCAAGACAAGAAGATTATATTTACGGCAAACGAAGTTGACCCGGAGCTCGAGGGCCTGAAGCCTGAAGATGTTTCTAGCTTCTGGGTTGAGAACGACGATGGTGATCCAATCCAGACATTCGTCTTCTACCCGACGGACTTTGACCTGAGCAAGAAATATCCTTTGGCCTTCATCATCCACGGCGGGTAAGCATATCATTTCCCGCAACACTTTTTCACATTACTTACAGTGTATGCAGACCACAAAGTACTCAGGGAGACAATTGGAGCACGCGTTGGAACCTCCGTCTCTGGGCAGAACAGGGTTTTGTTGTTACATCCCTTCAATTTACCGGATCTCCGAGCTACGGACAAGCCTTTACTGATAAAGTAAGTCGGCCCGGATTTTGAGTTTTTGTTTCCAATTACCAGGTTTAGTGCTGACGTACACCCAGATCCAAAACAATTGGGGCGGAACCCCATACACCGACGTTGTAAAAGTTTTCGAACACATCAAAGAGAACATAGATTACATCGACACCGACCGCGCCATCGCAGCAGGCGCCAGTTTCGGCTGTTTCATGTACACCATCCCTTCTTCCCCACCACTTGTAGCCGCCAACTAACACTTCACAGGATCAACTGGATTCAAGGGCACGCTCTCGGCCGCGAATTCAAAGGCCTAGTCTGCCACGATGGCAAAGTCAACCAATTGGGCTCGTACGCCACAGACGAACTCTGGTTTATCCAGCATGACATGAACGGCACCATCTGGAACGACCGCGCCAACTACGCGAGATGGGACCCCCTGTCCCACTCTGCAAACTTCAGCACCCCCGAGCTCATTATCCACAGCGATTTGGACTACCGGGTTGTTATCGCCGAGGGCTTGCAGACGTTCAATGTCCTGCAGAGTTTGGGTGTGCCCAGCCGCTTCCTCAACTTTAAAGAAGAAGGACATTGGATCGTCTCTAGGGCCAATAGCTTGTTGTGGCACCGAGTTATCTTTAATTGGATTAGGTTCTGGACTGGGCTGGATGAGGAGTTGATTACTGAAGGGGTCATCAGGCAGTAGAAGGTATATTAGGAGGCTATGGTATGTTGTAAATATGATTGAAATGTCTCCAGGAGAATACAACCGCTACAAGGACGACCTGCGTTTAAAGTGCAAGTTACTGTAAACTTCTGGGCGCAAGAAACATGGCCCTATATGATCTGATGATATCTTCTATTTCTTTGCTGCTTTTGATTAATCTTATAGTTTCTCTCTTTGTCTCACCTCAAAACGAGGGCTCTCCCGTCTATATTCCAAAGAAAAAACATTCACAACGACTGGTTGTAGCGATCTTGTTTGCGCGGCAGGAACTATTCTCATGCTAGTGTTGGGGGCTATATACCAAGCCGACTCCGAGTCCTCTGCTGTGCAAACTTACCTGGTGATGTTTCTCCTTCTTATGTAGGCTTCAGGTGCTGACGCGCAGACAGGATCAGGATCAGAACGCCACTGCACTGTCGGTATGCGGTAACGTGACACTATATATGGTGTTTGCATACACACTTGTCTGAGTGTAGACGCCCAGCTTGAGTGTGGACGGACAGTTTGAGACGGCATCCAGGCGATAATGTTGAAAAAACGCTCGTTTGCATGTGAGGCTGTCCTCTAGGTGAGATTGAAGTCTATTTGCGTGTGAAGCTGTCTAGTAATTTTACAGGTGAGGTTGAGTCCAACAGTTATCTAGGTGAGATTGAAGTCGCCTGTTTTTTCACTTCCACACAATATTTTTCGCCTCTGCACTTCTCCACCTCTCTACTTCTCGCTTCTTTTCCACCCTTCTACCTCTCGCTCTCGCTTCTTCTCCACTTCTCTACCTCTCGCTCTCGTGTTCTCTCCACCTCTCCACTTCTTATCCTCTCTACATCCAACTTCTTACCGCACCCCGCTTACCGCACCTCGCTCGTTGCACGCCGCTCGTTGCACGCCGCATTCTACATCAGCAGCTACCCCGGCGGCCTAGGGCGCTCAAACAACACAGAATGCCATCACCAAAGTACAAAGAGACCGTTGAGTCGCTCAAGAGCGGTTATCGTTATTTCGAGAAGCAAACTAGGAGGTCTGTTGTCAGGTGCCCTTGGATGCAAAGTTGCTAACTGTTGCGTAGGGGTCACACGGATCGTTCCTTTGTTCAACGGTACTATAAAGCTATCGCCGACGGATTGGTGCGTCAAGACGATACCATATTTCCCCTAGCAGCGAGCCTCCTAGAGCAAGAGATCCGAAACCCTACAAAAAAGAGACTGCGGGCTGAGCAGGACGAAGACAACACACGTCCAGCAAAGAAGAGGCAGAAGCACGATAAGAAGACTCGCAAGGCTCGCAAGACGAAGAGGGCCCCTACTGCCGCCGCCGAGCCCGCCGCTGAGTCCGTTGCTGAGTCCGCCAGCAAATCCGACTTGCCAGCCACCACTCCTAAGGCGAAGAAGAGTTGCAAGGCGAAGAGGACCCACACAGCCGCCGCCGAGTCTGTTGCCGAGTCTGTCGCTGAGTCCACCAGCGAATCTGACTTGCCAGCCACCACTCCCAAGTCGAAGAAGACTCGTAAAACCAAGAAGACTCGCAAGGCGAAGAGGGCCCCCACTGCCTCCCCCGAGCCCGCCACCGAGTCCGCCAACGAGTCCGCCAACGAGCTAGACCTTCCAGCCACCACATCGAAAGCGAAGAAGACTCCCAAGACCAAGAAAATTCGCAAGGCGAAGAGGACCCTCACTGCCGCCCCCGGGTCCGCCACCGAATCCGACAGCACCTCATCCAACAACACCGCATCCGATTTCAGCTCCAACAAAAAAAAAGAACCGTACGTCGACGGCCGCCAAACAATTCGCGGCCAAAGTTCAAAGCCTGTAGAGCCTGCCAAATCCTGCATCGAGGCCAGCCAACTCACCGGTGTTCCGTAAAGCCACACTTCGCGAACTCGTTCATCAGCTAAGCAAAAAACCATACAAGATTGCTAGAACAACTGAAAGAAATATGGAAGGAGCATGCAGCCATGCTAGAGAAGATCTGATTTACGATACAATCTTCAGGTAAGCGATGGAAGCGAAGGCCTTCAAGCGCCTCCGGTTCGAATTCCCGAACATGGTTCCATGGGATCAAGAGCCAACGATCCCGAGCTCGGTCGTACGTCGGATGGAAGCACTTGGATGCATGCTCGGAGTTCCTATGTTCAAGACAACCCCAAACATGGCCAGCACGTCAAAAGAAAAGCTTGCTCTCATGGTGTGGTGTAAGCACTGTAAAAGAATTGAACGTCTTACTATAAAGTATGGAACTATCTTGCGTATAGGCATCACGCGTGACATCGATACCGTTCGGCATGAGCTGACATCGACAACGCTCACCTACTCGCATTTATGTCACAATCTCTATTGTGAGCAGCCAGGACATGCTGTACGTGAGGAGATGAACAAAAACAGTGACCGCAATAGATGCCATCCAAAATACTCCAATGGAAAATCTATCGACTCAATTCGACAGACCTGTTCGCATACCCCAAGATGTCTACCTGACGATACAACGATTCCCGATGGTTCTGTTGACCTGGTCGCAATTAATGTAAGTAAGCCTTTTCTGTTTTCTCTTCACTGTACTTACCAGGTTTAGATTGCCAAAATCCGGTCAACAAACCTTTACGGCTGCGGGTGCCCAGAGCACAATATCGAATTGCCATTCCACGTCACACCAAACACGACGAACGGGACCTATCATTTATACAACAGCGAAGGTAGAACCGCCGAATGGGACATCCCATCTAAATATGTAGCGGTGAGCCCATATCATGGATTCCTGATTTGCGTTTGAGGTGAGACATGTGGATATTCCGCTGCCCTTTACGAACACTACAATGATGTCCACTATCGATACCGCAAGTGGGGCGGGATCACGGACGGTGAGGACAAGTGGTGGGACAGCGCTCAGCACTGCTAGAAATCTGGGGTCTCAAAACAACGCGTACGCAGTATCTGGTCCGCTGCCCGCAAATACGCACAGCGTACGAGTCAGTGCGTTGGTTGGGCAGAGTATTGGGTTTGAGAAAGGAACGTGAGCAGAAAAGAAATGTAAGAAGTTGATGGTCCAGATGCGCGTTTGTAGCTTCTGTGACCAATGGAATGCCAAATTAGACTGTAATCTTCCTAATTGCCGACGAGATGGTTGGTAGATTCATAGGTTCGTTCAATCATAGTCGTGTATCACGGCCTATGAGCAGATAAGACTATCCTGGCCTCGTCTTTCCCCCTTGGAACCTCTAAGTTCCAAATAGACTATCCCACCAGTCTTCATGGTTCTGAACACGTCATATCATAGTTGGCATTCCTGTCTTGTTCGACACGATATTTGCAGGTGCACTTGCTGGTTTCAGGGCTTTGTAGGAATATTCCTCGAGCGTGATGATTTAGAGGCATAAGCCATGATGTAACCTTAGACATTACGGACAAGATCGTACGAAGTTTTGAAGAATCATTAATCACTATTGTAAATACATCGAACCTATGAACCTGAGATTGTTGAAAGAGACCGCTTAGTTTGTTCTGGCTCAATTCCTAGCCTTGATGATATCCGCGGCCTTCTCGGCAACCCCGTACATGGTAGCCTGCAAATGGCAAGATGGAACAAGCGGGATAATGGAAGCATCAATGACAGAAAGATGCTGAGTGCCATACACGAGGAGCTTATCGCTGACACAGCCTCCTTCCTCCCTTGCCATCATAGGGCAAGAGCCCGACGGGTGAGCAAGCGTAGGTGCCAACAAAGACTGGCTAACCAGGGCCGAGAAGATCTCATTGTCCGTTTTGTACTGAGTGCCAGGCGCAATCTCCGAGACGTTGAACTTGTTGAGTTCGGGACGAGCCATGTACGTGCGGTAGTATCGGAGGCTGGCACCGAGGACGGCCTTGTCAGTGGGGTTGGAGAAGGCGTTGAAGAAGATGTCGGGAGGCCCTTGAGGGTTCTTTGCGTTAATGTTGATAGTGCCACGGGAAAGGGGCTTCTCGACGCCGAGTAGACTGAAACTGCCATCACTGGGAACGCCGAATTCAGCAAGAGCGGCATCCTTGCGTTGGTAGAGTCCTGCAAGAATTTTCCGTTGACGTGCGAATCCCTTAAGCAGCGGCTTGTTGTTCTTGTAGATGCTGGGAAGATGGTCGCTGTCGTTTTGGCTGTTCATGATGTTGACGATTGATTGAACGTCGGACGTCATGTCTGGGAGTGAAATGAAGGCCAGGGCATTGCCACGAGCAACAGTATATGGTCCCGTCTTATTCTGAACGTACTGATCCCAGGCGGTCGCGTTGTAGGTCGCGTTGGTGTTGAGCTCATTGCTGGAAGGGAAGCTATTAGAGGGCGCGTTGAATGCGGCGACTCCATATGGGTGGTCCTGGAAGTTGGAACCGACGGCGTCAAGTTCAACGCGAACTTTGACACCTGCAGCCTTCAGGATATTCTTGGGTCCGACACCACTCAATTGTAACAACTTTGGCGTAAGAATGGAACCTGCCGCCAGGATAACTTCGCGCTTGGCATAGACGGTTGAAGTCTTTCCAGACGCTGCGTCAAGGATCTCAACACCGTTTGCCATGTTAGGTGCGTTCGTGTTGGTGAACACAACCTTTTGGGCTGTCGTCTTGGTGAGAACCTTGAGGTTGGTACGATTGGCGATCGGGTTCAAGTATGCGTATCGCGCATGGGCTCTGCGTCCAGTCCTCTTATCCATGGTGTTGGGGAACCACGAAGGACCGACCTCGCCATCATTACCGTCCAAGGGAAGGCGTACACCCATACCCCTCCAGGCGGCCCAGTAGTCCTTGTTGTCAGGAACGTGGGAGTCGTGAACACTCACAGTCAACGGTCCACTCCCGTAGGCTGATGGATCGTACGTGATGTTGTACTCCTTGGCAACCGCAGCAGACGCAGGCTGGTAGGTGGTACCTTTGATGAAGTAGGGTTTCATGCCTGCCCATCCCCAGCCCTTATTACCAAGAGCCTCCCATGCATCGAGGTCAGCAGCAGAAGCTCGATCATAGACCATCTAGCGTGATGTCAGTAACAACGGGCCTGGCACGCTCGAGACGGTCACTTACTCCATTGATTACTGAGCCTCCACCGAGAGTCTTTGCAACAACGACATTGGTAGTCACGTTGCCGAGAAAAGGGTCTGGCTTCGACATAAGACCACTCCACATCAAATCGGCATCGATGGTCAGGTCTTGGGCATGATGTGGTATCTATATTTTCAGGACTATTAGTATGTATTCTAGTTAGGATGCTCTGCCAGAATTACTGACCATGGTCGTGTCTCTGTCAACAGACTCGCCGCTCTCAATCACAAGCACAGTCCCTGTTGGTATTATTTAGCTACCGATATGATGAGGGTATCGCCGTAAACGGGTGTACTTACTGCGTTTATCTTCACTGAGCCTGTTCGCAACGACCAAACCGGTAAGACCACCACCGACAATTACGTAGTCATACTCCTGGGGGGCAGCTGCAGCGAGAGCTGGCGAAAGGCAGATGCTGAACACCTGGACGGCCACAGCCAAACGAGAGAAGACAGGCATCCTGAATTCCGGGAGTAACTTGAATGAATGTAAGAATGAGTGCAGGCAACGGACCTCGAAAAGAAGAAGATGGTACCAGATATATAGATGGGTACTCTATGCTGACAGCCGCTGGAATATACCGCGGTACTTCTACCGTGTGTTGCTTGAAGGATCAGGACCCACTACCAAGACAGTTTTCATATACTCCCTGATCTTTTCGAGAAGTTGCTGACTGCAGGGAAATCTGCATGATCCAGACTCAAACACATGCCTTTGACATGCAGTATTAGCGAGTCATTCGGTCAGACATCTCCATTCTGCGAAATCGGGGGCTATCACTTCATGATTATGGAGAGGTGATCGTAGTCCATCGCAAAGTGTGTAGATCCTGGCCGTGACTGACCCTGCCACGGGCGGCATGCAGATTGCGTATGGCAAGGGATTGTCATGCTCGCTACGCATGTGAACGCTGTACAACATGAAGTTGCAGTCGAATCATGGTCCCCTGTCGCAGGGCGTAAATCGTCCGCATCTTGAGCACAAACATGCCGCACTGTCCGGGGCAACAGGCATTTGAATCCTTTGCAAATGTAAAGATACGGCACAGCTTTCAGATCTGGCGGAACATGGATGGAACAAGCACGATTGAACGCCACTGCAAGGGAATAGGGCCGTAGGTCGAGACCGCTAGGCACTTGCACGCGATTGGAGCATCGGAGATTTTGGGGATTTGGCAGGTACCATCCCCAACCCTGGTATGGAGGCGTAGTTAGTCCTTCCGATGCAAGGTCCTATTTTCCGTTCGGGGGTTGTCCGTCCGGGGCGCCTCAACGAATGAGCGAAGACTTGCGGCTAGCGCCTTGGTGACGAACGGCACAGAACGACCACTCATTCTACATACTGTCGCACACTTCTTTGCGCTGATCTTATAAAGTGTCAGTCTGTATGTACAGCACTCTACAACCACGTCGATTTATGTCAGCTAAACAGCTCCACCCTATTCTGACTTTCCGTGACACCTCGAGGAATCAGACTTCCTCGTATTGGCGTATCGGCGGCGTGCGGGGTAACCCGTTCACGATGCATTATAGCCGGTCGCCCGTTTAATCAACCATCCCGTGTCACAACTTCATTGGACTCGGGTTTGCAAGAGTCATTTTGGGAGTCTCGAATAGACAGTAGAGTATAAGTTACCCGCTGTTCTCGATAAACAGCCATTACCTGGGTGGTGCTCTAGACACAACGTAGTATTGGCATCACTACGGATCACTTTCCTCAGTGATGGGCAATCGCCGCGATGGTTGAAAGCATTGTTTTTCACGCTCGTATTGCCCCTGACAAATGATGCCTGCTATTGTATCTGGTCAGCCCAGAACTTCTCATTGCCTCTCAGGTGGCGTTACGGTATCTGCGCAATGTCCGCCGTCGGCCTTATTCATTTGCGCCGTGTGCCGCAGAGATTTTGCTTCAGAGTCTACCATGGAACTGGTGATGACTGAGAACAGTTGTTGAAACTTTTCTTAGTGATGAAAGATGCTGGAGTAGGATATTGAAAGCACTAGTAGGGATTCTGGATAACACTCTATCTATATCTATGGTTCAGCCTTGAAGTACAGATCCTGGTCTTTCTGGTTTTCTTCTAACCGATGGCTTGACTTTTGTGGGTTCTCGGGGCACTGAACGTCTCAAATTCGAATAGCACCATGCAGCCTAGGATATGGGTTTTCCATGCCCTTGTACATACAGTGGTAAAACGCTCCGCTAACCGTCTAGGTCCCGTACTCTACTAATTGTCATGTCGACGCGGCACGGTCGAAAGGTTGGCACAATGATAGAGCAAATATAGAACTTCCCCACAAACCACTGTGCCCGCGAATTTTACGTTCTTCTCCGTAAGTCCTTTCGAGATTGTTTGTTAACCGTCATGGTCGCCGCCGACCCAATGCAGCAGGAATGGCCAAATCAGCGGCTGAAGATCCTCGTTCCATGCTTTATTCTTTTGACCATCAGCACGATGTGTGTCATATGGAGAATTGTGTATGGAATCTTGCAAAAGCGCAGACTTATGGTTTGCGATTACTTATTGATCGTTGCTACTGTAAGTCCATATGCCTTACTCCCAACCACTACCAGCCCTATGTACTCATATTCCAAGTTTCTCAACATCGTTGCGACGAGCATCAATAAGGGCATGGTCGATGCAGCGCTTGGGCGTCACATAAACGACCCTTCAATAAGTCCTGAAGATATATTGCGTTACCTCTATTGTCTCTGGATTGTATCAATCGTCAACTTGATCGGTGTTGCATTTCTCAAGTGGTCCATCTGCTCATGGCTTCTGGTTCTTAATTTCTCCAAGACGTACGAGATCATCGTTTGGATTTCCATTATCATGGTCACAGTGTTGAATTTCATTGTCCCAACCATTGGGAACTTCCGCTGCATTCCCCTACGAGCAAACTGGGACTTCAGGTTTCAAGGAGATAAAAAGTGTTTCGCTGAGCTAGCCCCGCTAGGATTGATATATACGCAAGGCATCTCCAGCATCTTGACAGACGTGGTCTATATGGCGGCGCCACTAATTTACCTTTCCAGAGTGCAGTTGACCAGGCGCACGCAATGGGGAATCCGTACCATGTTTCTATTAAGTATTCCGTAAGTCTGGTGGTTCCGTATTCACCGAGCTGAAAACAGTAACCAAACATTCAAGATACAAAGCTAACGTTGAAAGCGCCACTATCTGCTCCATATTCAAGACCATTGAGCTCAAATCTGTTGGCACAACAAGAGATCCTACGTGGGACGCCGTAAATTTGGACATATGGAGTCAAGTCGAACTGTCAAGCGGCATTCTCATTGCCTCACTGCCTCCACTTCGCAAAGCATTCGACGGTCTATTCCAGCGTATTTTTCCTTCCGTTATGCGCTCCACCCATCAGTCATCTCAACTGGGATATGGCCGCTCGGATCATGGCAATCACATTCGGTTGAACGATATGCAAAGCCGGAAAACTACGAAGAGTGGACATACACATGAGTCAATCTTGGACAGGGACGATGAGAGCGAACGGGCAATCTTGGAAGACGAAGAAGAAAAGCGTATAGGCATTGTAAAAACTACAAAAGTTACGATTACCGCAGAGAGTGAAGAGACAAGTCGGGACTCGCAGGGGTCATACAAACAAAGTAGTGATTGGGCAACGTCGAGCCAGTCCAAAAAGAGTTTTCAACGACCCAGATCGGATTGAAATGCTGTCATTCATTACTTGGTTTAGGTTCATCTATACGAAATCTCTACCAATTGATATCCTGAACTTTACAAACATCAATGTCCTCGTCAAGAGCCATGTGTCTTTCAAACTTACCCCATTTGCTCACACTCGCCGTGATATGACTTCATATCTTAAGCATCCTGTTCATACATAGAACCTACTGGTTTTACTGCCGTTATTGAGTGGAAAACATTGATAGCAGATTGTAAATCGGTCAAACACGCTATGATTATGGTGAAGTTGATTGAGCTTGAACATGCCTGTATATATTACATAGAAACGAACCTAACCAACACAATCTCCTCGTGCTCAGTTCTGCACTACATCAACGTTTTGCCGAAAGTTCAATCTCCGATGATGGTTTTGAATGTAAGCTCCTCGCACCGTCCCAATTCTCCAATCCTTGATGCTGTCTTTCATTGGAGAATATGGTAGTATCTGGGACTCCAGCCTTGTCATCATGACGAATCTTGATCTTTGTTGTCTTTACGATCTGATTGCCGTCGCCAATCTGTTCGAAATTCTGCCGTTTTAGCACAAATCGATGCGGCTGAGATGGAGCACTGGTGTTCGGATCCGCTCGATTGCACGAGTACAGACCAACACTGTTCTTGGAGGATTCCAAAACGTAGCTGTCTGTAGTGGATGATCCTTGGATAGAGTCACGAAGTTGATTGAGAATGGCGAACTCAATCTTGAGTTTGACGCTGTATCCGAAGCCTTTGAAACTACACCACACACCCCAGAGGGCAAGAAACTCGAGCGTTATGATGCATATGTCGATGCAGATAATGGCGAGGTTGGCTAGAAGCAGCATCTTGATCCGATGCCGATTCCCTTTTCTCTGAAGGGTTTCACTGACACGCAGGATCCGTACCGCTTCGGAGAGGTACACAAGAGAGATGATGAGCTCTTGGGCGCTCAAGATGGCAACGGATATCTTCTCCATGATCTCGAAGGGCTTGTAAGCGGGGTTGATGGCGTTGTTTTCGACTGCCTGAGGTACATCTTAGTTTCATCCTGGTACCGTAAGAACCAGCGCTTACCATCAGCGAAAACACGGTTTGCGGACCGTGCATGCAAACACCATTGACAACGATCATGTATAGAATGAGTCGCAGTTTCCACTGACTCCGGCAGACCAGGTGTAGTCTTGACCACAGAACGAGTGACTGGCCTGTGACCATTGAACTCCAACCAAAGCCAATGCAAGCAATGATGCCATACATGTTCAAGTGAGGCGCAAAGATCATCATGAAGACATTAGTCTGAAAGACGAATACCCCCAGAGTGGCCACAATCAGACAATAAAAGTATTTGCCAGTCCAGCTTTTGAATGTAAGAAATATTGTGCAAAACAGTTCCGCCGTGTTGAACCTATCCTTATCAGCATACGTCCTGCATGGAGATTTCAGCACTTACCAAGCCATGCCTGTTAGCGCTACAAAGGTTACTACCTCGAGGGTCGAAGCCAGAGGCCCTATGGTTAAGTTTATCTGCGTTGAAGCCATAGGTGAGAGGAAGCTAAGAGCAATAGAAAACTTGACTATCTATATGTATCACACGAAGCACATCTTTTAAGATGTTGATTATTTTTTAACGTGGTCATCGGTGATCGCAATCCCCAGAATCATCCCACTCCAAGGATGCTTACCGGTAATCACCTTCGGTTGAGGGTGAGATTTGATTATGCAACTGTGCCGCATGTACGCAAAATTGACCCGTGTTTTCTAACAGGAACACGATGACGGTGCTGAGTGGTTCCAAAGCACTGAGCACTTTCTGTGAGTTTAGAAATCTGACAGTAAAATATGCTCTCCGCTTGAATTACATTGTACGTCCCTCAACTACTACCATAAGTTTGAAGCAAGTCCTGAATCCACCGCAGACGTATGCTTACCTGTTTATGTGATTCGGCAAAGAGACCAGGGGCAAATGCGGGTAGATCAAGGACTTCCCTAGTTCGATCTTGAATAGCCGAATGAATAGAGTCGAGGATGATGGTGCTGCGTTTACTTCATGCAGACTCCTTCGCGTGTAATGCTTCGCGTATGATCCTTCGCGTGTAAAAACCCAACTAGCAAGAAGCATGATTCTACTTTGGTAGAATTCTGTGTAATGGGTTTACCGCTGACCAGGGTTAGAGCCAATCAACCTCACAACAGGACATCAAGGTTATCGAGGACGAACGCGTGCGCCGCGGTTCAATCCTAGCTAGCGGTAGGTAGAACTTTAATTGTACATCTCGCATGCTTCCAACCCCACTGAGTGCGACTGCATGTAAGATGCAGGAGGATTGGCCATCGAAATCCTACGCTAACCTCGTCTCCATCCGTGACAGGTTGCACGGAATAACAATGTGGCCTGTTATAAGACGGCCCTGTCGTCCACGATCTATCAGTCTTCACCCACCTAGCTCTCATTCCACTCTTCCATCTCACGTATTTCGTCAAGAAATTGTCATGTTTATACTAGTTCTCGCAGCTTGGCTGCTGTGTGCGTCCCAATCGACTTTCGTGTTTGCGCAAACAAACTTGAGACAAGCCGCATCCGAGTTGCAACCTCAACTGTCCAAGGGCGCCATAGTCACATTCCCATTTAACTCTCGTTGGGAGGCCTTGCAAGTTCGGGGTGCCTCCCCTCGCGTTTCTCCCGACTACAGTGTCATTGTCGAAGTTGCTACCGAAGCCGATGTACAGACAATAGTGACATTTGCCAACCGCTTGAATATCCCATTTCTGGCCGTCTCGGGTACTCATGGGTGGACAAAGACACTAAACAAGATGCCGTATGGCATTCAGATCAACATGCGGAAGCTGAATACTACAATTCTCAGCCGTGATGGGAAAACCGCTACTGTTGGGGGCGGTACGCTTCAATATGAGATTACGAGATCGCTTTTCGCAAAGGGGAGATATGCTGGTACGTTACAAGTTCCTACGAATATTGTCAAGACAGCTAAAGCTGATCCCCTCTTTTCCAGTCACCGCGCTTGCGGAATGTGTATCGGTTGCGGGGCCACTGCTTGGTGGTGGCCATAGCCTTCTCCAAGGACAGCATGGTTATGTTCTTGACAACCTTGTCTCCGCTCGTGTGGTCCTTGCTAGTGGTAAGTCTGTCGAAGCATCCAGGACGAAGAACGCAGATTTGTTCTGGGCGTTACAGGGTGCTGGTCATAACTTTGGCATACTTACCAGCTTTGTTGTAAAGACGTACAACATTCCGTCTGACTGGACGGTGTACTCCCTTGTATATACGACTGATAAACTCGAGGCACTCTTCAGCTTGATCAACGAATTTGAAACTTCCTCCAATCACCGACCATCGAAACTAGCGCTCACTGGTGTGTTTGTCAGGATACCAGGCATCGATCCAAACAACGTAAGTTTTTATCCTCTCTCACATGTTTGCATGCACTCACTGCCATACAGCCGGTCATTGCCTATACAGTCGCATATGAGGGTAGTGAAACAGACGCCGAGCCATATGCAGCACGTTTCAAAGCCCTAGGACCTGCCTCAGTCTCGGTATCCACTAGGGTGAACTACGTAGAACTATACACTGTGACTGGGAACAACCTCGGCAGTCAGGCGTGCATTCGAAATAACAACATCCTCGGTGCGGGGACTTCTCTTCCTGCTTGGGACCTCGAAGGTACCCGCAAAGCCTTTACTGTGTTTGGCAACCTCACCACGGATTCTCGCTTTTCTACCTCCATCACACTCCTGGAAAACTATGGCATGGAGGGCGTACGGAAGGTCAGTCCTGAATTAACTGCTCTGGCACCAGAGGAACGCAATTACCCTGTCCTCGCAAGTCCAATACTTTGGTGGGATGGCGACGACGAGCAGACGACGAAGGATGCATACGCGTATGCGAACGCGATGCGGGATGCGATGTACTCGGGTGTTGACAGGAACAAGTACAAGCGACACTGCTATGTTAATTACGCAAATGGCGAGGAGACTAAGCCAGAGATGTATGGGTATGAGTCATGGAGAATGCAGAGGCTGGCCAAACTGAAGGCAGAGTGGGATCCCATGAACAAATTCGGGTTCTACAATCCAATTGTGTAATAGATGATCAAAAGAATGTTTGGTCTAAGTTGCGGCAAGAAGAGTATCAATAACAGAAAAGTCCGACTAGCCAGTCTCGCCCAAGCAACACCATTCCCTTGGCGACCAATCGCCTACTGTCTGTAACATATATGATGGTGATAACGTAGACTCCAGCTGGTTGACAAGGCGTGAATACGATCGCACCTAGAGATGTCTCTAGCGACCAACATTCTGCGAGCAAATGATTAGAAGATGCGCAGACAATGGATCAGATAACATCCTCCGCATCAAAGTTGCATATGTACGCTCGTAGATCCGAGCTGACAGGATGTTACCGATATCCATTGGTCAAATTGGTTTTGAGTTCGCACAAGAGTAAAGGGATGCCCAGAAAATCTATCTTGCCTGCGTCTTAGGTTTTGCAAATGACGTCAGACGCAGCCAAGAGCAGAACCGAGCACGCGTTTCTCTTGTAAGAACCCAAGTCCAATTTGACCGGCGGAAATCAGTGGCAGCCATGTAGGGATCTGAAGGGGTACATTAGTTAACTCAAGAAGTTTGTGCTCATGTAGTGGAGTGGAGGAGTGAAAACATTACCAAGAGGAGGCGATGGTCAAAGAATCCAAGCTTCTCGATGACGCAAAGGACAGCACTATCCCCACCATCGCGATAGACTGCTCCAACGATAGCCTCGACCGAGCTGGCTACCATCTTTCGGGAGACTGTGTGCATGCCAGGACTCAAGATGACGCATCCGTCGACACCGAGATCGTAACCTCGCTGGGCCAATGCATCGTTGCTAAGCAAATCGTTACGAGCCGTAGTCCAGTCAGATAAGGAGCGCGCGTGGCCTATCTCCGTTCAGCCTTGGGGGTTGGAAGGTGGATGGGAATCACTCCATGATACCTCTGTTATCGCGCGCATGGAACCACTTGTCACAGAGAACTTTGGCGAGCACAGCGTCGCCTAAGAGGGAGAGACGTTTGTTGTTCTCCAGTCCGAAGAACATTCCCTCGTGGATGACAGCAGTTTGGGGCGCGGCCATCTGAACAGCTTCTGCGGCAAATAGTTTGTTGTTGAAGGTGTATCCGATCATCTCTTCAATCTGCGCAGCCTTATCTCCAGTGTTGAGCATTGGCATCGTTCGACGTTGAATGGTCAGAGTATGGATAAGGAAGTTCAGGTGTGGGGTTGTGGTTGAAATCAAAAGTTGTGGTTGTACCCCACTCCCATAATCAGGTCATCTGCCGACCTCGTGTCAGCTCAGTTTGCGCTTGTGAGATGGCTCGTATCGATAAAATCATGGCATGAAAGCGCCCCTGGTTTTAGATTGCTGAACACGAAAGCTCCAGCCACCCTCACAAACTCTGGCCATAGTTTGTAGAAGAGTTTGGTTGGTAAAACAGGCATTGAGAAGTCCTTAATATCAACATACTTTGGTTACAAGTCATCCACAGGCCTCATCGAGCTTGACCAAACTCGAGGTCTGACGGTGATCGACGCGCAAAGACCACCCACCCGCAGCGGTTCGTTCCTGCTAGGCGCGGCGCCGTCGACGTCATGCCGCTAACCAGGTTTCCTAGATTTTTTGGGTTAGTGGGGTGAGCCACCGAGAAAACAAAAGCAGCACCAGCAGACCTGAGCACGCGCATTCAAGAACCTAGACGCACCCAGTACAGATCACACCGAGCCAAGCCCGTACCTGGATCCGATCAAGCGGAACTTAATAGTAAAGACACTAGGGACCTCGGCAGCCATGGAAGACGTCGTGGTACGCAGGCAGTTTCCTCCAGTTGAAACTCTACACTTTCAACCTCTGTAGAAAACAATTCTCGTGTTGTTTGTGAGCTGATGGCTAGCTTTGAAACGATAGGAGCTTGGATTCGAAGGCGTCGATAAATTCGCTTGCAAATACCACGACAGGTGTCACGACAAGGTCAGGCAGCATGCATCACGAGCTAGGCAGAATTTCGGAGGAAAAGAGCAGGATCAACAGCGTGGGGACTCGAGGAATGATATGTACGCGACAGAGAGGAACCAACAGCGCGAATATGGGGATGACAAGGACGCGCGATACGACGATGCTGAGCAGGGATATTACAGCGGTGCTAGAGGGAGGCAAGGCGAGTATGACAGGCATGGCGGGCAAGGCGCTGGAGAAGGGAATCGTGAAGTTGGAGTAGTGGTCTGTCGTCTCTGGCCATGGTGAGTTCAAGACTGACTAATAGATGTAGGCGAATCCCCCTCCACGCGGACAGTCTGGGCGTGAACGGCCAACGAACCAACGCAGGGGCTCCTCATGGTCGCCTCCCCGTTCAAGCCGACAAGTTGAAGAAGGCTCACGACAACGCACTCATTCACGGCAACGTGCCCGGTCCCGATCTAAGACCCGAGAGCACCGTATTGGGGCAAGCATTGGCGGAGCCCTGATTGGAGGTTTGCTCGGGAACCAGGCCACCAAGGGCAAGAAGTATGACACTGTTGCCACCATGGTTGGGGCAGTCATGGGAGGTCTAGGAGGAAGAGAGATGGTGGAACGATGGGACGAGAGAAGCCAGCGCAAGGAGGAGGGAGAAGAGCGGAAGGACGATCCAAAGCGTGGGGGTAGAGACGATGGAAGGGATGGTCGCAGGAACAGCAGAGCAAACAACCGACGAGACGAGCGTGGAGGAGACAGTGGGAGACATGAGCGTGGAGGAGAAGACAGGAGAGATGAACGTAGAGGAGGTGAGGGGAGAGCTGGGAGAGATGAGCGTAGGGCAGAGGATTGGAGAGTCGAGCGGAGGGCAGACGACCGCTACGATGAACGCGAGGAGTATGGCGGTCGACGAGGAGACCGTTACGGGGCTGGTGCACAGCAGATGGCTTACATGGAGCGCTATGCGGCAGAGCGGGTGTAGAGGCGTAGCGCAGCATGAATGTAATGATGACACGACCAGGATGAATAAAAACGATAGCATGACGACGATAAGCAACGAGCAATTACTCGAGCAGGAGGCATAATTGATGTCTCGTGACGTGCGTGGCTCACCATGGCGGGTCAGGGGCTGTGTTCTCTGGCGCACGAGCGTGTTTCAATGTCTTCCAGAAGACCCACACGCGCTACCTACTTTGTTGATGCTGGCGTCCCGCCGCCGCCCTACAGCCCGTCCCGCATCGCAGGCCATCCATCTGCCTGCACACAGCCAGCTCTGTTCTCTCCGCTCACCGCCCCAGCGCCCACGACACGCACGATCCTGTCGCAGATCCCCTGCAGCGTTCCGCGGGCACCACGACTGCCGGGTAGTGGCATTGTTCGCTCATCTGTGCGACGGACAGCCCGCTCGGAGCAGCAATCACCACCACGACGCACCCAGCTGCCTGCCCAGCTCCCACCCGCCCACGCAGCTGCTCACCGCCCACAGCGCCCGCACGCCCACACACCCACCTGCTCCACCATGAGCTGAGGACTGCCGAGCCATTGCATCGCCCCTTCCCACCGCAACACGCGCGCTTGGCCTGACCCGTCTGACGGCTGCCCCTCGCCTCCAGGAGCACCACGCGTCTGCCTCACCACCACAGCAACACCCACGATGCGGCGACACAGGGCGGGCGGTCCGGTGCGGGCCCACGTCTCCCCCGTGCCCGACCCCTTCGCCATGGTGCGCGCCTTCGACAGCGACTCGAACCCTGCGCGTCCCATCCGCCCCTCCCCGCTGGCCGCCTCGACCATCCAGGGCCTGCCGCTGGACCTCCTCGACCGCCTGCGCTCGTTTCCGCTCTTCCAGCAGGCGCCCGACTCGTTCCTCACCGCCGTCGGCATGCACCTCAAGCCCCAGCTGTACCAGCCGCACGACACCATCCTCACAGAGGGCGAGACGGGGAAGGCCATGTACTGGCTGGTTCGCGGCGCGGTGCGCGTCACGTCACGCGACCAGGAGAGCACATTCGCCGAGCTGAAGCCTGGCGCCTTCTTTGGCGAGATTGGCATCCTCATGGACATCCCCCGCACCGCAACCATCATCGCCAACATGCGCTCCCTCGTCGTGCGCCTCAACAAGGAGGACCTGATGAAGGAGCTGCCCAAGTTCGCCCAGGTAGAGCGCGCCATCATGGACGAGGCCAAAGAACGCCTCGCCATCCTGCAGCGCAAGAAGCAGGAGCTGGGCGCCACCAGCAAGCGTCCCGCCATGCCCGTCCGCCAGATAACGGGAAAGCGCGATCGCGAGGATGGCGACGTGGTCATGGCAGAGAGCGGCACCCTGCGCGACGGCGAGGTTGTCAACGCGTACAAGAAGAGGAAATCCCCCAGCCCTGGCCTTACTGAAGTCGCCGCTCACAGCGCGTTTGGCAGTGGCGGGGTGCACGTGAGGTCGCTGCTGAAAGAGCTGCCGCTTTTCTCCAGCCTACCTGACGAGATTCTGCACTTCCTGGGCATGCGTGCTCACATTCGCTTCTTCGACCCCTTCGACGACATCATCAAGCAGGGGAGTCAGGGGCGCGATGTGTATTTCATTGTCAAGGGCGAAGTCGAGGTCGTGACTGTGGCGCCCGAGCAGAATGGGCATGCGGCGTACAACTTTGGCCGTAGGAGATCCATTGCTGCTGGCGAGCACAATTTCCAAGAGGTCAAGGCTAGACTGAAGCCCGGGCAGTATTTTGGAGAAGTTGTCAGTCTGTCGCTCGCACCACGCCGCACTGCCACCGTTCGGTCCATATCTTCTGTCGAGTGTCTGATGGTCAGCGGAGACACGCTCAACCAGCTGTGGGAAAAGTGCACCCCAGACGTGCGCCGACAAGTGGAATCGGTTGCAAAAGAGCGTCTCCAGACTGCCAAAGACAACGACATACATATGATGGATGTGGATAGTACTCCAAAAATCGATGAGTTGGCTATCGCAGACATAATTCTACCACGAACCCCAACTCGGAAGAACAGTGTTCCCATTGTCACCTTCCATGGCACCCTTGGCACAATCAGCAGTCCTGCCACACCTGTCCGGAGAGACGAGAAGATGATGGAACCTTTTGATCCCGATCCCTTTCTCAACATCGATCTTGACAACGTGAGATCTAGATCGCGAAGAGGCTCACTCGCGCCTCCCGCTCCTGAATTACCCAGCAGTCCATCAAAAGGCGTTTTAGACATCCCCAAGTCGCAACCCTCGCCATCACCGATCAGCTCCCCACTCTCGCGGTCGCCCCTTCCTAAACATGCAGTCACTCCACCGGAAGCTCCCTTCGATTTCAAACGTCCGCGAATGATACGCAAGCCAAGCAGATATAGCAGAGGCATGTTGCCTGATCTCGTGTTGGTTGGGATCTTCCAACACCTGAACTTACATGAGTTGATGCGATTGCGCCGAATATCGTGGCATTGGCATAAGATTATATCAACGTCACCAGACATTCTTCACGACCTTGATCTGGCAAAGTACAATCGCAAAGTCACAGATCGCACGCTGGTAGACATCATATGTCCGTTTGTCGGTAGCCGTCCCAAGTATATCAACATTAGCAATTGCTTCCATATCACGGACGAGGGCTTTGGCGAACTTGCAAAAACTTGTGCCCCCGGTGTCAAGATATGGCGAATGAAGAGCGTCTGGGACATCACAGGTCCTGCTGTTCTCGAAATGGTGCAGAAGGCCAAAGGCCTCGAAGAAGTGGATCTCAGCAATTGTAGAAAAGTAGGCGATAACCTCCTAGCACGTGTTATTGGGTGGGTGGTTCCTGAGCTGCCTCCTCAAATGGCGCTCGCACATGCACAACACCAAGCGCAAGTAAACAACCGACGCACATCTGGACAGAAAACGGCTGGGGCCAACGGGCAGGCGGTACCACAACCTCTTCCGGCTGGAACTGTAGTTGGATGTCCCAAGCTTCGTCGCCTGACGCTGAGCTACTGCAAACATATCACGGACCGGTCGATGGCGCATATCGCTGTTCACGCGGCGAATCGTATCGAATCAATTGATCTTACGAGGTGCACGACGATCACAGACGTTGGGTTCCAGCATTGGAGCGTGTACCCGTTTCCGCGGCTGACGAAGTTGATTCTTGCGGATTGCACGTATTTGACTGACAATGCGATTGTGTATCTGACCAATGCAGCAAAGGGGTTGAGGGAGTTGGACTTGGTAAGTACCCCACAAATATGCAGTTCTAACGAGCGAGAACCTAACAATTACAAAGTCCTTTTGCTGCGCTCTGTCCGACACAGCAACAGAGGTCCTCGCCCTTGGCCTGCCCAATCTCACACACCTCAATCTTGCCTTCTGCGGGTCGGCAGTCTCCGATACGTCACTGCGTTGCATTTCGCTGCATCTTCTCGAGCTTCGCAATCTTTCGGTTCGCGGGTGCGTCAGAGTCACAGGTACTGGTGTAGAGGCAGTTGTCGAAGGTTGCAGAGATCTGGAGGTTTTTGACGTGAGTCAATGCAAGAACTTGGGGAGATGGTTAAATGCTGGTGGGCCACAGATGGTAGCGCAAAGGGGGCGAAACGTCAGGTTTGATACGGTCGCCGATGGTAGGTGGAGGGCAGGACGAGGAAGATGAGTTTTAAAAGGATGAGCAGCACTGAGGGATATTACGAGCCGCAAACGACAAACTGGACATTTAAGTGGCGATGATGTACCGGAATTCGATAGTACATGCGACACATGGGGAGCATAAGTCAAGAGTCAGAACTGGTGTATGAGTTTGTGTATTGGTGTGTGGCGGTCATGTGTTTTTGGGCAGAGATGAGTTATGCTTTGGATGCTTTCATATGCTATGATACCAGCCACGACGCGTTGTTTGTTTGCGATTCTTCTAGAAGGCTTGTTGGATCTTGTACAACGAATGGTATGACAGGATATGTAGAAAACCAGAGCCTCGTCTCGCCATGATCTTGGGTATCACTTGATCCGTCGTTTCCTGCTTCTGACAAGGCTGCTTTCCAAACTCGGAGCCTCTCTGGGCATTGAACATGTCCTGCTTCTCGACATGCCATCTTATGGGATGGGCTCTCTTCTGTGCGTGTATTCGACGATTCCGTGCACTTGTTCCTTCACGCAAATCTCTTTCCATATCCCTTTACAACCCCGTCCAAAATTCCTCTCATCCTCTTGCACCCTTCGATCCCCACGGCCAGCATGCCCTCGACCCTCTCCATTCTCACTCTCGTCTCGAGCACACACACGGCCACCCTGTCACTCTCGCCCAACGTGCCTACTGTCAGAAACGGCAATTCCTGCTCTTCTAATGTATTGAGATCCAGTAGCGGGTCGTCGGCCGAAGCATTGTCTGCGGCCGCCGAGCTTGCTGACGATGCTGCCGTGCATGCGACGAGGTAGTCAGTCATGGGTATGCCAGCATCGATAAGCGCAAGCGTGCTAGCATTGATGCAAGCCGCCAGTAGACTGCCGTCTTGACTGATGACATGCACATTCAACGTAATGGTACTGTGGGGGTAAAGGTGCAGCAGCAGCACGCCCTCGAAGGCCTCGCGGAGGCAATGCTCCATCTCGCTCGTACGCTTGTCCCCGCGGCCTCGCTTGCGTCTGTCGGTGCCGCTGAAGCCGGGAAAGTTGATTTCCACCTCGACTTTGGCAAGGCCATTGGAACCGCCCTGGCGTTGGCGCCCTTCGTGCGGCCCCGTCACGCTGACGAGGATCTTGGTGTTGCCCATTTCGAGGTACGAGGATCCATCGGCGGCGGCTTGGGTGCTGATTTGCGCGTGGATGCGGCGGAGTTCGTTCCAGCGGCGGCCATCGAGGCGCAGGAGCGCGAGAGAGTAGGTCGATGTGTCGAGTGGCATTGTGGCTGTGCTTGGAATCGCGTGTGCAGTCGACGTTTGCGTCTGCTATTGCGAATTCACCGAGCTTTGGAGATTTTGGTGGGTCCGAGCACTGCTGCAGGTAAAGGCGTCCCCGCTCTGCACGTGAAGACGTGTTAGCGCGTTGCGTTGACCCACATACGCATCACGACTTGCCCATCCCTGCCTCGTTCATTGTCGCGTCGACATGTCGTTCAACGGTACAAAGGCGAGAGACCATCGCAAGTCCTTGCGTGTTATAGCCGAGAATGAAGCCCAAAGCGATGGCGACGGCGACGACGACGAATGCGACCTCGATATTATTGAATCATCGCGCAAACACTTGGACATCTCAGGTTACATCCAAGGTGGGTTGGGATTATGTTTGGACGACTGGCTGTAAAATCGCTGATGTCGTGCAGCCCTTACCCAGACTCAGTCCCAGTCGCAAGAGACAGGTGACGAATTTGGCATACAAGAAACAGCAGATCACGTGTCGGGCGCCCACGTCAATCCAATCCCGGAAAGACACGTGCTCCAAAGACAAAATGCCGTCAGCTCCAAGGATTATACTGTTGCGCACAACGTGAGCGAGCAAGAAGAGTCAGATTGGACAGAAGACGATGCAAAAGCCACTTACGAAGAATGGAAAAATCGCAAAAAACTCAAGCGCAAACGCGTCGCTGCCGAAACAAACAGGATTCGAGCAGTGAAGAAGTCCAAAGCAGCGGCAGCGTCGAGCATTGTGGGCCGCAAGCCTCAAACCAAACAGAAAGAGCGTGATGGTCCAGTAGGGTTCAGTACAGACGAGGTGGCTGAAGATGTGGACAACAACGTGACATTCTTGGACGAACCAATTCCAGACTATGTCACAGCGCGTCAGAGGGGTTTGAAAAAGCTGCGCGAGGCTGGGCTGCGGTACCCGCCCAACTACGAGGATGTACGTTTCTCAGACTCGGAAACAGAAGAAAAACCTCAGCTGGACAAGGCTATCAAGCCGCAACGAAAGCACAAAAGCATCAAACTCCGTGACTCTGGAGCTATCATACCTGCGCCCATCGCGCAGTGGCTGCGAGACTATCAAGTCGAAGGCGTACAGTTTCTCCACGAAAGTTTCGTGAAGCAAACTGGCGCCATTCTGGGCGATGACATGGGTCTCGGAAAAACTATTCAGGTCATCGCTTTCCTCACTGCAGCGTTCGGAAAGAAAGGCACAAAGCGTGATTCAAAGTGCATGCGCAAAGTTCGTCGTATAAACGATGGCCGATGGTATCCTCGAATCCTGATCGTGTGTCCGGGTACTTTGATGCAGAACTGGGAAGACGAACTGACAAAATGGGGTTGGTGGGAAGTCTACCGGTATCACGGTAACCCAGCCGATCGAAAAGGTGTCCTTGGAGCAGCTGCGAAGGGAATGCTGGAGATCATGATCACGACTTACGACACGTTCAGAAACAACGAGAGCGACATAAACACTATTGACTGGGATTGTGTCATTGCAGATGAATGCCATCAGATCAAAAACAAAGACGCAGAAATCACAAAAGCCATGAACAAGATCAACGCACTTTGTCGTGTAGGGCTCACGGGAACTGCCATCCAGAACAAGTACGAAGAACTATGGAACCTGCTCAACTGGGCACGACCAGGTGCCTACGGCTCCGCTCAAGAGTGGAAACAAAACATCGCTATACCACTCAAGCTAGGTCAATCTCACGATGCAAGTAGAGCGCAGCTCGCAGATTGTCGTAGCAGAGCCGAAGATCTTGTTCAGAACATTTTACCCAGTGTCTTCCTTCGGAGGATGAAGTCGCTCATTGCCGATCAGCTTCCCAAAAAGAGTGACCGGATTGTGTTTTGCCAGCTCACTGAGACGCAGGCCGACGCATATCGGACGTTTCTAGAAAGTGACCGATGTGACTTCATCCGCACAGCCAAGGAGCCTTGCGATTGCGGATCTGACAAGTCGAGAGGCTCGTGCTGCTACGTCGAGATACCTGGTGAAGGTGAAAAATGGGGAAAATATATATTTCCTTGCATGGTAATGTTACAGAAGCTTGCGAACCATCTTGCTTTGATTGTACCGTCATCGTCTGAGAACAAAGAAAAGCAAGCGAAGGACATGCATAACCTCGAGACGGCATGTCCAGACACCTTCAAAGACTTGTTCCGCATACGAGACAGTATTCTCAACCAGTCGCAGCGCGAGTTCTGCGGGAAGTGGAAAGTGTTGAGGAGGCTGCTCGACTTTTGGCACGCAAATGGCGACAAAGTCCTCATCTTCTCCCACTCGGTACGACTTCTGAGGCTTCTAAGAGGACTTTTTGATGTTGATGGGACGAAATACAACTTTTCGTATTTGGACGGTAGCATGAAATATGAGGATCGGTCCAAAGCTGTCTCAGACTTCAACGCAGATCCAAACCAATTCGTCTTCTTGATAAGTACGAAAGCAGGCGGTGTTGGTCTTAACATTACCTCGGCAAACAAAGTCGTCGTTGTAGATCCAAACTGGAATCCTGCCTACGATCTCCAAGCGCAAGACCGTGCATACCGTATTGGACAAACTCGAGATGTTGAAGTGTTCAGGCTCGTTTCCAGCGGCACAATCGAAGAGATAGTGTACGCGCGACAGATCTACAAGCAACAGCAAGCCAATATTGGCTACACTGCATCGCATGAGCGCCGATATTTCAAAGGCGTCATGGACCAGTCCAGTAAAAAGGGCGAACTCTTTGGTCTAACAAACCTTTTCACCTTCCAGGAGGACAGTGTTTTGCTTCGCGACATCATGCACAAAACAAACGTGGCAGAATCCCGCGCCGGTGTTCATGGCCTCGACTTCCAATTCGACGACTCACAACTCGATCTCGACGACGACGATATCCTTTCAAACAAAAATCTCGGTCTTGCCGACGACGACGCAAACTACGGCGAGATTAAGAGATTCGCCGACTCCTTCATTTCCAGTTCAACTAAACATACCAAACCAGACCCTATAAATGCCATCCTCGCAAAAGCGGGTGTACAGTACACGCACGAAAATTCTGAAGTGATCGGTCGCAGCGAGGTCGAAGCACGGCTAAGCAAACAAGCAATAGAAGTTCGCAACGACGTCGATCTCGCTACGAAACCAGTATTTCAAGGCTCGCAAGCGCAGTCTCAGTCGCGACGACACCAACATACACCGTCATGGGATGAAGTGCATCGTGACGACGATATCGAGTTCAGCGCCTCAGACAACGAACGAGTGGCAGTTAGCAAAGGGATGAATATCAGCTACAGATACCGACCCGATGAACGGATTCGCAAAAGGCAGTTTTGCAGTATAGCGGAGAGTATGGGCTTTGAAGATCCAGTAGAATTTGCGTTATTGGTCGAGGGATCAACGCAAGAAGAGAGGAGGAAGATGCTAGAGAGGTTCTACAGAGGACGTAGGATGGAGATCGCAGGCAGCGGGAGGTAGGAAGAGTTGGGAGTCCTGTAAGGGTTATCTAAAGGAGCTTTGCCGGTGGCCGCGAGGCGTAGTTTGATACCCTTGCTTTCGGTTTATAATGCTGACTCGTGCACGGATAACGGCTTTGTTGTGTTGCCTCTGAACAATGATTTGCCAACTTGTAGGTTAACGTGATTGCTTGAAAGACGACTTGATCAGGCCATGAGGCCTTAGGTGACTGGAAGATGATGCATGCGTACTATGCGGAGGCGAGGCTTACAATTCAATAGTGTGGTTACGTAGGGCTTTGACGTCGGCCGCGCGATCTTCGGAGTCAGATACTTGACAGACAGGGCAGACCGCCTCGGACGGCAGTTGCCGTAGCTTCTCAAGCCATCCAACGGTCATCGCGAAACCACGCAGTTCTTAGCGAGTTGACCAAGTCATGGAAAGAAGGTTGAATTCGGCAACAAAAAATATCTATCGGTAGTGTGAGATATAGAGATCATGTGTTCGTGTCGTCAATATCGTCACGACATCGCGGATATAATGTACCAGAACCGAGTTTCTAGTATCTTTGGAGACTTTGGTAAGGATTTGACGGCGGTGGAGATGTGGAGGATATATGTTCTTCCAGACAACTGTCCAAGAGTTTAGTCCCTTGGGTCCTAGCTACTCAGTACGGCAAGTGGAGGTAGCTTTTTGCACCCGACATCGTGCTTCTAGGAGGACATGTCAGTCGGTAGTTGCGATGGCAAGAACTGTCCAACCAGCTTTGTTCGGAGGTGTACCCCAGGTGGAGAACGTGGTTTACCCCGTAATTCCTCTCCTTCCCCACACTTGGCGAATCTTGGCTCGGGCCAACTAAAGCGGTCTAATGCCGCCAAACCGGGTAAGCCCTGACCGAACTTGTCCAACTTTGTAGGGTGGACTGATAAACAACTCCTTGGCTGAGCGTGAGGTGAGGTGCAATGATGGATGGTGCATCAAGATTGACCGCATCGATGGTCGGCGCCTGATGGAAAGTTTTCCGAGCCAGAAGTACAAATTGACGGGTCTGTCCGTTGCAGACAACACCAGCTGTATAATCATCTAATAGAATACGCTCTAGTATCCTTACGTCAGTCACCATGCCCATTCCTAATCAAAGTCAACACAGGCGGCATGCCTTAGTTGCCTGTCTTTTCGCTGCGACAACATTTTCCACCGTCACGGCATTCCCCAGCGACATGGCTCCACGAGCAGCGAGCAACAAAACCCAGCCATATTGGGATGTTTCTCTATCAGTCGACAAACGGGTCGAGGATCTCATCCAGCGGATGACCATCGAAGAAAAAGTAGGTCAGCTTTTCCACACCAGGATTGACACGGGAGTCAACGATACACTGGCAAACACATCTGTACCCTTGGTCCAAGGGCTATTCATGTCACATTTTAACACTGGAGCCTCGATTACCAATGCATCAAGCTTTGCAAGATGGTCTAATAGCCTACAAGACCTTGCTGCGAACACTCGTCTTGGTATACCTATCACCCTTTCGACCGATCCTCGACATGCATTCACAGATAACATTGGCACCGGTCTCCCCGCTGGAGCATTTTCGCAATGGCCCGAGAGTTTGGGGCTTGCTGCATTGCGAAGTCCAGAAATCGTGAAGGACTTTGCAAACATTGCCCGACAAGAGTACCTCGCCGTCGGGATTAAGTCTGCCCTGCATCCTCAGGTTGACCTCGCCACCGAGCCTCGCTGGTCCAGAATCGCAGGAACCATGGGCGAGGATGCGCACCTTACCGCAAAGCTCGTTGTTGCTTACATCGAGGGTTTCACTGGCCAGACATTTGGACATGATTCAGTGACCACTGTTACCAAGCACTTCCCAGGTGGTGGAGCCATACAGAACGGAGAAGACAGCCATTTTGAATACGGTCAAAACGCCACGTACCCCGGCAACAATTTCGATTACCACCTCATCCCATTCGAAGCAGCGATCAAGGCTGGTGCAAGACAGATGATGCCATACTATTCACGACCCATTGGAACCCAATACGAGGAAGTTGGTTTCGGCTTCAACAAGGGCATCGTCACCGGTCTACTTCGAGAAAAAATGGGCTTCGACGGCATTGTCGTTTCCGATTGGGGTCTCATAACTGACTCTCTTATCCGTGGAGAGCCTTTCCCAGCTCGTGCCTGGGGTGTCCAGAACTTGACGCATATTCAGAGGGCGGAGAAGATCCTCAATGCAGGGTGTGACCAATTTGGAGGCGAGACGAGAACCGATCTCATCTTGCAATTGGTTGACAACGGCACCATCAGCGAGGAGCGTATCGATGTTTCCGTTAGAAAACTGTTGCGCGAGAAATTTCTCCTTGGCCTGTTTGAAAACCCATATGTCGACCCCGTTGCAGCCGGGCGCATTGTTGGCCAATCGGCATTCCGCAAACTCGGAAACGACACCCAACGAAGGGCATTCACTTTACTATCCAACGACGATAACTACCTACCTCTTAGGACAGTCCCTGCAGCCACAAAGTTTTACATTGAAGGGTTTAACCAGACGTATCTTGAGAGACGTGGGCTGCAAGTGGTTGCTACTCCTGCAGAAGCTGACTACGCTCTTGTCCGTCTCCAGGCCCCCTATGAGTACCGTGCCGGAGCTTTCACAAGTGGTTTCCACGCCGGATCTCTGGCATACAATGCAACAGAGCAGGCACGTCAGGCAGCCATCTACGAAGCAGTTCCTACCATTGTCGACATCTACCTAGACCGACCAGCTATCATCCCTGAGATTATCGAGTCTGCCGCCGCCGTCATGGCGAACTTCGGTAGCGGGCCAGACGCGTTGTTGGACATCGTCTTCGGAGTAGATGGAGCGAGCCCACAAGGTAAGCTTCCGTTTGACCTGCCCAGGAGCATGGCGGCTGTGGAGGCGTCAAAGGAAGACGTACCGTTCGATACAGAGAACCCGGTTTTCCGATTTGGACACGGGTTGAGGTATGTGGACGACTGCTAAGCTGATGCCATTCATCACTTCAAGTAGGACTTGTATAAAATATCGTAGATTATAATACAGCTCTCATGAATAGTACTCTTTTGTGTTCTTGGAGTAGCACTCTGTCTTGATCTGACACATTTCATTCTCATCCAGAGTCCTGGTTATCTGTCATGTCAATCATTGATGCGACCACTGGGCAGAACCTGTACAAACTGAATGCACTTGAAGACAATGGGAAGAAGAAAATCATCCAGGGGCAGAAAGGAAATATATATCTAAACATACAAAACTCCATATACATGCTGCGATGCTAAATGCAAAAGTAAACACCAATCATATGACTCCCTCCCATGCAAGCACCATCACAGCTCCTTCGTTCCATCTTGCCTACCTCATCATCATTGCTTATGCCATGGCCGCCTCAAGCAGCTTCATGTGCTGCTCTGGGTGCGTCTTCTCGACGTTACCCTTTGCCACCTTCTTCATCATAAAGTTGCCATCGATTTCGACATCCTCGACCAACTCGCCGTTGATGACGCGCCACTTGCCGGCGATGGTAAGAATCCCAACAGGTGGCTTCGCGTTGACCATGGTATCGACACCATTGGGGACGTTGGTGATGGTGAGTTTGTAGGTGGTCTGCAGTGTCTTAGTATATTCTCATTTGGAATCATGCATGCTGTCGTCGGTGTGGAGACGTACCTGCCCGATGGGCTTCTTGTCGGTGACTGTATAGGTGGCTTGGCTGTTCTTGTCACCGGACTCGAAGGCGTAGCTGACCAGCGCGGGACATAGAGTTTTGATCATCAGATCGTGGTTGTGCAGGGCCGTGATAACGACGGTGGCGTCGGTGCCGTTGAGGGGGGTGGAGATGTGGGAAGTAGGCATTGTAATGTTGGAGTTGGTATTGCGGGGAGTGATGAGAAGGATGATGTTGATGAAGTTGTTGGAGGTTGCTGGTAGTTGTTGGTGGATGTACTGCTTGAGTGATGATGATGATGGCTGGTGAAGATGACGAGTGTGTGTGTTATATACACCAACTCATAATTTCTTCCAAGCTCTCCACGTCCCAGATATCAATAGCTCTTGTCCCAAAACAGTCGCCCAAACATGGAGAGACATGAACATCCTAGTCCTACCAAGTCCCTGCATGCATACTACCGAAAGATCTGCGTCAGCTTAATCGCCGTTCCCCACTCCAAATCTGACTTGCGTTTGAGTCGGACTGTTTGCCTATTCGCCAATATTGAGAATAGCATCCGCCGAAACATTTACGAGTAGGAAAGATCTACGCGTTGTATTTTCTGACGAGAGCCAGTTTGGTACTACACCAATTTGGGCAAGAGCTGTGAGTCGCTCCCAGGGTCTTTGTGTTTGAGGACATGAAGCGACGCCAAAAATACGGACAATGACACGACCAAACGTACTGAAAGTGGGTCCAACGCGAACGCGGCTCTTTGCGAGGGAAAATTATCCGTACTCGGCACTCGAAAACGTTGTACCAAACGTCGATAGCACCACTGCGTCCGAACCGGACGTCGATAATGCACAATACTGACACATGGGCTGAACCCGCGCGGAAGGCTTACATCTTACCCAACTAGGAACATGTTCAATTGATCGTGATGCGTGCGTTTGGTGTATCATCGCGTGGTTTCGGTGACGAAAGTTCGGATGTTTCAAGGTGTGATGGATGGGGAGCCGAACAGCGCTAGGCAGAAACAAGGTTCCCACAACCTCATTTCGCGCCAGGCAGTTTGACACTGAACAGAAATGTCTATTTTTTCTTGCGACGACTTGGGTGTGCCGGCATGTCACGAATCTCATGCTTGACACTGTTACGTTGGAATGGACTGTGTGCACAAGGCAGAGTCCGTTATGCCCAAGAAGACATGGCTCGGGTCTTGCTCGAGCAAGCAGAAGTAAGCATTTCGTCTGGAATTCTGTCAGACACCTTCAAACTTCAGCGTTGTAGGAGCGTCAGTACAACATCAATTTTGAAAGAGAACATAGGATAAACAAAATCACGTGAGCACGCGTGGTGCACGGACAAGTGCTGAACGCGACTGCCGTGGCAAACTCCAGTAATGCACATGATGGCAACATAACGCCGAGATTCCACCACCACATGACGATGCCCGCCACGACATGCCGCCCACGCCCTTTCGTGTCGCACAAACGTCTAGCGAGGCTAAGAAGCAGCACAAGAAGCAAGGGCCGCGCGTGCCCCAGCGGCAACAGAAGCAGCTGGAGCGCCTCGTCGAGCTCGACAACCGCGCGGCACGCATCCGCGAGAATGACGAGCGCCGCAGGGCTGCCAAAAAGAGGCGCGAGGAGCAGGAACGCAAGGAGAAGCAGACGCGCAAGCAGCAAGGCGTGGGGCTTGCGACACAGCTCATTGGATACAGCCATACGCAGGCGCGCTTGAAGAATGGCATGGAGGCTTTCCTGGGCGTGAACAAGAGGAACGACGAGGAGAAGCGAAGGAAAGAGGCTGAGCTGACCAAGCAGCTGGAAGCGATCGCGGACATGGTGGAGAAGGAGCCCTGGGATGACGACGAAGGCGACGGCGCGTTTGAGCTGCCCGACACGTTGGCGGCGGGCGCGGAACAGTGGGTGGATGATGACCTGGACGACCACACGCTGCTCGAGGCACACGATCTGTTCATGTCCGATCCCGTCGACGAAGCTTCGAACAGGCCTCAGCCTGCGCCCGCACCACCCACTCCTCCTATTCTACCGACCCAAGCAGGGCCTGGTGCAAAGGAAGACCCCGACTTCACCCGAACTCATGGTCCAATAAACAAGGCTGTCGAAGCCATGTTGCACGACCTACCTGACGCCTTGGTCGAATTCTTGTCTGTGGACATGTCGATGAGATTACCAGATTGGAAACCAGTGCCAGCCCTTCTTCACAAACTAAACCCCATCGGTCTTCCACCACATCGACTTCGGATCAAAGTTGGGTGCGTAGTATCACTACTTCGGGATTTGAACACAAGCAGTCAGCTGTCTAGGAGTCAGCATTTGCGCGTGCTTCGAGTCGAAAGCGAACGCTTGGAATGCCTGGTCTTGGATGGTCAGTTGGAAGGCACAAAAGCATTCCTCACTCGCATTGCATTCCTGGCCAAGTACAGAAACGAGGAACAGTTTCTCTTCCAAAGGACTCAATTTCCTATACGTGTTGCAAACAACTACAAGCTACCCGAGGTTGCCCAAAACACATGTCGATCTGGGTTCAAATTACCCTCTATCCCTGGATGGCGACGTCCTCCGTGTACACACAAGCGGCCGAGTCCACTCATCCCGATACCTAAGGCTCAAGCAAATCTGAATCCAGGTTTCAAGCGGCCTGGACTTCCCGCCTCGAAGTCTGCCATAACAAAACCTAATGAGCCTGTCGCAATCTCGAAGCCTACATTGCCCGCCCCCTATTTGATGGACGAGTGGGATGATTTTCTAGAAAGTGGAACGCAGATTGCGCGAGAGCTATCCGCAGAGACCAAGCCAACACACGTGATACCCATCGTCACTTCGCCTCGACTGGGAAATCACTTGCCTCCCCTCTCAATACAAGATTTTGACTTTTCGCCGGATGATTTGGATGACGAACCACATCCAAAACCTGTTAGTTATTCAGCTATGCCTGTAGCCAAGATCACGTCGGTGGTACCTCCGCATAAGTCAGCAGTAAAGCCTCGACACACGACACTGGTGATGCAAACGACTAAGCAGAAGATCATCACAGCGCAACGTCCCATACCACCCAATCTCAAAAGGAAGGTACTCCCGATTCAACCCAAGGACTTGATGCCATCCCCAAAGCGGACATGTGTCACACCGTCGTTTCCTCAAAATCCTCTTATCTCCTTCCGCGACTTTGGACTGTCCACTCAAGACGTTGTTGCCTCCTTTTTCGACGATGATGATATTGAATTTGGTATGGGCTCACCTCCCATTTCCGTATGAATTATGAAGATGATAGGTTTGATGATGAATGAAACGAATGAGCAGATTCGTCTTGTCTACTAGGTCGTTAGTTTTGTTACAATCTTTACTAGATTGTTGTGGATCTGCACTCTAATGCGCGACTCTCACGTGTTGTTCACCGCTATCCTTGGTGTGAGAGTATTTACCAAAGCGAGCCTCGGCACTGGTGGCTCAACATAACGCGTCATTCTGCGCTATACAATGGTAGCGGTGGGCATAGACTGATACATACGACCATAGGACGTCGAAAACAAGGCCTCGCTTTCGCTCAGCCCTATTTAAGCAACGTACCGGCGGATTAGTAACTTGGTTGGTTGCTGAGGCTGCCGTCAGGATATCTTTCAGCTAGAGCATTAGTTCAGGACAGATACTGTTCGGACTATGCATGGCGGAGGAGATGCTTGGCCAGTCAGCTTTTCGAATTCAATACTTGCTTCCATATCCACCTTGTTGCTGTTGCCCTCTGTGCCATGCGTGGTTTGTGTGATGTTTTCGACCAGTGCCTGCCGAAGCGATTCCAGTGAGCCTGCGCTAACGGTGATATTACTCAGATTGCGAAGGGGTGATTTTTGTGCGAGAATGGATTGTCCAGATCGTCTGAGCTGCTTGGCAAGCTCGTCCACTCGCTCGTTCCCCTCAACTCCAGAATGGGAAGGCACCCATCGAAGTTCCACGGCAATCCCAAGGTCGTACATGCAATTCGCAAATGCTAAGAGGCTGCCCAACATCTCTGTTTTCGTCAGAAAAGGAAGCCTCGATCCTGCTCTTAGGTCTTGAAGCACTTGCTGGCAATCAGAAAATATGATTAGGCGGTCAAATTCGTCCGTAATCTTGAATGCAACGCGAAAGGCTTCGTGAATGGCTATAAATTCTGCTTCGGCTGCAAATCGAGATCCATACGGAAGGGTGTTGAAAGTAACAGATTCCTTCCAGCGCTTAGATGAAGGGTCGAGGTATCTGACTGCGGAGGCAGAAAGCCTACTTGCTCTTTTGGTAGGAGGGAACTTGTGCACTGATGCATCGACCCATATTACTAGGCAGCGATGGACAATGCTCTGCTCGAATATCGTACGGCCATATTGGATTGCTGATGGTTTGTCCTAAATGATGACAGTGTCTGGGAAAGGCTACAGCGACTCTGGGTCATCATAGGTGTCCATTGTAAAGCTTCGAAGGCGAGTGAGGTTTGGAAGAAGAGGAGAGGATAGGAGAGGAGTGAAATTAGAATTCCACAGACGTTAATGTTCATGATCGAGATCAAAAAACAATTGTTACGGTTCATACAGCTAGTGATCCATCAAATAACATTAATAACATGTGAATTGTTGAACATTGTCCTTGGTTCCATGGAACTTCGCCAAGACTAATGACTAGTGCTTGCAAGCGAACAACAAGCGAATCCCCGCTGTTGTATGTTCTTGTCAACATCTTGGTCATCTATTTTTGTTGTTGGGTGAAGGTTGGGGTGTCTATAGCCTTTTTTGTGTCGCGACCTGAACCTTTCACCAATAGTTTTGCCCCTGATGTATTGACTTTCATTGGCCTTGTTTAGACTCTCGGGATAGAAGTTGCATATGGGAATATAAGGAGGAGGCTAGAGCAAAAGGTGTCCGGTCTCACCGTCTCTGTCCCATGATGTCACCTCCAGATGCTCACGTGCTCCAGGCAGGTAGTTTGCTGATTAGAACATCCATCGTTGATAACCAATCTCCACGCAATTCACGATCCTCGGCGGCTTGTGTCGATTGTTCACGACTCATGTAATGGCGCGCGTCACGCTACAAGACGGAACTAGGGGACTCCAACCGGCAAGCGGCTAGGAAGAACCACATCTAATCGGCCCATACCCACAAGTTGCAGTTCTAGAGTCGAGGAGCGGTCAATGTCCTTGACTTTCAGGGACTTGATCATGCTGCTCTTTCTCGTTCATTTGACGAGGGCATTTTGCTTTGGGCATTCTTTGCCATCATTGAATATACCAGAATGTCCAAGTCGGCCCTTGTCTTCGGTGCTTCTGGTGTAAGTGGCTGGAGCTTTATCAACGAGATTTTACACGACTACCCTCAAACCGGAACTTGGAAACGGGCTCACGCGCTCACCAACCGTCCTCTGTCACTGGAACGGTCCTTGTGGCCCGATGATCCACGACTCAATATCGTCTCTGGTGTCGACCTCCTAGGTGGATCGCAAGAAGACCTGGAGGAGGAGTTGAAGAAGAGGATCCCAGATATTGATGAAGTAACGCATGTGTACTATGTAGCGTACAAAGCGGGCACAGACGTTCAGATGGAGATGAACCAGGTCATGAAGATGTGGAAGAAGGCTGTCATCGCGGTAGACAGACTTTGCCATGACCTGGAATTCGTTGTGCTGCAGATTGGGGCGAAGATATGTATGTTGGTGTCTGTCGGGGCGAGGCAAAGAACGGTGGCGTGACCGGCTGACTTTGGATAGATGGCTGCCATCTTCTCGCCACTCTTCCCTGGTATGAAGAAGCCGAAAGAGAAGCCGGCGTGCAGCCTACAAAACTGCTCGACTATCTTCACGTCCCGCACGCGGAATCGCAACCGCGCATCAAGTCCCCGTATGGTGATATGCTCTTTTACCATTCGCAGATTGACTTCATCGCTTCGTATGCAGCGGACAAAAAGTGGAAATGGTGCGAGACACGGGCGGAAATTATGATCGGCTTCGTCCCGAATCGGAATTTTTACAGCTTGGCCACATGTGTGGGCGTTTATCTCAGCCTGTGGAGGGAGGTCAACGGCGAGGGAGCGGAGTGTCCATTTCCCGGGACGAGCAAGAGCTGGAAGGCGCTGAACCACGAATCCAACAGTGATATGGTTGCGCGACAGACCATCCACCTCAGCCTCTCACCGAACACGGAGAGAGGCGGGGGTTACAATGTAGCAGACGAGCGTGAGGGCTCGTCCTGGTCGAGAAGATGGCCTATTGTGTGCGCCGAATTTGGGCTTCGCGGCACTGGTCCAAGTGCGAATCCCCCAGAGATCCGGACATATATTAAAAAACACATTGATGTGTGGCACAAGCTCGAGAAGGAGAAGGGATTGCAAACAGGACACGCAGATCACGAAAAGACGATTCCCGGGTTTGAATACTTTATGTTTACGAGTTTCGACTTTGATAGGCAGTATGACATGACGAAGATGTACTCGACGGGCTTCACGGAGGAGAGGAGGACCAAGGAGTCGTGGGGCAGCGTGTTCGACAGAATGAGGAAGGCCAAGCTCATACCTTGAGTGACAGTGTACTGTGTAGCATATTCGTTAGCTTAGAGTGATGGAGAATGGCAACGCAGATGGACTGTAACATGACGTGGAATTAAGGTCACCCGGAAGATGGTCTCCGCACAATCAACGTCAAAGGTTCTCGACAAGGTTTTCCGGTATCCCTGTCTGGCCTAGGGCAGGACCCTGCGCGGTGGTAAGCAAGCGATTCGTGGGGAAGTCGACGTCGCACACGCATTGGGATCATGTTCTGTATTACGGTCATGACAATGCAGATGCGCTCAGCCGTGCAAGACGCACCATGCATGCACAATGGGTGTGACACACGAACACAGCCCAGTTGCGACATGCCACGCCGCCAGCAGACCGCAACCAAATAGCACCGAAGTAAGCTCGCCACCGGGGCGATGACGACATGGGTCATATGAACGTGGTGGACGGACACTGCTAAGAGGTTAAGTCTGCCGTGTGCCGCCTGCCGTCGACAAGCAGACAATCCTAGCAGCCCCAACAACACCACCACCAACCATTTCTTGGCAATAGTAATCATCATGGGAAGACGAGACAGACCACCATCGCCGCCGCCTGCTGGCCAACGCCGTGAGTCGACTCGCCGTGCAGTGCATGCATCGCAGAAAAACAGCAGGCTGACCACACACAGCCGACCCCGCCTACTACTTCGAGGACTACGAGGACGGCAAGGGCGGTAAGGCAACATGGGCACCCCATGCAGACGACCAGCGCGACTACCAAGACTACCGCCATCATCGCCGAGACCAGCGCCGCCCGCCTGGGGATCGACGTGGTGATCGCCGTGACGATCGCCGTGACGAGCAGGACCCGCCGCCGCCGCCGCCGCCGCCGTCGTCAAAACCAAAGGGTGAGGACACGTGCACTCGCGGGCACAGCCTCGACAAGCCAGTGCTTACACCCCTCTAGAACCCCGCCAACGTCCCAGGAGATCGCCCTCTGTGTCGTCGTCCGATTCAGATACGCCCCCTCCACCGCGCCGCGAGCGTCGTCGCCCTGAGCGCCGTCCCCGCGAACCCGAAGCCTACGACTCGTACGACGAGCACTACCCTCCCCGCCGACCTCGCGAGGACAGACATGCGCCTCGAGATGACGTGAAGCGACCTCGAGACGATGGGCAGCGACCTCGCGACGACGGGCAGCGACCACGCGACAGCGCCCATCGATCACGAGACGACGGCTACAAAGACCGCGGCGGCTATGGCTCCGACAACAGACACAACAGACCTCGGAGGGACCCTCGCTATGATGACAGGAGCTACGACAAGGACCCAAGAGACAGACGCCGCGACGATCGATACGACGACATGTTTGTCGATTCTCGTCGCAGCCCCCGCTATGATGGGAGAGAAGACCGAGACAGAAGAGGACGCTATGATGACGACCGATACGGCCCGCCCTCCAGAAGCCGACGACAGTCTGTTGCCGGCGCCCACCCTAAGTGGCAGAAAGAAGCCATAGGCATGTTCAAGGAGTACGCCCTGCCTGTTATCAAGCAAGAGGGTGGCAAGTACCTGTCAAAGCAGATGGCAGGTATGATCTCGAAGCGTTGAAGGTCGAGATATTCACCACTATCCACCACCTGAAGTATTGTTGCGGCCACTACTGCTCTGGCGTTTTAGGTGTGGCTCATTCACATTACATCAAACTCAGATCACGATATCTATGGGGTATCGCGTCACCAGACCGTCATCATCATGTCAACCAACTCGATATATCCATTGTAATACACTTGATTTGCGGACATTGCTTGTCAATGAAATTCCACGTGAAAGATTGTCACGCTGTACTCTTTCGTATATGTGAAACCGAGCGCCATGTATCCCGAACATGACATGAGCATTCAAGTACAGATTGTTCCTCAGTCGCTGAACTATGTCAAGCATGCCAGATGAGTTGAATATCTCAACTCAGGCCATCTATATGTCCTTCCTTTCACTTTTTGCCCAAGTCGTCATCAGCACTCGAGAAAAGGCCTCTCAGTGTCACACCTAAGGTCCAGTTTCTCCGTCTCAGCCCCTCCCAATATTCGTCGTCTGCCTCAAATGCATATCCCGTCACCCCAATGCCCCCAAAGTTCTTCTGGGGCATCGTTTTGATGTCTTGCGGAGGCTGAACACCAGGCTTCAGCCTCCCACTCGGTTTTGCATCCATCTGTCCTTCCCATGCCGTGGGCGGATCTTCAGGACTGCGGAATATTGTGTTAACAACGACCATACGACCCGACTCCTGAACCAACGTGGATGAGAGCCAGCAAGCCGTTTCGCTGTCACACATGCACATGTGAACTCCTGGGAATTTGTCGACTACAACGCTACCCACGTAGTTCTTTTTACATGCGTCCTGTATATAATACTTATTCAAGATCTCAACATCGCTATTTTCGAGTCGCGGCGAGTAGACACTCCAGTATTCTCCCTTCTGCCACGAGACGGAAAGGCCAGTTGTGAAAGGTTTCAAAATGTGCCTATATAACCAAGATGGTGCAGGCTCGACTGACACGTTTTTCCGCTTCTTGTGTTGTCGAGCTCGGAGCTCGAAGTAACTAAAATTTGGAAATAGAAGAATTGAGTTCGCCATGATATCGACTGCTTCTTTAGTTCTGTCTTTGTACTCTGTTCCAAGATCATACATTAGGGCGGTGATAGCGCACGTTTGCTGGGCGGACAAGTGTGAGATGGAATCCCGCAACAAGACAAACGTTGGTACGACGGTGAATGCTACGTGGAAAGTGTGATTGTGAAAAGCGATGATGGTGGCCTCATGACTGATTTGACGACAGGTGAGGAGGAGGGAGAGCGGTTGGGCGGATGTAGTGGGTGGATTATTTGGATTCGAGGTAAACACATGATGGTAGATTTCGTTTCTAAGCTCGGCGGGAAGGTTGGAGAGGAATGGGCTTTGGAGCTGGGCGCTAATTGGTGTTATGTTTGATTCAGGCGGTGCATGGAGTGGTGAACCGAATGGATGTACTTGTCGTGATTCGGAAAGGAACATATTGGCTGTCAATTCTGTAAGTACAAAGAAGCAGGTAGGGGCTACTTGTACTTTTGTTGCATATCTTGTTGCCTGTTTGTCTCGGCTAGAGCTGTCGGTGGGATGATGTTGATGTGGCGGTGCAAGAGCAAAACGATGGAGACAGTGTTAGCTCGAGTTTAGCGTGTTTAGTCGACCCACAGGTTGCCCCTCCACGCGTCATTCGCCATGGATGAGTAGCCAAACCACCCAAATAATCATCAAGCCCTCGACTCGAAAACCACACACTACATTACATATCTCACTATAGCGCTCCACGATGCGGTTACTCAAGTCGCAAATCGAGCAAAAGACTGGCTCGGGTTTTGCCACACTACTCCCGGAAGAGCCAGAGGACATGGTACACATTGATTACGACATGTTATGATCGAGCATGTCCTGACACTGTCGCAGTGGCATGCCTACAACCTCATCCAAGAAAATGACCGAATTCGCGCCAAAGCTGTACGGCGAGTAGCCAAAGAAAGCGGCGCCGGCTCCGTGTCCTCACAGCGCATCACGCTCGACCTCACTATTGCCGTCACGTCAACAGACTTCGATATCGCGTCCGGGCAAATGCACGTCGCCGGGCGCGTCGCTTCAGAGAATGAGCACGTCAAGATGGGGCAGCATCACACGCTGGATCTGGAGCTGAACCGAAAATTCACACTCGAAAAGGGCGATGGGTGGGACAGCGTAGCGCTGGAGATGCTGAAAGAGGCGTGCGAAACGGAGCGAAGAGCAGAACTATGGGCCGTCGTACTTGGCGAGGGGACAGCAAACATCTGCATGATCACCGAGCACCAGACGATCCTGAGGCAGAAGATCGAGGTGGCAGTGCCACGGAAGCGGAAAGGTGGCGTTGACGGACACAGCAAAGGGATGGACAGGTTCTTCTCAACAACCCTCTCCACGCTGCTCCGACACATGGACCTCGCAGGCTCTACGGCGCAGCAGGCCAAGACACTGCCACTTTTGCTCGCAGGTCCTGGCTTCATCGCCCAAGCCTTCCTCACGTACATACGAGGCGAAGCGACACGCACAACCAACAAACCCCTGCTCGCGATGATTCCCTCGATAGTCGTGGCTCACGCCTCGTCAGCGCACATGCACTCGCTCGACGAAATCCTGTCGTCGCCCGCAATCACAACCAAGCTCTCCGACACCAAATACGCGCGCGAGACGGCACTGATGGACAAGTTCCTCACGCTCATGCGCCACGACGATGGACGTGCATGGTACGGACCCCGAGAAGTAGAGAGAGCGGTGGACAAGGGGGCTGTGGGGAGGGGAGGCGGTGTATTGATGATCAACAATGCGCTGTTCAGGGCACAGAACGTGGCGGAGAGGAGGAGATGGGTCACGCTTGTGGACCGGGTGCGCGAGGTCGAGGGTGGGGAGGTCAGGGTATTGAGTTCGCTGCATGAGAGCGGGAAGAGGCTGGAGGGGCTGGGGAACGTGGCGGCGATTTTGACGTATCCGTTGGAGGATCTTGACGAGGAGGAGGATGGGGTGGATGGGGTGGATGGAGAAGGGGATGAGATGATTATTTGAGAACCAATGGCAATATACCCACTTGCACCAGACTGATACGGACTGTGGTAGTGTGCACTGCCAGGTGTTGACGCGTCGACCAGTCACTTTTGCTCGCCTGTGTTCAGCTGCATCCAAACGTGTCGATGGATGTCTGGGGCAGCTTGGCCTGGGGTACTGGACTAAGCAAGCGGGTCCGGGCGCAAACATACAACGATAGCGTAATCAGGCCAACCCGTACAATACACCAACCGTCAATACCGTCAATACCAGCCTAGCTGAGGTAGGTCCACTTCTCCCGCCCTGTCTGTCCACGGCGTGCGCGACTGCTGCCAGCGCTGACACGGCACACGGCACACGAAGAGAGGCGCGCGACACTGCTAACAGCCATGGCAGTCGTCCCCGGGCAGCGACGCGGCAAGCGATGGGCAGACACGCCAACCCGGACATCCGCCGGGCGTTCCAGGAGTTCCAGGACCAGGACACGCCGTCCAAGTGCAACAAGGTCAAGTGCATGCACTGCGGCTACGTGCGCGCGAAGAACACGACGCGCCAGATCGAGCACCTCCAGGAGTGCCAGGCGTACCTGGCCTCGCCCGACGCCCAGGCCCACGTCGCGCCGCACGCCCATGGGCCGCCCGTCGAGGCCAGCATCGTGTCGCAGGCCCCCAGCGCCATCCTGAGCGGCCAGCAGCCCAACCCGAACCTGCAGGTGCACCGCCGCGGGCCCAACAACAAGCGCGCCCGCGACGGCCAGCTGCTTGCGCCCAGCAGCCCCATGCCCATGCACCCGCACCACGCCCCCTCGCTCACTGCCCACCTGCTGGCCATCTGCGCCGCGCCCTTTGCCCACGCCACCCAGCAGCCCTTCCTCTCGCACGCCGGCTGTGGCTCGCTGGCCGCCGGGCCGCTGGCGCAGTGGCTGGTGCAGGACGGCCACTATGCCCGCGGCTACATCCGCTTCGTCGGCCAGCTGCTGGCCAAGATCCGCCTGCCGCAGACGCACAACTCGCAGTTCCACCCCATGTACCGCACCATGGACCTGCTCATCTCCGCCCTGAACAACATGCGCCGCGAGATGCAGTTCTTCGAGATCACCGCCACAAAGTACGGCCTCACCCTGGGCCACGAAGCCCCCACGCCCATCACCCGCGCCCTGCTCGATCTGTTTGTGAGCGCCAGCAGCTCCAGCGCCTCGCTCCTCGAGGGCATGGTGGTCCTGTGGGGGATTGAGCACGTATGTCACCTGACTGACCAACCGACTCAACGAATACACGACTGACTCCTGCAGTGCTACCGCTCCGCCTGGCAGTACGCCTCGTCCTTCAGCACCACCCTCTCCACGCCCAGCAACGACGCCCACATCATAGCCCTCCACCAAGCCTTGATCCCCAACTGGACATCGCCTGCCTTCAGCAAGTTCGTGGACGCAACACGGGCCCTCGTCGACGAGCTCGCCAACATCACCACTACCCGCGACGGCAAAGAAGAGATGGTCCGCTGCGAGGAGATCTTCCGACAGATATGCTGGCTGGAAGAGCGCTTCTGGCCAGAGGTAGATGGAATGGGCGAAGAAGACGACAACTCACATCTTGCCCCGGCCGGCCTGGGGATGAGCGGCATGGACAACAACCCCGTCAACAATGGCGGATCCAGCTTCAATAACGGTCCTATGAGTGGGCCAATGACCTCTGCTATCAATGGTGGCGACAGCACACCTGTCGGTGACGGCAGAAACAGCTTTACAATTCCCAACACCAACGGACTCGATGGCGTCAACCAGGGTCCGTAGAGCACCAAACATCTGAGTGCAATCGAGCGTACCAAGCGAGCCGACCAGGCCTACCTACAGGACATTTCTGAGATGTCCTCCAGTGTTAGCCTGAGAACGCTCGTGTGGGAATTTCGACTCGTAGCTGCATTCCCATTATGTGTACTCGGATACTTATGATTTCCTTAATATGTCGCTTGCATCTTCAGTTTCTTTCCAGATCAATGTTTTCCGCCTTGCAGCATTTCACGAGCGTTCTTGGGTAGGAATTTTTCCATGGGCGTATCCGGGACTGGTATTTTCTATTAGGTTCATACTTACGATATCACGGGCCCAGAACCTTATGAGAATTACGTTTTGGTTATTGACCAGGGGCAGTTCGCCTAGGTCTGGCTACATATGACCACAGTCTGGTCAAAGACGCGACACTGTCCAGAATACGTCAGGAAGGGAGACAGTCGTAGCTTAGTTACGAGCTGATGTTAAAGTACATTTTCCTAAATTCCACCAGATGAGACGCCATACGTCAGGTCTTAAGTTCGAATTGTCTCACAGTATACACGACTATCTCAGTGTAAATAATTGGCTATTCGAACCTTCATCTAACGCTCTTCGCTTCGATAAACTGCCTATCACACGCATCTCCCAGGCTACGACATCCTAGACGGACTCATCTTCACCCTAATCTTATGCGGCCAAACAAACCACTGCTTACTCAATTCCCACTCTTTGCTTGGATCTTCAAGTTCAATTTCATAGCCCCGAAACATGGTAGCAACAACCTTGTACAACTCGACCAAGGCCAACGGACGTCCGAGGCATACGCGATTCCCCCCTCCAAAGCTCAGATCGGCATCCTTCATCTTCTTGATGCGGAACTCGAACTCTTCTTTCCCCTCACTTTGTTCCCTTAACCACCGTTCAGGCCGGAATTCATTGACCTGTGGACCGAAAATGTCGCTCTTGTAATGCACAACCCACGGGTTAACACCAACGATTGTACCCGGAGGCAGAATAGTGCCGTCAGCAAGTGTCAGGCCGGATGCGGGGACAATGCGCTCCAGGATGTGTCCAACAACAGGGTGCATGCGCAGGCCTTCCTTTATGCAGGCGTCAAGATAAGGAAGAACTTCTAGAGTTGAATAGGATGGGGAGTCAGAGAGATTTGCAGACCGGAGCTCAGACACGAGTAGCTGTTTGGCGCGCGGAGATTTGAGGATGTGATAGAAAATGGCTTTGATCACAATGGCAAGGGTGTCGGCGCCACCTAGGATCTGGGGTACTGTCAATTGCGAAGCAAGGCGTGCGTAGCCAATGAGACTTACGTTGATGATCATGTAGCCTATGACCTCGTTGTCCGTGACGAGAGTGGGATTATCTTCTTTAGCTTGCAGAAAATCGTTCAGAAAGTCTTTTTTGCCCTTGAATTGCCCCGGATCTTGCATGCGTTCCATGAAGCGCTCGACAGCAGCGCCCGCAGCGACAGAGAAATCGTCAAACTTGTGGATGTAGGGCGAGTATGCATTTTTCCCGAGAAGCTTGTCGAGGGCGGGAATTTGGCCGACCTGTACGAGTTAAAAGCGCGAAGGCGGGTCGAGTTGGACCGGTACGTACCACTGAGAAGTATCGCATCACGTTCTCAGCCGTAGCAAGCATGTTACCCACGTCCTTTCCTTGCTCCATGAACCCCATACGCTTGCTCCAGGTCATGTCGCCGAGAAAGTCCCAAGCAAAGTAAGAAATCCAGTCCGCAAGATCGCATGTTTTACCTTCGTTTTCTCCTTGCATGAATCTGGTCTCAAGCTCAGAGCGGAAGACATGCAGATCTTCATTCATAAGAGTCTCTAGTTGCAGGGCATTTGACAGAGAGTACAGCTTCTGAACAGGCTTGAGAGTCCGGGAGTGGAATTCGTTATCGCGCGTGCTGAAAAGATTCTGGATGAGGTGTCCATTTTGTAGGGCGTCGTTCACTGAATAGTACTCGGACTACCAACATGAGCGATGTCAACAAAGATGTGTAACAGAAACCTACTTTTGGGAATGTTCCTCGTGTGGAATATATGGTCTTGATGAGGTTGGGGTCTGCGATGCTCACGGTGTTTGGCCCAAGTCGGACGACGTCGCCATGCTTTTCATGCAACTTTTTCTGAGTCTCGATATGCGTTTGGCCATAGTGGTTGACGAGGCGCCAGATATCCGAGAATTTGGCGAGGAATGGTCCCGGTATTTTCTTGAGGGGAGACCGCTTGTAAGCCAAAACGTATTGACCAACCAAGGCAATTACTGCGAGCTCGAATGCCTTGACCAACAAAGCGGTGAGTGTCATGGCTGAAGACGACTCCTTATGAATAAGGACAACCAAAGGAGTGAGGCGTTGTTGAAGAGGAAGTGTAGGAATTGGCGGGAACCCCCAGCCAACTTGAATAAAATATAGGACCACCTGCGAATTTCCTCGACCGACTAACATGTTTGCGATTATGTTCACTACATGGCGGAGCAACTAGTCTGCCCGCGCCTCAATTTCCAAATCAAGGCCATTCCTTTGAGGAGAATCGCAAATCCGTCTCGATCAATTGGTTCCATCCTGATCTGAGTCGAGACCTGGCAACAGGACATGTGGAAATAGCTCTGTCCAGTCTTTCACCCGGTGCAAAACTTTGGCTAAACCGGTTTTCCGCGAGAACCTATCATAGTTGGTGATGATAGCTGATGGAACGGCAGCGGGAACGGCTTCAACAGTCAATTTGACTAGGACCAGGTAGTCGTCGCATCGGAGGACGCTAACGTGCCGTTCGAGGGCCAGTACCAGATCGAATGATAGGTGCAGCCTCCGACCACTAAAGGCGCTTTCAGGCTGTAGAACGTGCATCATATTTAGCGGTCTTTATTCGCATCGAAGTGTTGCAAGCGGAAATACAAGCGATGCGGTCATCTCCGCCTGGCTGCTTCATACCACGCACACGTACGCTTGCAACTAGCTGCACCCTTTTTACCGCACCCAGTAATCCCAAGAAGAGGACCAATGGAATGGGGTATAGGACCGGAGTTGGTACCGTGCAGCCGGCGCTATCCCAGCGGTCGTCGCGGAGATATTTGTCGGGCTGTACGACCCAGCAGATGCTGTGCAACGCCCGATCTACATGTGCAACATGGATGTCAGAACTCAACGGGCAAATGATAGAGTAGATACTGTTCGGCTCAACGTTCGCCAGAACTATACCGTAGATCTATCACGGACTGGAAATTGCGTTTGTAGGTGAAAAGTAGTATGGAGGCAAATTGTCGTTCCAACTATATCGCGGCGAGAACAAATGTTGAGTCAGGTATATTACAGAATTACCGAACTGTCAGATCTTTGCATCGCTAAGCATAGTGGCCTGATCTTGACCGTTATGCGTCCACCTCCGAACCTAGTACTCCGCTTGTACCGGTCGGCAGTTGTACCTAGCAAATGCGGTGGGCGGTACTCCGACAGCCCTAAATGAACGCTTATCTTCTTTCTACAAGACCAAACGCACGGGGAAGACCACCACTCACTCGTTTGACAGATTTATACCACTTCGAGAGCTTAAGGGAATAAATTCACTTTCAAGTTCTTTCAGTCCGCGATGGCCGATTCCCAAGGCCGAATCTCGTATGACTAGGAAAGATGAGGTCTCAACCGGTTGAATTCATTTCACAGCAAGTGTACGGTGCATCATATGTCGACAGTCCCAGGACCATCGGAGTTGTCGCTCCGGTATGGCAGGTCCTATCTGGAACTGAAGCTAAACGCTTCCCTTTTCCCCGTTGCGAACGGGGATGATCTCCACAAGGACCCCCGAAATTCGTGCGGTTTACTACGTTAATCACCATCGCTGATAGCGCACGCCATTTTCTTTTTCTATGTTCGGCCAATGTTTTCAATGACGTTGGTTCCGTGCCTATCAACGGCAAGTCTGGGCCATGGACATTGACCCTTGACTTATTATAGCCGCCTAATAACATCTGCATCGCATGCCGTCAGGCTTCATTAAGATCTCCAGCGACTACGTATCTTTTTGTCATATCTGTCGACGATCATCCTAAATAACCATCAGGTTCGAGAAGACAATTTTGTCACCCTGAGCAGGTCTCGCTCACATCCAAGTCTCACAACAAGATCTAATCGAGCCTCACCTTTGGGAACCGGATCAAATCACCTGCAACCTTTACGTTTATGATGGCGAGTCCTGAAGACTACGCCTCCATTCTCAACGGAGTGATATGGCTTCAACTCGCCGTCGCTAGTGTGTTCATCGCTTTTCGTATGTACACACGACACTACATAATGCGCAGCTTGGGATTAGACGATGTCTTGATGCTAGTCAACCTGGTAAGTCAGCATCCGCTCCTTACTTCGTTCTCGAATTGCATTTAGCATTTCGACCGACTCAGCTCCGACGAGCCCCTATCACACATGTAAGAATGTAGATCTCTAACACCACTCGAGGCGACGTTTATAGGTTATGCCGTCTGTATATCCATTGGTATCTCCTACGGCGTTGGAAAGCGTGCCGCTGATATCCAGCGCGCGGGTCTCGACAACTCCAGAGCTATCAAGTGGGAAGCAATCGGGCAAGGAATTTGCATTGTACGTAAATTCCAAGTATGTACCGCAGGTGATATTTGCTGATATTGTGTCTTGACCTGTAGATGGGAATTGCTGCGTCCAAAGGTTCGGTTGCAGTCTTCTTGTTACGGATTGTGCTTAAGAAATGGCACATTGCCTTACTGTGGTTCTGCATCGCGAGTACAACGTTCCTCTGCACGGTAACGACAGTGCTGTTGTACGCGCAATGCAAACCAGTAGCCTTTCTATGGGATCAAACGATCCAGGGCGGCTACTGCTGGCTAAACTTTACAGGCGTCGGATTGACCATGGGCGGTACGTAGTCTCCTTATTCCTCCAACCCACAAGTATACTGATGCGTCGATGCAGCTTGGTCCGCAACGATGGACTTCGTCCTCGCCCTCCTACCATGGCACGTCGTGATCAACCTCAACATGAAACGCAACGAGAAAGTCACCATTGCATGCGGTCTTTCACTCGGAGTCTTTGCAGGTGCCTGCTCCGTAGTCCGCACTATCAAACTGAGATCTCTCAGCTCACTGGAAAACTATGTCTATGACACGTCACCCATGCTTCTCTGGTCCTCATCTGAGGTGTGTCTTACCATAATTTGCGCATGCATACCGGTTCTACGACCCTTGTACGCAAGAGTGATGTACGACAGCCAGGGCAATTCATCGAAGCGCGGGTCATATCCGCTCAGTAGTTACGAGAAAAAGATGGGCAAACAAAGCGGCGGATTGGACAAGAAGGGCAGCACGAGAAGCACTGATGATATATACATGGGGCCGGGAAATAGCATGATACAGACAACCGTGGAGCTAGGATCTGACGTGGCGAGCGAGGAGTTGTTTTTACAGTCGAGCAACGATCATAGGTTTGGAGCTTTCCTCCACGCTAGGGACGACGACAAAACAAACACTCGGACAAGAGATATCGTGGTTACGACAACTGTTGCCACAAAAGAAGAGCAAGTAAGGAATATTGTGTAAAAGAAGCAAAGACGAATGAGAATATCGTGTGCGTATCATTATTGTGAAATGTCAACGATGAAAATCATGCGTGAGAAATAGAGAGGAGTGTATTGTGACATTCCATACCGCGTAAACACAATAGAATCGCCTTGTTCAGAGCAATATACGTGCAACATGCTAGAAACATCATGTGTATGGTTATCGTTAGATCCATTTTGGTCTTCTGGTAAAGGTCAAGTTCACTTCCGTCTGTTTTGCTGCATGGCCAAAATCTGCACCATTCTCACGAAGATGTTGATAAAATCCAATTCCAGCGAGATGGACTCGTTGACGGGATCCTTAGGAATCAGACCACGCTCTGCCAGACGGGCATGGTTCAGGACCTTTTGCACGTCGTACAGGGTGAAGCCTCCAAACACAGCGAGACCCCCGTATAGCCAGATGTTCTCTGTGAACATCAGAGTGCGGGCCGCGGTGGCGGGGATGACGAGGGGCGCGAGACCAGAGAGGGCAACGACGGCGACGCCAGCAAGGAGGGGGCCGCCAAGGTACATGTACTTGTCTGTCTTGGCAGTAGCGCCGACGAAGGCAATGGAGCCCATCTATTTGGCCAAAGTCAGCGTTAATGGCGGCTGGGTTGGGTGTGAGGGTTGCGTACCATGCCGACAGTGTAGAGACCAGCGCGGGCGAGGATGGCCGGGTGCATGAAGAACAGGGGCGAGAGGAGCAGAGCTTGTGTGAGGTTGAAGCCGGACCACAGGGCGTACTTCTGCACGTAGCTGCCCCACGTTAGCGACGCCATGGAGCTCGGGACCGTGAGACGGCTTACTTGCTCGGGTGAGTCGCCCTTGTCCCGTACATTGTGCCAATGCTGCCCACCAGCCCGACGCCGAGCACCAGCCACGGGTTCGCGCTCATGAGACGGACACTCCACCCGTTCATGTGCAGGGCGCGCGCCGCGACACCAATCATGCCGATGCCCAGCCCCGTGTGCATGAACGTGTCGTTGAGGTAGGCGCGCTCAAACGGCGGCATGCCGCCATCCTCGCGCGTCTCGCGGTTGAAGACCAGGTTGATGGCCAGCAGCGTTGCGCCGAAGATGCCAGCGCCGTACATGAGGCGTTGTCGCAAGTCGCCCTGTGCCGCCGGGTTGAGGGCGGCTTGCTGGTACGAGCGGCGGAACGTCTGGCCGAAGCGCGTCGCATTCTGTCCTGTCGACAGGGAAAGCGCCTTCCGCGTCGAGACGTGTGCGTGTCGTTGGAGTGGCGTGCTGTGCAGGGCGCGACATGTGTGGGCCAACGCCGACTTCGGGCCCGCTCGGCTCAGCGTCGCCGTCACAGCAAACGGTCGCCGAAGTAGGAACGCCATGGTGACCGTCGTTGTCAATGTGTTTTGAGAGTTTGTTGTTGATGGACGTCGAGAGCTCGAGGGGTGAAGTACCCGTCGTGCATATGACGCTGTGGCGGTGGATACTTCGAGAACCACCTCTTAACTCCGACCATCACGTGATAAAACCTGGCCTCTTTGTCAACTGAGAAAGATGATGCATTGGCACTAAAGCGATCTAGTATAGAGCGTCCTTGCCTCAATCGGTCTTGTTTCATCAAACCCCAAGAGAGTATCGACTCCTCAGGTTCCGCCCCAACTTGTACCGCTACCTCCAACTCCCGTGCTCCCCAAGTTCGAGCTATACCGCCTAAATCCCCGGCCCATACCAATCGGCACCGACGATGTTCTCTCTAACGTCCTACGCCTCCGGGCACTATCTACATGTTTCGGGTGCCTTCTTCGTCCCACATTCGATTCCTCATCAGAATCGTCGCCATCGTTATCGTCAGGCATCCAAGCCGTGCTAGATCGTGGGCTGGAATGAGTTCGACTCACTCTGGGTTCTCCAACCTCCCCAAACTCAGACTCCGAATCCAATGCCTCGTCGCCTTTGGAGATAGACATCGGTCTGGCATTTTCCGCTTCTGACTCTTCTTCTGTGCTCGATGCAATACTTTCTGTGTCCGAGTCGGCATCATCTCCAAACCCCTTACCCTCCACCAGCCACCATGTTGGAATCGACGCTAACAGCGAGATGGCGGACAGGGCCCAGAAAGGCACGATGACATATCCACGTTTGACACCCCATGTGAACAATCCACCCCCGACCGCCGGACCTATTGCACGACCAATAGCTGACACCGACGTAGCCACTCCGTTGATTGTTCCCAGCAGACGCAAGCTAGGCGCACTGTTGGTAAGCATGATAGTTGATGTTGGAAACGCAAAGGTTCCTGCAACACCTCTGATCATGAGTAAAGCCACCAAGACGACCTCTTTTGTTGTTTGATCAGGAATAAGACTGACAAAGGGTGTTACGAAATAGACAACCGGAAATATATGAAATGAAATGCGAAGGCAACGCAAAACTCCTAGTGTGCGGGCGAGCGGTGGAAATAGCAGAAACTGACATAGGGTGGACGTCACCCCGAACAAGGTAAAGATTGCACCAATGCGCCTAGAATCAATCCCAAAACCACCTGAAAATTTCAAGGGAAGGGACACATTGGTATCATTTGTAGATTGGGAAGGATGATGCATGAAGACTGGCAACAACTGTAGCCGGTTAGCAGCTGGTCGTTCACGAGTTCTTATGGCTCACCTGATCGAACGCAATCGAATACAATGCTAGTAGAGTATACACCACCAGGTTCAGGGTGGTTTGGTACGATAGCACATCGCGGACCTTTGGGGAATCTTGTTTGACTATGCTGGTCGCTTCGCCGGTTGGAAGAGAATCCATCGCCTTTTGAGGACCGAGTAAGGGCTCTTGTTCTGAACGAGAGTAGCCTGATGTCTTTGGTATGCAGAAGATCTTGCGAAATGATGTGACGAGTCTGGTCCCTGTTCTCAAGCCTAGATCCTGACGACCTTTCTTGTTCTCGAGAGATTCCTAGCCACATATCAGCAAAATCCAAGCTACCTTGGTTAGTGATCCCTCACCTGCAGAAACAGCCAACCCACCACGATGCCAATCGTGAAAAAAGCTGCTGCTACAATGTTTGGGAGGACATAGGGAAACTTTTCGAGAAAAGCGTCTCCACGGGGCCTCCGCGGATTAACCCGGAGCGGGTTCGACATTGCTCCTCCAAGCATCGGCCCAAATATAGCACCAACTGTATACACTAACGGCATGATCGAGAAAGCCCGGGGCTGAAGCTCTTTCCATGGACAAAGTTCCGCTACCGTCGTCCTCAGTATGCCAACATTTCCGTTTCCCAAGCCTTGCAACGCCCGCGCCGTCAAAGCCATGGGCAGGTTTGTTGAAAAGCCCCACATCAGCATCGTCCACATGGTATTGAACAACCCCAACAATATGATCGGTTTTCTACCAATACGGTCCGAAGCGGCTCCCCATAAGAGGGCTGTGGACGCTTGGCACATGGAAAAGATGGTCGAGGTGATGCCTGCCCAACGAGCGATATCATTCTGCGGGATGCCAAAGGACTCCATCATCTCAGGAAGGTAAGGGAACACTGATGTGAGCGCAATAGGCTCAGCAAATCGGCAAATGGCTGAGCGGCGACGTTAGTAACTTTGTCAAATCTGGGCGAAGGAACGTACAGAGAATTGCCAGCTGCTGTACTGGCAACTTGTGTTCTGTCATGATGATGAGACTGATAAAAGATGCATGCTACTGGGCAGTCAGTCTCAGCACAGGAGGTTGAAAACTAGTAGCTACGAGAGAAAGCTCAAGGATTGCGTCACTTGATCACGGAGTGATACGGTGAAGAGCATGCTCCCGACATGCCGATAATTTGTTCCTTAGGGCGTCCGAGTCATGCGCATCGTGGTACACGACTCGTGTCGACATCACTGTCTCTGCTTCTGTTACAACGTCTTTATGCAGGTCACACATGCGTAATGATGTTGTTTATAGCCTGAAGAGAACAACTACTGTACGTATCAGGTCGCGTTGTCAAGCTACACTACTAATCCTGGTTCAGCCTTGGGTAAGGAGGTTGCTATAATTGGTATTTACTGCGATCTTCTATTCTTTGGAGATGCATGAACGTGGAATGGTTCGAACGATCGTGATGCATTCATCAGATTACATCCACTACGTGTAGTGTAGGCGGCCGGTTTGGCTCGCAATCATGCTCCATCGTCAGCCTCTGCGCCATCTTGCCAGACGCTTCATCACAGGTTGGGTCCCTAAAGCGTATACGACGACGAGACAGCGTCTGAGCTTCAGAGAGCGCATATCGTGGACGGGACCAGGTTACGACCGCGGTAAACCGACAGGCCGAGCAGGCTTTGGGAAAGTTGATAATGTCTTGGCTGCATATTAGGCTATCATTTAGGACTAGTTATTTGTCAGGCGATACAGCTGTAAAGGACACGAGTATATATTAAATCACAGCTTCTATGCCTGTTACAAGTTTATGCAAAGAATAGATTATTCTTACGTTTTAAGTGTATTCCTGCTATTTCCTTACACCTACTTACTTGAGTTTTTGTTGTACAGATTACGTATTATATACACTTAACCAAGAAGACGAACAATGAGTTTGTTAAAAGAGATAAATTGTAATAATCTATCTGCAAGGTTTAAAGTAGCTAATACAGGTTGTACAAGAAGAAAATAATAATTAGTTGGATTTCTCTAATAAGTAGAATACTGAATTAGAAAGTAACTATAGGGCTGCTAAGTAGCTACTAGTAGGACTACTAGCTAAGCGCGCTAGCCTAGTAATTATAATACTCTTTTTTAAAAGAAAAGCTACTTCTATACTTAAAAAAGAGTTTTGTTATTAATTTAATAAAGTTAGAAACTATATAAATAACCTAACTATAATATTATATACGCAAATTGCAGCCTCTAAAGTACTATAAACATCTATATATATTTCTATTAGGCTATAAACTATGTATTTTTCTTTCTATTTATTGTAATTATTATTTAGTTAATTTTAGCTCTTTGTAAAAGCTTTTTTAATAATAATTTTAACTAGCCTTTTTGTCTTATACTTATAGTATTAGTAGTTTTATAATCTAGTCTTTATAAGCTATAGTATAAATTTACTAGTATAACTAAACTATTATCTATATTAGCTATATATTTGCTAATTAGCTTAATTAGTATTTAACTTATGTAGTATTTTTATAAATATTTTCCATTTTTAAGAGCTTTACTAGATAATTTATTGCGTATATTAGAATATTATATTAGGTTAATATATTAAAGTAATTTATACAAGCTCTTTTTTTTTAATATTTATCTTATTTACTAAAGTTTTAAATAAGAGATTACTTAGAAGCTATTAGTACTACTACTATAAGCTAAGTATATAAGTATTATTATAACTAGTAGGCCTTACTTATCTACTAGTACTTTTATTATTATGTAAAGCTTAGGTTTTATTATATATTACCTATATAAGTCTTATAGACTTATGTAAGGAGAAGCTAAACTTTAACCTTATAAAGCTATACCCTAAGTCTCTTATTAACCTTAAGGTACTGTAAGATATCTTTATCTTTTAGGTAAAAGGTATTACTATTATACTAAGTAATACCCTCTATTTCTTTCTACTACCTAACTAGGTTATTAGAGATTTTACTAAAGATATTTAAAGTACTATACTAGCACTAGTAATTACGCATTTTAATCTTTTAACTATAAGTTTACTATAAAATATAGTATAGAAACTCCTAGGCTATACTAATAGGATTAAATTACTAATTAGGCATAATATTAGTAGTAAAGACAGATAAGATAATATACATAAATAAATAGATAAAGATTTTAACTATTAAGGTATAAAGAATAGTTCTATATTAGCTTATCTATATAAACTATTATTACTTAGTTATAAATTTAAAATTACTAGTTATTAAAAGAGCTTTTTTAACTTAACTATAGTTTATAACCGAAAGCTAAACTAAACTTTAGTTATTACTTAAGCTCTTAAATATATATCTTAATTAGTATATTAAGTAGCTAGTAATTAAGAAATAGCTAATTAGCTGTTTATTACCTTTACTATATACTTCTACTAATATTTACTATTTAAAAAGGGGCTAGATATTAGCTTCTATACTAAGTTACTATATTTAATTCTTACTATATTATATCTATCTACTTATACTTTAAGTATAAATACGCTATAAACTTAAAATAATTCTTAGTTTCTTTATTATAGTTATAGTACTTTTTTTTAATACTAATTAGCTTAAACTTCTTAGAGTTACTAGGCTTTTACTTTTCTTATTTATATATAATTTAGTATTTCTATAAATTTTATAGTAAGTACTTTCGTTATCTTTTCTAATTAATTTAGCTTTTAGTACTATTACTACATTACCTATTCTATAACTTTCTATACTATTTTTATGTTATATCTATATTATAGAAAGAGTAGGCTTATACTAGTATACGTTAAAAATTTCTTTTTGGTTATAATTTAGGGTATATAATATATTAATATTGAAAAATTCTTTCTTTAGTTTATATAGGCCTATAAATTAGCTTCTATTAAACCTTTTTACTTAGTAGTATCTTAGTTTCTAATTAATAGCTAGTAAATACTTAATAAGTAATTACTAATTTTCTATAGGAGGTTGTTTATTACAGTCTTGTATAAACTCGATACTTTATTAAGATATAAAATTTTTAATGGCTAACGGTAAGCTATAAATCTTTTCAGAAAACTTTTATTACTATTTTAGTCTTTATGTCTTTTAATAGAATTACTTCTACATTCTTACTTAGCCTATTTCGTTCTACTAGAAGGTATTAGTATCTATTACTTATAGGTAAATTTAAAATAAGTTCTATTTAGATTTATTTATACTTTATCTATAAGGAATAGTACCGTTAGTATTTTTAACTTAAATTTTCTCTAAATCTTAGTTATTAATTATGTATATTATTTTTGAGATAGGTTTTCTAAAAATAAATAAAATCTTGAAAAAGAATTAGTCTTCTACTAGAATTATATAAGTATTTCTTCCCTACAGGACAGAAATTAATATGTAATCTTATTATTGAGATTCTTTTATATATATTTTTATTACTTGTTAGATTTTATAATTTACACTAACTATAGTAGCTAAAGTATAACCTAGTTATAATGTTTATATTTCTATTACTATTACTATTACTACTACTATTACTATTACTACTACTATTTCTACTACTTCTAGATTTATCCTTATCTATATTTACTATCCTTATAGTAAGGTATTACATCTTCTAAATTACTACTATAATTCTTTCCTTTTAAGTAGTATACCTAGAATCTAACAAAGCTTAGTTAGAGTAGCTTTTATTTTAAGTTAGAGTAGTATTATTATACTACTAAGTAGTAATCAAGCTAAGTTAAAAGAGCTAAGTATTAAAAAAAGCCTTATTAGATTTATATACTTATTTAAAAAAAAGCTATATTCTAACTTAATACAGATATACTCTAAATTTTCTATTAACTTTAAAGTACTACAGAATAATTTTATTTATTAAGTAGAAGGTACTACTATTCTACTAAGTAATATTCTTTATTTCTTTTTACTATTACTTTAGGTTTATAGCGTATTTATGCTTCTAGTACAGGTAGATAGACGTAACACAGTAGGAATCTAATATAGTAGCTTACTATAGAAGCTATTACCTAGCCCCTTTTTAGACAGTGAATATTAGTTAAAGTATACAGTATAATTTCTTCTTACTACATAATTAGGTTCTTAAAAGTTTTATTAGAGATATCTAAAGTACTATACTAGTACTAGTATATACTTAAATTAATTTTTTTAGTATTAGTTTACTTTTAAATATAGTTTAGAAGATCTTAAGCTATACTAATAAGATTTTATTATTAATTAGGTAAAATCTTGGTAGTAAAAAAAGATAATATAAATAAATAGATTATTAAATAAGTATTTTATCTTTTAAGGTAAAAAAGATATTTATAAACTAGCTTAATCTTCTAAGCTATTATTACCTAGTTAAATAATAAGAATTACTAGTCTATTGAAAATCTTTTTAACTAAACTATAGTATATAACTTAAAGCTAAACTAAGCTTTAATTTCTACTTAGGCTCTTAAATATATATATAAATTAGTATATTGGGTAGCTAATTAGAAAGAGATAGCTAATTAGGTTCCTATAACTCTTACTATATACTTTTACTAATGTTTACTATATAAAAAAAGGCTAAGCTTTAGCTTCTATACAAAGTTACCTAATTAGATTCTTACTATATTATCTTTATCTGCCTGTACTATAAGTATATATACACTATTAACTTAAAATAATAATAGCTAGAAGTTTATAGGTTTTTATAATAATTTTAGAATATCTTTCTTCTTAATCTAGTCCTTATTTCTACTTCTAGTAGTATAGTAACTTCTTTTATATTAATAGTTTACTTTATAAGTAGAACTTTTAATTTAAAGTTTAAAAAGAAATTTTTATCGCTTATATTTAAAGGTTTAAAAACTTTTCTATATACTAGGTTATTTAAAGCTATAATAATTTATATTTAATAAAACTTCTTTGAGCTACTATAAGTTAAAGTAAACTTAGTACTAGTTTCTAAAAGTATTTATTTTTAATTCAAATTACGAGGTTTTAAAACTTTAAGTATTTATTCAAACCTTAATGTTA